GTGAGTGAGTGAGTGAGTGAGTGAGTGAGTGAGTGAGTGAGTGAGTGAGTGAGTGAGTGAGTGAGTGAATGAGGAGGAAGGTAAGTTATTTCTCATTTCAAAGCACCAACGTGGCAACAAGATAATTGAACCCTGGTGTGCTTTGGCCTACCGACTTACTGTGCACGACGGGCATCCCCTGGGCGCCTGTGCCGCCGATGACCAGAATCTCCTTGCGCTGCAAAGATGCCATGACGACCTTGCCTTGCCTTGCCGTGGCTTGCCTTCTCTTCTCTTCCTCCCAAAAGATTAGTGAGCCCTACCTCGCAAGCAATGCTCTGCTAGTTGAGTGGGTATGAGACCAATGACCGGACGAATGGATTGCCTGCTGGGCCTTAAGACTCGAGACTCGACTTAGCACCCGCAGCAGCAGCGACGGGAAGAAGAAGGGACAGACAGCTCTTATACATTGGGACATGGCCACACAGACCACGCCGCTTACTTTGCTTCGACCCAGTCCGCTTCAACAACCCCAGCCCGAGATCTCCGGTCTCGACCTCCCGAACCAAACGCGGACTGCCCGCATAGACGGACCTGGTGATGTTGGTGCACATAGAACCTGGCGTTCCATTGATCTAATTGCGACTTCCCTGTACGGACGTGCGCAGCGACCCATCTCGGCATTGGGAGGGTAAGGGTGGAGGGGAATGAATGCCAAATACTAATACAGCTCACACACTCCGTGTTTCTTCTCGGCTTAATAACTCGAGTGAGGCTGACAGTGACACCGAGGCGGGAAAGTGTGACTGAGAGAGAAAGAGAGGGTGAGGATGAGGGATTCTCAAAAATCACTAATCACCTCCGCCGCGGTGGAGAACTAGTATCAAGCATAGGTACCGAGCAGCCAGCGATCCTTGATATTATGTAGAGCTGAGCAATAATCCAGGAAACCACCTACGTAGTATGGGTGTGTACTGTTGCTAACCATGTCGACGGGGTAGAAAGCCTGTTGCCATCGCGTTGGATACCTAAGTACCCGAGAACTGTACTCCGTGTATACTGCATACATATTGGCTCGAATCCGTCCTTACTTCCTTCCTTCCATTTCTGGGGTTTATTTTTTTGATTAGACGACAACTCCGACAGCGCCAGAGAGTGACAAACGGCCTAGGTCTTTGTGATTGCCGACGAAGTCAGCTTGAGGTTTCGATTACTATGTCTTACAAAAAGAAACAAGGAAAGATAGGACGAAAGAAAGAAACAACGGAATATCGAAGAGCAAATAGCAACTTCTCAATCCCCTCGATCACCAGAGCACCACACCCGCACCGAGGACATATCACGAAGCGCGGGCTGGAGGAAGAGATTCTTCTTTGCTCGCTGACGTTGCCACTGTCGTAGCCAAAACTCCCCTCGGTCGGTTGCGGATTTCATCCTCCAGAACACGGCTTGGTTGCTCTGAACACCTTCGAAAGAAAAGGGGCGTTGTCCATTATATCCATCCTTGCACCACGCACAGAGTTCCTCATAGTCAACCAGGACTGGTCCCACAAGGCCGTGCCGTGCCACGGAGACTGAGAAGAAGGTCTGAGTAGAGACGGGAGCCCAAGTCCCTGAAGTGCTATAATCCTATCGCCTGCTCGTGCTCCGGTAGGAACTAGACTTATTGTTGGCCATCCACATTTCTTAAATTCTTGTGAAAAGTCACGACTTGGAAACCTGCTTTCCCTTCACAGTTGTCTCTCCAACAGTCGGGCAGTCCAATACATGTATCAAAAATATCAAGGGGGTTATCGGCAAAGTCTTTTTGCTGGAGCCTCAGATGGGGTTTGAGCAGTCTGCTGCAGCTGGTACCAGGTAGTCGCAACACATCTGTGTCTTGAAAATTCTGGGTCGGAGCACTCGGTTCTCGCCGACGACCTGGATACGGCCTCCCTCTGCGTGTAATCTTGTATGCCTCAAGTACGGTGTCCCACTGCAGCAGTCCTATATGTCGCCAGTCAGGAGTTCAGCTTTGCAGAACCAAACCGTTCGGAGTCTTGGTTTCCACGCATGTAGAAGAATATCCAGCCTCCCGTCGCGGTCGATCGGATACCTTGCGGCATCTTGAAATATCTCACAAACACTCTTGGTGTAGTCGATGGGCAGAATACAAGCCTTCTGCCCTTAAACGCTATGGTCGCCTTACATCTCTTTGAGATTTACACTTATCATCAAAACCACACCGTAGACAAAGTCAAGGGGTCCGGTGGCATGGAAACCACTGTTTTCGCGTAACACTCTGGAGAGCTCGACAATACCAAGGGGGTCTGGTGGAGAGTAACAGTTTGAATCCCTTTTACGATCCATCACATCTGTGCCGACCAGAGCCAGTTCTTCTGCTGAGCCTTGTCGTAAGCGGAGCAATTGATCAAACTCAAGCTGACCGTTTTGCAATCCCAGTTTGCCAGCAGCTGCCCTTAGAAGTTACGCAGGTAAATCATGTATTGTATGCCATTAGATCGGCCTGCATGGGCAATGATATGCCGGGCGGCAAAGACTTCCTGCCTTACCCAACCTAGTTTTGTGGCAGCAAGGGAGACCTGGAATAAAAGAACGAAGACCAGAACCGACCAGAACCGACCAGAACCGACCAGAACCGGGAAGCAAGTACCTCCAACACAGCACGAAGTTTCAGGGAATACTCACTCTTGCAAAACCATGGCCTTACCAAAAATTTAGTCAAGCCTTGCTAGACCTCGAGAAGATAACTCCGACATCCTGTGACGATGAGGTCCACATCTGTTACTTCCGACGATGAGTGCAGATGATACTGTGCTCAACCGCCGCACTCTTCCTCTCCCACCCACGCGCACCACGCGATGACCCTAGAGACCTTCTCGAAGATGACAAACATTCTCTGGACCTGCGATCGCTTTTCCTCAAAATTAAGCTAATCGATGACGATGACATCAATCCACAAATGCCGACATTCGTCTGTGCGGCGAAGGCGCTGCAATGCCTGATACCCACTGGGATTCACTGGGAAACCTTCACCGTTTAATCCTGAAGGTGAGCACTGGGCGACCCTAGTTCTATGATAATGCCTCGTGGGAGACTCTTTTGCGACCTTTAGCGATAACAACGCCGTCGGGATAAATAATGTCGATGGGGAGAAGCTAGGTAACTAGTGGCTCGCCTGGGGCACACGGCTCAACGGAGAGAAATGCGCGTTTGTCGGGAGGCTAGAGGAGTATAAACCTTGGTCAAGACATCAGCCAGTGTCACACTCACTGTTACCGCAGCATCGAAAGCGGACATGGGCGATACCGATCGCTCATAGAATGGGAGTATACAGCCGTCGCATGGAGCGGCCCTGTCATCGAGGTGGAGATCTTCCATGACAGCGATGCCCATGTTGCGGCATGCATTTGCAGCTGGTCGATGTAAGCAGGGTATACTGCCACAGGATCAAAAGATGAACTATATCGGCCTCCCTCGAGCGACATAGAGTGTAAGAACCTCTTGATGCCCGCGAGGTTTTTGTGAAAGAGACACAGAGACAATGCAGCCTTAGAAGGCAAGAACAAACCCGCGAACAACTAAATCCCGGCTTAAACTTGCCTTAGATGGTCCACTCCAGTCCGGCGTCCCTCGTTTGGCAGGTGCTTCGAAGAAACATTCACATTAGGGGCATCACATTCAATATCTGAAAGGGGGTATTGCGGCCTCTCTTCACAGGCACTAGTGCCCGAGTATATGCTTGCTTCTCCCGTTGCATTACAATGTGCTTTACTCTGTGGCCCGCCCAAGTAGGGTACACCAGCGTAAAAATATTCGCGGCTCGATCGTCTGGGAGGTGCGAGACACACGCTGTTGCACCGACCATTCTAAGTTCGTAAGCTTAATCGAGCGAGCAATACTTGCCGAAAAGGTTCTGCACAAATCTGTCACTGAATCTGTCTCTCGGAGCCGGTCGAATTCGATTATGCGTAGAGCTGCGTTGATTGCATTAGCCTCCGCAACAGAAGCTCGGGATGGCTGTATGGCAACGAGAAATCGGTTGGTTAGGGCCCAGAAGGCCAGGAATATGGGATAAATTGTAGGGCCAGCCCCGGTCAAAGCCGCCTCATCAGTGCAGCTGCCGTCATGTCCGGAGTCGCCGCTGCCAACCAGGATTGCCTCCCACTTTTCCCTCCATTTGGAGTATTCTTCAATTAGAGCGCATAACTCGGCTGCAACCCTCAAAGTCTGTTCGGGAGGGTGGCAGTGCAAGATGGCCTCTGTTGATCTCCTGTACAACTCAGGGGCGCGAGTCGTCATCATCCACATTGTCAGGACTGATTCTGAACGATCTGGGAGAAGGCCATTTTGGGTTATCGTCGACCGAAGAGCTTGCTGCCAGGCTGGGCTGCTCAGAAAGCAGTCTTGGTTGATGAAAGTGGCTTCCACAGTCTGCCAATAAGAGTCAGAGCAAGCCTCGAGAGGCCAACGGGTTACTTTGTTTACCATAATCTGGCATTGCGCTGCGAGAAGGATTTTTTTGAACTCTGTCTTAATGTTGTTTGGACCTAGTGTCAATAAAATGTGCTTCGCGCCCTGGGAGTGCAAAATCCATGCATGATGACCCGAGTTGTCGAGTAGCTGTGCGTATCAACGGTCAGCCATTGTCACACGCAACAAAAAGCCGTTGCGGGACCCTACCTCGAACAGAGTTAGTAATAGTGTCGTATACCATACGGTCCAATCGATGCTTCTCGACGAGTTGAGAGCGTTCTGCAGACATTGCAGGGCGCGGCCGTAGCGCTTCTCCAATTGAGTTAGGGCCAGCTCTCTGTCCAGGCTTTGAACGCAACACTGACGAACGCGTTCGGCAAGGCAGTCGATAGCATAATCTAGGCACTGGCTGTGGCCAATCATTCGAGGAAGAAATTGCAAGATGGTCGTTAGCCGACATATTTTCACCCACCGCCGTGGGTCGGAGTTTATGCCCACACTCGAAGCATCGAGGAGTAGCTTCTGGGATAGCCCAGGCTGCATTAATAAGGATACGTATTCGGGAGAATTGCGTTTGTTTGGCCAGAGAGACAATGGCGATGCAATAGAAGCATGGTAGCTCCGTTTGGCAGATCGGCCTAAAGGAGAAGGGTGTCGGTAAGACGCAAGAGCCTGATCGAATGGCGCTTGCTTCGATTGCTGAAGCTGGATACATTCAGCATTCTCTCGGGCGGGAGGTGGGCGAGGGTTGGGATCAGTGACGGCTTTCGTTTCGGTAACTAGAAAGTCTGGTAGTTGCAAGGCGTTGGTTCTTGCTGTCGTGCCTTTGGCTTTCCGTGTCGCTGCTGCAGCTCTGTTGGAAACTTTCCGCACAACCCGGCGATCCGCATCGCTCAAGGTGAGGTTGTTGGGATTTTGGTGGATGAACTGTACCATTATCTTAGGCTTCTTTATCAGAAGAGCAGTGGGCGACAGGGACAGAGTGGGCGGATAGGGTACCGTCTCGAGTACCTAGAGTAGAGTCCTATGGCGGCGAAATCTGAGAGCATTGTGAGGAAACGGAGCTTTGAAGTGACAAGGGTACGAAGGCCTCGAAATGGTTTAGTCTGAACAGGGCTTCGGCTGCCTGAAAAGGTATAGGCGTCGGCTACAATGCGATGCCGCTTTAAAGCAGTATGTCGTATTTGGAGGACGTATGGTGCATAGGTCGCTTTACTAACCAAGGCAAAACCAGGACAGCTGGGACAACCATTGCCGCTTCAGACACCAATCGAAGCAGCGGCGACAATTTCCAGCCCAGCACTGTGGGATTGGGAATCTGCAATGTCATCGTATCCTGCTTATTCAACATCAGAACGGGGGCTTGACGATGGTGATACCGCAATGGTGAAAGAGTCAATCAGCCAAACCAAACCAAACCGTCCAAGAGCACTCCATTCACCAAATGAACTCTCGACCTATAAGAAAGGTGTGATGCCCCCTCGAAATCAGAAGGATCCGAAAGCCAGCAACAGACCAAACATCCTCAGGGATTTCCCATACCAGCAATCATATCACAAAGCTCGGCCAAGGTCCAGGACCATTATCAAAGAATCATCGGTCACAATGAGCCAAACATTGACAGCCCAGGCCCTTATCGACCGTCATGCATCAAGTCTCAACCAGCACAAGCCGATTCCCACCTTTGCTGAAATTCAAGAGCAGGGGCTGGAGCTGCCTCACATCCTGATCAGTAAGTTCCACCAGGGTCTGGGATTGCTGCGGAAGGACGAGCTGACCAGCTTCGAAGTCACCAGCGCTGATCCACGATGCATTCCGGAGAACATCTTCAACTTACACACAGGAGGTAAATCGATTTCTCGATTCGAGGTCAACGACAGTTGATTAACCATGACGGTGCAGAGGCAGTTGTTTGTCGCGTTGCTGGCGGAAATGCCGAATTCGCCGTCAACTCTCTCCTTTCGATCGACACACTCCTGAATTTCACCGACGTCCTCATTGTCCAGCACACCAGTAGGTCGACCCAAATCGGTACAGTGCGCTCACGTTCCTAATGTCACTCGTTGCAGACTGCGGAGCGACAATGTACAGAGATGCCGCGGTCAAAGAGGAACTCAGGAAGCGGGCCCCGAATCTGCGGGCAGACATTGATAGCATGGCATTTCACGCGTTCTCGGGGTAAGGCCAACGTATACATGCAGCTACTTCGCTTGGCTGACCCTGTTTTGGCAGTTCCATCGAGAACAATGTAAAGAAGAGCATGACATTCCTGAAAGAATCCCCTCTGGTTAGGGAGTCTTTGAAACCAAGCATCCGTGGATTTGTCTTCGATCTTCACAGTGGAGAGCTCAAGGAAGTCAAATTGTAGAGATGAATAGCCATGTATATGGGGTCTCAGACCTTCAAAGTTTTGAAATCTGAGTTAATAGAGCAAAACGTATGATGATTCATGCATATTCTGAGCTTGTCCTTCATCTGAGAAAAAGCCAGTTATGCCGCCAAAAAATACCGACTTGGCCAAGTGAGATCTAGACCTGCCAAGAATCCTTGGCACTCAGTGGCTGAACTTGGTTTATATTGTTTGCATAGTTTGTGCAGTTTGCACCTGACTGCCAGTCACTTGACCCCCTCGGACCAGGTCTCTTGAATGTTCCGTTCGTAAATTCACCTCACTTCAACTTCACCACGCCCTTGTCGTTCGGTCCTTGGTTTTTTCACTTTCATCTCTCTTTTGGAGTTTGGGGATGGTGAAGATGTCTTTGCCTCTTTCACGCCTTCTTTTTCTCTTTTTGCCCCACTGATTCCTCGTTTGTCTGCGACAGCCAGACACCATTCTCGGTTGCCTGACGATCGATTTCTCTAGCGACAAACCCGATCGCAAAACCACCGACAAGATACAGTATTGCCGGCCTAAACCACAAGGTCAACCCTGGCAGTTGCAATGACCGACTTCAAACTGAAGGAGCCTAAACATGGCATTACCGGACCGATGTCCACTGCCCTACCTGAACCTCTGGACTACGAGAAGACTGCCGACTTAATCGAAGAATTGAAGAGGGAAAACAACTACGAGTCGCTGGAGGAGACAAAAATCCGAATTAAGACTCTCAAACTATTGAACAGCGTCACTCAAGAATTTGTCCGTGAGGTCAGTCGGAAACAGGGACTCCCTGCGTCTCAGATCAATCAGTTCGGCGGCAAAGTCTATTCATATGGCAGTTATCGCCTCGGTGTATATGGACCCGGTAATAAAGTTGATATTGGTGTGCGGACATGATGCTGACGGCGATTAGGCTCTGATATCGACACCCTTGCCGTCGCTCCAAGGCATGTGAAGCGCGAAGACTTCTTCGAGTTATTCCCCGCAGTCTTGAAAAAGGAGGTTGAACCTGGCGCTATTACTTCACTTGTTCCAGTGCCTGACTCCTTCGTTCCCATCATCAAACTCGTGCTCAATGGCATAGAGATCGATCTCATCTTTGCGTCGATTGCAACCCTGCAGAAAATTCCTGCAGACCTCAGCCTGAACGACAACAGTCTCCTGATAGGTTTGGATCAGGCGTCTATTCGTGCAGTTACTGGCCCTGTAAGTCTCGGACACGTCCCTTCTCACGTGGATTTTGGCCCCAAACTAAACGAGTTCAGCGTGTCACCGATGAGATTCTCAGCCTCGTCCCCGTTGAGAAAACCTTCCGAACGGCGCTGCGGGCGATCAAGTTGTGGGCGCAGAGAAGAGCTATCTATGCCAATATTGTTGGCTATCCCGGCGGTGTCGCTTGGGCTATGCTTGTTGCGCGCGTCTGTCAACTTTACCCTGCAGCGATCGGTGCTACAATTGTCGGCAAGTTCTTTTACATCATGAAAGAATGGCCTTGGCCTCTACCGATTATGTTGAAGGACATTGAGCAACCCAAGAACCTAGGACCAAACCATGGCTTCAAAGTCTGGAACCCGATGCTCTACAAAGGGGACGAGAAGAATATCATGCCCATCATCACGCCGGCGTTCCCAAGTATGTGTGCAACTTACAATATCTCCAAGTCGGGCAAAACAGTCATCCTCCGTGAGCTGGAGAGGGCTGACAAGATAGCCAACAAGATCTTTGCCGGCAAAGCCCAGTGGAGCGAGTTGTTCCAGAAGCACACCTTCTTCACCGCGGACCACAAATACTACTTGAGTGTGATCGCAAGTGCGTTGAACGCGGATGCAGCCAAGGCATGGGCGGGTCTTGTCGAATCCAAAGTTCGGATTTTTGTCATGCAACTGGAGAGCACAAAGGGCATCGAACTTGCTCGACCCTTCACCAAGGGGTTCAAACGCATCCACAAGTGCCAGGACTCGGATCAAATCCGTGAGGTGCAGAGAGGTAGCATGAAGTACAAAGTGGAAGAGACGAAGACTGTTGAGACGACCGATCCCGAACTGGTGACGACCAACGGGGACGGTGCCGCAATTCCCCTGTCAGACAATGTCGATCCAAAGATGGACACGGATGCGCACACGGTTTACACCTACACATTCTATATTGGCATTGACACGGTTGCTAAAGGCAGCTTGAACCTAGTTCAGGCGTTCCAGGCCTTCAAGCAAGTGTGCGAGGGCTGGTCGAGTTTCAATTCAGAAGTTCATTTCCTCAATCTCGCGTCCTCGAAGAGGTATGCTCTTTCTAGCGTTCTGCTTTCCCGAGAAGTACTGACAGCAACAGTTGGGAGTTACCAGAAGATGTCTTCGATGCGAAGGCCGGCGAAGTCCGACCGAGCAAACTACTCAAGAAGGTGATTAAGAGTACCAAAGCAGAGGCCAAGCCGGTTCGACGAAGCATCAACGAGGTCGAGGTATGTTCGCCCCGCAGGATCTTACTGGTTTCATGCTCACCCCTTTGCAGGACGCGGAGACTGACGGCGATTCCGTGAAACGACAACGACTGATGACAGCTACTGCCACACCGACCCCCGCTGCCGCACCCGCCTGATATGGATGCGGCGACGTGCGGTACATCTCATCTTCAAGAACATCGGAAGAATCATTGTGACAGACTACCATATGATCCTACCGACATGTTCACCCCAGATAGAGTATTCACGTGTCTTCGAGCAAAAATTGCAGTCAAAACACCACACATTAAAAAAAGGTGAAAATGCAAAAATGCCAAAAAGAAATGAAGGTATCCACAGCTTCGCTGTGAGATTGTACAAGCTGAGGTAAAACAGACGTGGTGATGAGAACTAACCTAAGCACAGCACGAAATAGCATCAGAGCACCCGTGTTCCCTGCAGAGTTGATTTGTCTCGACTGGGCTGGGCCGGACTGGGCTGGGCAGGATGAAGAGCGAACGTTTTGAAATGGGCGTTGGCGATGGGGATTTCTTGCATGTCTCTGAACAACCACGGACCACAACCGTATCGTTGCTGGAGTTTGGAGCAGTCAGGCGGAGAGACGACATTGGTCATCGGAGAGTGGCCATTGAGGATGAGGGAGGGCCAACAAGGCCAGATTGCTTAACTGTACATAGCTATCAGGTGGTACACTGGGTGGCTTGAATCTCATAGAAGCACACGATCAGGCAGCCAGCCAGACAGACAGACAGACAGTGAACTAAAGCAAATGAAGAGAAGAGATTTAGGGGTCTCAGGACCTCGCGCAAGAGCTGAGACATGATGCAATTTCTTGCCAGCGAGTCAGTCCCGGGCAGTGACAGCATATTACTGCAGGTAGATGGGTGCGGCAGGGGGCTGGTGAGGCTGCTATGTTTATATGAGGAGGCTGGCTGTGGTTGCTTTGGGCTTGGCGGCCTCAGGAGGCGTAAGTGACTCGGGGAGCAGCTGTAATATGAATAACTTGGTAGAGGGGATACCCGAATAGGGGGGACCGGGAGGGACCCTAGGACGCCCACGACGCCTCACTAGCCTCAGGGCTTTACTGCCTTACTGCCTGAGCACCTCAGCACTTGACCACTTGACCTCTTGACCTCCTTACCGCCTTCTCGCCTGCTTGTCCCACCCTAAGCTACCTCGTACTCTTGGGCAACTTTGATCGACCTGATCCGGGGCTGAACTCTCGTCCCATCCCTCCCTGTAACCTTTTCCGCCAATTGAGATGCGCCGCGCGGCCGCTGTCAATGGCTAGCCCTCGACGAGAAATGCGAGAAGTCCCCAAACGGGATGCTGTGTGTCGCCAGCCTCGATCCTCGTTGGCTCAGCTGCGTGTAGAGGCACCGTTCTGCACCTTTCTGGGCCTCGCTTGCCTTCGGCTGCCTTCTGGGCCACACTCCAAAGGCGACTCGCACCTCTGCCAACCTGTGCCAATGCTGGAGGCTGATGTTTGACCATGCACAAAGCCCATCAGCTGAAAGCGAAGGGAGAGCTGTTCGTATTGAGACACAGAATCCACGAGGTGCATGCAGCTGGGCCACCATATATCAACCCTTTCAGCCCCTCCGACTAACCATTTTTCGCCCTGTAAGACAATAAACAGGCTTGCGTGGCCAGTTGCCAGAATTTGTCCACGGTTCACAGTGGCCATTTTACGGAATACCAGTTATTCAGGTGAATGTCATTTAACCGCTGAGCGCTCCCTCGACCAGGATTTCAGACCCCATGGCACCCCCAGAACCCAGGAAACGCATCGTGGTGTGCTGCGACGGCACTTGGCTCGACAGTGACGGCGACTACCAGACGCCCAGCAACGTCACTCGAATCGCCAGAGCCATTCCTCCCGTAGGCGTCGACAAGTCCACCACTCCCCATCACCCCATCCCTCAGGTCATCTTCTATCAGAATGGCATTGGCACCGGCTCCCCGTCCTTGTACGACAGATTTATCGGAGGCGCCACAGGTGAAGGGCTAGCGGAGCACATCCGAGAAGCCTACAGCTTCATCTGCCTGAACTATAACCCCGGAGATGAGATTTTCTTGCTGGGCTTCTCGCGAGGGGCTTTCACCGCCCGTTCAATCTCGAGCTTGATCAACGCGGCTGGTCTGCTCACGTCGAAAGGCCTGGAATATTTTGTCCAGGTCTTTGAAGACTGGGAGTTTCAGCAGAAGAAGGACTTCAAGACCAAGTGGCCACATCTGCCCTTCGATGGCCACAAACCCCCGGTCACTGATCCCCACTACCAGCGCCAGCTCATCGAAAAAGGTCTAACACGGCCGAACATCAAGGTCAAATGTGTCGCCGTCTGGGATACCGTCGGTGGACTAGGCATCCCCATGATCGGGCTCTTGCCCCAGCCACCCAGCACGGACTTTGCCTTTGTTGACACGCGGGTCGAGTCGAACATCGAGTACGCGTTCCAGGCTCTCGCCCTCGACGAACACCGGCGGTCCTTTTCCCCCACCATCTGGGACTGGCCACATGTCGAGCCCAACGACTTGAAGATTCTCAAGCAATGCTGGTTCCCCGGTGTGCATAGCGACATTGGCGGCAGCTACGATGACACTGCCCTTGCAAATCTCACCCTCGCGTGGATGATCAGCCAGCTCGATCCCATTCTCACAATCAACCACGAGTACATCTTGAGCTTCATCACGCCAGTGCAAAAGGACGATCTGACTCTCGCCGGGCGACACCAAACATTCACCCACGAAGGCCGCATGGCCACAGTCAGGAATACCGCACCACATGCACGCCCGTGGGGTCTGGGCAAAATCCACGACAGTATGAGCCCCTTCTTCAAGCTAGGCGGCTCGCGGATTCGCACCCCTGGCGAGTACCGCGAACAAGAACTCGCTTCCCAACATGGCGTGGCTTTTTGGATACTGTACAAAATCTTCCACCGCTTCACCAGCCGCTTAGAAGATAAGCACCACGCCCTCCCGCGGCTAAGGAGGACCAACGAAACGATCCACAGCAGCGTCCGTATCCGCATGGGCAAAGACGGTCTGGGCTACAATGACAAGGGGAAATACGATTCGGAAGCTCTCGAAGGGTGGGTCATGCACGGCGTCGAAACCAATCCGGACACGCCCATTGCCATTAGTGCCCCGGGAGCCGTGGGCAAGATGACAGGTGTGTTGTGGAAAAAGCAAGTCTACCCGGAGAAGGTCATCGAACGTCCCTCCCCCAACGGGGAGAAGAAGGGCAAAGTCGAGATCTTTGAGGACAAAGGCAAAACACACTGTCTCGAGCTGGAAGAAGAGCCGCTGGGCGACTTTGAACGGAAAATTCTCCAAGAGTGGCCTGTCGGCGACATCAAGAAGGATTTTGACACCATCGTCCCCGGAAGACACCAGCAGAGCGTGGATCGCGCACATACTGTGCCCTTGGACATGCATGGCCATGGTCGGGGCTCGAGCAGCAGTGCTGGTGCGAAGTCCGCAGGCAGGGAAGGAGATCCGTTGACCGTGCAGACGGGCAAGTGGAGGAGCGAGACCACTTAGTCAGCACCTCGTCTTTCGTCGAGTCGTTGTCTGAGGGGGAAGCAAGGTCGCTTGTTCCCGAAGGACAAAGAAAGACAGGGCCAAGGATGTTTTGGTCTCGCATCCATCATTGAATGCCTCGAGGGAGAGAAGGGGGAACTCGGGTGAGGAAGATCCATGCGAACTATTCTCCACTGGGGTATTTGGAGTGTTTTCTCGCATTTCTCGGTTTGGTATTTCATGAGCAGAGCAAGAGGGCAAGAGGGAGAGCTGCCTTTGTCGTTCAACTGAGCGCTGATTAATTGATTGATTGACTGATTGATTGATTCCCTCAACAGCGTTGGACGTCGGTCATTTAGCAAGCGCTGGAAACAGGAACTGGACCTGGAAAAGGGAAACAGGGAAACAGGGAAACAGGGAAACATCAGGAAAAGGGCACAAGGGCGAAAAGGCTCGATTGGACATTCATCATGAGGGCTTGTGAGGGCTACTAACCACCTGCGACCCTACATAACTAATATAATCCTCTCAACGTCTCTTGCTCTAGTTCTTGTCTCTAAACTTTCTGCCCGCCTGTACTCGGAGCTCGTCATGACCGGATAGTATGGATGGACGGATACTATGGTTGTCCGTCAAGAGATCTCTTACCAAGTATGTAGTGGCGGAGCTGACGGCTGAGCTGGTATTCCCAAAGAGAGATTCGGGCGGTGTGTGTAGGTACATTCCAACCTAGGTAGGTAGGTATTGATTATACGTATGTATATATATATATATATACCTGCTCTGCTTTCAAGCGGACATTGACATCAATTCTACGGATCTCACTTCCCCGTAAAAAGTGCGGAGCACAGAATAATATACCCGATTGATTATTATTTTTTTTAAAGATTGATTGATCGGTCAAGTTACAATCTCGCCTTGACATCCCCCGATTGAGTCTGAGTCTGAGATTTCATCACCTCATCAATGACACCCATGACCCTGCACAGCCAATCGTCTCTTCCTCTCTGCACGACGACCTGCACACTGAGCGGCGTGCCGAGATACACCCTACGGTCCGTGACATGTTCGTCCCACAGCTCGCGGCACTTTGCGTCCCAGCTGCCCAGCACGTTGCCGGCGGGTAGGGGTCTGCCGAGCTCGAGGTCGTCCTCGACGACAGAGCGCACGGGGACGGTGCCCGTGGGGTAGTCGAACAAGACCCAGCTGGAGGTCATGCCGACGGCGTTATAGCCCTCGATGGGGGGCACGGGGTGCGGCGCGACGGGGCAGACGATGGCGTCCAGAGTCTGTCTGCGGCGGCCGTGCGCGTCGACCTCGCTCCACAGGTTGAGCATCTCGCGTTCCAGCTGTGAGCGCTGCGCCTGTAGCTCCGCAACGCGCTCGAGCGGTTGGGCTTTGCCGGCCCGGAAGCGCGTCGACATCCATGGCACCAGCGGCTCGCCTGTCGATGTGATCATGTGGTTCATGACGACTGCGCCGTCGACGCCCATTAGCTTGCTCATGACCGACTGCGAGCGCGTCCAGGCGCGCGGCGTGAGGAGCTCTTTGACCACGATCTTGGCCCCGGTGCGCGTGTTGGTGCCTTGGAGGGACACCGCGACTTCATTGAGGATGGTCGTGATCGGTGGCAAAAGGGTGCAGTTGCCGTCGCTCCGTAGTATGCCGATCACAAGCTCGCCATTCGGCCCGCTGCCCTGGATTTGCTGGGAAGAAGGGCTGGACGGGGGCCACGGACATGGCATACAATCCTCCGCCCACAGGGTCGCTCTGGGTATCACCTCTCGCAGGAAAACATCAATATCCCTCACGCTTCGCGCGATGGGTCCAGCCACAGCCTGCACGCTAGTGCGACTCATCCCCTCTCTTCCTGTAAGTGCCTGCCCACCGTATGGTATCCGATTATTGGATGGTTTGAATCCGTACACGCCATTGCACATGGCCGGCACACGGATGCTGCCACCAATATCCGTTCCTATCCCGAGTATGCTCCCCTTCATCGCTACGAGGACACCCTCGCCACCACTCGACCCGCCTGCCGTGCAGAGACGATTAATCGGATTCATCGTCCTTCCAAACACGTTGTTGACGCTATCGAGCGACGCCAGTGTTTGCGGGATATTCGTCTTGGCCACGATCACGCAGCCTAGCGACAAAAGCAGGCTCACCAGGGGGGCGTTCTCTGTGGCGGGTTTCTCGCATAGATAAGCTAGTCCGATACTCGTGTCCACGCCCTTGACGTTGAATGTATCTTTGACCGACACGGGCAACCCGTGTAGCGGACCAAAAGGCCTCCCATTCTGTGCTAGGTATGCATCCAGCTCCTTTGCACGCTGGACGGCCGAGTCGAAGAGTGGCTCGGTCAGGCAGTTGGTGAGTTGGTGCGCGATGGCCGCACGGTGGCAGAAGGCCTGAGCGACTTCTTCGCAGGACAGTTTCTTGCTCGCCAATGCCGAGAGGAGGCTTTCCACCGTGTAGTCTTCGGTGATGGCGATCTCAGCGCTCGAGAGGAACTGGCGAGGTAAGTCCAGTACGTTCTGCGGGCCGTTTTCCAGGCTTGGAGGATCCTTGGGCAGGGCGCTGGAGGGGATGTGCCATTTGGACGGGATCCGCGAGGCGCGCGAGGATTGTTTGCGAGCTGCGATGGCTTTCCAGGCCGCTGCTGACTCTGGGGACGACATAGTGGGTGGTGGGCTACGGATCAGCTTGGATAGACAGCGACCGTGTTCATTTCCTCAATGCAAGCAGAGGATTCCATTAAGTACGGAGTAGTCGAGGCGACCATCTCCGCACTCACATTCGAGTGAGCATTGAGCTAGCGAAAGGGCGTGGAGAAAAGCCTGGAGGGAGTCCGTAGATTGTCCAGATGCCTCGGTTCAAAGATGCTCCCTAAGCTTGGCATCTTTTTCAGCCTTGCTCAGCCTTGTCGAGAGTCTGCTTCCCTTCCTCACTGAGAAAGTATCCAGATGCTTGTAATTTGTAAGTATAACACCTTCAATCAGACCGAATGAATGTTTTGCACAAAGAAGGAGACGGTAAAATATCCTCTATACAGTGGTTACTAACGCTAATTTCCATCACATCATTCAACCGGATCTTATATCATACAAGAATGGAAAGCAAATTCGTGATGGCTTGGGCTTGATCTCCTTGACGTCCTTCAGCTTTCAATATTATTGTTATTCGCATCCACTCTCTTGAAAATGGGGTAATCATCCAGGTCATGCAGATCATGGCATGTCACGAAAATAGAGCCAGTTCCTTCTCGGTCCAGTCCCACAGTTTATCTGCCAGCTTGTCGTCCTTCGCGGCGACCGTCTCCAACACGCCCCTATTCGCAACGGGGATGTAGTACGCGCCATTCTCGAGGTTCTGCCTCGGCGTCGTGGCAGCCCACGTCTGGCTATATGGCCCTTGCTCGACGGGCGTCCAGTGTCCCGCGGCCATGATGCGGACGGGGAGCGCGGTCAGGAAAGACACACCTGCGAATAGATCCGTCTTGATATAGCCCGGGTGGATCGACACGGAGGTGATGTTCGGATACCGCTTTGCCAGGCCCTGCGCGTAGAGGAGGTTCGCCAGCTTGCTCTGGCCGTAGCGGCACCATTCGCCGCCGGGGACAAGGCCACCCAGGTTGCGCTGGGGCGTCTTCAGCGTCTCGAACGCGATTCCTTCTCTAGGCGCTTGCTTGTACGCGATCGACGAGCTCATGATGATCCGCACGTCGGCTCCCGGGAAGCGTTCCGCGGTCCGCTGCATCAGCGGTAGGAGCAGCTTGATCAGCATCGCGTGGCCCATGTGGTTCGTGCCGAATTGGACCTCGTAGCCGTCCACCGTCGTGCCCGGCGGGAGAGCCATGATGCCGGCGTTGGCGAAGAAGACGTCCAGCCGCTCTGCCTGGGCGATGAACTGCTCGGCGGCCTTGCACACTGACGCCAGATTCGCCAGGTCGCACTGGATGAACGTGAGAGGCACGTCTGGATTCTGAGCCTTGACTTTCTCCACCACGGCTTTGGCCTTGTCGCCGCTTCTGCCTGAGAAGTAGATGTGCGCTGGCTTATGCGCGGCAAGGAGAGATATGGTGCCCGCGCCCAACCCGGCCGTGCCTCCAGTGACGAAGTACACGCGACCCGAGAGGTCTGGGATGTCTTGTGGCGTGAATGACATGGCAAGTGCTCTCTGTCTCTATCAACGTTTCTTGAGTGCAGTTCCAGCAGGAGGGCGGAAATGACGATGATGACCAGGGAAATACGCTTGTCGAGGCTGTTGGAAGCTCTCAATATCTCAATAAGCGATATTCTGCTGAGTTCGTCTCACTATTATACCTGAAGCCTCCTTCTCCAGCCACGCTAGCTGCCGAACCCATATGGTTAAATATATACATACATTATATATTCATATATAGACGTAGTTCAAACCTTTTGGGTTTCTTGGATCGGACCCCAATTTGTCCTTGTCAAGAGTTCCCCCGCCCCTCGCGAATACCATAACTAGCATCTCGTCGATATGCGGTAGGGGGTACGAAAGTAAATACTCACTGCCTCGCTTGGTCCTGGTATGTAAGTGTAGAGTTAGGGCCGTAATCGAATGCCTAGGTAAGTTACACGACACACGACACACTTCATTGAACTTGGCCCTATCATCTACGGCAATTCCGCAGCAGACTATCTTGCACGTTGAGACATCGAGATACGGGAGGACGGGAGGATGGACTCAATGCACAAAGGGAAGGACGAGGACGAATTATTCTCTCCGCATGTTGTTTTCTCTTTTTCTCCCTGCGTGCGTAAAGCCGTCGGTCCAACGTGGTTCGGCGGGAGACTATTCGGTACGGCCGTACGTATGTATCATTATCAAAATGCTCCCAACTTACATGCCTACACGCCCACAAACCAACACACCCCTCCAGCTCGCCGTATTTACTCGTACGAGGCACATCTGTTTGACAGTGCCGACCATTTGCGAGGCCGCCGGTGGCATTCATTCTCCCATTCGACCAGCTCGGTCACGGCCTTTTGAGAAAAAGGGTGCAGGGGTGTTGGTCTCTCGCAATCCATTGCCCCGGATGGGTCACTCCTTCACTATCCGAGTACGTACTACGTACGCCAGTGTGCAAGCGGCAAGCCCATCAGCTACTACCCAGTAACTGCTCGACCGGCTGCTTCGCTGCTGCTCCGTCGCTGCTCAGGCAATCCAGAACCAGATCCTCTCGAGGAAATTCCTGGCCTTGACCTCCGGCCACGTTCCCTCCAGCCTATCCGCCTCGGCCTTGCCGCTCCACAGATCCATCTCGGCCAACTTGACGAACTTTGTTCTTTCAACCACTTTATACCCGACGAACAACGTTACGAAGATGGGGATGTCGATGTACGGCGGGACGAAGCTCTTGGCGCTGAACCGGCCGGGGAAGAAGGCGTCGAAGCCATTGAATATCGCGACGACGGTGCAGAAGCAGAGCGCAAAGTACGCCAAGAAGGGCTGCAGGGGGGACTTGAATGGCAAGCTGAAGCGCGGGATACCGTTGTGGTGGAGGCCTTGGTAGAAGCGGATGTAGGTGATGCAGACGCTCGCCCAAACGATCAGCGTGCTCACGGCCGAGAGGTTCGAGATCCAGAAAAACACGTCCGCCGACCGCGAGCTGACATTGAGGTAGACTAGCAGGGAGAGCAAGGTCGTGGCTCCCACGCAGCCGTACGGCACGCCGAACTTTTCGAGGCGTAGAAAAGCAGGGGCGCGACCGTCCAGTGCGGTCGCGTAGAGGACACGTGTCGAGGCGTAGAAGAACGAGTTGCCCGCCGACCACGCGGACGAGAGGATGACGGCGTTGATGATGGACGGCAGCGCTGAGATGCCGCCGTTGACGATCGCGATGACGAAAGGGCTCGCCGCCGCACCGGGCGCGGAACTGCTGATCGCGTTCAAGAGCCGAGGGTCCTCGGCCGAAACGCACATGCTGACCAGGAAGATGGCCAGCACGTAGAAGATGGCGATGCGCCAGAAGACGCGCCGCACGGCCTTGGGCACGTTCCTGCGCGGGTTCTCGCACTCCCCGGCGGCCACGACCACCATCTCACTCCCTCCATAGCTGAATGTCGCGTTGATGAAGACCTTCCAAAACGCGAGGAAGCGACCCAGGGCGCCAGCCTCGAGGTAGTCCAGCATCGGGCCGGGATGATCCCAGTACCGAAACCCGATGCGGTCGTGGTTGGGCGCGCCACCCAGGGTGATGATGAACATGAGCAGGATCAAGCCGACGATCGTGGTGAGCTTGATTGCGCCAAATACGAATTCCGCCTCTCCATAGATACGCACAGGCAAGCAGTTGATGAGTACCATCGGGACGAACAAGACAGTAATCCACACGGCGTTGGGAACCGTGTTCGGCCAATACCCTATCACCACCGCGGCGGCCGAGATCTCAATCGGCACGCCGACAGCGAACTGGTACCAGTAGTTCCAGCCCAGCGTGAAGCCCAGCGCGTCGTCGACGAAGCGGGCAGCGTAGACGGGCACGGCGCCCGGAAGCGGCAGATAGGCGGCCATCTCGCCGAGACTGTTGATAACGGCGTAGAGGTTGAAGCCGGTGATCAGGTAGGCCAGGAAGGTGGACAACGGTCCCGCAAGACTCAGGGCTTGACCACTTCCCACGAAGAGACCGGTGCCAATGGCGCCGGAGAGGGCGAGGAACTGAACATGGCGCGATTTCAGCCTCCGCTCGAGCGTGCCGACGTTTCTCTGCTCGTGCTCAAGATGCTTGAGGTCTTCTGCCTCATCGAAACCGTCCTGCTGCTGGCGCGACTCAACCACGGCGGCTTCGCTCACCTTGCCGGCTTCAACGTCCTTGAGCTCGTGTACCATTGCATGCGACATCGTCAAAGTGACTGCAGCTGCAGGTCTAGTGCTTCATCACCATGATAGGATTGGGATTATCTGGGTTTCCTGGGCCTTTCCCGAAGCGAAGCCGGCAGCTGGGTGGGCGGTTATCCCAGATGGAGGACGACAGTTTCATCCTACCGCTCGAAGGAGAAGACACGGACATGAGCGTTTTCGCGGTATGTTGTGCCATGTTGGCGGATGTTACTTTGACCAAAGGGGGCGCGAAGTCGTCGATCCATGCATTTACAAAAGGACGAGATTGGTCGTGCGAGTAAGAAAGGATCGTGGAGGAACAAGCAGAAAAGTACGTACCGGCTCGGCCGTCTTTCACATTCGGCGGCTTTTGCACCGAAAGCTCTGTAGAGACGAAAAGGCCTTGCCGTAGAGCTGTTCATGGAGTTCTCAAGAAACTTCCAAGGCTTTATATACTGCGGCAATGTATGCCCTCGCCTTGTCCGACCCCAGCCCAACATTGTCCATCTTGTTCATGACATACGAAATGGTCAACTTCCGATCCAAGTCCATGACCGCCATCGACCCACCGTACCCACCCCATGTGCACAATCTTCCGGACGGCAACCAGTCAATCCAGGTCCCTTCAGCCGGAAGAGCAAAGCCAATGCCCCAGCGGATGGGTGATCCGAAGGCCAGAACATGATCCATGCCCTTGGACTGTTCTTGAAAGATGAGGTCGATGGTCTCTGGCGAAATGAATTGTTTCCCATCCACTTGACCCTGCATGGAAATGACAGACAAGATCCGGTTGACTCCCTGAGCATTGCTGTGCCCGTTCCCCGCTCCGATTTCTGCTTTCCTAAACAGCTCACTGTTTGCAAAATCCGCTCTCATGGGCGGGTTTGTCACCACTCGAAACCCAATCGAGGCAGGGTCCAAGGGAGGAGGCCCTGCCGGTGGGGGCGGGATAACATCCGACCTGCGGTCTTCGTCCTTGTCCAAGCATCCCAGCTGGAAATCGGCACCGAGAGGAGCAGCAATGTCTTCAGTGATGAACTGTGTGAGAGATTTGCCTGTTACTCGCCGGACAAGTTCTGCAATCAGGTAGCCTTGGCTGAATGAGTGGTAGCCGGATGCTGTGCCAGGTTTCCACCATGGAGCCTGCGCGGCCAACAGTGCCGTGACCTTGGGTGAGTCGCAAATATCCTCCACCGTCAGAGGAGTGTCAAACCCAGCCACCCCGGAGGTGTGAGATAGAATGTGACGGATTTCGATGTCTTGCTTCCCGTTCGCAGCGAAATCTGGCCAGTATTTGGACACTTTGTCATTTACCCTGAGGACACCCCGGTCGACCAGGAGGAGGACCGCCAGCGCTGCAATGGTCTTGGTGGTCGAGAAGAGGTTGGTGATGGTATCCTTTTCCCACGGTCGCTTCCGGTCCTGGTCGGCGTAGCCTCCCCAGATGTCAACCACATCCTTTCCGTCCAAATTGACGGCGATAGAAGCCCCCAGTTCCTCGCCCGAGTCGATGTATTTCTGCAGCAGGTCTTGAACCTCGTAGAATTTCTCGTCGCAATGTCCTTGAATGGAAGACATGGTAGTTAATGTGTAAACTAATTCTCGAACCCAAAAGACCGGGAGAAAATAGACGGAAGATTTGTTGCGCGATGGGAGGGAGGTTTCAAAGCGAGTAGTCACAGGAAAACCCCATGCAGACTCACTGTAGGAGGCCCCATTTCAGCTCAGCCAGGCCCGTCTATATGGCCATTTCCCCAGCGAGGCAGACAGACATAGATCGCGGGGAAAGAGACAAACCACGAGGGTGAAGCTTGGGAAACCCCTCTCGAGTCTCTAGCCCCACAAACCCATCAGGCCGTACAGATCCTTCTCTCCCATCCACGTTCCACCTCAGAATTTCGATGGTACCAATGATAGTACATGGTTGGGAAGGGTGGCGCCGACAAGGCCAGGTTAGAACAGGGCTATCAATGGTGACACCAGGACATCCCGGGCTACATGGGAGGACGTTCGCTGATGACCTCTGTCCTTGCAATCCTTGTATAACGACGTGCAGCAAGCAAAAATAGCATACGATGTTCGGTCTTCTACGTGGCACAAGATCAAGACGTATAACAGCAGGTCAATATGTATGTACATACTAGGTCCTGCTAGTAGCTACTCTGCCGCAGAGGGAAAGGGCAGTTTGGACACAGAGAAAATGTATAGTTGCATCTAGACATCTATGTGTCTCTCATCCAAATCAACATCTTGTACATATTTTACTGTGCATCGACTAACACGAACACCGCCAACTTTTACATTTGTCACCCGAGACATGTATGTCCTGGGATGGCGACCAAGTCACATGGGCAACGGGCAGGTGGTTAGGTTGATCCCCTCCGTACGATCAAACATTTGGCTTCTTGCAGATATAACGCGTTCCCTCACTCCGATTCGATCGGCATCACCATAGGTTTCTCAGATCCGATATCCCGAACGCGGTTCAAGGACAAGCATGGTGCCGAAATCGAGGAAGATGAAGGCAAGGGCAGCCGCAGACTGGACTCGAAGTTGGTGTTCAAGGTATCGTTGTAAGCAGTCATGGTGGTCGACAAGTCGATGGCGGCGGCGTTGGCTTGCCTGGAATGTTACCAAGCATTGCTGATCCTGTGGGCGATAAACGAGACATTTTCCTCGACTCTGGGATCCGGTGTGGCGCGGACATTGCCAAAGCTATGGCGCTGGGGGCCAGATCGTACACATATGGCTTAGTCCTTGGGGGTGAGGAAGGCGTCGGTCACCCCCTCAAAGCGCTGTGCGGCGATTTGGACTTGACGTTGCATCTTGCTGGCATTCCGTTTCCCAAATTCATCTCAGTCGATGTTCAGGAAGATAGTCTGTAGGACGAATCACACGCCGGATCAAGAATAATCTGCCAGGAGGTCTGTAGCTGGGACTCGGCCATAGACGGCGAGACATTGACATACACGTCCAACAAATCATTTCCTCGATTTCGGCCTGTCAACGTCAGTCCATCTAGGGATCCGGCAAGTCTCGCATTTTTCCAACTCGGACGTACTGTCTGGGTTGATGTGGAGCCAAATCTCGCCCCCTCCGGACCGCTGCAGTTTCTCCCAGTAACGTTTCCTCGTGCCGGGTGTGAGTCGCTTGCGAGCCTCGTGTTCAACCCTCAAGCGCACTGCCGTCCACTTCTTGTTCGGCCGGTGCTCTGTCGGTAAGTTGTCCAGAGGGGGAACATCCAACAGCTTCTTGTTGCTCATCCTCCTGAGAAAGGGTTGCTCGTACTGCACCTCCCTGGGCATGACCCGGGCCAAGAACTCCAGAGACGCGTCGATGTTCAAGTCGATGGCGCGAACGGGGTCGATGGTGGTTTTCATCAGGTAACTGGCGAGCTGGGGATACAGGATGCAGAAGTCCGATTGGGAGATATGCACTGTCCCACGCACTGTTAGCAGCCATGCCGGATGTCCTGTCTCCAAGGCTTCCATCGTCACCGCCTTTGCCACTTCGAAATTATCTGGCCAATACATGAATGCTTCAGAGTTGATTCCGAGAAGCGGAACCCGAATGCGGCTTGCCCGCTCTTCGGCCGTCGGCCGCACAGGCATTCCCCAAATATCGTAGATGATTCCCTGCGTTATGTACTTGTACCTGTGTTTCTGCCTCAAGACCTCAACTGTCGTCGTCGCTCCAAAGGAATGCCCCACCATGGTGACCCCCTCGGTGAAGAACCGATCTTGCCAGGATGACCATTCAATGCCATCGAGACCGACCCTTGAAGCACCAATTGCAGGTTTCACCCGGAGATTTCTCGCTGCGACCTTCTCACCCTCCCCTGCACATATTTCTTGCATGACCTGATAGGCCTCGTCGATCTCGGCCAACCGCAGATCAACTTGGGCGTTGCGTAGCTCATGATCCACCTTGTGGCCGGGGCTCGTGTCGTACTTGTCGCCTTTTGCAAAAATGAAGTCGACGGTATCGTAGGGTCTCTTAGTATCCCTCTTCTTGTGCTCTATGTTACCATTGATCTCGGTACAGTGCCGGCTTCCTGGTCCGGCCTCTGAATGATTAATATGAGTCCTCGGACCGCTGCCGTCGCGATGCTCTAGCGCCACCACGACAAACCCATGGCTGGCAAATTCCCCGCAGACGGATGAGTAGCAGGTCCTCGTCCCTCCCAGTCCATGACTGAAGATTATGAGTGGGAACTTGGGCTTTTGCGGGCCCTGGGCAGGTGGCTTCCCCTCTTGATCCACAGCCTCCCGCTGGTGTGTGGATGCTTCTCCGTACGGAGGCCAATGATCTGCCAGTTTTGCATTTTTATATGCAGGAATCTTCGTGTACCAAGTTGTGCAGAAGAAGAAGGCCATCATTAAGTGCTCGGGGAGATCTGCGAAACGCGCATAACCACGACTCGTCTGATCTCTCGGTCGAGTCAGCCACGTGGGGCGAAATCTTTGCAACGTGGCCGGAGTGTCGAGATTGTATTTGACATTCAGATGAGCGGGATAGTAGATTGTCATTAACACCGTCTCGAGGGCGAGAGCGGGAACGCCATGTCTCTTGATCCTTGAAAAGGTCCTGGGGTTATTTGCAGGCACTTCGATGTCAATGACTCCGACTTCGTAAGGGCCAGCATAGTGCGGCAACTTGCCATACAAGGGAACCTTGTCCCTCAAGCCCTTCGGTGGCCGTGCCTTGGGGTTTTGTCTCTGTGGCACGCCCTGAGGTCTCGTCTTATGATGCCTTGGATGGCCGAGAACAAAGTCTGGAAAGATGGATTCGGTCGGCATCATGGCGGCGGTAACTTGCTTCTGGTAATTGTTGGTCTTCGACGACTCTTGATAATTTCACGATGGTCACTGCACTGCCTCGAATCAGAGCGGTGCTGGATGGGGGCTGGCCGCCCTTTAGCATGACTGAAGAGTCCAGTTTCTCCCGTTGCACATGCCACAAAGAAGGCCCATGCGAGCTGCAGCTTAATAAGTCGAGGGGTTTGATGAGAGAGAAAGGGAACAGATAGGTGTTGACCGGGGCGAGGGTTGAAGTCGGTTGAGAAATGGGGACAATCCATAGACGGGAAAACCGGAGCCAATGACATCACGTGGTTCAAGTCGGCCAGACTGTCCCGAAAAGGAAACACAGCAAGCAACAATCAGCAAGTTCACCAAGTTCACCAAGTTATATAATATGCCTGCATTTTGGGCAAAAGCCCCGCTAGAGCATGCGTGGTGCTGACAAGGCATCTCATAACCAACGAAGCTTTCCCCTTGATTCTTCGCAATTCAATTCATTCCATTCGACAGTCTGCCGCTCAAAGGTATTGCGCTCGGCGTGATCCGAGGTGTGCGAACCAATCTCTTCATCCGTACTCAATTGCCGTCCATCATCTCTGGAACCTTACCGTCTGGCATGACAGAGATCTTGTGCCAGCAGTGGGACTGGGATCTCAGCAGGCGTGGCTAGGGTCAAGGTCACATGTCGTGCGGTAGAGGATATATAAATACTTCCACTAGTATTAGGAGCCCAATTTTGGCGCCGTGCAATGGGAAGCTAGGAAGATGATCAGCCCCAAGGCTTCAGGCATGATCCTCCACGGCCTTCTGGACATGTTGCAGAGAGGCGCGACAGTACGACTCACGCACCAACAAACGCTGTCTTCCGAATCGTCTTTGGTCGAAGACTGCATCGTTTCTCGCACCTGTCTGAGCCCTGTTCCAAGATGGCTTCCATCGAGCGGAGATGGATCAAGTATATATCGATATTTCCACAATGACATGATCGGCGGGCCACGCCGATTGCCTTGCCTTTTCATAGAGGCGCCGCGGCCGTGTACTCCTTAGGGCGTATGGCCGTTTAGACTGTGTTGCAAAGGACCCAAAAACTCGGTTCCGGAAAGGTTCTCGGATCTCGGCACCGATGGTCCACACGTGCGACAGTCATGGACGGAGGCCGCGGATCTGAATGATGCTGTGGCCATGCCTGTTGATGGTCATTGTTGGCCTCTCACTGCTGGAATGGCCTTTCGGCTGGAGTGTTTGGGTGTCTCAGAAGTTTTCAAGCATAAGCATAATCTTGGTCAGTTCATCGTTCGGTTTTAGCTCGTAATAATAGACTCTGAAGAGGCCATTGTAGGCTTCCGGCAGTTGCAGACTGCGAAGAGGCATTTTCCAGCCCCGTGAGTGCATTCTGCAGATTTTGTCGAGCGGCCTGAACAGACTTGGAGGTTTGGGGCAGCTCCGCAAGACACTTGAGCAAGGTCCCATTCAAATATTTGTACGCTTCCAGTTTGACCTTGCCCTGCCGGTACTGTCTGCTGACGACTTTCCCCATAAGTTGGGCTGCAGCAACGACATGATGTGGATACGGATCAAGGGCGATAAAGGACGCAGTTGTAGTCTGATCCGGATTTGAGTTTTGCGTCCCCGTGGTCGATCCGGCTTGGTGAGATCCACCGACGGTGTATTGGCTATCCAGGCCGAATTTTAACGCACTGAAAACCTCGTGTTCGGCTTCGAGTTGCGTCTCCGACAGTTGTGATAGCAGATCATCTCGCTCCGCTGCCTCGAGCGCGTCGACAAGAATCAAAATGCCCATATAATAGTGCAGCATAAGCTCGTACCAATTCAGCTTCTCCACCTGGCCGAGGAACGGGAGTCGCCGTTCGCAATCGTTGAGGAGCGGTCGGAAAGTGACTCGAAATATCTCGATGGCTTCAGTGAAGGATGTCCAGGCTCGAAGCACCTTCTCATCTTCCGAACCTTCTCTGAGCGCTTCTTTCAAGACGGAAATCATCTTCCACACGTAAAGCTTTGTCGCCGCGGCAGCGGCTATCACCTGTAAGACTTCATCCTCTGTCATTGTGAAGGGATTCCTCCGCCATTCCTCAGTCCTCGTATGGAAAGATCCCGCACCCATTCTAAGCGTTCGCCAGCAGGATTCCATCTCCGCGCCATGCAGTCCTGAAGTGAGTGTTGATCTGAGGTTCAGTGTGAGTGACGAAGAGGTGTCGAACGTCAGCGCCGCCCAGTAGGCACGGGCTTCCGTCCGCAGAAAACTGTCTGAAAGCCTTGAACTTGCTGTTGGACTTGTCAATGGATCCGACGCTTGCACCACCATGGATCCGCTAAACTGGCAGCTGCGCTGCCCCTCACGCAGTCGTTGGATCTGTTGCAACGCGGCTTGGACACAGAGTTGACCCGACAAACCGTCCATCTCCTCTTCTTCTGATATTCCCACAGGGACGGGTGTCAAGGAGAAGAGGAACAGAGTAAGCGCAGAACGATAGGACACACGGTTGACCACCTTCAGCATATCTCTCCGCGACTTGCGCCAGAACTCTCTGACAATATGTTCAGGCAGGATACCGGCTCGTTCGGCCTGCGGAACAAGGTGGAACCAACGTGCCGCAAACGACCTTTTGGCATGCTTAAGAGATTGATCGATCTGATCCCACCTCTGTTGTTTCTGACTGGGCGCCTGGTCACTACATGGCTGATTCCGCGCTTCCCAGTCGCCGAATATGGACTCGTCCAGTTCGGAAAAGTATCCACTGGGAGGCAGGATGATACTACAGCCGGGGTCGACACTGACGAAGTTAGCATGAAGTGATTTTGGAAATATTCGACGGCCCGTACACCAGTGCGCACGCGTGTCTCCCCATCCAAAAGCCAAAGACGTTGTCGAAGCAGCTTTCGTAGATCCGCTCGAGCCAGTCACCAACCGATGTTGTCGTACATTCGAAAGGCGGAGTTAGCGGGACATATGAAGTGGAAGCGGCAACCAAGTTGGACGACTCGGTGGACAGACTTCTGAAGGCTTATCAGTGGTACTGTGGTATCAAATCTGGGATGGACGTACCGAGCATGATCTGGGGCGCCTTGAGAAGCAGACTCGGAAAGAGAGACCCACGTATCATTTTCCGTGTCGCGCTGGCGATGTTCTGGGGACAAGGATGACTGTTCAGAAGATTCTGTTGTCAAAGGGGGCGTTCTGGTCTTCCGCGGCCCTCGAGCGCCGGATCTTTTCGCATTATTCATCCACTGATAGAACTGCAGGTGAGCTTCTCTTCGTGCTTCGTATCTTTCCACGGGCGGTATAGTTGCGCCAAACCACACAAGACACAAGTTGTATCACGACCTACCTCGAAAGTACATGGTCGCTTCCGACGTCTGCACCTGGAGCAGGAGCCCGACCAGTCCGGCTTCCCAGGCCCCGCGCCAATCCGAGCAGCATCACAGGCCAGTCGCGAATGGCGGCAAGCATCGCAGCTGGAAAATTGCGTCCTCCGAGGGGTTGGGTCGACAGTATTCTGCATCCTAGAGAAGAGGAGGGCCAGATTCAGAAATTGATTCGCATGCCGGCAAAGTGCGTCCTGACGTTATGAACCTGGCGAGATTGATGGAGGAAAAGAAGGTCCACGCGTGCCTAGGCTGGAGGGTGAAAAAACGTTTCCTAGTAAGCACGGGGCCCAACGAGTCCAACCCCGGAGGCGTTAGACCTGCAGCAGCTCGCCAATGCTGGGGTCGCGCTCAATCTTCGGGGTTCTTAGTGAGAAGGCGAAAGGATGAAATCGGAATGTCGTCGTCGTCGAGTCTCATTGCTTGTTTAACTTGAAGAGGCGCAGATCAAAGGGGGCTGACGAGGGACCTGGCCGACACGCCAGCCAGCCAGTCTACGGCACATGGGTGGCATACACAGAATGAAATTCTCTCTCGTGTCAAACGAGTTCGTGTTTTGTTCGTGTCAAAATGTGCGGTTGTGTGTCCATCCGGTCGGCCGTAGTGGCTGCGCTTTCTCACTTAATGCTCCGAAGTACCAATTTCTGCGCTTCGTGAGCGAGTGGGCTCGACGGACGGGCAAACTGAGCCAAACGGAGAGTCCAGCCTAGAACACTAACGTTTTGCTCCATCCACCGCAGATATTGTCCTCTGTTGCTACCGTCTCCGCTCTCTCGCCATGTTCAAGAAATTGGCGCGTCAGGTCCCACAAGCTTCCCACGACACTCGCCAAAACCGAGCACTCGCCGTCCGGTCGAGTCTTCACACCATGCCGACAGGATGACAGAGTCGCCATCTTCAAGATACCCCAGTTTCCCACCGCCCTCGAGGGCAATGGGCTGGCTGGCGTGCTGTGTCGCCTCAAACAGACAGCCCAATTCGAATTTCTTCCCCGTCTTCTCGTCCTTGCCATCTCCCGAGACGGTCCCCGTGCCCATCAGGTCGCCCGTGCGGAGTCCGCAGTTTGCAGATGCGTGATGGGTAATCTGCTGGTAGGGGGTCCAGTACAGGTAACGGAGATTGCTTGTGCAAATCTGATGCCGTTTGCCGTCTCGCTCGAGGGAAGCCGCGAGTTTGATGTTGAAAGTGCCATGCTCGAAGTCCTTGAATCGCAGATGCTCCAACGGGTGAGTGCTGTGCTTCGGCGCACACTGGAATGCCTTTAACGCATCGAGCGTGATGATCCAGGGAGAGATGGTAGTGCCGAAGGATTTCGAGTTGAACGGTCCCAACGGCGGCATTTCAAAGATCTGGATATCCCGACTCGACCAGTCGTTTAGCAAAACAAACCCAAAGACATGGTCTGGCGCGTCATCTACTTTGATTGTCTCCCCATAAGGAACTGGTTTGGACACGACATATCCCATCTCAAGCTCGAAGTCGATGAATTGGGACAGTCCATAGGTCGGCTCCTTTGTCCCAGCTTTCCAATACACGCCTCTTGGTCGACGAACCAGAGACGGTGATGGGATGACACTGGATGCCCGGCCGTTGTATGCTGACGGCGCATGATAAAAGTTCTCTGGAATCTTGCTGTTTGTTATAGGCATGCACTGGGAGGTTATCAGCAAAATGTCCCAGAGAACAACATGGCAATGCAGAGAGAACCCACGTTGGTGCAATGCTCCAGCGAGCAGAAAAAGTCCGTGTACTCCGGAATGGCCACGGGCAGATGCATCTTCACCTCTGCCAGCTTGTGCAAGCAGGAGTCTGGGATCTGGCCATCTTTGCAGGCAGAGATGATTTGGTCTCGCGCGGCAGTTCTGGTCTTTGCTGGGAGTCCTGCGAATGTGTTCAGGGTCGCCTGTCAACCGGGCCAATTAGAGCCTGACCATGTTTCTCCCCTTTTGAGGCAGCCTCGTCTACATGTAGGTATGCTGCTGCGATTTAATACGGATAGGGGGCAATATTCCGTACCTGGCTAAGGGCATCGGCCACCGAAGCGTCCTGAAAAAAGCCGGATTGACTGAGCGCGCGAAGATCCAAAGCAAACTCGCCAATAGCAGTGGCACACCGCGGAGTCGGGTCTTGTTTTATCGAGAACACCCCGAATGGGATATTGTCCAAGCTGAAAGGCGAGTCGGCAGAGATATCGGATAATAAGCCCATGGTATTTTCCCTTTTGTTTTTCGCTTTGATTGTTTACCAGTCAACCTAGGGAACGAATGTCCGAGCTTCTGCGGGCGAGGATCGAGGATTCTTCTTATAGTTTTGATGGATTTGCCGAATGCCCATCCATCCCTCCAGCCCATCCAGCCATGCATTGCCAAAGGCCTCCTCCACACCGACATTCGCGGACCCCCGGAGTTGTGTAAACGGTCGCCGTTTTCTGGTTACGCCCTTGGTAACGCCTATTTCGCGTGTGGAGCAGCCAATCAGCTGGCAGTGCGAGAGATTTCGGTTCCGAAGGCCTCGCATGAGTTCCGATGGCTGGCAGGGCAAAGGTACCGTCACACCTTCGCAACCGATATTCCGAGTTTCTTGCTTCTCTCCACCTTTTGGACGTCAAGGGAAGCGCGGCTTTACTATGGTTGTCTTGTCGTGGCACAGGAAATCCGTTTGCTGGACGAAACATGCTCGACGGACTTTGCGCACATAAGTGATACGTTTCCCCGACAAACAGCACGGCACGAGTCCGGTCACAGAGATGGGGAAAAGTTGATCAAAGTCGGGGTCCGGCACCTTCTGCATATCAGTCCCCAGTTGTAGTGCGCAGGGCCGACACTTGCCCATGCATACCCTTCCACCACCAAGCATGGATCATCATGGGTTTGAGGAGGTGCGGTCGGCTAAGTACTCCTCACGACCGGGTCGGTTTGGTGTGGCTTGTAGCGAACGTGTGCTAGAGACTTGTATCGTCGTCAACAGCGATTGCAAAAGCATGGATCGTCTCAAGCTCATATATCTCGTTATTGCGTGTATGGAACCCCGCTATGTAAACCAAAAACTGCGGTCATGCATGTATATCACGTTGAAATTTGCTGTAAATTCACTTGCCAGTTCCACTGCGCTCGAAGGACCGCCAATCCTCCACTCTGTGTCTCCACGGTTCGCCCCCTTCCTCGATCGTTTCTATCAGTCGAATTGACCGATTGAGTTGACCAGCTCTCTGGACGAGGATTAAGATAGTCATCCGCCCCCGTTGGAAGAACTGTGCTCTCCTGGATCTCAGCCATAGTGTCTTCATCAGGTTCCTCGAAACTCCACCACATGCCAAAATGACCATCGGCGTCTCGCGTTGCGCAGGCTGCGTTGGCATTATGGGCAACCCATTTGTCATAAGCAGCACAGCGGGCCAGGTGGTATTGGTAGATTTCCCTGTCGAAATTCGCACCTTTGTCTGTGGCGATGAATGCCTCTTCTTGTGGCCACAATGGCCGGCAAAATTCCGATAGATGATGGAAAAAGATGCCCTTGAAGGTCTGACCATCTTGACTGCAATATCCACTGTGGTCACAGAATTCTTCAAGAATCCCTGCACGGCCCAAACCACTCCAGGTTGGATGTGAGTTTGGCCACCCAGTCGCCCGCACCACACTCTCCACCAGAGCATGGCCATCATCCAAGTAGCTTCTGGCTCCAGTAGCCAACCACAACCCGCGACTAGCGGACAGCACCACACCTTGGTTGTAAGTATATACCATAGGATTGAGCTCGTCACAATTTCCAGTGCCGGGGTTGATGGTCCCATTCGGGTATCGGCGCCAGCCCGTGACGTGGAAGCCGTCTTGATAGAGACCAGACTTGGCATTGCGCATTTGGCTCTCCATAAGCCACTTGTAACTCTTGATGGCGTTTTCCAAATATAAGGGATCATGAGGCTTGGGGGAGCCAGTCCAGCTTTCTGCCATGTATGGGGACGTGTTGTTGTCGCCAGGGTGGTAGAGGTACATGGCAATGCTGGCCGCAGCAAAAAGTTCATTCGTGATGGCGTTCTTGTAGGGTGTCAGATATGGATTCCAATTCATCCCGCCTCCACAAAGGGATTCACCCCATCCCCCGGATGCCAGGTCGTAAAATATTCGAGCGCGGTGAGCGGCCATGGGGCTGATTTGAAGCCCATGCCACCCAGTTCCCGAATCGGCGCGTCTTCCAGATTGGATAAAATCCCAGTGCTTCAAAGTATACATTTCCGCAAATTTCAAGTTCTCGAGCCAGCCAAGAACAACCCAAAGCATGTCGTCGTAAGCTTGATTTCGTAAACCGAACGCGTTCTCGCCAAAGTAGAAGACTGTCGTGTGCGCATAATACCGATCAACTATGTTCTGCCAGGAGAGCATATCAGAGCAGGTCGCCGTGGAAGATGCATCCAAGGAGGAGACAATGCCAGCGAGCGTCGCCGAGACATGTGTCCCCATGACAGCAGCGGTCCAGTCGATCGCATCTGGCCATGTCCCGGTGAAAATGTCGAAATATGAATCTTGCATAACGTCCAGGGCATTCAGCATGTCGCCGAGGACTACTGGCATGTTGTATTTCCACGGCCCCGTCTTGCCCCCTCCCTCCCTCTCTGGCACCAGTTCATTTTGGCTGGAGAGACCGCCAGAGTAGCCAATATGTCCCGCATACCCGACTCTTTCGATCGTCCTACTGTACACCAGCCAGGCGTGATGGAGGAGCAGGTGTATGAAGATTATGACGCGCATTGTGGGCTCGTGGTCTTGAGAATCATGGTCGCCTAACGAGAAGTGATCAACCGAATGGGAGACGGATAAAGATAAACGAGAGGTCGAAGGCCAGAGAGAAAGCGCATCTCAATCAATTCGTCAAGGAGCGGGCACGAGAACGAGGCCTTGTGATCATTGTCGCGGATAAAGGGACGAAGAAGGAGGGAGACGGCGTCTTCAGCGTGACCAGCAAAATCTTCGCCTTTTGGTGGTTGGAGCAAATGAAAGTCGGTAAGCAGAGGGCATTGTGGAAGCCAAGATTGGTAGGTCCTGGTAGGCCCGGGGTCCCAAAGCCCTTGTGGCCCCTCGCCCTGTAAGCGCGGGATAGGGGATCAGGTTTTGTGGAAGAGATCGATCGAGGGGTTGGTTGCCTGCCGAGCTGCCTGCAGGAACTGAGGGTTGCATGAGGTGGGCAACAAGCACGTCATCTGCACTCGCTCCAAATACCAAGACAACACGATGCGGTCTGAGGGGGGCGTCTTGGGGGTCTTCGTTCCCTTCCACCTCCTACACACGATATCAACTGCTGCTCCAAGAAAAGACTAGCCACTCTTCAGCACGCCCTGTCATTTGTTTTCCCCATCAATCATTCAGGCAGGCGAGATTCCTTGTCTGGATTCTAAACATCTGCTTCGATGGTCCAAAGCACAGTGGAAACAGGATCAAAACAAGCATTGCCTAAATGTTTCGTGGTCTGCCGATTTACTTGAAGGCGCCACTGTTCGAAATCAGATGACCGCTTGCGGTTCTTTCTATCAAGCCTGTGTGCCGCACCGATTTCCCAGCCATTGCGAGCTTACCAAGCAAGTCCAACGATGCCTGAGCTTCGCTTGTCGACGACAAGAACTCGACTTCTTCGGAGAGTCTTGACCCTGGCCATTCTTATCCTCAGCGAGAGAAGTTGTCCAAGGGCGCCTCATGTTTGATCTCCTCCCAAATCTTATCGATCCCCTCACAAGCCTTGCTGCTCAAAGGTCCCTTCTCGATCCCACTCAACGTCTGCTCAAGCTGCTCGACCGTGCTCGCACCCACGATGATCCCGTCCCCATTCTGTTTCTTCAGTGGGGAGTTGTAAGTGACCCATCGGTAGGCGAGCTCGGCGCGTGAACAGCCCTCGTCGTCGGCGATCTGTTCCCACTTGGAAAGGGCCTCGAGGTAGGACGGCTTCATGTACATTTGCCGGTACATACCACCGAGGGCCTCTTCGCTGAAGCGGCCCGCGCCATCCTTGATTTGCTGCGCGGTCTTGGTAAGGAATCCTCCGGCAAGCGGCGAGTAGGCGTAGAATGCTATGTTCAGCTTTGTAAGCGTTGGAAAAAGCTCCGTCTCCTGCCGGCGTGCCACAGGGGAGTAGTTGCCCTGGTAGACAGTGGGGAGGACGTAGTTGTTGGCCTTGCAGACGTTGTAGACTTTTTGCACGTCGGCGGGGGAGTAGTTCGAGAGACCGAAGCGTTTGAATACGCCGGTCTTGTAGACCTCGTTGACGCCCGCGAGGGTTTCTTCGAGAGGCGTGGCGGCGTCGGGGCAGTGGATATAGAAGATATCAACCTGCTGGTGTGGTCAATCGAGGTAGGCACACTCCAGAGAGAGGAACCGAAAGTGTCGGTTGGTGAATAGTCAGTTGTGATATAACAACTTGACGCATCACAATTCCTTGGTGCGCAACCAACGAGTGGTCCAGCCAAATGACGACAAGACTAACTTACCTGCTTGACACCCAGCTTCTCTATGCTCTGCTTGGCTGTGTTGATAATGTTCTCCTTCGTCGCCCAGCCCGGCTGCCACCCACCCATCCACTTAGTATCGATGACGAACTTCTCTCCTGCCTTGACCTCGCCAAGACGCTTCTCAGATTCACCATATAGCTGGGCAGTGTCAAGAATGTTGCAGCCGTGAGCCAGGAGAACTGAGAAGGCGCTGTTGAGGTAGTCTTCAGCAATCCATGGGTCACGATTACCGAATGAGGCAGTTCCAAACACGACTTTGATACCTTCGGATGCCATGTTGGGTGATGATTGAACGGAGGTGTCGGTAGGTCGAGACGGAGAGTAACGCCCGTGAACGGAGTGCCCCTCAGTTATGTACTTCTGATATTGCCAGTAGGACGATGTGGGGAAGAGAAGAAACTCAAAGAAGGAATTGATAAGAACTAGGCTGAATTGACAAAGCGAGTCGTGACGTCAATAGAGAAAAGTCCTATATCTCGATGTCCTGTATGTCAGTTGTTAAATAGACTGTTGACGTGTCTCAATCCGGTGAAGTCTTGACTTGTGCGCTTCGTTGAGTTCCATTTTATAGTCTGACTCTGGGCTTTATGCAAAGACGGTTGCTGACGTAGATCGGGGAGTTGTGAAGTGCCGTATTCACGATTTGTCATCACACAATTTGATAGCACCGGACATAGCTGGTGGTGTTGGAGGTGCTGGAGACAGGACTGTGGGAATGTTCCACCCCGCCTGCGATATCGAAGGCCAAATTATTCATTTCCGGTAGTTGTGGCTTCATATCCGGACTTTCGAGACGTTCGGCCGACAATGGGCACCTCTTCCTTTGGCCCCCAACATTTCATGCAAGGGAAAGGCTGTTAGAGGGTCCTGGAGACAGTGGCGGCGCCTAGACACGGACAAATGTATTCGGCCGGTCATCATGCGGGCGTCTAGCAGCCGAGTCAACGCCTGCCATGGCAGGAGGCGAATACGACCATGTTCGTAATATAATTTCCCTTTCTGATGCCCATTCCGCATTGATAATCCGTTAAGCCCAGAAAGCCTCGAGTCTCCTGGGTGTTTGTATACCTTGTACCAGTAATTCATCTCGGCCTCAATTTGCTTGCTGAAGATGTCGCCATTGTTAATTCGATCGCTACAGCCAAAGTCAGTTGCTGGAAGAAAAAAAAAAAGGAAAAAGAAAAAGAAAAAGAAAAAAAATCTCTTTTCGCTCGATGCACCGTGGAGAACAACTCTACCGGTCACTACCACACTCGTCCATTAACTCCCCGACCGTCCGAGCCTCGGAGGAGCTTTCCGTCATCCAAGTTCCTTCGTCTAACAAAGAGTTGAAATGCCAACCATGGATCATTCGCTGGCACAGGGTCGTGATGTGAATCGCTGTCATGCGTAGGTAGTTGGCCACATGGACGACGAAGTCGTGGAGAAAGTTTTGGGATACCTTGGTCCAGTGGGTGGAGGACAAGCTGAAGGATTAAATTCGACGTTATACCTGAAGGCTCTCTCGAAGCAGAACGCCTAGTAGTTCTCATCACGGAAATCTCTCCCTCGCATCTTGCGATTTGGGGGACCTCCAGAATCAGACAAGCTCAATGCAGATACCCGACTCCCAGAACAATCCATGCTATGCTGAAGCGGAAATTCCCTACCGTGCCGGTCGGGAAATCGGAAACACGAAGCGCGAGCAAGCTCAAAATGTAGAAGAAAATTCGTGACGGACATTGGAGTGTGAAAGAGGTAACAAAGCAGTTTGCACCATCGGGCCCTATACGACGTCCATGTATGAACGGTACAGCCTTGTGTCGGGGCATCAGTGCCTCCTTCTGTCCTCTCGTGTTTGGGAATGGTCAGCAAGCCTAACTGACAGGGATTGGGGACCGTAAGTTGAAGGATTTTCGCGCAGATCTGGTGGAGGTAGAGAGACACCAGGGTTATTGAGTGGGTCTTGATTCTGAGGTTCAAGATATGTGCTAGTGGCTCCATTTTCTCTCAGCCACGACCCAGAAAGTGTCCGTAATGATCTGTTACTGTTTGGCAGTTGTCGCTCTCTTGCACCATCGTCCACGTCGTCACCCACAAGAGACCCCGGCGACGAGGTGCTTCGTTGGTGGAATGTGTCTCGAATGAAGGTTTCGAAGCTCGGTAGCGTGCAGGGTCTTGGTGATGTTGTGTACGAGAGACTTGGCTCTTGTTGGGCATTGTCAGAGCCACTGCGCGCTGGAAATTGGCCTGCAGACGGGGCTGTCGATGGGCCCGACCCGTCACTGTTATCAGAGACGTTGTCATCGTCAAATTCATCGGCGCGATGGCCTTTTCGACCAACTGTCATATGATGCCAATGAACACGACATGCCAGCTCAGTCTTGTCTAAACGATTGGCGATGTGCTTGTAGGGTAGTTTCTGGCCTTGCGTTCGACTCCGGAATAGAAAGGATTCCTGCTATCTGTCAGTGACGGATGCAAGAAGCTGAGCGAAGGCGCAGACCTCTTCGTCCGTCCAGCTGCGTATCAGTTTGCCTTGACGAACTTTGTCTCTCCGTGATGGGTTGCGCGACTTCTGCATTCGTGGAGACCGCGAGCCTGATCTGCCTCCGGGTAGAGGGAGAACAGGAGGCGCCATCGAAAAGACTGGGGGTTTGCTTCGTAGGCAGAGAAAGCTACAAGATGCCGTGTAACCAATGGGACTTGTAGATAGATGTATTGAAGCATTCAAGCCAGACTGCGGATCTTTCTTTCCCGCAAAGGGTCGAGGCTGAAAAGAGTACACTGGTGTGACTCTAAATTTCTGGCATTCCGGTCTTCGCGTTGAACACCAGATGTTATATGCCCCCGGTAATGAGCAGAAGAGTTTGTCTCCAGTCTGCCTCCCCGAAACGCGAAGGCAGACTTGATGTTGGCTTTGCAGTTATGCGACCAGATAAAGGCCTCGTAAGAGTGGAGTTATTGGCCTTTGTCAAGGTAGGTGTTAGGGTTTTTCGATCACTCTGAGCAGCGGAATAACCGCTGGTACCGCTGCAAGTGGGCTTGCATATGAGGTTTAGGGCTACCGGACCCTCTTAGGCACGCAGATAGAGAGGGTCGCGACTGCAATAGGCGATTGGAAATGGGGATTATGCAGCCAAATGACAGAGCCGATGGTAGAGTGGTCTTCGGGCAGGCTCCCGTCTGCCGTGGCTATACCCGCCGCGGACGGGAATACACCTTCCCCAGTCAGCACCATGATTGAAAAGAGAAAACGTCTCCCAATTCATCAGAGCGCGAGAGTATGGAGGCGGGGCCGTCCCTGCCAGTCAGTCTTTCCATCGATCTCGATCACACGGCCCGTGTCGCTCTAGAACAGGATAATCCGGTGAGTTCGAGCCACCCGTCCATGCGACCGTACTATCGCTGATGCACATGTGAATGCTCTGAAATAATAGAAGGGAGAGGATTGATCCAAGGTCGAAGCCAATACTCCATTCTGTGCTGAAATTCTGCCTTAGGGTACGTGTTGGCGAATAAAAGGAGGTTGTGTGTGGTCCGACAAGCGCCAGAGTATCTGGGCGGTTAATTCTCACCTGCGAAGCCACAAGACGAGGGCCAAAACGACAGGGAATAAGGACAGAAACTAGAGACTTGAACAAACTCAACTAATGGTCCCGTTGACTATTGAAGGTCGCCCGAATCGTGCAGGCAGTCTTGCAGGGGAAGAATATATCAGACTGGAGCGAGGATCCGCAACGTCCTTTCAAGACAGGGATTGCCGCACGCCGTTGATTGCTCGATTGATTGCTTGCAGTTTTGCCCCGGCGAACTCCTCGTGCCCCGTCATGGGCCCCTATCGCGATTGAGCTTGAGCAGCTAGGGATCAACACGGTCCCTCACTTCCATCGAGTGGCTTTTGGTCTGGCAGCGGTTATTTGGTCCTCGCGGAAGTCTAGTTCCACCGTTGGAAACGAGAGCGGTCTTTGTTCGCTGCCAACCGAGGGTGTTTCGTTTGCCTCTTAGCGAAGACGCGCGAGAAATCGCAGCCTTCACCATGGCTCGAAAGATTGTTATTGAGATTGCATTGATTCAAGATGTTGTCATGACTAGCATAGGTAATCGAAATACGATCCAGTGTCGGTGGGGACGCGTGCACTGGTCGCTTAACGAGCAACAACAGCGAAGAGTCGAAACCCCAGGCCCAGCCACCAAAAACAAGCCTAACGGACTAGAGGAGGCGGCATCCGGCTCCCCGGAAGGATCTCGAATCTGGCGTTCTCTGGCCACAAAGGGCAATATCGTGGGGGCCGGCGAGATCCCTAGTTAGTTAAGAGGGTGTACTGGGTAGCTCCGTAATAATACTCTGCATGTACAGGTGTGGCCAGCGGTCGACAAAGCGGTCACTCCAGCACTTGAGCAGCGCTAGCCACCTGCAACCGAGCCAATATCACAAGTTTACTGCTCGTGAAATGTTACATTATACTCCGTTCGGATGATGATTGCCGAGATCTCGTGGGCAGGATGTGAGGGAGCAGGACAAGGACAGGGAGGAAGAGACGAAGTGGGTGAGGATGGCTGATGGGTGACAAACTGCCTTTGTGCCTTGTGGATACGGATGTCCTAGAAGTCGTCAGTCTGGCACATTAGGGAAGGGCTGGAGAGGTAACAACGTACGAGGTGCTCGTACAGGTATTCCATACTCGATACTCCTTACTCGGTACTCCTTACTCGGTACTCCATACTCGGAACAGATACAACAAGCATTTCGATTGAGAAGGTAATAACGGAAGCAGCAAAGGTCAGATGCAGATGTTGGAGCATGGCGGCAAGGGCTGCGGAGAAAGAACGGAGGACTCAGTACCCAAGTACCTCGTACGAACCACTTGGGACCACCAAGGACCACCTACCTGCACCTCGTCCGGAGGACAGCGGAGAGTACTGGGTAAAAGCAGCAACGGTTGCGCCGTCGTGCCGTTGCGCAGGCCAAGACTCTTGACTCTCAGCCTGGTGATCAACGTTGCTCTCCCGTCTCGCCTCTTGCCGCGTGTTTCATCGCCCGCAGGCAGCGCAGTTAGCAACGTCGCACTCAACACCTCGTCACGCATTCAATTTCGGGGAAGCAGAGTTGGGCTTTGGAGCTGGTCCTACCACTCTCGACTGAGAAGCTGATTCGGCTCAAGTCACATTCTCTTGCCCCCGTTCTCCAGCACGCAGTCTGGAGTATCGAACACTCTGCAGCCAGGTGAACCAAGCCGTCTATCTGACCTGGCCATGTCGATTCGCCGACCATGAACATGAACGTCTTCCGCATCCTGGGCGATGTCTCCCACACCGCCTCGAAATGCATTCTCATCTGGGCCATCCATTCCAACAAGAGTGCCGAAGGTCTGACTCCCCAGACAAGTCCGCCTGCGCTCCCCAAGTTAACCATGAACAGGTGTCTCTCTCTTAACCCAGATCCTCTATATTGCTGTCTTTGTTACCCGCTATCTCGACCTCTTCTGGGTCCCTCCCTCGGCGTCATGGTGGAATTTCATCCTCAAGAACTTTTATATCTGGTCTTCCATCTATATCATCATTTTGATGACCCGAGTCTTCGCGCGAACCCGTGAGCGGGAAAAGGCCTGGAAGTGGGGTGCCTATGCCACTGCTGCATCAATGCTTGCTGCTCCGCTGGTCTGCTTGACCTTCAATGGTCCACGTCGAACGACCTTCACCGAAGTGCTGTGGACATTCTCCATCATTCTTGAATCCGTCTGCGTTCTCCCACAACTCCTGCTCCTTCGGCAGACGACCGTGCCTACTGTCATTGACTCCTTCTACCTTGTCACTCTAGGCTCCTACCGAGCATTCTATCTTCTAAATTGGATCTATCGGGCTTTCACCCCGTCCAAACCCGACGCAATTTCGGTCATTTTTGGCATCATTCAAACCGCATTCTACATCGACTTCGCGTGGGTGTACTGGACCAGGCAAAGAGTCAAGCTGAGGGGAGGTGGCATTGTCGATGCAGAGGATCTGCGGAAAGGCTGGTTAGTCAACAGGGTCATCAATCCTGCTCGGCAGCCACCGGGAGAGGATCCAGAGGCCGGTAATGAAGAGAGCAATGGGCAGCCGCAGCAACCGAAAGTCAACCGCTGGGGCCCCCGCGGTATATCCATATCGGCGGACGACACATTGCAGGACCATGACAAAGGCAAAACGGCATCAAAGTCCGCTCCTCCCGAAGCCAATCCGATGCTGGAAGAGGATACTTTTGGGTCGGATGAGGACGAGGACGTTCCTAGGCTAGATGGGCCTGCAAACAAGGTGTTGAACAGCGACGAGGATTGGCGCGAGATCGCGGCATCGAGGCAATGAACCATTCTGATGTACAACATGTAGCTCTTTCTGTTCTGTTCTCTGCCGGTGTTTGACTGGGTCGTGGCTTCTTTTTATACATTATTTTTCTGTAGCCAGCGGGTTCAATGTTGAAAATACAACGGCGTCCCGAGGGTCGCAGGGAGTCAAAGCGGAACCATACGCGACAGTCTGAGTATTTGATGTATTCGAACGACGACAACGAAAGTGCTGAACGGTGCCCGTGCAACAAGTGGCCGCAGTTCCCAATGGAGCTGTTATTCCTCAGGGTGACTTGTGCTAAAGGAAAGATATTCTCATTTCGAAGCGGCAAAATAGACTCTTGTCAGACCGTTTCACTTTGACATGGGGCGATTGGGCAATCGGACCCTTTTTTTTGACCTTTTCATCTTCCCAACTCGATATGCTATTCTCATTGTTCTGATCTTGATCATCGCAGCCCATCAAGCTATCAAGCTGCTCCAATCTACAAATGCCGCTCTTGGGTGGACGAGTCATTCGTGTCCAACAAGCAATCCTCCGCACTGTCGCTCCGTTTGAAAGGAATAAACGGACAATGGCCACCCAGATCCCCGCCAAATTCGACATCAATACCGCGTACCGGATGAACTCAGGTTACGAGATTCCAGCTCTGGGCTATGGAGTGTATCAAACCCCTGCCGCATCGTGCGAAGAGGTTACACTCCATGCCTTCCGCACCGGTTATCGACACGTGGATTCCGCACGCGCCTATCGTAATGAGCAGTCGTGTGCCGACGCCATTCGCAATTCTGGTTTGAAGCGAGAAGAGATCTTTTTCACCAGCAAAGTCCCGCCGAGAAGCATGGGCTACGAGGGGGCAAAGAAGTCGATCGAATCATCCTTCATTCAAACCGGCCTGGACTACATTGACCTTTACCTCATCCACTCTCCGTACGGCGGCAAAGAAGCTCGCTGCGGTGCGTGGAAAGCGCTTGCAGAAGCTCAGAAAGCCGGTAAAATTCGATCTATTGGCGTCTCCAACTATGGAGTACACCACCTCGATGAATTGGAAGAGTACGTCAAGACCTCGGATGTCGGCGGCACGATTGACGTCGGCCAGTGGGAAATTCATCCGTGGCTTCCGCGCAACGATATCGTGGAATGGGCCCGCAAGCGGAACGTCGTTGTTGAAGCATATTGCCCCATTGTCCGCGGTCAGCGTTCCAACGAACCGGTTTTGAAACAGCTCGGTGAGAAACACGGAAAGACGTGGGCTCAGATACTGCTTAGATGGAGCTTGCAAAAACGTTTTGTACCTTTGCCGAAGAGTGTCACTCCAGCTAGAATCGAGGAGAATGCCGCCATCTACGACTTCCAGCTTGATGACGAAGATATGAAAAGCCTCGATTTCCCCGATTCATATGCTCCCTGTAGCTGGGATCCAACCACTAGCGACGACTAGACCCTCAAATTCCAACGATAGCGTCCGATCCATCGATTTGGCTATAGGCCAAGCTAGCTTCGCCATAGGAGAACTTGATCCCAACCGATTACAACACTCGGAACAATCCCGATGAGTCGTGGTAGCAGTGCTGAGAGTACCCCGAAGGTGTGTGGCGAATCTGCTGTTCTCCAGATGTTCCTGATTGAAAACAAGGCTCTGAAGTACGAGCATGCGATCCTTGTGGCGAGCAGCTCTATGGGGAGAGATCTTTCCTTGAGTGTCTATTCCCTGAATGAAGTCTTGTAAAACTGGCCCTAATTATTGTTGATTCCTCTCCCGATAACGTTACGATCCAGCATTCCGTCATTCCTGGTGAACTGGCTCAAATGCAAACTCTGCTCTCTTGTGGCACGCGTATGCTGTTGATGATCAGAGCCCGGATCTCCAGGAGGACGATCATCTATCTGCCTACAGTACAGTTATTCGCTTGGCTCCCAGCACTCGACACGTCTTGATTTCTTTTTCTCAGGCCTCAGAAAGACGGACTCTCGGACGAGATCGGGCGGCTATTTTGGTCATTTTCGTACACCTAGGGAAGCCAACGCCGAATTGTTCGTCTCCTAGTGCTACGACAAGCGCCTGTAATCGCAAGGAATGCCAATCAATGCAGATCAGCCTGGTCGATCCACTTCGTCTATTTACCTGATCAACCTCAGTGCTTCCAGAGAAATGTCTGAAAATAGTTTGTCTCCGAGGGAGTCCCTTTCGCAAGGGATACTTGGATACACTTGAAAGCTCCCGAACGGCAAACATATCAAACCCAAAAACTAGTGGCGCATACAAAAAGCACCGGCGACCTCATATTTGATAGTCATGGTCATGGCGATTCCTGGTATATCAGATTAAGATGATGCATTTGATGGAATGATTGATCGATCTTTCTCGGGCCCCGCCATGCCCTTCACGAAGACGCCTGCGGGATCGCTGTCGGCGATTGTCCGTTGCCATTTGTGTTTTGGTTGGTAAACACTACCAGTACTGCGCAATATCTGCTAAGGGTCAGTGTGCTGACAGTGGTATCGTCCAATGTACACTTACGCCGCAGTAACAGCGAATATCTCGTGTTGTTTCGCTGCAGTGGCCGTGGAACAAAGCAAGGCAAAGACGATTGTGAACGCAAATGCCAACGAGTTCTGCGCGTACCCATCCAGGTGCCGCAGCCGATAGAGGACCAATACTGGTCCCATAATCAAGGCTGCGATGGCGATTGTGTACAGGAACCCGACAACACGGTTGAACCGCTTTCTCTCATACAGCTCAACATGCATCGTGGAACCTTCCAGTTTCCTGTCCTGGATTTTGCTGCGCAGCAAACACTTTGCCAAGTCAGTCTCAAGATTTTGGCAGAGCAGCAGGAAAAGGCGTTCCGTACTCGGACCAAGGACCTACTTGTCCACGTGAAGAGATGGCTGACGAGCCCGTGGACCCAGGAGGAGTTCTGTTCGCCACCAAGGACGATCAAGTCATCGATCTTCCTGATCCAGCTCCTGTCCCTTTGAGCGAGGCTCCCGTCGTTGTGGATTAAATTTGCAATGCTAGAGCGGTCCTCTTCATCTGGCCTCTGATACTGATACAAGGCTGCGGAGCGAAACAGCAAATCATCTATCGCCAAATCAGTCGTCCATTCAGTGAATCGGTCTAGTGAAGCACAAGAAACCAACCATAAGCTTTCAATTGCGCATCAAGCTGCTCAAACAGGACTTTGCGGACAGCCGGACTTCTCATATCGTCGCCATCGCGGTTTGAGAGGTAACGACGTGTGCCTCCGCTTTGGGAGTCCTGCATATCCTGGTAGTCCAGCCTGGACTCCATTTCTCTCAATACATCTTGATGATACAAGAGCAGCCTTGTTCTTAGAAATCCAAAGCGGCGATATATCATGAAGTTTGGGTCGCTGTCAACGAAAGTCGCGATTCTTGGCCATCCTCGAACACTGCACTGAACTGAAACCCTTCAGGAATCTTCGCATGACTTTTGCGGCGATACTCACGAGCGCGGACATCAGTATCTTCCTCCTCCAGAACCTTCTTGTGAAGTTCTTGCTTTGGGGAAGAAAATCTTATACCGAGGCGACGTAGCCATAGCCCTTCTATTTATTCAGTTGGCCTCTCAATTCAACAAGTGTCGGATACACATACCAATAACATCCTCCTGACAATCACTCCGGTTGTGCGCCCCCTTTTCGAGGTCGTCGATCGGCATATTGAGGTCTCAAGCAAAGTCCACTAGTGCAGGTCTCTCTCGTTGCTTCTCAGCATTCTTTCCAGAACATCCACTCGAACAGGCAGAGAAAGCCTGAAGAAGTGGTGTATGACTCGCGCCAGGTGTGGGTGGTGATAGTGCATTGTTACACGCAGAGTCGCACGAGGCGAACTCTCGATCTTGAGCCTTGGACACATCCCTGCTCTGTCGCACAGGGCGTACATGTTAACCCTTTCGCAACGCTTCTCGGATACGGCACAACCTCCCTGTCATTTTGTGCATTTCCTATTCAGTTCCCTTCGTCAGCTGGCAGTATATGATGTAAGCCATATGCCCAGGCATGTTATTTCTGACTTATATCACATATCTTGCTTTTCCCATTACTGCCACGCCATTCGAGCCAGTTTTTGCATCGGTTCCCGAAGTTCTTCAATCCATCTTTAAACGATCCCTTGTCAGACCTATCCTTATGTTGTTCTGGCCGCTCGCTGCTCTTGTCATAGTCACTCCACGTCTCACAGCCATATCCCTCGGGTCGGATGGTGTCGTATTCCTGAAGTCTTGTTAGTAGCGGACGAATGTTCATGGCCTTTCGCGTACTTGGTTTATTTCTCGACCCCGTTGTATGTTAGACGAGGGTTGCCTTCTTCTATTGCCGCTGGCATATTGTCGTTGATCTGAAGACCTTCTGATTTCTGTCGATGCTCTCTTGGTAATTCCTTGATTGGCTTGTATGTTGGAGAAGTCTTGATGCCCTTTATCATTGTCGACATGTTGTTGTGGTTGTTGTGGTTGACCCAGGAACCCCACGAGTCCTGCCAATCCTCTGTAGGTGGTTCCTTGTTTGGGTTGTCTGTTACTGCGAGGATGCTTCCTTTTATTGCTCTCGACTTGTTGTCGTTGCTGACCTGAAGACCCCCTGGTCTCTGCTGGTCCTCCGTGGGTGATTCCTTGACCGGGTGGTATGTTGGAGGGTGGATGGTTCCCGTTGTTGCTGTCGCCATCATGTGGTTGTTGACCCGAAGACATCTTAATTTCCACCCAACCTCTATCGGTGATTCAGATATCATTCGATGCGGCGTTCCTCATGCCTGTTTTCCAGGGGTGCATCATGAAGGGAGGGAGGTTTTGAACAAGTCGCTTTCGAAGGCGCGTTTCTCACTGCTACGTTTGCTGGCGCGACGGCTTCGAGACGGTCGACGGTCTGTTTGAGTAAAGGGCGCGGTTGCCAAAGAGTATGTCCTCTTAAGGCAGTTGGTCGATCAAACGATGAACTGCCCATTGCTGGAAGAATTGAGAGCAACCGCATCTCTCTTTCACATCATACAACAAGTGCATGCAGGGAACACTCATCATCACAACAAGAAAGGAGAAGAAACAATGATCTGCAACTTCCGCCTTCAATCCGTTTGTCCTAGACGGTCTCCTTGAAAGAAGCGAGATATCAGACTGAAATTATCACAACGACAGACGCCTCAGCTTCCAACGGAAAATCCAAGCTCACCCCCATCATTGCCATCAGCAACGTTCCAGGATATAGTCCGAGCTCTTCAGATAAAGTTCCAAACAATATCGAGAGAGCACAGAAAGTGGACGAGAGCAAGATGCCACGAACTTTATTAAGCAGCTGTACCCCTGACTCTTGACGGGTACTGCGAAGATACTAGATCAAGAACCTCTGAACATGAGCGTAGGGATGAGCTGGTGGTCCACGTGCGATCGTTCGACCAAAGCACACCGTCCTCCTGGTGTTGCTACTGCCCTTGTGATGGGAAAAGACAGTGGTGCGTTCATCCAACTCCGAATAATTAGCAGACGGGGAGAACAAACAACACGCTGGCGCCGTCCCCAACAAAGCCTGAACAGACGCACAAACAGAAGACTCAGCGATTGGTGTCGACGAACGTGGGCTCTGTTGATTAGACTGCGATATGCTGGGGCGAGCACAACGCTTGAGGTCTGTCTGGTAGGTACCGGTTGCGCTCTGGTCTTGGCCTTTGAGCCCGACGAACACTTATAACGCGTTAAGGGGCTGAATATTCCTTCTTGAGTAAGGCTAAGTCCTCGGGCGAGTGTGCATCTCAATACACATTCCTTTCTTGATACCATGCCCGAGTTCACGCGCCCACAAGGTGTATGCTTTTACCACTGATGGACCGACGGAAGATTGGGCCACCTGGTCAAGTCGACCTTTCTATGTGGCTGTGGTGTATCCCTGTTCCGCTGAGCTGAACGTCAATCCATTCCAGGTACTTTGCCCCAGAGATCTACACAGAGTGAGCGAAGAGTTGCCGCGAAGAGTGCGGAATGTGGCGTGCGACACTTTATCTCATCAGGGGGTTTCTCGACGCTGGAGTCGAATTGCGTCGACGTAAGACGGACAGACAGAGAGACGACATGGCTCACCACTCCTTTCGGGTAGCCATTCGGGAACAGAAGCTCAATCTCACGGGTTTCATACCATGGAACAGATATTTATGATATTTGACATATCGAGGCCCCGATCTAGAAGAACTTGAGTGCAAATACGTAGTGACAATCAAGGAAGCATTCTATTCCGCGTATGACGATGGCAAAAAGCGACTAGAGAAAACCTACCTAGGTAGGTCACGCACAAATGTAAGCATAGAGTACCGTGCATGGACTGACGAAAGCTCGTCGAAACGGAGGTGTCGGGATCAAGGGGCAAGCAGGGAAAGAAAAGAAATCTAACAGAGACCCAGTGTAGAAATTACCATGAGCAACATTATCCTTGCTGCGAACGCGTATTGATTGATACTCTCACCGCGACTAGGTATTCTCTTTTATGTACAGTTTTTCTTTGTCTTTCTCTCTCGCCACTCCGAGACATCTTCTCGGCCCCCCCTACATCAGCTTCAATTCTCGGCCCTGTCTGTGCTTTATCGGTACCAGTACTCGGGCTTGACGAAATCAGCCATGGTCTTTGGTCCTTCGTGCGCGGGGTGGTGGTGGTGGTCGCCATGGTGGTCGTCGTGCGAATCCGGCTGTCCAACGTAGTCCATTCTGTAGACGCTCCCGCATTCCGGGCATCGTTCAAAGGGGCGCTTGCGGTCCATCTGACAAGATGAAAAAGAGAGATCGACGTCAGTCACGAGTCTGTCCGTTGCGGGGAGCTACTTCGAGGGGATCGTGGCAGCTGGGGGAATACGTGAACATACCACGAGCCATTTGACATTATGTGAATCAGCCGGAGAGCCGGTGCAGCCGATCTGATACTCGGCTCCAGCTGATTTGACGACAATCGGATTCTCAAAGGTACCTGCACGACACGATCTTGTCAGCTTGACTGCCAGCAGCATAACCATCGCCAGGTTCTGAAGCTCCGTTTGTATTCGAGCTGATCTTCTCCCAGAGAGAACATACCGAGTCTATCTGACGGAAGCGGCGACATGTCAAAGATATCGATGCCCTGCATCTTTCCCAAGATTTCTAGACGTTCTAGACCGGTTGCTTGCTCGAGATCGGTAGGGACGGTACCGGGCTCGGCACCGGGAGGAAGGAGATCTGCTTCGGTTTTGATTTCTGTGCAAGCAAGATTTCACCAAGATCAGCATGATATTCCCTCGTAGTTGCATCTTGTGTAGGCAGCAAGTCTGCCGCTCTAGTTAAATGTCGTTGGGACCCTACCTTCAAAAGGGAGCAGTTTGCCCTCCGGGTCGCCGGGCTTCGGATCCCATTTGCTTGTTCCTGCAGACACCCAGATCAGTTAGGCCAGTTCTGTCAAGATAGTATATGTCGAAAAAGCTTCTCCGGAGAGATTGTCTGAAGCTTCGAGAGTCCAATTGACGTACGGCGAGCTGTGACAGTGGTGAACGTCCGAGGAGCGACGCGGGCAGCAGAGATAGGGACACGCCTAGCGAGCGAGAAAGCTGCGCGTGCTACCGACATTGTGGAAGCCGAGTGAGAAATGAGTCGGGAGTCGATGGACAGAGGCTGTAAGAGCACGGAGGTCAAAAGGTTCAAGTTGTCGAAACTGCGATTGAGGTTCGGGCAGGTGATGATTGGCTAGCGAGTTTGAGAGCTCATACCACCTTTTTACAAGCCGCAAGCACAGCCACAGCATCGTCGGAGCCTCATCACGTGCAAGGCTCAGGGATGGGGGCAATCAGGAGGGAAGATTCTGCGATCTAACAATCGGAGCGAATTTTCCTACAAGTACTCAATTTCCTGGTTCACTTTCTTGATACTGAGGACCTTGCACTGCTGCACCCCTTCAACTGAGTGCCAGAGGGTGCAGGGCTGTGGTATGGATATTGTGTTACCCTCTCGATTTCTTCAAGTCTCCTGCCTGTGAATGGCATGTGTTGTTGAATCGTCGCTGCAGAATCCTCCTGATAGGATGAGACTCCTGTAGAGAAGGAGGAGTAGTCTAAGCATCATCGAAGAGTATTCAACGCAAAGATTATCTAATTGTTGATCGAAGCTAGAGCTACAATAAAGCTTCACTCCAACTGCTTGACATCACTACTTACCTGACAGGTCCAGCCTGGAGTTTAGAGACGATTCCCAAAAGGCTAGTGAATTGCAAAAGTCTGATATTCACAAGCTCTGCGGACAATGAAAAAGAAATAAAGTAAAATGTTCCTGAACCCAAGGAGGGCTGAATTGGGTGGTGCAGAACAGGCTCCCTTCTCCATAATGCGAAAGTTGATGCCGCTTGCAAAGTATTCACATAAAGTGACAGGCCCAGGAAGAGCCCGGGAGACTCTATGGATAGTGAAGACGTCGTTATTTCCGGCACATCCCACAGTCTATCCAGCTGAAGTGAGACTGTCAAGGTGCACTGGAACGGAGACGAGGATGCATTCGAGTTTGCCAGCGCCGTGTATATTTGAGACTGATGCAGATTCAGATGTCAGGTCCATCAGACTGCACAACCCCATATCTTTGGGACTGGTAGTACTCATGGCGTCGTTTTGTCGCTGGTCTGCACTGGTCAAGCGCTGGTGTCACCAAAAGAAAGTAAGAGAGCAATCAGGCGCGCAAGGCTCGCTGGTGACCGAGGAAATCCCTCTGGCCTCTGACGTAGCTCAAAACTCTCCGGATCTTGGCACCCCCCTTTTCTCTTTCTTCTGGGCAACAGAGCATTTTCTCTTCAAACCTTGTCCTCACTTCCATCTCTCACTCTGATCCGACATTATCACAACTGAGAGGGTTCAGAGTCAGGCACCCAGTCCAACTATCGACTGAGACAATATGATTGCCATCTTGACACTGGAAATCTGCAGATTTCATCCTCTTCTTCAATCCGATCTCGGAACATGATTCCTCGAGCTTGAAGTGCTCATCGCTTCTCGGTATCGCTGTGCGATGTACCTACCTGGATCTCCCTTTACTGCCATTCTCATGCTCGACCAGAAGGAACACTTTGTCAGCGCTGTTTCCTCGGCTTGCGGTGAAACTTGATGAACGACACATTGATGGCTCAGAGAGCCGATTTGAGCCCAAAGGTACATCAAAGGTGAGATGTGGAGTGAGAAGAGAAATTCCTTCACTTGCATGGTGCGAGGCGCCAAGTCGCATGGATGGGGGAGTGATTCAGTGACTTGTACTTGGAAGCTCTATTGGCCCCGCTCGATTCTAAATTCACTCCCAAAGCCATTAACATATATTTTGGAAGTTCACAATTGTTGTCACCAACCGAGGAGGGGGTTCACACTTGAGAACGGACAGTCAATCTGCCTCTATGATACCAAAGTTCCATTCAGTGAACGCACGAAGTACTGGGGATCCAAGATCCTTGGGGACAGGCTATCACAAAGTGATACAACGGCTTCGGCTCCCGAATACCAACAATGGTTGAAATGGAGATACTGATTAAATACCCTGTATGCTTCCCTATCAAGTCCCTGAGGTTGTCTTTTTTTGCCTGATTTTCTGTCTGTCTTTTTTTATTTATGGTGGAAGGTGCACAGCAATTTTTCGAGGGTGAACTGAATGTGTGGTCATGTGTGTGCAATGTTTTGGATTGTACTACACCTTCAATGCCATCGCACAGACATCACATGCTTGTCACCAATTACCAGATTCTTCAGTTTGAGGCTTCCCTCAAGCGAATGAATTACAGGTTTGCAGTCTGGCCTTTCTAATCCCCCCTTATTGTTCTGGGCCATTAGCGAGCCCTTTTCATGCTGATCACGTTGAGCTTCGCTACGACCAGCTGAGTCCATCTCGACACTAGACTTTGATATTTTGGCACCTTTGAAGATCCCCCCTCCCTACGGATGAAACATTTTCACTGCCGTTATTTCCCCAAAAACAGCGTCGGGCTCTCCTGCCTCCGAATACCTCTCTACGGCTGCAAATCAATACGGGCGACGACCATCCTCACAAGGCAGCGGACGAAGAAGCTACCTTCGCTGGAGTCCTTCGACTTTCTGCGAGCGCTGTCGAAAGATTGGGTTCTATTTCAATTGCCGAGTCAAAATAAGAGTTGATTGGCGGACATACTGGAGTTATCTAGCAGTGTCTAACTGGCCGAGAATCCATAGGTTGTGTCCAACAGTGGGATCTTCTGTTCCTCTTCATCTTGTGTCTTTACAGCACCCATGCCTCGACATTGTACGTCAGCCAAGAAAATCCGCGGCTCTTCGAATCAAGTTGGTGGTCGTTCTCACTAACCGACAAATATCTGCCTCTTTCTTTGTTCGTCGGTCATTTGCCTGAAGACGAATTCCATCTGAGGAGATCAACAGTTGTCATTTCTCTACGGAGCGGTGGAGTAGGCTCTTGCATCGTTCTTCTCACCTGGACAGGGATCGGCAATGCTCCGCACCGAGCAGGGTTCCCCACATTCTACTACATACTCAACATCCCGGAATGGCTGCTTCTCGACTTCCCTGTGGTCGCCTTGTCGATCTATTACTCGTTCTAGCATGGTTGCAAGCAAACAAATAGCCTATATTGCATTTCGCAACAGGGGGAAGCTGCTCATAGAGCATTCGTGGTTGGACACCTCCGATTCTGCTTCGGCATTCGGGGTAATGATCTCCATTATGTTGAGTAAAAGGTATCGCTGCGACCTCGATAGAGGTTCTCTCAGAAAGAAGCTCGAGCTCTTTGTGTAAAGGCGCAGACTCAACACGTTGCTAACAACATGTGGCTGTTGCTTTCATTGGCTTGCAGCCTTTTTGGCTCAGCCTTAAGCGACATATCTGTCTCTGTTTCTGGCACAACACCGTTCTCTTTAACGGTCACGTCTAATCAGGGTGTTACCGTGATCAACAAAGCGATTCTTGGTGGCGGTACAAACAATACAGCAAGTCCAGTGTCTGCGTCCAACGACGGTGTGGTGTCCAATAGTGGGGGACTCATTGACTGGTCTCTTATCCAGCCTAATGTCGTTAAGATTCAGTACAACTCGACTTTTGCGTTCAGCGGAGCACAGTTCGCGGCCGAACCTAACGAGAGTTTCTACGGCGTTTGGGAGTATCCGTGGAACGATTCACTGACCAACAATGGCGTGGAGTTCGACCTTAAAGGCGTTGGAAATTCTGTTGGAGTAAACTGGGACAATGCACGAGCACCAGCATTCTACAGCAGCGCCGGTTATGGAGTCTATGCGGACACTCTGGATATGGGTTCTTTCCAATTCAGTTCCAGCCAAACGCAATTTATCTTCAACACCAGCGGTTTGACATACTACATCATCCTGGCAACTACCCCTGGCGATTATAAGTCGATCATTGAGACATACACGGGCTTATCGGCGCGTATTACAATGCCTCCTGACTCTGGATATGGCCCGACTTTCTGGTCCGACAATTTTGAGGCAGATTTTCACGGCTCCGTGTCGAATGCCCAGCAGAATTACTACGATGTCGTAGACCATCTTTACTACAACCGGATCCATGCTACGTCCATGTTTGCGGATAGACCATATGGGACAGGTAATTACTCATGGGGAGACTTCGACTTTGACCCAACCTACTATCCCACGCCCAAACAATTCATCGCCAATCTGTCAACCTGGGGGTTTGACTTCCAGGTGTGGGCAGCTAATCGTGCGTTCCTGGACACCGAGCTTTACAACGCGTCGGTAGCCGGTGGTTGGCTGTTCCCAGGCATCAACCCAGAGTATTTCCTCGGACCAGCTCTCAACCTGTCTATTCCGGCAGCATACGAATATTTCCTGAACCAGATGGCGTACTTCCCGTCGGTCGGCGTCAAAGGCTTCAAGATTGACCGTGGTGAAGAAGGGGAGATGCCAGGTAAGCAATGACGTGTAGTGCTATATCGCCGTTTTGCTGATGAATCAGTGTGGGAGCAAAACACCCAGATGCGACTCTTCGAACAGATCTGCGAAACAGTAATGGTCAATAAATGGGGCAAATCCGGCTTCTACAATTTCGCTCGCTCAGTGGTTGACCGCTCTCGTTCTCTGGCTAATGTTTGGAACGGCGACTCTCATGCCAACTTCACTGGTCTCCGCTACAGCATCGCTTCAGGCATCCGAGCCTCGTTGCTGGGATTCTCTACGTGGTCTTCCGACACTGGCGGCTACATACGTTCTCCCAACCTCGTCGCCGATCAGCCTACTCCTGAGCTGTGGGCACGCTGGATGCACTTTTCATCTTATTCGCCGGTATACGAAATCATGGTCGGCACCAACCATACTCCTTGGTATCCTCCGTATCCGGCACGTCTTGTCTCGGTGCTCAGGGCTACTGCAAATGAGCACCATGCTCTCGTCCCCTACATCAAGTCCTTTACTTACCAGGCCACACAAACAGGCATTCCTGTCATGCGTGCCCTGTTCTTGGAGGCACCGGATGATCCTACCGCCTACGATACTAGTGATGCTTATTTCTTCGGAGACAGCTTCTTCGTGGCTCCGATCGTCCATGAAGGTGGAATGCGGAATGTCTACTTCCCCAAACATGCAGCTGGCAACCACACAGCTCGCGCATATCTGGAGTACTACAACAAGACTTCCGTGTACCAGGGCGGCTTATCAGCTGCATTGAACCTGGAATGGGAGTACAGCCCCGTTTACGTCCGCGAAGGCAGCATTGTAGTCCGTGGCGACATCAACCAAGGCAACAACAAGTGGACGCAGAACTGGCAACCCAGCCTGGCAATTGAAGCATTCCCCAGTTACAATTATGGAACTGCAAGGTTCCCTTATTACAATGGGATGGAAGTTGTGAACATAACACTGTCATCGCAGGCTAAATTAAACACTGTTCTCGTTCAGTGGGATGGCAGCTTGGGGATCCCGGGTCAACCGCAAGTCGTCTTCTACGGAAAGGGTGGAGCACAGAATGCTACTGTGAAGGTCTTAGGGGCCGGAGGATCAGCACAAGTCACAGGCTTCCAGAGCATATTCAGTTGAGAAATCAGAGATCAGATACCGAGTATTCGGGTGGTGTGTTGGGCCGACCGAGCGCTTGAAGATATAGCAGCGGCAGTGAAGCACATTGTGATAGGATGTTAAAGACAGTGTCCAAAATCTTGTGGCTGTGACTGGGAGATTGGGACTTGCCCGGGTCTCAAGCGGTGACAATATTGTGGAAAGCAGAAGTGGCACATCGCCCTCCAGAGAGCGAAGAGTGCTCGCGAGAGCCGAGAGGTCGTTGGTTAGCAGTGCCAAGAAAATTCTAGAAGGATGGCGGATTTCTAATAGGTCACGTGCCTACCCTCAGCTGTCATGTGACCGGCCCATCCTCATCCAGCGCATCTACTACTATATTTCTGTGACACAACCAACAACTTTCCATCGTTCCAACACATCTTGACGCCACATAAGAGTTACGGCTTGTGCGCATTTAAAGGTTTCTTCCCAATTAAAGATACTGCAAAAAGGAGCTCATCACTTGAAAGAACATCAAATATGGCAAATTACCTCGCCTCCATCTTTGGAACGGAACAAGACAAAGTAAGTTTTCCCTGCTCTTCTAAATCCAAGAAGCAAGAACTAACAATATCTTACAGGTCAACTGTTCCTTCTATTACAAGATCGGCGCGTGTCGACACGGCGACCGCTGCTCGCGCAAGCATGTCAAACCTTCATACTCGCAAACCATCCTTCTCCCCAACCTTTACCAGAACCCGGCCTACGACCCCAAAAACAAGATGAACGCCTCCCAACTACAAAACCACTTTGACGCCTTTTATGAAGACTTCTGGTGCGAGATGTGCAAGTACGGCGAAGTTGAAGAGGTCGTTGTGTGTGATAACAACAACGACCACCTGATCGGCAACGTGTATGCGCGATTCAAATATGAAGACTCGGCACAAGCGGCCTGCGACGCGCTCAACAGCAGATGGTATGCAGCGCGACCAATCTACTGCGAGTTATCACCTGTCACGGACTTTAGGGAGGCGTGTTGCAGGTTGAATTCTGGAGAGGGATGCGTCAGAGGCGGATTCTGCAATTTCATCCACAGAAAAGAACCGAGCCCGGAATTGGAGAGGGAGTTGGAATTGAGCACGAAGAAGTGGTTGAAGATGAGAGGCCGGGATGAAAGAAGCGTGACCAGAAGTCCAAGTCCAGAGCCGACAAGGAAGAGATATTGAGCAGGACCTCGAACGAGAGGAGACCACACATGATCGACCTTTCTCGACTGATTTCTTGTTGATCAATCCATGTGACCTTCAGTCATTTTATGGAGGGAAGCAAGACGGGATGATGTATATCATGCTTATCTGCGCCTATTGCTTCACAGAGCTACCCTGCGCTTGCCCCAACGCCGCAAAGAGACACCCAGCAGAGACATCTTGGATCGGGAACATTGCATCACAACTTCTACACACTCTGAGCAACCGAAAGAAGACTCGAACACAAACTAACATACAGTCCCGGCAATCCATCATCGACCAATCGCGTCCCTTCCTCATGCGCGTCCCTGAAGTGCTCCTCGTCTTGCAATCCGCGGACAAGGCAGAGCCTCGTTACAATCAGCATTCCATGCCCTCAGCATATCACAAATCAAAACCTGAGCACACCACAAAGCCATGCTATTGGACAGTCCCATCCCCAGAAACGAGGAGCGCTGCCATCAACAAAACGAAGTCTCTCTAACCAAATGCCGAGACCAGAACCCCGCTCTGCCTCTCTTAAGGACGGGGCCGATCGCATTTACCACAACCTATTTCCTCAAAACACAAAACGCAAATATTACATTCTTGTCTCGTCTTGTCTCGTCTCGTGTCGAGGAGAATAGGGGCCAAAATTTCGAAGCAAGCGAATGAAAGCGCCATGCACTCGCATTATTGAGCGACAAGATCAGACGCCCATCTCATCTGCCGCCAGGAGCAGGAGGAGGACGCGCGGGATGAGCATGCAGCTGGGGAAAAGAGTTCTGGACGGACAGCTAGCCGAAGGTCACACGGTCCATGTGTCGTGGATGGAAATGCGGAATACAAAGTCCGTACGAGGTCCATACATAGTCAGAGGAGCTTGAAGAACGGGCGAGAATTCGATCGCTGCTGAAGAGAAAGAACACAATTTACCTGTCTGCCGCCTCTTTTCGAGATCCCTACTGCTGCTTCGGCTTCTCTTTCCTTATTTTTGGTCCTCTTCACGATCCGCAAGTCGCAAGGCCCCCATCAATGTACGAGGTATGACCCAGGCCCTGGGATGTTTGTTTGTTCCTGTCAGGCTACCTCAACTAACTGGCTGGGTCATGGACGTGCAGTGCACACTGGTTGAATAGGATTCTAACAATTGACTCTATGAACTCCTCTGTGGTAGCTTACAACGGCGGGAACAGCCTGCCAACCGCCGACATTGGGATCAACATATTCTTCGTTAAGTCGTGATTTTCCGTGTTGCTCTGTTTTGCCAACTCCCAAACCCCATTTCTCCTGCCGTCCTTAAGTAAACAATTCTAGTCCGCCCTGCTCTGAGGCATCGGCCCTGGTCCCTAAAATAGCCTGGATGGGTCCTTCTAGCCCTCTTCTAGCTGACAGGATATAGACGCATTGACCAAGTGACCTTCCCTAATGGCTCAGAAGGCTGTCGTTCATATGAGCAGCCTCGGTTGAAGTAAATATGTCGCTTAGTGTCCGATAAAAGTCATTCAAGTACAAGGACGGTGTTGATAGATTGAATCCTTCCTGCGCCATGACAGCCCGGCCCTTCTGGTATGGATTCCCTCTATGCCGAGGGTGCTCCCGTCAAGTAGAATGATGTCCTGATGTTTGTTTCATGACGACTTGTCTTTGAACGGTCCAACTTTTGCAAACCACAGTAGCACCAGGACGATCGCGGCAATGACAACGATAAATCCGAGGGCGATGGTGCAGCCTAAGATTCGAGTTCGACGTTGTTTCTTCCGGTTTCGCTCAAGCCATGTCTCCCTATCCCTACTTGTTAGTACATCCGTCTTCCCACGTCGTATGTGTGTTCGTGGCCAACGTACGTATGTCTCAGGGCTCTGGTTGAAGATGCAGTTGAATTCGACCTGGTATCCGAAATGTTTGCCTTCTCTTCATCCAAGTGAACTGCCATTGAAAACCGCCGCCAGAACGCAGGATCTCGCACACCTGCCATAGTCGACTATTGACGATTTGTTGGGAGTTGGTTGCACGAGGGATTTTTTGTTGGAGGTTGCGCTCGTGCAAGGATCGAGAGGGCTCGGATGTCGGAGAGCTGGGCGCGCAGAAATTTGAAGGATAGCTGCAGAAACGTTTCGAGATCCGTAGAGCGACAACAACCAAAAGGCACAAACAGGCGATACAAATGAGTGGACGATACTGGAGCACGAAGGAATGAAGTGCAACAGATCTAAAAACACAAACTGCAGTGGACAACAGACCAAGGAAATGGCAGACCATGCAGGAGCAACCCGATCACATCCTCGAGGAGCAAGAAGGATTCAACAAAAGCTGGGAAGGAACAAGTTTGTACGGAGTATCGCAGACGGAGCTGATAGTAACAGGAGTGCTCCATACCTAGGGAGGTCAATTCAAGGTCAATGCATTTTCCGGGTTCAGGGAGTAGGTAGGCATTGTGAGGTTCCACAAACAAAATTTGCCTTCAAGCCGCACAGTTTGCTTGTTTCCCTTTGCTTTCTTGCAAGAGCCTCGTCAGGTTGATCAACCAAGGAGCTGGTAGTGTCGCGTGGCCATGTGGCAAATCGCCTGTACCTCATCCTTAGCCAGGCGTTCCCTGGTCAGAAACGGCTGGGCGTCGCGATAGAAGCCTCCGGTGCGCCAATCACGGTAGTCGAGCGCCACAAGATGTACAGAGGCACAATTTCATGCCTAATCGAGGGAAGCCACTGTTCAAGGAAGGCGATAACAAGAGGGGACTGAGATCGCACTATTGATTGGGCTGAAGGCTGACCAGGGTGGGAGCTGGAGTGAAGAGAAACGAGAATGGTTTGAGAAAGGCAGGAATCGGGATGGAAATGGGATGGAAATGGGATGAAAGAATGTAAAGGGTGGTCACTGGTGGAGATGGTGGGAGATTAAACGGAACTTGGCTGTCGCGTGGCCGGATCCGCCGACGCCCAACGCGTAGCCCAGACGCGACAACATCATCATCATCATCCCCGAATACTCGGTACTTGTACTTCGTATAGGTACCGGGTACATATTACTGCGTCAGAATATGATCTGCCTCTCCAGCGCACACAACGCCGGTCCCAAAGCACTGCTGCTCCACATGAATCCATGGATGATGCCCGAGAACTCGTCAAAGCTGGCTATACCAGCCGCCCGGATGCCCTCCGAAAGTAAAGAAATGAACTGGAGGCGCAAATCATCGAACAGCGTAGCAGAGCAAGCTGCCACGGTAAGTATCCAGAGGAGAACCACGTTGGAGCTCTCCCATCGGGGAAGTAAGCCCTCTGTGCCTGCCATCAGCTGCAACTTGGTCCCATAAAGCATCCCGGCGCCAGGTTCAAAGTCAAACTTGGCCCGAATTTCACACAGGTACAAAATGCTGGCCAACCGAAAGCACTCGCGTTGGCGCAGTTGGATCTCATCTCGCCGCGTTCCGTGAGCAATCGAGAGGCAGTCGTGCAACAGTGGAGAGACGTGGAAGACCGCAAACGGGCTGTCTTGCCACAGATCTCGCCTCTTGCACTCATCGTCCATAATTCTGCTCAGATGCCTTAACTGTCGACAGACGTGCTGCACCGCTGCGCTTCCCCCGATGTTGTCGAAAACCTCCTGGTGTGAGAGTTGGCCGATATCGGGCAGGTCAAAGGTCAGTCTACTTCGAGTAGCCAGGATATGATATGGAGGGCGGTATTGTGGAGCAGCATCCTGGCGAAGGCGGCCGTTGACTTCTATCCTACATAGACGACGTTGGCCTAGGCAAAAGTGATGGTCTTCATGGGAGGATGCATACCAGAACATCGACAGTCGGAGAGCGGCAGTAGAATCCAAGGTTTGTTCTCCACCTCGATGAAGCAGGATCTTTGCAAGCCCATCCATATGCACTTGGAAGATTTGTGTTTCCTTGATCAAGTTCTGCAGTTCACCAGGTCAACCGGGGGATGATTCTTGGGGGGCGACAATATCGGGAGCGTACCGCATACGCAGCAGCAGCTAAAACAGTGGTTATCACTTCATCACTCGTACCAGTGGCAAGGTTGTTCAGTCTCTGCTGCAGGGACCGCGTGGTGATCAATGCATATCTTGCATCTTCCCCGGAGTCGTCTTCGGATCGGCACCAGTGGACCAGGTGCCACGCAGACGCGGACAACATCTGGGACACCGCAATGGTTTCTCGAACGAGATCGATGAATCCAATGTCGATCAGGGTTCGGAATTTGGGACATGTTCCGTCGTACACTATTTGGGCTTCTCAGAAACGGCCCAGCCCAAGCAAGAACGGGTATGTTAGACGAGGGATGATGCACTGACCATGGTCCCAGAGGCGATGCGCCCGAGAACCAGCATCGATGCCAAACGATCGAAATGGATCCGAACGATTTGCTGGAAGCACGGTTACAGGGCCAACCACGGCCTGACTGGTGGTATTCGAGACGCCTTGCGACGAACTGTCTACTAACAAAGGACTCACATCGAGCTCCCAGGTTGTCTGTCGCTGTCGATGAGGATGGCGACGCCGGTAGTTGGCCTGCGCGTGGCTGTGCACAAGCCTGCGTGTCTCGGCGCTGGGCCTTGTCTCTGGTCCACTTACGGCAATGAATTGATACTGTTGCTCAGGCTTGGGAGCCGAGTCTCTTCCTAGTCGGCTGCGTGACGGTCCTTCTGCCATGTTGCCGGCGCTTCAGGAGAGGGTTAAATTGTCTCCTTGCAGACTCATGATGACCGAATCGACCGATCTGGTGGTGGCTGCCGCCGAAGAGAATTGAGCTGGCGCTTGGATGTCCACAGAATGCAGCATCCTTCGGTTTGCGGCTGATGGTGTGGTGGGTTGTTTGTGTCGGAGTACCTCCGAGGAATTACCCAAATCGCAGTCTCCTGCACCACCACGTATGTAAGCGACACCTCTGCACCAACGCCACCGTCAGCTGCGCGGATAGTATGCACGGACCGGGATCAGATTGATCTGTTTTGGGTCTAGTTCATGACGCTGTGGGAAGAGACGGTGGTGCAGGTGGTCAGGAGCTGAAGAGAATAGGTAGCAAAGGTTTAGATTGGAATACTGCTTCAAAGAGCCATGGAGCCACAGACGATTAGACGTAATCTATCAAAGATCAACTGCGCATCAGGGCATGAGTCTTCTAATAATAATGCAGCAGCATAAGTTCTCACTTGCTCCTGACTTGAGAGTTTCCACCAAGTACAGAGACTTCTTCAGAAGCGTAACAATTCCCTTCTCTACTTTTTCTTCTTTGGTGGCGGATTTGTCTCGACACCCTTGTACGACACGGACCCAGGCAACTTCTCCCACGGAGCAAAGACATTCTTGAGGCTCTTCTTGTTCAGCGCCTGCTTCAGCTCGGGGAAATGTCTGATCAGAACATCCTTCATGCCTGTGTTCTGCACCCACTGCAGGCCCTCCTTCGTGTACGTCGCCGCGTTCCACTGGCCCGCGATGAAGCGGTCGCTCTTCAGCCGTCGGGACGCCATGAGGATGAATATGCGAAACGCCGTGTCGCTAAAACCGAACCCGGCGGGCACCGGCTCGCTGTGCGACCCAACCAGTGTGTCCACCAACTCGATGTCACCGCCGTAGGCGTCTGAGAGGGCCGAAGCCAGTGCCGTGTCGCCGCCGGTCAGGTCTTCGAAGGTCTTGGCCGGCGGCATGCGCAGTAGTCGTCGAAACTGGTTGTATCGCGGTACCCCCCGCTCCCGGTCCCGCAGGATGTCCACGGTGCCCATGTCTCGGTGCAGCCCGTCTGGGGTAGTCAGGTTGCGGAGAAAGTCCGGGTAGTTCGAGTTTGTGATTGCACCAGGGTAGTTGATGCCAAAGGAGTAGAAGGCGTCAGCGAAGGTGAGAGGCCCGTCGAGCGGTTTCTGGGCGTCGCCGAAGAGCATGTGCTTGACCTCGGTCTGGGTTTTGAATTCGCCGTCGCGTGCGTTGAAGAAGGCGATCGTGTCCGGAATCAGAGAGTGCATACGGTAAACCGAAACGAATTCCTCGGTGAGGGAATACGGCACGCCGAAGTGATCGACTCCCGAGCCCGGGATGCCGCTGATGACCTCACTTGTCTTGGAGATGCGGCCCAGCATCTTCGTCAAGGACTCGCCGACGAGTCCCCACCAATTCGCGCTCATGCCGATCTTGAGGGTCGGGTGGGCGAGAATGGCTGGGGTCCATTCCACCGTGTGGATCTTGGCCATCAGCGCACAGTTGACGAGCCGAGCCTTGTCGAAGATCTGGTCGCCGGTCCAGTCTGGGTAGTTTCGCCGCAGCATGTCGCAGATGGAATTGTGTTCCAGCGCAAAAAGCGTGTGCAACATCTCCATGCCTATCCACCAGTTGTTGTTGAAGCCCGTTAGAGGGTTGCCCTGGTCGTCACGCGGCAGGAACTGTGCACGGCAGTCTTTGGTGAGCAGCAACTTGCCGTCGCTGTGTTTGTTTCGCAGCGTGGTGGTGACCTCCTCGCTCGAGCCGTAGATTTGTGAACTGTCCCACCACGCCGTGTTGACGTTCTTGTAGCCAGGGCATCTTTTGTCGGTCTCACTGAGGACTGCATCCGGTTCTGTCTGTGGCAGCTCCATTTTGCCATAAGGCCACTTATCTCCGTGAGGGAGGGGGATGTCGTAGTTCGCCTTGCTCTGTAAGGGAGTCGGTTATCACCGCATTTTACTCGCGAGCTATTGATGGGCATTTGTGCAAGGGGCTCCGGTCACCTACATTCTCATGGAAGAACCAGTCATGTGTCTGAAATTGGATCCACGCTGCTGCCAGCAAATTCAACGTCGTGGCCGGGATAAAGGATTTCCGTGCCATGAAGCGTTCGCTCAGCTAGAGAGAGGGTCATGTCAGCATTATTGCGTGGACGGAGGAGTCACGGATTCACTCACCATTCTCGGATTTGGATTCCACAGATCCTCGTCGTAAGGCTTCGGGCAAAAGGCCCTGGGAAAGTTGCGGCCCAAGCGCATCCCCGCGCATCCCATGAGTGGCATTTCAGTCGAGTTGAACTTGCCATCCGAGTTACGAGCAGTCTCGAATCGCTTGTCAGGCATAGGCACGGTAGACTGAGTGCCCTGGGCGGCTCCAGAAGGATAGACATCGTGTAAGTTGTACTGGCGAAGCTCGACACGTAAGGCCTCTAAGTTGAGGGCGCCGACCAAGCTGGGGAGTTTGTGCCATGGGACGAACTTGTTGACGAGATGGAAGAAGCCTACAAGCAAACGATCCGTGAAGTTAGGATTGTAGCTGGGTCTCACGGCTTCGTCCATGCTGGCGACGAGGGGTGAGGATGTTCGCGGCAGAAAGATGAACGAAAAGCTGCACGAGGAGGAATGGGGGATCGTTGTTAAGAACGCAGTGACGGTGATCGGAATGACTCTGCACAAGCCATGCGTCTCAGCTGCGCCTTCGCGGGTGTGTGCGTGCGTCAAAACCTGTCACACACGGAGCCAGCTGCGATTCTCCCGCTGTCATTTCTCCAAGAATGGCTGGCCGCCTGAAGCTGTGAGGGTTCGTGTTCGTGTTGGGTTGTCGTAACACCTGCCAGTGACAAGGTGCAAGAGGTGCAAGAGGTGCAAGAGGTGACCGCCAAGCCGCGACAAACCAGTTGCAAGGCTGGCTGCTTCCCAACTGGTTCGGTTGCTGTGCAAGGCCTGCACCTGCCTCCAGCTCGCATGCAAACTGCTCTCAGCTTATCCGGCTAAACCACGAATATTGAATGTTGGCCAGTCCTCGTGATACTCTTGGTCCTTGTGACCCTGGTGCTCAACTCGTGTAACGGACGTGTCGAAGCGTCGAAATTCCCACGCTAGCCTGCCTGGCTGTTGACACAGGTGTTGGGGGAGCCCCTTCACCATCTCTGTGATCCTCCTGTTTGCCCAATTGCCTTCTCATCAATTCTAATCGAGGGTGTATAGAGACATTGGAATCTTCCGAGTCATCGGCAACTTTTCACCAAAACACCACGATGTACTTGACACTTACCAACATCGCGAAGACGGCCTTCACCGGGGGTTACCGTGACAAGTCTCAAGCAGCCTCCCGCCATGGTGAAGAAGATCACACGTATATCAAAGGGGACATCGAAACTCGCGGGCCATGTCCTGGGCTGAACGCCCTGGCAAACCAAGGCTACCTGTACTTACCATCGCCTGCATCTCTCTCCCCGAAAGTGGCCAGAAGCGACATGTGCTGACCTCGAAGCAGGCCGCGAGACGGGAAGAATCTCACCATTCCTCAAGTCCAACACGCCCTCGAGACGGCCCTGCACATGTCTCCGCTCGCCGCCGGGTCGCTCTGCAGCAGTCTTCCCCCGCTACTGCGTAAGGACGGCACCTTCGACCTCGTGGACACCCGCCGTCACAATGTCATCGAGCATGACTCCTCCTTCACCCGGCTTGACTTTCACCAGGGTGACAATTACACCTTCCAGCCAGACATGTTGCAGGCTATGATCGATGATGCGGATGGCGGGCCGGTGACCCTCCGATCGCTAGCCAAGACATTCATCCGTCGGGACAAGGAGAGTCGGGCTGCAGGGGCTCCAAAACTGCCGTTGAGGCTCTGGTTTGTTCGAGTGTTGCAGGCAGTTGGGGTGATGAACACGGCTCAGACTGGTGGCATCTTGACCAAAGAAGTGTTGCATGCTGTTTTTGTGGAGGAGCGGTTTCCGGAGATCATCCTCGAGAACCCAACACCGAGGACTGTCTTGACATTGCTCGGGAATGCGCTGGGAATGATGCGATATGTCATCTTTGGGCCTTAGAAAATTAGACACCGCTGACGGCGTCAAAGTATCGGCTTATCAAGGTTGCAAAGCGCGTTTATAGTTTTTTTTTTTTTTCCCCCGAACTCAGCAAAGCTCTAGTTTGTCCGAATGCTCCTCTGTACAATTTCCGATATATTGCCGACCAACTCGTGAAGTCTTCACATGCCAACACAAGAATGCTCCGTACCTCGAGACGACAAGGTAGTGAGACCCTGCCAACGCTACCTACTCAACCCCTTGCCTTTACTTCTAGCCCTGGGCTGTCCCTCCGGCGGCTATTACTACTCTGGTGCCTGACCCTTTGTCCTAGTCTCCTTGGGCTGTTCGCCAGCGGCCACCTCTTCGACGGCTTCGCCGAGGATACTTAGGCCCTTTGCCATGTCATCCTTTGAGATGTTCAAGGGTGGGATGAATCGCAAGGTGTCGTAGATTGAGGTAGTGAGGACTAGCATGCCCTTTTCCATACACTTGGCCTGCACCTTGGAGGCAATGCCCTTGCCAGACACGAACTCCATCGCCTGCATCAACCCGAGGCCTCTCACGTCGTGGATCATGTGGCCAAAATCCGCTTTTGTCTTTGCCAGCATGTCGGCCATTTCTTGCCCTCGGGCATTCACATTCTCCAAGACCCTCTCGTCCTTGAAGGCCTTTGCCACGGCGACGCCGGCCGCGCAGGAGACGGCGTTGCCGGCGTACGTCCCGCCCATGGACCCTGGCTTCTGCGTGTCCATCAGCTCCTTCCGTGACACGATTCCGGACAGCGGGAATCCGTTCGCAATGCCCTTGGCCATGACCATGATGTCCGGCCGGACTCCCCAGTGCTCGATGGCGAACATCTTCCCAGTCCGACCAAATCCACACTGCACTTCGTCCGTGACGAGGAGAATGTTGTTCTTGTCACAGATTTCTCGGACACGGGCAAGATAGCCCGGCGGTGCGGGGACATATCCGCCTTCTCCGAGCACAGGCTCGATGAATATGGCTGCGGTATCTGATGGAGCAGTCTCCCTCTTAAGGAGGAGTTCCAACTGGGCGACGGGATCCATGCAGCAGTTGTCAAAGCCATGTTTGCCGGTGTGAGAAGCGATTGAACATTGTGCGCAGTAAGGGAATGGCACAGCAAACACTCCGGGCATCAGCGGGGCATAGTTCTCGCTGTAGATAGTCTTTGACCGCGTCATCGCCATGGTCCCGAAGGTGCGTCCGTGGTAGGAGCCTTGCATGACGATAATGTTCTGCTTCTTAGTCGCATGCCGGGCCAGCTTGACCGCAGCTTCGACCGCTTCTGAGCCAGAATTCCAGAAGAAGAAGGTGTCCAGGGATTTATGGGGCATCAGGGGCAAAAGGGACTCGATGAGCTCGAGATACGGCCTTTGGAAGGCGATGTTGACTTGAGCATGGACAATTTTCCCAGCTTGGGCTTGAGCGGCTTTGGTGACAGCTGGGTGGCAGTGGCCTAGGTTGGCCACGCCAATGCCGCAGGTGAAATCGAGCATCTTCTTCCCTGAAGTCATTGTGACATAGCTGCCTGAGCCGCTCTCGATGACTTCTGTAGACAGACGACCAATTCCTTTGGCTACATGGCGGATGCCAAACGCGGCGAGCTTGGAAACACTCATGGCAATCGAGGTCTGCGCGGGGCTATCGTGAGCAGATTGTTGGCTCGGATAGTAGAGAAGTCAACAAAACGCGCACAGGAGTTGAGGTCTGTTTGTGGATAACAGAGCTGCCCGAGTGTCAAGCGCTGCAACGGCTCAAAGGCCTCGAAAATATTCAGTTGACGCTTGGAGATTGAAACTGTGCGTGGTTCAATGTTTCGTCCTGTAGTCTGATTACGTTTAAACTTTACGTCATTGGCCAGTTGGCGGAGAGTAACTTTTGTGTTACGTATTCTGGGAGATGAAGCGAGGGGGATGGGAACAGCGACAACAACAACAACAACACCACCACCACGACGATCGAAGCTGGTATGATATTCTGACTGCGAGAACGCGGAATTATATCTCAGGAAGCATGAGCCAAGGACCGAGCATTTAGAGCACGTGGGGCGGCTGTTGAAGTCCCCGGAATCATATTGACTTCGATTTCATTCTTCTTCAGGACAGTGATCACTCAGAGATGCTCACGACCGTTGATGGGATTCATGTCCAGCTTGAAGTTACAATCCAGCTGTCATGTTCCTTGGAATCTCAGTAGCTAGGAGGATCAGCCTTCGACTGCAATGCATTTGCTTAGGCCTTGATATGCTCTTCTGTGTTCACATGTTCCACGGTCGCCTCAACCTTCTCGGTCATCAATTCCTTCACACCCTTTAGGAACCAGATACCCACCAAAGCAAGGACGACAAAGGGGATGATGCTCGCCCACGCAAGTCTATATGCGTGAGCATATGCCCAATGACTAGCATCCAGCGTCTTCGCCTCAATCGTCGCATTCATCCCAGGGATTCCGACAAGACCAGTGCCCGCATACAGAGCTTCTATGAGAGCAGGCACGGATGACTGAGGCAAACCTGCCTCGACTGCCGCATTGCCAACTGTGGTCGGATAGGATTTGAGCTTGCCGTTGATGATGGCATCCAGGACCGCCGAGCCAAATGCTCCTCCGATCGCACGGGCCGAGAAGCCCAATCCTGTTGCAGTGGAAAGAAAGGCATGGGGAGCGGTGAACTGGATCAAGGCAACGATGAGTGTCAAAGGACCGGATTGGCCAATGCCGGACAGAACATTGAAGCCAATCTGAGCACTGTTCATGCTAGGTGTAATAACGGCATAGCAGATGCAGCTGACATTTCCATCCATTAGTGACAGGTTTGTTTCAGGTGCCAACAATTTACTTACACGACGAGGAAAATGACGAATGTCGCGATCAAGGGAGATTTCAAATCCTTGTACTTGGTAGCATACAGCCTGTCCATCTCGTTAGCAATTGCAACAAATCAAAAGGATGCACGCTCACGTTAGTGGGATGGACGTAAACAAAGTCACAAGATTGTAAGACAGCTGCCGGATGGAGATCTTCCATGCATTGGTCTGGAATCCAAGATTGAGAATAATCTGAGGTGTGACACTGTTGACAGCGCTGTAGAAGATCCACCCTTCGACGGCAAATGCAAACACAGACAGCGCGAAATTGGGCGAGCCCTTGAAGAAGACGTGGGCAACGATGCCATCGGATCGACCTTTCCATTCTGTAAACCACTGTTAGCGGGTATCACTGGGAGAAGATGCCATCAACGGAGTATCTACAAACCATAAAGACAAAATACTGCCAAGAATCCGAGTCCAACGCCGAGAGGAGCAGCAACATGGACGTCCGACCAAGCGTAGGCACCGCCTGCCCAGTCTAAAGCCAATAAAAGAAGCGTACAAGCCACGATGAACACGAATGATCCGATGGGGTCGATGGCCCAGATGTATTCTTTCAACGACATCTTGGGATAGTCGGATCGTCGAGTAGGATGGTAGAAAAGGACGAGCCCGATGAAAGTAGCTGCGTGAAAGGCCGCTTGCATCCAGAAGATGTCTCGCCAGCCTGACGGGCTTTGGTTGGTAACGCCGCCTGAGCCGAGAATCCCGACGCTGAAATACTGAGTTAGCGAGATCCGAAGCTTTTCCATCGGTCAGTAACATACAGTCCGCCCACAGCGCCTCCCAGGAAGGCAAATCCATTGGCGAGAGCTCTGTATTTGAGCGGCAAGACCTCGCTGGGAATGGCTTGCACAATGGCAATCGTGCTCAAAGTCACACCGATGAGAATACCACCTCCGATGAGCATGGACATCGAGGTTGCTTTGGCTGACATGACTGCACCTCCAAAAGCGATCAGGGGCGGTATTGAGGCCAGCCATTTCCGATCCAGCACATCGCTCAGACGACCGACAATTGGAGACAGCACACTCTGCATAAGCAACGGGCCCTCTGTGAAGCTTCAGTTAGCCATGGTAAAGAAGGTTCGAGACCATCATGTCACTCACGGATGATCCAGCCAGCAATTGGCGCATCACCCAGATCTCGAATGATGAATGCAATGACAGACCCAGCGGCCACGACGACGAAAACTTGGGCCATGATGGCAAAGCAAGTGACGAAGACGACCAGCCATGATCGCCAACTCAGGTTGACATGCTCAGCCTCGTTGAGTTCTTGAATGTGTTGCATGGGAGCCTCGAACTCGGCAGCCCGCTGTCTCTCGCGTTCACGCACCTGGGCGGCATTTTCGATGATTTCTGTCGTCTGTGAGACGTCCTTCTCGTTGGCCATTTTGCTGGGCTCAAGAATTGTTGTATGTTAAGAAGGTGAGGGAGTGAAGGAGGGAGTCAAGGAGGGAGTCAAGGAGCGAGGTTGATCAGAGGACAGGATTCCACGGAAGCCTTCTCCTACGAGTTATACTTAGGCAGACCACGGACCGGTACGCATTGTGCATGACCTGCTTCGTCTGCGTTCTAGCCACCGTATTTTGCCCCGGCAGTTGATCCAGAGCTATTCACCGGGCAGACTCCGTCTCGCTCCTCCGCCACAAGCACCAGGTTTCAGGCATGATCTGGCTGGAGATGGGGCACGACAACCAATCTTGTGAAAGGCGGTCTCCCAAGGGGCAAGCTGGCTACCAATCGTCCACCGGCTCGTTCTGTTCCATGGGGGTATTTTCCGGAAGCTGGTGTGCGACCCGCACGTGGCGATCGTTCGGCAATTGCTGGGATGTTTTAGGGCGAGCCGAGAGTGCTTGGAACCTTTGACTCGAAGGCACTGACCTCAGGGGAGAATGGGGAGGTCGAGGGTCAAAAAGTGGGTAAAAGCCAGCGATACGAAGGATGGAAAGGAAGTGGAATGGGAGGCTGGAGGTGGGATTCTGGCGGTGCATGCGTTCTGCGGAGAAGCTGGAGCTGCTTGTGGGGTCTTGGATCCCTCATCTCCTAATTTCGACGACATCAGTCGCAGGCACTTTTTTCCTTTCCTCGCCGCCCGAAGGATCGGACCAAAACCCTCGTGGCCTCAGCTCGCTTGTTCCCCGTGCGATAATGGACGATGGAGCCACCTTTGGGTCCTCGGAAGGAACCCCTTACCAAGACGTCTTTTAGATCGACCGCCCTGACTACTTCAAATTGGTGGCAATACTTCGTAGACTGGATGAAAGTCGTCAAAATACGCTAGAAACTATCCTGGCCGAGACGATTGTGGGAGAAGAAGAGGACGACGACACCCTCGCTATGGTATTTGATGCTTGGACCTTGGCACCTGGTGATGGGGAGGTGAGGTGTGACAGGATCTGTTGCCGTAATAACATTTTAAGAACTGCCCTTACAGCTGCAGCTATTGATTGAGTGGACAGATGACGGCACGGAGGTCAAAAGAAGACTTGCGCTCGAGCGCGTCTCTATGATTCTCCGGTGAGTGAGTACCTGGTGGGATTGCAATAGAGGTGAGAAGAGCAACTCATCTCAATAATTCACTGTTGCATATTTTAACTTCACTGTGATGACTCCTCCCCCATCTCATTATCGGGTTCTTTTGGTAAGTCTCTTGAAGTGAATCTCATACAAGTCATCAGCCAATTGGCAAATCCGCAACACTTGACCAGCGGCCAGTGTTAATCAATGTTGCAATACCCACTGTCAAGTCCTCCTTATCACGTCCTCCGAGGCCACTTCACCATCGAGTCAAACATCGTCGTCGATTCTTGACATGGACACACGTGGTCTTGCACCGAAATGGCAACCGCAAACGCTAGGACCAACGCCAGTACCGTTGAAAAAAGGTCCTAACACGAGATCTGCCGGAAGTCTCTCCCAAAGTGAGCCAGACTCGGATATGGGGAAACTGGGAGATATTGAAAACGAAGGGAGTGATTCCCCGTCGCTTAGTCGACGCAAACGTGCGATAGATCCTGAGCTCGAGGAAACTCCGCGAAAGAGACTACCTCCTAGCGCCGGCAAGGACGAATGGGAAGACAGCAGCGACGAGGAAGAAGGCAACAGCAAATACTTTCAAACCCGTCTTGCAGACAGCACACCAAACAAAGAAAAGGCTACAGGCAAACCGTCTCGTTCTCACAGGATCTCCAAGTCAAAGGGAGCAGAGGCCAAGAAGCTGTCCATGTCAAGTATGTGTCAAATCACTTTTCCTCAGCGCTTTATGCTGTGTCGAAGCTAAGGCCAAATTGAATGCTACTGACATGCATCACCTCAAGAGACCGCGGTCGACTTTCGAAATCGTAAAGAAGTCGAAGGACATTACAAAAAGAAAGTATGCGCAATGATCGACCACGATGTCCTGGAACGGGTCGAAGCAGAAGGAGGCATCACGCCAGCTGGGAGAATGTACAAAGCTGTCTATCGGATGATGGAGCGCCGCAGACGCACCGAGCGGCCGGCCGCGAAGGGCGCAGGCCACGAAGAAGTCAGAAGGCTGAGAGCTGAGAATCAAGCGATGAAGGAGAAGATCGATGAAGCTACCCGACTGTTACGCTCTGCTTGAAGCATGGATCTTTCGGACCGAAGGCGAAAGGTCTTTTTCGTTGCATTGTACTAGACTGGCTGTATTGCAAAATCTATCGATTGTTGAGACAATGAGGTTGCGGGTTGAAAGCTGAAGCAACCGATTCGTTAGGCGAAGTTGCAACTTGGAAGATGCTGAGCTTGGAAGCGAAGATCGGGACGCTGCGCAGTATCGAGAAATCTATTCTATCCTCCCAACAAGCATGGAAGTCTATCCCGTCACAATACAATCCTGTAACTCTCTCGCGCGTTGGCCCCAGACCTGTGTCGCATTCTATAATTTGGCCTGCTTCTGGTTTGAAAAAACGGCCTTATCATGCACGCACGTAACACACAGCTTCCCGTTCACATAAATCTTGCCCATAATGTTTGCCGTATTCCGCCCGGCAGCTTGAACCTCGCAGTCCACGATCGCTTTACTGCCCATAGGAACCGGGCGCAAGTAACTCATGGTGATGGTCCTGCTGACGTGCCCGCCATCCAGGAATCCGTCCCTCGCAATCGTCAGGAGCGCCGTGCTCGTCAGGTTATCCAGCAACGTCGCCGCGGCGCCGCCGTGCAGGTTGCCGGACTTGTTGCACAGCTCCGGTCCGATCTCTAGACTCCATTTGACGGTATTCGGCTGAGCGTCGAGCAGTTCCAGGTTGGCGTGTTGGAGTGAGTGTGTGTCGAAGCCGAAGTAATTGGGGTCATTGAGGATTTCCTTCTCGAGACCCAAAACGCGTTCGCGGAGCGGCAAAGAGAGGAAGTTTTGGATCTGGAAGACTTTCCTGTGGGGATTTATTCTGTTGGTTTCTGACATGATTGAGATTGTAGAAGAAGAGTCCCCAGGCCTTGAACTGTGTGCTTGAATGGGCTTTGGTTGGCTGCTGATATTCCGGCACCAAGGTCGAGTCGCAAGTAAGCGTGTATCTCTGTTTCCCAAAGCCGTTCAAGAGATTGAATGGGAAGAGAATTTCAAGGTTGCAATATCGTAGTTTGATCGGGGTCTATCAGAACCAGCAACGCAGCGAGGTATAAAGTGACTCGATCTCAGCGAAGACGTTGGCTGAAGTTGTTTAAGGCATGCAGGGCGTAGAAAAGGGAACGACCAAATTGTCAGTTGCCGAGGTTCAATTTGCTCAGCCGTTGCACGTGGAGATAAGATAAGGGGACTTGGTGGGAGGGCACCAGCGCAGTTCAGCCTCCGCCATTGCGCAGTCTTGCGCAGTCAGCCTTCCCTCTGGCCCTGGTCGAAGTAGCACCAAATCACATAGCCATTGGCCCAGACGAATGTCGCCCTCCCCTCTTGGGATGCATGATTACGGTGCAACACAGTCGACTCCATACAGTAAATGCCAATCAATTGACGGCTCGAGGGTAATTAGCGGTCATGTTCGAGGCGCGTCTTGGACTCTCGGACCCAGACTTGGGCTAAGGATAGTGAGGCTGATGCGCATTCCAGTCCCCATCGTTGTGAACACCGTCAACGTTGCCTTTCCTCCATATCCACTCCCTCGATCCATCTTTGTTTCAGCCTTTCAGCCGATCACCGACACGGCCCTGAGTACCCCCTTTCTTGAATATGGTCTGGTTGGAAGAGTGGTGTTATTGTCACGACGATGGACGAGGACGACAATGTCGATAATGCTACCTCTTCCGAGAACAACAAACCATCCAGACGGGAGCGGCTCAAGGGAGCACTGGCCCGGACGAAGAGCAAGTTCAAAAAGAACAATAATGATACCAACGAAGAGGGAGATCTTCCTGATGACGTGAACGAGTTTTTGGCTGCGGGCAGGACATCTACCTCGAGCTGGCCATCGCACGGAGACAGCCTTCCGCATCCTATACCTACGAGCATCACCACCACCCCCCTTGACCAGAACTCTCCGACCTCTACACGGCCATCGACGTCCGATTCATTCACCAATCCCTCTGCCTCTCAACGTTCACCGAAAAAGCTCCCTGTCCCAAGAATTGACGTCTCCAACGCGCAACGTTGGCCCCGAGCCCAGCCCATTGGAACCTCAGAGCAGGACATCAACGACTTCTTGCGTCCAGAATACCAGGGGCGTAGTCAGTCAGTCAGCTCGCTCTCTACCAAGCCTAAGCGCAAGGGGCGTGGTAGGGGACTAAGTGTCTCCTTCATCGAAGCTCCCCCGGTCATTATTGGCGAGGGCGGGGACGATGCGCCTACACCTCCAGTCGAGATCTCAAAGGCGAGACAAAGAGCTAGATCTGCATCACCAATGCCAAACCGTGGTCAGTCTCAATCGCGTGACCACTCGAGAAGTCCAATGAATGGGGCATCCGAACAACGACGTGCTCCCCCTCCTCCCCCTCCGCGCCTGGCACATGCACCCCCAGACGTTCTGCGGCCTAGAATGCTGCAGCGAGTGCAAACAGGGAACTTCGCAGGAGGCACAATGGGGGCATCTGCCTTGGACAAAGAATTCGAAATGACGCTGCGGCTTGGGCCAAATGCAATCAACTCGCCGGTCAGCCCGGGAGGATCACCTAATACTCCAGAGCTTCTCGCTCCGAAACCGGTACGGGTCGTGCACCCGCCACCACCAGTGTTAGAAGAACCGGCTCAACCCCATGTGGTCAAAAAGGAGATACCCAATGCAGATTTGCGCAAACAATTCAGAGAAGGGGATGCGTTGCGTATGCACCTTGATAGAGAAGCGCCAGAAATCGTTGACTCAATCGCCGCCGGCGGGCCGGTGAAGAGTGACGCAAACTCTGACTAGCAAGAGTCTCAGATTTGGATATGAAAAGAGTCATGGTTAGCTGTCATACCACGGCTACGTCGATGAGTCTGTTGAGATCTAGCTGGTTGCCTCATTGATTGCGTTCAGCGCCTTGAAGCCTTGGATCAGGTCGTCAAGCAAATCTTTCTCGTCCTCAATCCCGATACTAACCCTCAGGAGATCTTTCTCCACTGTCGAATCCGTCATTGTCCTCCACTCAATCAAGCTCTCAATTCCACCTAGACTGGTCGCGTGATGGAAGAGATGGAGTTTGCTAGGCAGTGCCCTCGCTAGCTCCTGGGATTTTAAAACGATGGAGAAGACCGGGCCATAGCCATTGGGCATCTGTTTCTTCAACCAAGTCTTGTAATCTTTGGTTTGCAGACTCGCATGATGGACTTCCTTGACAACAGACTTGATGATTTCTGCGTCAGACAGAGACAGGCCGGTGCCGACAGTGTGACCCGTCAGAGCGCCGTCGAGGGCGTCAACTATCCTCTTTGCCGATTCACTCTGCTTCATGACTCGGAGCTCCAGCGTCCGAATACTCCTCACCCCGAGCCATCCTTCCAAACCGCCCATCACGGAGCCCAGATACACTCGATCCTGCAACATCTTTGGAATCCACTCCTTCTGTTTTACTGCCAGCACACCACAAAGCATATCCGAGTGGCCACCAATGTACTTGGTGCCCGAATGCATGACCACGTCTGCACCGTGCTTGAAGGGGTCCTGCAGGGGTGGCGGTGCAAACGTGGAGTCCACGCTGAGGTATGCACCTCGTGAATGCGCAATGTCGGCGTAATGCTGGATATTGAACGCCAGCCCTGTAGGGTTCACCGGGGTCTCCAAGTGCAGAAGATCCCCCTCTTGTAAATCCTCCGGCCTGCAGTCCAGTGGAAGGAGCTGCAACCCGGAAAGTCGCTGATGGAGCCTCAACACACCATGGCATCCATGATATCCCGCCCCGATGGCCACTCTCTTTGGATTCAAGAACGTTATCAATGCGTTGAATGCCGCGAGTCCAGAAGAATATGTTAAGCAAGGGTTTTGCAACAGCACGCCCAGGATCGTTTCCAAGCGCGATGTACTGTGTGTCGTGTGACGAGAGTAATTGTGTTCCGTGGGCGCAAAAATGGGCTCAGCTCGTTCATGATATGGACGAAGTTGCGAAGGGTTTTTGTCGTAACGGAAGGTAGTGGAGACGTGAATTGGAGGGGCTACATCGTCGACAACGTTGAGAGGGTCGTCGGCGTGGATGGCTAGGGTCGAAGGAGAGAGGGAGGCTAGGTCTAAGTGTTCGGACAGGCCTTCGAAGTCTCGAGAATCGGCAGAGGTGGGCGCAGGTTGAGGAAGTTCAGAAGAACTATTCCCGCAACGAAGCAGTGACCCGTTGGTGGTGGCCATATCTGGAGGGTGTCTGTGAGATGTGATGAATCAAAGTCTATACCGAGTACCTCGTAGTAGAGGGAGAGTTCAGAGAAGAGCAACGTCAATGTGAAAACGAATGATTAGCACGCGCCCTCCCATTGACAAGTTTGTGGATAACGTGCTTGACGCAGGGATTTCAATTGTTCAATGCCAGCAGCGGGGAAGCCCGTGTGCGCTGGTCGCGGGTTGCTGCGTATCGCGGTACCATCGCTTGCCAACTGACGCCTATTATCCATCTGAGGGGTGCCCGTCGCGTGGTCAGAAAAATTGTTATATAAGCTCGCTTGAACTACAGTTTGTAGGTATTGTTGGGTGCCTGCTCCCAGGAACAAGGTCGACTTTCAGACCGCCCTAGCGAGCTACGTAGGCAATTGGCCCTTTCATTTGTTGTGTTACACAATGCGCTGTTTCCAAGAGAGCTTCTCAAGTTGTCTACAGTTTGCCCAGGTCAAACAACCATGAGCATGAGATGCACAGATTTTGTCCGATGATACTAACATCGTGTCTTCATGACCTTTGAGCAAAGCCCCGCGTGTCTGCTGTCCCTGCAGAGTATTTCTCATCGTCCCCAAGGATCGTTTCCACAATGGATGTGTTCATTGCGAACCTCGATTCCAAGGTTACTAGAGACAAGTTGAAAGATTCCCTGACTCCCATTCTCTCCGAATATCAGATTCATGTCTTCCATGTTCAAAAAGCAGTCGGCAAGAAGTTTGCGACACTCACAATTGCAGATACTTCGAAAGCCCAGAGACTCCTCTCCAGAGCTCGCGCCGCCCCAGCTCTTCTCTCATCTCCGTCCGGACGACATGCAGTGTTTGACATAAGTCGAAAACCTGTGGATCCTCATTGGTTGCGTGTTCTGCGCAAAGAAGAGAAGGACCGACAGAACATCCAAGCATGGCAGAAGTCTTCGAAGCTCGCTGCAGAGACCCAATCACTTGAACGGGAGCCAGGGCTGAAAATCACAAAACTACAGTGTGGACGTTGGGAGACGATGACAGGAAGGACCACATTCGTGCCCTACTTCGAGCTTTCGGCAGAAGGCAGCCTGAGAAGAGACAGACGAGCGCTGGTGGTACAGGTCAACACGACTCCTTCCAAACGCCATGATCTCGTAATAGATCTGTCCTGCATACTCGCTTTCGCCCTAAGACGCACCAATGCCCCTAGCACTTTAATAATCACCCTGGTAGCTGCACCAAGAATCTACGAGAATGAGGTGCCTGCGGCACCTGCGATACCTGCGACCCATTCGACATTGACCGAGATGGTGGCAACTTTACACCTAGACCCGCAGCCAGTTAGGAGATTTCGTGAGTGCACACTACCGGGGTTGGAATCTGCTGTCGTTGGCAGTTGCTTGACATACAGCATGATCGTGTCGGTAGATGGCTTCAAGCTGGAGCACCGCATCAAGGCAATGACCCATCACCGATTTCCTATCACGATATTGCCTGTTCATCCGGATGCCCCTCTCCCTCCTCGACAGGTCAAGTTTGCGCCACGGTTGTCCGGGCTGGCAGCACGTATCGCGAATGAGAAATGTTCCTTTGCATGGAGATTCCAATTACATGCATTATGGGCCAATGGCATTCTGTCTCCAGCAGAAGTTCGGTATCTCATGCCAGCCATGACAGATCTGCTTGCCCGCTCAGGCGAACGGACCCTCATTGCGGTCTTGCGGCAGCTTAGCGTGCAACTGTCTCATACCGATGCTACCACTGATGCCTGGAAGGGTGGTGTGAGGGATGCCTGGAACACCCTTGCACAAGAATCAAGCCTTTTGTCTGGTTATGATGATGTGCAAACTCCGGGACGAGATGAGGTCTCGGTTCACCGTGTCACAGTCACTCCTACTGGCATCTATCTCTGTGGTCCGGAATTCATTTCGTCGAACAGAGTCCTGCGACAGTATCGCGCACATTCTGATTGTTTTCTGCGAGTCCTTTTCTCCGAGGAGGATGAAACGCGGATAGAATTCGATAGGGATACTTCTAACGAGCGGGTCTTCCGAGGTCGTTTCCTGTCAATTCTGCGTAACGGCTTGGATATTGCCGGTGAACACTTCGACTTCCTTGGGTTCTCGCATTCATCCTTGAGGTCACAAACATGTTGGTTCATGCGACCTTTTGTTCACGATGGTTCATTATTGTTTGCCAAAGATCTCATCAGCAAACTCGGTGACTTCAGCGTGATCAGATGTCCTGCCAAGTGCGCAGCGCGGATTGGTCAAGCCTTCTCTGAAACCACATACACCGTACGGGTAGAGCCGAGCATCGTCCAAGTGGACCCTGATGTCAAGGTCGGACGATACCTGTTTACTGACGGCTGTGGCACAATTTCGAAGTCAGTGTGGAAACTCCTCCGAGGTAATGTGGGCTCCCGGGACCAGCCTACTTCCTACCAGATTCGCTACAAAGGTGAGTAAGAGCCCATGGAGGGGCTTTGCTGACTGTTTTGCAGGAGCCAAGGGGATGCTTACAGTCGATCCGCGCCTCCAAGGAGATCAAATTCGACTACGAGAATCAATGGTAAAGTTCAATGGTAGCCCTTCTGACGAGGTCGAAATCTGTGGTACAAATGCTCGACCACTCCCTTTCAAGCTAAACCGCCAAATTATCAAAATCCTTGAGGACCTTGGGGTTCCTGCCTCGGCGTTCGAAAGACTGCAAGAACAGGCTATACAGCGATTACGTCTCAGTGCATCCTCAAGATCCGTTGCTCTCAACTTCATCAGCGAACGCCTATCTGATAGTAGCAGCGGCTTACCCGGACTTCTCAAGTATCTCGGGTACATTGGGGTTGACGCTACAGAGGACGATTTTCTACGGGAAATACTTGGAGCGCTAATCCAGATTCAACTCCGAGAAATCAAGTATCGAAGTCGCATTCTAGTCCCGGAGGCGCTCACGCTCTACGGGATCAGTGATGAGACTGGTTGGCTGAAGGAAGGTGAGGTCTTCGTCACTTTCCTGGCGGAGGACACTCGGACCCATTCCTGCCTGAGCGGGCGTGTGGCCGTTACCCGGTCTCCTGCTCTGCATCCCGGCGATGTGCAGCTCGTTCAAGCTGTAGGACCGCCTCAGAGCTCCGCTCTCTGGAATCTTCGCAACTGTATTGTCTTCAGCCAGCAGGGTTCTCGTGACCTGCCTAGCATGCTGAGCGGCGGCGACCTGGATGGCGATCTCTACAACGTCATCTATGACGACGAGCTTTTGCCAAAGAAGACTGTAGCTCCTGCGGCATATCTACCAGCACAGCCTACTGACATCGGTCGTCCGGTCACTGCAGATGATATAGCAGGCTTCTTCGTGGACTTCATGCAAAATGACCAACTTGGCAGGATTGCTGTTCTACACCAGGTTTTCGCGGACCTTGGCAGCACCTTCTCACGCAATTGTCTCCTGCTTGCAGAGTTGCACTCAAATGCAGTGGACTTTTCAAAAAGTGGCGTCCCTGTCGACCCCAAGAAGATCCCAAAAGCTCCCGCTTACAGGCCTGACTTTATGGCTCCAAGCGCGAGCACCAAGGTTGAGAAAGGTATCAAAAGACCTGAAGTGGACGTTTTACCCAGCAGCGCTCGCCATTACTACTACTATGAGTCCGATCAAATCCTGGGTTGTCTTTATCGGGCTGTGAATGAGGATACATTCTTCCAGGATCTCGAGGATGACACTTCATCGCTATTCAGCAAGGCACCTACTAATGATGTGTTAAACGATATCCGCGATTGGGTGGTGACTTACCTCGGGTACTCGCGCATCCAGGCTTTTCATACAATAGCGAGGGAATTCAGGGATTAGTAAGTTCTGCAGCAGCTACGTGGACATAAGTTAATATGCGCAGCTACGAGTCCAATATGCTGGAGATAATGTCCCAATATGCAGTCCGCCGGACCGAGCAACTCACCGAGAAAGAAGTGTTCATCGGCGCGATAATGGGTCGCTCCGGCGCAGGAAGCAAACACCAACGAGAACAATCGGACTACATGAAGGCTCAGTTCAATCGCGAACTCCGCGAAATCAAATCACGGATGGAATATCAGGCAACCGGTGACGGTGATGATGATTTTGTTTGCCTTGCTGCTGCCTGTTTAGATGTAGCTGTGAGCGAACCTAGCAAGTTTACTGTGAAGTTGAGGAGCTTTGGGTGGTTTGCTGCAGGCTTATGTGTCCCTGATATCGTGAAGGAGAAGGAGGGAAGCATCTTCAGTGCATGACGGGCGTGTGTCCAGATTGTCAGTGTCCGATGAATCATGAGCACGTTTGGGCTAATACCGAGCAGAAGAAGGGTTAGCGCTCTGAAACTGAAGGAGGGCCACGAAGCTAGCAACACAGTCCTGAGTGTGGAAAGGCGAAAGTTTGCCGGGTCTCAGTGCTTGAGAAATTCTCGTGTCCTCTTTTAGCTCATGTGCCCAACTTTCGCTTGTTCCGCCGACGATGGCGACAACGACGGATTCTCGAGATGAGGAACAGCCAAGAATAGCCTGGTCGATCATCCAGCCTGGGTCATTTCAGCCACAAAGCGGCCCACCAGCCCCATCTTCTGGGCTATATAGCACTTGGCTAACTTCCAGTTGCCTCGCTGTAAGAAAGGGAGTTCTCACACGGTCAGAGTCAGCCGGCTTTGCATTCTTCTCTTCCCAAGACATGGGCTATGGCTGGGACTCGCGATCTTCATGACCCCGCTGTCAAGCCATTGATTCGGGAACGTGAGACCAAGACTGACGAGGACCTCATGGGTCGTGTCGAAGAGACCCCAAAGAAGATGAAAGGCATCCGCATCCCTCTCACAGGTGGCCGCCACCGTGTTGAACCATATGTTTCTCTCCGTGGCCGTCAAGTACAGTACAAGCTGACCCCTCCCTGCCCCCTGCCAACACTCAAAGGCCCCTTAGTGCTGGCAGCCTTGCCAAGTCATTCCAACAATCAATCAGGTGCGACGTTAGCCCCCAACCGGTGTAATACTAGGATGTGGACTTCTCCTTTTCCTTGTTCCCCCCGCCACCCCCCCCTTGTCCTCCCTCCAACGCAATATCTCGAATACATATCCTTTCCACCAGAAAGGGAAGCGTACGACGGGCCAGGGCTTTAAGAGCCTCCATCATTCAACGTTTTATTTTGCAAGAAGCTGTGGAATAGCTTTTAGGCTTAGGCTCTACGTGACTTTACTGTATCTACTCCGCAAGGAACGCTGTTCAGAGCATTGCTTCTCTGAAAGTCCTTGTCTCCCTATTCCGGAACACGATCCTCCCTAATCATAGCGGCCCCTTTCTCTCCAATGGCATACACCGTGGCCATTGTGAAGGCGCTAAGCTCCATGGGCAACACGCTGGCATCAATGACCCTCAATCCCTTGACGCCTATCACTTTCAACCTATCGTCGACCACTTTCCCCAATGCACATGTACCGAGCGGATGGTTGATTAAGGTTACGGCCTCACGCACGATGTCCCTCGCTGTGCTCGGATCATGGACGTCTCGCCCCTCAGCCGGGTAAAGGCGTCTCTTGACGCGGGACTCGACGTGTGGGGATCGGAAGACCCGATCCGCGAACGCCAGGCCGGCGGCGAGAACGTCAACATCAGCCGGGTGCGAGAGGAGACCGTAATCGATTTCAGGCGGGGCGAAGGGATCCGCCGAGGTGATGTGGACTGAGCCCCGTGAGGCAGGGTACATCAGGACGGCTTGAAGTGAGATACAGGGGTTGGCAGGAGGCTCGGTCGCGGGTGGGCCTGGCATGAACTTGGACATGTCGGCGTGTGCATTGAGGGTGTCGCAGTAGGCGGGGATGAGGATGAACTGGACCGCCGAGGCAGTGGGGGAGGAGAGACGCGAAGCCAAGATGGCGGCTTGCTGGGCGTCAATTGGAGACGGGGCGGACGAAGGAGAGATGAGCGAGGAGACAGTCTGCTCCAGTGTGCTAGCACCCACGAGCGAGGCATATGATGTGAAGCCATTCAGGCCTGGAGCGTTGGCCAAGACACCATCACGCGACTGTGCGTACAGGGTTTGTTGAGCGGCCAGGAATGCGGGATCGAGGTAAATGCAGTCCAAGCTGATGTCCCCGTCGCGAAGTTCGTAGCTTACGTTCGTCATGACTTGTTCCTGTGCATTGGCGCCGACATGTGGGTTTTCAACCAGAGCAGGAATGCCTGCTGCGCCTAGGACGGAGACATCTCCTATGCCGGAGAGTTCCAACAGCTGTGGTGTCTGGATCGATCCAGCGCTGAGAATGACTTCTGCTTTGGCATGGACCTCATGGAGCTGGTCCTGAGCTGGTCCGTAGGCGAACCGTACACTACGGGCGTTTTTGGAGTCGTTGAGGATGACTTTGGTTGCAGTGGCTCCGGTCAGGATCCTGAGGTTGGGCCGATCGAGTATCGGCGCGATGTAGCCTGTTGCTGCGTAGCTGCGGGTGCCCTTGTTGGTACTGCGGTCAATGGAACTCAAAGATCCGTACCAGCCCTGGTGTTCGCCCGAGTACGGCTGCTTGGCCAGAGGCAGGCCAGAGGTCTCCTTCAGGGCCTCGAGGACCGCGTCTTCGGCAGAGATCCTCGTGCTCGCGAACGAGGTATGAATCGGACCCTCTCCGCGGTGGATTTCAGGATCAATGCTGGGGTAGAAGTGCGGTTCTGGGTTCGTTGGAGGATCGTGATGGTCGACCTTGTGGAAGTATGGAACCATCTCATTCCACGACCATCCTGCAATGCCCAGCTCTTTCAAGTCGTCTAGGTCGCGAGCTGAGGGGTAGCAGTAAGCCATGAAATTAATGGCGCTTGATCCTCCCAGCACTCTGCCACGGGTTACATGGTGGGCTTTGTTGCTGTTGGCTTTCTATTTCGAGTTCCGCCAGTGTCAGTTTTGTTTCTGAATATCTCCAAGCAAGGTCTCTTAATTTATCCAGCACGCACCTGAGGCACCGTCGTGAAATCCCAGGCGTAGTCCGGATTCCTCAGCAGGAATGCGAGGGTTCCTGGAGTCTCGACCAGAGGGTCTCCGAGGCGATTCTGGCCTGCTTCAATGACTCCCACACGGACACTGGGATCCTCGCTCAAGCGGGCTGCCACGACTGCGCCGGCGGTTCCACCGCCCACGACGACATAATCGAAGTCGGCTTCAAGAAAGGTCTCGAGAGAGCAACAGACTCCTGAGTCGGTAGGTTGTTTAGATCCCATCTCGTCCTGATAGATAGCTCCTATAGTTGAGATGAAATATGCGGCGAGCACCAAGTAGATATGTGTTGTGACAGGGATCAATCTTGCTCCACGCGACACATCACGGTGGGCAGGCTGTGGCAAAGTCAGGGGCAGCAGCCTGTTTGAATTCAGCATAGCCATTTCATGGGTAAGCAGCGCACAAGGTAAGCACGCTATAAGAATAAGGAATCAAGGCCAAGCAGAATTTTGTGGGGTGGCTGATGATTGATCGATATTTTGATTGGAGGGCGCCATCGCCTCTCGGTTAAATTGTAACATGGTGATATTTGGGATCTCACAACGAGTGACAGAGACAGATATCGTGCTGACTAAATGAGCAGCTTGATCCGTCGACTTTCATTGTGGGCCGGCTGCTGTTTAATGGAACGGAGGAGGCGAGAAGCAGATGGAAAGATTGAGTGCATGTAGAATAGCCATGTTGAGCAACAAGGCGAAAGGACTTACCATCTATTTCCCCATGGCTGCCCTCTCTGTGCGGGCCGTGCCATGACATTTGACAGTACTTACCAGATCGATCCAGCTGAAAACCACGGTGACAAAAGCTTTCTTTCTGATCTGAGGGTTTCAAACAATGATGGTACCCACCGGGCCTCCATTCTTGTCCCACTCACTGAGCAAGCTATGTCCCTCGAACAGCGCCAGATCCACCTGCCCAAGATTAGCAATTCCGAGCCCCAGGACAAAGGGCTAAATGTGCACGGATATAAGCTCGCTCGGTTCGGGATCATTCACTTTCCTCTTTGGATATGCCTCTCAATGGCTGCCGCCATACTGCGAACGAGGGGCTCGTTCTTCCTAGAAAGTCGTTCCTGGACGGAGAGGATTTTATTTCCGCGGACGGTAGCAGCTCCGCGCCATCCAATGCTACTTTTGCAGAAGAACGAAGGGATTTGAATCCCTCTTCTGGGATTTTAAAGGCGGTCTTACCTGGTTCTCGTGGCATGTAAAAAGAAGTTGGCCACGTTCCGGACGTTGTTCGTCACATGGTATTCGGTGCAGCCCAGAGATCTATGGAGCTCTCTGTTAGGAGCAGCCCATGAGCCACTCAGCGTGGTGCGAACAAAGGAAGATACGAGGTACACTCCGAAGAGGTTATGTACGCGGTGCGAAACCACTTCAAGGACGAGGAAGGTTTCCCGTAGACCCTAGTCACGTGAGCTCATGTGATCCGGCGAGCCCGGTTCTGGCCAGTTCAGCCAGTTCTAGTGATTCGCCGGCCCTTTCCTTCTCAGGGACAACTTCTCTGGGCCTCCAAGTTGAGAGGCAGGCTTGCAACAAAAGTTCCCTCCCAATCGACGCTCCCGAATGATTGTAATAGTCCAAGGACAAAGAAACACCTAGCGCTCAGCATCCCGAAAACTCATCTCGGAGAGTCTGAGTAAGGGTGTCTCCAATCAGCGATGTGAGATCGATAGCCAGCGCACTGCAAATTGTGCCCGCGCAAGAAGGCAACCCAGATTCTTCAGTGAAGTCACGACGCCCAGGAGAGAAATGCACCTACCTACTTCTTTCGGCCCGCCATGACCTTGGACAACTCTGAGACCGTGGTGGCTGTGATCAACTCCAGCCGAGTGGCGCAGGCAGCTTAGGGCCAAAAGCCAGAGGGACCGGGCAATGATAGGTGCATATTCAGTACAGGTGCCTCCATGGTGAACTTGAGCTGAGCCGCAGCGCGCCTTGTCGCCGTCTGCCCCGCAAGAAACATGTTTAGTTGTGTACGGGATATAAACCCCCATATGTCTGAGCAGCCCCAGTGCTCCAGCTCTACATGCTACGACCGCCCGATCCTATCCATAATATCTCTCTGGACAAGATTCACGCAATTTCGAGATGGCTATCACTTGGGTGCAAGATGCCTTTTACTCATTTTGGATCGTGGCTGTTCCTTTTTTCAACCTGAAGGAATTAGGTCTACTTTTACAAGAGAATGTCGCGAACCCGCTCTGTTGGACTCTGTTAGGCAAGTCGGATCTACCTCCAATCACGTATCGCATACGAAAGTACGTGTTGAATGGAGACGCAATGGAAGCATGGAGATTGAAAAGTTCTTACAAAGAGACGTTCGCCTTGGAAGCCGTTTCGGTGAGTTCTTCGGTTCGAACCAATGCCTCTTGAGCATTAATATATCTGTACATCACATCTAATCAGAAAATCTGTTGGAAGGCTGCCATTATCGCTCAAATAGCCATTACTATGCCCGGCCTCGCCAACTTTGGCACAATCCACTGGACTGCCACAGCCTTTGCATATACGAGCCTGGTGTATGGCCTTCTGTCGACATTCTTTTCATTTTATGTGCAGCAGACTCTGAGTGAACTGCACAGCCCGCAAGATGTTCAAGAGTGGCTCACATCACCGCGGAAACGAAATAAACTTGGCGATCTCTTCAACAGGGTTATCATCGGTCGCCACCCTCTCTTCAGTCTGTGGCCAGCTGAAGACGCGGACAGAATCCCCTCGATCACAGCCGCCGCAACTCTGACAGCACCTAGCAGACTGCTCGCCCTTTCAATCATCTCCTTGTTTATTGCGTTGGGGATTTACCTCGGCAGCATGTACACTGCGGGATTGGGTACGATGAAAGGTAGCAATGCCAACCTAGGCGTTTGGCTCTTCTTCATCATATCCTCATCTCTAGCTATTTACGAGGTATACCTGCCGCTGAATAGCAAGCGCCTGGAGCAAATTGGCCATTCGTCGGCGCACGACCCTTGGAACCAAACTCTGGTCCGGGAATCGCGCGACAGTAGCCATATTATTGAGCCGAAGGCGGCCGTTACCCCCGCCCAGACTTCACAAGCAAGAGATCTTATCAGAGAAGCGCTGAAGGCTTCAATTCGTGCACAAGAGGAAGGTCTCAAAGCGCAAAGGGCACTTCTGGAGGTACTAGATTCACGATCTGGGTTGACGGAAAGATTTTCCTTCGAGAGCAGCCCACGTGGTCAGGCTGAGCAAGCATGACTACGGCAGCGATCTAAGGGATATTTACGCTTGGACTTCAAGGCTTGAGTATGATTCCCTCACCCATTTCCGTCTCCTGCTTCAGGCCCTTCTCAGCCGCCTCCGCGAAATCTTTCAAAAAGAGCCACCTTGCCTTTTCATCCAGACGCTTCGCTTTCCAATCATTCAATGACCCGCGTGGGAAGAAGTCAATCTCGGCTTCCTTCTGAAGGAGAAACGTGTCGTGAGCAATGATCACAAAGACGTTGTCTGCGGCATCGAACTCTTCAAGATAGTGAATCGTCAAATTCGCACGGTCCGTATCGTGGGAGAAGTTCTTGGCTAGTATGTAAACTTCCTGGTCGGGTTTATGGTGGTTGAAGACATCGCAAAAAGCAGCTCCGCTCAGGCTGCCTGGACAAAATGCTCGCGACTTGATCGTGCTCGAACTCATATCCAGATCAATCTTCTTCGGGAGAGGCAAGTATTTGGTGGGACGGTACTCTCCGCCATGGTGACAGGCATCGCCACCCATGAAGATGAAACTATCAGGCGTCACTCGTGCGAGGCCGCAGACATGGCCAATTGCGTGGCCGGGTGCGTCGACGATATAGAAAGAGCCGTCGCCAAAGTAGTCCAAGGCTTTGAACCCGCCCACGGTTAGGTCGCCGGAGGCGGAGAAGTCCACCTCTACCAGCTCCCGTCCCTGCCAGTCCGACTCGCGCACCTGGCTGTTTTGATTCACCGGATATCCTGGCGTGAGAGCATCTTTGAATCCCGGCCCGACGATCAACTTCGTCGATGAGGGAAACGTGCTCGGGTCGCCGGTATGGTCGTAATGCCAATGGCTCCAGATGATGGCCTCGATGCTCTTGAGATCGACGCCTTCCCCAGTCAAGATTTCAGAAACGTTCTTCTCAACCGTCAGGCCCCATTTGTGGTCTTTGATGATGTTGACAATGCTGGGGGCCAGGTTCTCCCAATCTTTCCGTGTGCCGAGGTCAAACAGGATCTTTCGGCCCAGCGGGCCATGTTCAATGAGAAAACAGTACGACGGGCACGAGAGCTTGTCGTGGCCCGGGATACCTGGGCCCATCAATGATCCCAATGGCACTTCGATCCAGGATGTACTGTCGATTATCTTGACGGATACAGTTGAGTTCGAGGGAGGGATATTGAGGGCCGGAGGTGTCTTGGGCGGGACCATATACATACTGGCGTCCTGGTTGGAAGGCATCTTGGAACACGGCAATGACAACAGTCAATCTCTCTAGCGATGCAGTCGGGTGTAGTGATTTGAAGAGGGGACGCCAAAACAGCCTATTTATACGCTTTTAAATTCTGTCAGCTGGCTGTTCCAACTATATATATATATATATTTACACAACAGGTAGGCGTGCAAATCCTTCAACACCGGCCTGTCATTTCGGAAAAGCAATCTCCAGCGCCAGATCCCCCGCGACCGTGTTCTCCTCCTTCTCTTTTCCCCACTGGAGGCATTTGGTTCCCCTCAGTCCCAGCTCATCCCCTTACCAAGGCGATTTTTTTTTTTTGACAAAACCGAGCATTATGGATCTTGGGACCATAGCTATAGCTTAATCAAAAAGCTATAGCCGAACATCTCATATCGTAGCACATGCCGGAGAATGATGTACGATGCCGAGGACGGTCCAAGCAAGAGAGCGTTTTGGCTCTCTACATTACCCAGCAGATATAACTTTTACGAGGGATCCGCCACCCCCAAAACGCCGGCCAGAAAAACGACTGGGCACACCAGCAAGCCGTCCGAAGAGTCGGAGATAACGGGTCTTTCCAATTTGTCCCCGAGAAAAATGTTTAATGACCCAACTTTGGCATTCCATTCCAATTATTGACCTTGTCCCTCGAGCAGCGGTTTCAGCCTCTTGACCATTCCGTCGAGATTGTTGGATATTACATTACAAGTTGCTGGAACGAGGTAAGTTAGTCAGATACCATTCACCAGGTGTGGTTTCGATCCGGGCAGGGGAAAGGTGCATCAATATCATTCACTCCGGAGCAACATACCAGGCCAGACCCATCTCTCCCTGATCATGTCCCTGTAGATCATGATCGGCAGCAGCTCTCTTTGGATCGGCTTTTCGTATTTATATTCGCTCTCGGCGACGATCTCGTCCATCATGGTGGTGATGACGAGCTCTTCTGGTCCGGGAATCTCCGAGAGGTGCCGACCAAGGAGGTACCAGCACATCAACAGACCTAAACTCACGTCAGTACGGCTCTGTAGTACCTAAAGGACTGGGGGCTCTCTCTTTTGCCGTGAGAACTTACTTCCTTCATAAGCGGCCAACGGCGCGTAGCATGGGTAGTTCAAGCACGAAGTCTTCAACAGGTAGCCCAGTCCCAAGCGGACACGGACCAGCAGACACCTGCAGGCTCGGACTATCGCTTTCATCAGGTCAGGAGGATTGTCGAAGTGATAGAGCCTTCCCATCCGGCTCCGAGAGACCTGGTCGACTGGTAGCAGGGCGAGCGTCTTCATTTCGTTCATCTGCACGTTCGCGTATAAGCGGTAATATGCGGAGTTGAGCACGACAAGCGCGTCGGCCATCAGCGGGCCCTGGGGTGCATCCGGGACAGTCGTCGCATGTGGATGGGTTCTCCACGCCTCTTCCCATGTATGCAGCGCCAGTTTGAGGGATTCCTCATCCGGAGGTGGGGTCGCGACCGTCCCTGTGTGGTTTCCAAGGCGAAGTGTGCATATATGGGAGAGAATGACACTGATCAGTGTCAACAGGCCGAACGGACTGATCGTGTCGTCGAGCGGAGTTCCCGAGAGAAGTTGCCTGAAACAATCCACAGAAGAAGTCGTCACTCGTGGTGAATTCTGCCAGCTGATGCCGCCAGCCGACCACAATTCCTCCGAGCAGGGCAGCGCTCCATCAAACTCGGCGCTCGAGCTCCTCAACACCGCATTATCTTCGTTACAGAGCAAGACTGCTCTGAGGACTGTGGTCCAAGCCACGCACCTGGCCAAGTCAGTGGGGGGAATGGAAACGAGGATCACAAACAAATATGCAAGAGAAAATTGGTGAAATACTCACCTGATCATACTCTCGCGAAACACCCAACCTGCCCAGTCATGCGCAGAAACTTTTGTAGCCTCCACAGAAGCTTCGCGGCCGAGCTATGGTGGATTAGCTGGCGCATCATTACAAGACTAGGCCAAATCGCCGGAATTGAAGGCACATACCACGTGCAGTCTGGTGAATGACAGACGAGCCTGCCGCTGAATCCGACTGTCGCCTCCGAAGAGCCCGAACTGGCAGGTAAGGAGTCTCGTCTGCAATTCCCAGAGTTGAAACCCCGAGTCCCTTTGGCCAGCAATTACCAGATCTTCGTTCTGCGATGCGGCCCAGGTGTTAGATCCTGGGTCATTGACGTTTCTGAAACTGGTTACAAAAAGTCCATTTCTTGCGTACCTCGCTCAACAGCTTCAAGACCGCGTAGTATAAGCGGATGCTGACCTCTTGTTCATTCAAGTAGACGGCGCCGCACGCCATTGCAGCGAGCAAAAGAGGTGCTAGTTGCAGGCATAATTAGAGCTGAGAGCACGACCATAGCTTCCGGTCAGAGAGGATGCCTTTTCCTACCTTGAATTGTGCCGATCGAGAAAGTTTGCGGATGGATAATCGGGCAATGTGGCGCAAAGTGCTTGAAAAATCCTCGCACGAGCCTGATCACCATATAGCTGGTTGGGAATACGAAATCGCTGAGTCGATTCTCGATGTCAAAGAGTTGTAGGTTGACCTTTGCCTGTTCAATTTCAGAGGGAATCAATCCCAGGAACAAACCAGAAGATTGGTATTCTCCATTGTCTGGATCACCATTCCTTGCTAATATGTTCCTGGTTGTGTCTTCGGACCACGGAAGGGCGTAGAATGGTTCATCCCACGGCCATTGGATAAAAGCATCATCTAGGAGCGGGAAGTTCATCTGAGGCTGAGGAGCGACTTCTGCATTTGCTGCTGGGGCTTGCACACGGTCCAAGATTGGAGCTTTCCATCCCCGATCGAGACCCAGCTCGAAGGCGTTGACGTTGGCGCCGACGGCGGCACTCTGTGCGTTCAGGAGCGTGGACAACGAAGGGAGAACCTCTGGGATGACCTGGTTGTTCACTAAGCTGTTCGTATCCCTATTGTTGTTGTCGTTTGGTGGATGCTCTTCCACGATCTGGCCGTTTAGGTCAAAATTGGAGTCGGTGGATGATGCGTCTGGATTAATGCAAGGTACTTGTCCTGCATGTGCGTCTGCTGGCCCCCCAGCTCCACGATGAAGAACTCTCATGTGTCGCGAGATGACATCCTTGCGTGCGGACGTGAGACCGCATATTGGACAAGCATGTGGTCTCTGCCACCGATCTGCTTGGATACCATTCAATTGGTCAGCTCGGCAACTTACCAATGGTGACATGTTCAAAGGGGACCTCGAAAGATTTGCTTACGACCAAGCTCGTGGCGTCGACAATGCTCCTTTCGCGTAAAGGACTCTCCACAGACGTTGCAAAGATAGCGACGTTCTTTCTGGCTTCGCGTCACGCCGTTCCTGCGCGGCTTGAAGAACCTCAGCTCCTCTGCCAGTGGGGCCCAAGTAGTGGGAAAGGCTGACACAGCTCCTGTGGCCATGATAGCTGATTTCTTCGGTAGCTAAGCTTGAGTGGGTGAGGACTGGGGAAAAGACAACAACAAAATGCTCTGAGCGGAGAAGGGACAAACTGCTTGCCTCGGGTTTCGGGTGACATTTTCAGGGACGCCCATTACCCCAGAGGGGCTCCACGCGTAGGCAAGAGCCGGGGAATCAAGCAATGAGAAGGCCTGGTCAAGTCGTATGCCTAAACATTTCAGTCCTGCCTATGTTAGGGTTGGTGAATGGACAGATTTCCCCCCTTTTTTCGCGGGGGAAACTTGGACCCTGGAATCTGCCGAGTGGGGATTAACTTGAGGTACTATGTCGGGCCTGGGTATGTCAGGACTTTGGTTGTGCACGGTAATACCGAGAATCGCATAGATCGCCAATCCAGACTCAAGGTCCCCATACTTGCATGGTTGCTTCCCCTCCCTCGTTGCTGCTCGCCGGTCAGCTGCTTGAATTTGCTAGAAACCCTCTGCTGCTCAACGCGTCCCCCACCAAGGACATTGGGGTCGAAAGGGAAGTGGTCGGCTAAGACGGCGAGGGGATGCCTTCTCGATGGAAGAGTGAATAAATACTATTTCCAAACCTTCCCCGAGAGGCGCCAGACGTCCATAAGTTCGCTATTTTGGCCCCAAGATACGTGATCATTTGGGAGACCTCATCGTCGCGCTGAAGAAATCATTCCCGAATCTCTCTATTTCACCTCATCCAGTACAAAATGCCGGGCCGACTTGAAGGCAAAGTTGCGATTGTCACCGGCGGCGGAAGCGGTTTTGGAAAGGCCATTTCAGCAAAGTTCATCCATGAAGGGGCCAAAGTACTCATCGCTGAGATGAACCCTGAGAGCGGGCAGGCAGTAGCGAAGGAACTTGGGTGCGCGGCTGTCAAGGCTGATGTGACTAACCGTGAAGATTGGAAAACCGTGTTACAGAAGTGCATTGAATTGTATGGCGGCCCGGATATTGTCGTTAACAATGCTGGGACATGCTATTCAAACCAGGTGGGCTCCTAGGCGACAACCAACTGCCCCGACGGTGGCGCCATGCTGATATTGAGACCCCTTAGCCATCCGAGGAAGTTCCCGACCATGAATTCGATCTCGTCTGTGCTGTCAACTTTAAATCGATCTATCTGTCGGTGGCCGTCATCGTGCCGTGGATGAAGGAACACAAGGGCGGGGGTTCTTTCATCAATATCGCGTCCACTGGGGCCACCAGACCAAAACCGCGGCTTACATGGTACAATGGCACCAAGGCTGCAGTTTGCTGTGCGTCAAGATCGCTGGCACAGGAGTATGCCCCTAACAATATCCGATTCAATTCGATATGCCCGCAATTCGCGAGCACCGGACTGTAAGGACTGCGAGTTCAAAGCTGGGTGGACCACTGGCTGATGCTTGCTCTTTATCTAGTTCTCACAAATTCCTCGGAAAGGAAAACACTCCAGAGAATCGCGCCTACTTTGTGTCTTTGATTCCATTGGGAAGATTGACCGATGTTACGGATATTGCCAACGGTTGCTGCTACCTTGCAAGTGATGAGGCAAGCTACATCACAGGCACGGAATTGGTCATTGACGGCGGTCGAAGTGCATAAAGGCTTTGGACCCAAGTGGCCATGGCGAGAGCGCGGCGAAGTGAGGATGCGGCTTCCAGCAGATAAGCAAGCTTGATATGTCTACTTGACTACATGTATGTACCGCCGTGGTATTCCACATACCCAGGACGTAGAACAGAATGACCGCTACCATATTCACCGCTCTGAGAATCCGAGTCCTGATCAACTAATAGGTGGAGATCATCTGCGCACATGGTGATTTTGGTCCACGACTGTCTCTCTGCTGTACCCTACTGGTCTCGAGTACTTCCTAAAAAGACAGCACTCACACGTGGTCTGGAGATCTTTCTCCGCGCTGGACGACTCAGGAGACTCCGGCCAATCTCCGCTTCAGCCCCCGCTTTCCCCACTCGAACTATTGGCTCGAGGTATGGGTGTGGATAAATATCATTTACCCAAAGTTGTACAGAGTACGTCCGCTGCACAAAGGAGCTACAGGCTGGTCGGTGGCTGGGAGCTTTGGGCCTTGCCACAATGCGCCCCTTCCAAATGGCCGATGTTCGGGGGAGGCTGGATTGGTACACCGGCTCCGATAGGAGAGCAGGGATGAAGTACTGATAGTGGGAACAGAGATATATCTTGGCCATCTGTGCTCTCGATATCACTCCTATCTCGCCTTCACGTTCCTGACTGGTCGGCGTCATTGTATAACGTTCCACGATTACCTTCCTTATCCCTACGAATACTGCTACCTGGTAGTTTCGTTTCCCTGCTGGGTGGAAGCCTCATATACCCTCAAACGCGAGGGACGCCGTACACATATTTTCTTCCCAGCAAGATGGCAGCCGGACAGCGGAAGGGGTGGTTCAAAGATCAGATCAGACTCGTGAGCATTTTGGTAAGTGAGACAGGATCCAGACTCAAGTTCAAGCATCCATCTCGGACAATGGGCAATTGGATGTTTTATCCGAAAGAAATAGATGGCTTCAACGGTCTAACCGTTCCTTGGGACAGATTACAATCTACATTTCCCTGGGATCTTTCACCTATGGCTACTGCAGCTCCATCATCGCCACCACCTTGGGCCAACCGGACTTCTTCAAATACCTGCACCTTGCCACTGAAGGCCCCGGTTTGTCTCATACAAATGCCATAACCGGTGCTATGAACGGCCTGTTTCAGGCCGGTGGCTTTATCGGAGCACTCTCTATCGGACCTCTCTGTGACAAGTTTTCACGACGAGGCGGAATTGGAATTGCGGCTGCCACCTGCTTGGTCGGCGGAGCCTTGCAATGCGGATCCGTTGATGTTGGCATGTTCTTGTTCGCGAGAGCATTGACAGGTATGACAGCCCCTACATCACACGAGCTTGACAATGAAGGAAACGCTCACTAGAGCAGGAATTGGAACTGGCATGATTGTGTGTGGAGTACCTCTCTACCAAAGCGAAGTTGCTCCGCCTCATACTCGTGGTGTCTTTGTCGGAGTCCATGGAGCTTTGCTCTGCACTGGTTATTCCGTGGCCGGTTGGGTTGGCTACGGCTGCTATAGCTACACTGGACAATTTCAGTGGCGCTTCCCACTTGCCGTCCAATGCTTTGCACCCGTAATGCTCCTTGCTGGATTGTTCTTCATCCCAGAGAGCCCCCGTTGGTGTAAGTCGCTATCTCCTCAAGCTCGAGCTCGAGCATCCATCCCTGACTGACACATTACAGTGGCCCTCCACGACAAACACGATCGCGCTTACAAGGTTATGGAGCAGCTCCACCGTGACCCTCAAGATCCAGAGGGTATCCTCGTCAAGGAGGAATTCTACGCCCTGCTGAAACAACTAGAACTTGAGAAACTTGGTGGAGGAGGGGGATACAGAGCACTTTTCACCGGCTGGCCGAACCGAAAGCGCCTGCTGTTGGGGTTCTTCACCGTTTTTGGTGGCCAATGCACTGCAACCATCGTTATTAACAATTACGGCGTCATTTTGTACACGGCTCTAGGATATGTGGCACCAACTACCCTTGCGTTTACGGCGGGCTGGGTCACCGTCGGAGTTGCCGGAAACGCAATCAGCGCGTTGATAGTTGATCGAGTGGGACGCGTGAGGCTGATGAGTAAGTATCGCGATCACAACGGGAGTCCTTTGAACTAATCAATGACAATAACAGTAATCGGATTTTCCGGGTGCCTTATGGCTCTCATTCTCGAGATGGCCTTGTTAGCCACTTACAAAGGAACGACCAACAAGGCAGGCCTTGCCGCAGCTGTCTCCTTCCTCTTTATTCATGTCGCCTTCTACAGTTCTTGTATCGACGCCGTGACATATATCTACTGCACGGAAATATTCCCAAACCACTTACGTGCCAGAGGTTCATCCATCTCCGTGTCTGGTCTTTTCTTCGCTACCGTCATCTACACCTGCGCCGCTCCGACCGCCTTCACCAATATTGGCTGGAAGTACTACATCGTTTTCGCCGTTACGACCGCCATGATAGTTGTCGCCTTGTGCCTTTGGTGGCCAGAGACGAAGGGGTTGTCCCTCGAGGAAATCAGCGCCCTCTTTGGTGAGGAAGTCGCCGTGGATGTAGGACACATGACACAGGAACAGAGGGACGCCCTCGACGAGAAAATCATTGCACAACAAATTGAGGGAGTGGGCGAGGCAGGAAATGAGAAACCCTAACAGTCTGTACTGCAGCCTGAAACTCCAAAATGTACTCCGAATATCTGATCGCCATAATTCTGTGGTTAGCCGATGGAAAAATTGAATAAGGAGGATAGTTCGACTCGAATTTAGCCTTGAGTATGGTCCAGACATAGGTGATGGCACAGATATCTATTACTAAATTTCCACGGAATTCTTGTTTCATTTTTTTGCAATCTTGCTGCGGAGTACAAAATAGACAGGGAGGCCGAACAGGACAGCGGATACATATGTCAAAAGTAACGATTGTGTTCCTTTGAACATTTTATTCTCAAATTTTTGAATATTTCCACGACAGGGCCTGGTAATCGACTAGATTTATGCTAAATTCAATGCCGGAACCTCAACATCCAGCAATGGTGCATGCAGCTGGGTCCCGAAAGTATCTCTCTCACCAACACTGCCCTGTAACTGGTTAGCCGGCCGCTTAAATGTACACTTCCACCCGAGAGCTGGTTCAAAAAACATGCACGTCAAGATGTCGTCGTCAGCCAGACGGTAGAGCCTCTTCATCGCTTCTGGGGTGAGCACGTTACTATCACGAACGTGCTTCCAGATCCCGGCGTCGTCGAAGAGAATGTCTAGTGTTATCTCGTAAGGACCGGAGTTCTTTGACCGGACGACGGCTGCTAGGTCAGAGATTCTAGGTCGCGAACTAGTAATGTTGTGCCTTGGAGCTGTGAAATGCAAGGACAGCAGTTAGCAATCAAAGTCATTGTTGAACAGTGTTCGTCCACTCGCGCGCATAGTTCTGGGAACTTACCCTCTGGAAGGGTTGTCACGACATCTTCGGCCCGGCGAACCGGTCGCTCTGAGGGTACAGGCTTGGTCTTATTATCATTCGGGCTGCCGATGAAGAAACTTTCGATTGGGAAGAAGCTGAGCGGGTCTTCGACGTCCATGAGATGATAGACACTGAACTTGTACACCGGTCCCACAGACTGCTCCAATGGCGTCAAGGGAGACGCGAAGTTCCCCGCCGTTGCCAGCTGCCCTGGATATTCAGCATGTAGAACCATGACTCTAGCGAGTCCTGCTATCGCATCGGCATCCTCTTGGGTCTCAGCGACGACTTCACCTAGGACACCGATCTCATGGGGAATCGTGGTGGCCGGTTCGAGTGGGCCCATTACAGCATTTCTCCCGTATATGTGAAATATTAACTGTGGACCGGCGGCTTCACCGAGGAGTGGAAACGCCGCTTTTGTCCTGGCTCGGACCGTCTGTTCGAGAAAGTCGTCGATACCTCGTATCAGGATAGGGTCTCGAATGCCTCCGATAAAGGCTGAACGGAAGCCGACTTGGGTGGCACCTTCGAGCTTGATTTGATATGTTGGGGTAGGAACAAACGTCGCCCCGTGTATCAAGATCGACCGATTATCCGCTTGCTGCTTGAATTGTACGTTGTTCAGATGCAAGACCCCTCCAGGCCCCGGGAGCCTATCAGGGCGGGTTTTCTCGTACATGGTGTGTGCGGCGACGGAGCGGGGGATGCATCTCTGGCCTGGAGTGACGGGTGTGAGCTCGAAGCTATCCTGATACATGGTTGCCAGGATCGAACGGCCTTTGGGTACCGCACACTGTCCTCCACACTCGACAATTTTCCCCATATGCCACGCTGGATCGCGATGGACGCCCCGGTGCATGCTGTACGCTGCAAAAGGGGCTGGATCATATGACCGTCCTGAGATGATGATGTCCACCTCTGGATCTTCCAATGCTTTCATGAAAGGCTCAGCCCCCATCTGCGCGACAATGGCAACGGCATTCAACACGTCTTCCTCCTTCAAAGCAGGTCCAGGCCCGCACGGTGTTATAGCGCCCGCCTGCAGCTTTTTTAAAATCGCCTGCCGGTCATTCTTGAACTTGATTGTTGAGACTTTGAACTTGTAACCTTTTCTCTCGCTGATTTCGCGCACAACATCGACTAGGAAGTTGACCTGCTCATTTGTACCGGCGCCGCCAGCGGAGCTGATTAACAATTTGATGCCAAAGTCAGCGCAGGCTTCGAGCACCGGACTCAGATCGTGCATTAATGCCTGCTTGCTGACAATTGTGCGCCCACTGCCGAGCATATACGGTCCGGGGTCCGTGGAGCCGCTGTCCATGATTATGGCGTCCGGACGGGTGCGTTCGTCCATGATAATCGTCCAGAAGTCGACAATATCATAGCCATAGCCCAACATGGGCGCCGGCGTAAAGATCTTGACGGGATAGGTTTTGGCGATCATCTTGATCATTGCTCTCTCAAGTCTCCTTGTACTCTGCTGACGATATGAGGCAGGAAGGACACTCACATCTGTTCCTGCCGTCAAGCGCTTCGGGCCCAAAGTTAAGGATTGAAAGGCTTGAGATTGCCTATCGACCCTTCGGATCGATATCCCTCTCCGCTGTCGGAGAAATTGAAAAAGGGGCGCCGGTGACGGGCTATTCCTTCATTCATCGAAGATTGTATGAATTCAGCCTTGCGCCCCCGACACCGGCCAAGAGGGACGCTTGATGTCTGTCTTGTTCACTTGGATCGGGCCAGCTTCGGAGAGAGAGCTCGCCACCAAGTGCACATTATGCAACAAGCTCTGCTCCGTGATAATCTACCTTAATTTTCCCACTGAGGTTTCTCCACGCTTTCAGCATCTCACTGACCATTTCTCTCCCCTCCCCCACTCGAATTTCCCACCGAGGAGCAAAACTTGTATCAACCCCAGAATTGCTACCCCAGATCCAATCCACAGTCTACTGCTACGTGCCGAGATGCAGGCGAAGAACTGTCAAACTGTGACACGATTCCTTGCACTCCGCGGCCTTGGTTCGGAGCCCCCTTCAAGTCGACTCCAAACCAAGGTTGAGTCGACAACAGTACCTAGGTGGGTTGCTACAGTGGGCAGGCCTACGATGTCGGTGGGGCTAACCAGGCCGCACGGTTCAACAGGCTCAGGTCCCTGGGACCGGACTGCCACCCGCTGCATTTCTTATTTGCACAAATATTGATCCCCGTGGCTTATATTTGTCGTTTCTCATGTCCTTGCCTACTAGTCTTCGCTATCATATTAGCATATTGAAATTCTTCAATCATGGGTTCTCTGGGATCGTTTCAGCAGACAAAGTCGCTCTCTGACATCAAAAATAAGAAGCTACTCCACTATCATGGCTTCATTGATGGACAGTGGGCCGATGCAGCTTCCGGGAAAACATTCGATTTAATCGACCCAGGCACAGGTAAGATTTCTCGCACGGTGGGAAGACATGCAGGTTTAACCAGTTTTACTTGAAGGTGAAAAACTCGCCACTTTTCCTGAAATGGGAGCAGCAGATACGGCTCGAGCTATTGAAAGCGCTTCCAAAGCCTTCAAGACATGGAAAACCACCTCAGGCCGCGAGCGTGGGCGGATGCTGAGAAAATGGAACGATTTATGCTTGGAAAATACTGAAGACTTTGCCTTGATTATCACTTTGGAAACGGGAAAACCGCTTTACGAGGCTAGGGCCGAAGTGATCTACGCTTGCAGCTTCCTTGAATGGTTTGCCGGTGAAGCTGAGAGGTAGGAAATTCTGAATCTCTTTTCACGGTAAAACCTACGCTGCGTTATCGTTTACTGACAACTCCGACAAAAATCAGGACCTATGGCGAAAACATTCCCACCGCCAATAGAAATCAGAGACTCGTCACTATGAAGCAGCCGATCGGGGTGGTTGGATGCCTGATGCCCTGGAATTACCCCATGGCTATGATTACTCGGAAGGCTAGCGCTGCCATCGCTGCCGGATGTACTACCATCTGGAAGCCTGCCGGCGAGACGCCTCTGTCTGCCGGCGCCATGGCTGTTCTTGCCCTTGAGGCGGGCATTCCTCCTGGAGTGATTCAAATCATCACCAGCTTGACAACCGTCGCGGAAGTAGGGAAAGAAATTTGCACGAACAAGCTTGTGAAAAAAGTCAGCTTTACCGGCAGCACGAGGGTTGGTAGGCTATTGATGGAACAATGTGCACCGACAGTGAAGAAACTTAGCCTGGAGCTTGGAGGAAATAGCCCTTTTATCGTTTTTGACGACGCGGATGTTGACGTTGCCGTCGAGGCTGCTGTTATGGGTTAGTACTACCTCCAGAGAGAGATCTGGGCCGGGAAATGCATCGTTCACTTACTGACCCATCCGACAGCGAAATTCAGAAATACTGGCCAGACGTGCGTGGCTGCCAATCGAATTTTCGTCCAAGCCGGAATCTATGACAAGTTTGCAACAGCCTTATCCAACACAATTTCGACATTCAAAATCGGACCAGGTACTCAGGTACTGCAGATTATATTATAGATCTGTGCTACAAACGTATATACTGATCATGGCTGTAGGATGGCGTTTTCGTTGGACCTTTGACTCATGAAAATGTGCTCACGAAAGTGCTGACCCACATTGAAGGTCTGACTTCCTTCTACCCAGCCTGGTGATATCCAAAAACATACTGACAAAGACTTCAGAGGCCAAGAGCAAAGGCGGCAAGATCATCTTAGGCGGCAGCCGAGTTGACGGAACTAAAGGTTACTATGTCCATCCGACCATCATTACAGGTCAGTCTTCATCTCCGAACCTCCCGAATGGCTCCTCTTTCATCTTCGAAGATGCTAATCAAATTGCTATTACGCACAGATATGCCGCGTGGCACCATCACCGAGCGAGACGAGGTCTTTGGCCCGGTCATTCCGCTGTACAAATTTCATACAGAAGAGGAAGCCATCGAACTTGCAAACAATGTCGATGTAGGGCTCGGAGCCTTCGTCATTACGTCCAGCATGCCCAGACAATGGCGTGTCACGGAAGCCCTGGAGGTGGGCGTCCTTCCTGAAGTCGACTTTATGATATGAACGTTTTGCTGACCATGAGTGACCTAGGTTGGTGTCGTTGGCGTGAATATTGGGCTCCTTTCGGCCGCGGAGAATCCTTTCGGAGGTGTGAAGCAATCAGGCTTCGGTAGGGAGGGTGGGAGACAAGGTATTGATGAGTACTTGATTCTCAAGAGCATGTTCCTCAATGTTGCAACCGGATGATTTGGAGGAAAGTTGCGGAGGCGGCACGACTGAGATCCCTCTGGCATACGTGAGAGTATGTGCAGTAAACATACGAGAACAGAGTTGTGCTGCGTCTATCGTAATCTTTAAAAAAAATTAATAGCGTCAATCACCAAGCTTGACTGTCTTGGAAGTTTGTCTTGATAATGTACTGCCTAGAAATCATGACAATGCAACATCAGGCAGATATAAGATGTATTCAACGATGCTGTCTTTCTTTCTAAGTACAATATGCGCGAACTGGATAATGTGGCATTGATAACTTCACTCATTTCATCTCAAAATCCGCCTTTGAGAGTTACTCCTCCGGCGGCAGCATCAAACTCGGCGAACTGGTTGATCCCCACGACACTAAAGACATCGTAGATGCCACCAGCTTTATCTTCTCTCTCCGTCACCAACCCGGTGTCGCGAAGCTCCTTCATCGCGCGCCGAGTCGAGTTATAGACCTCGGCCAACGACAGAATGGACCAAATGATAATCTTAAATCCCATTTCTTTCGCTTCCTTCGCACTGATTACCGGAGTCACCCCGCCGTGAACGATGTTCAGTAGACATGGGATAGGAGCGAGCGCTTTAACCGCCTCTCGGGCTTGCTCCTTTGAGACAAGACCTTCGAAGAAGGCGACATCGGCGCCTGCTTCGTGTGCAGCTTTTAATCGTCGAATTGCTTCGTCGAACCCAAGAGATTGGAGGGAGTCGGTCCGTGCGATGATGACAAGATCTCGGCCAGATGCTTCTCGAGCCATGCTCGCGGCGCGGATCCGAGTCAAGTATGTATCCAAGGGCACTAGTTCCTTATTACGGAGGTGGCCACAGCGCTTGATGAACGCCTGGTCCTCGATGTGCAACGCGGCCACGTTTCCTTCGATATACGTTTTCGCAGTTCGAGCTGCAGATAATGACGAGCCAAACCCTGTATCGGCGTCGGCGATCACTGGGACAGACCAGTCCAATCCCGCAATCATGCTTGCGTTGGCCGCCATTTCCGTCATGTTGATGATACCTAAGTCCGGTGCGCCTATTCGAGAAGCAGCCGTGCCCGCGCCTGTCATGTAGAGTGCGTCGAAGCCGATGTCGAGAGCAATGCGGGCCGTAAAGCCATCGTAGACACCAGGGCAAACAACTATCTTCTCGGGATCGTTCAACATTTCGCGGAGGATGGTTGCAGCTTGTCGAAATGGCCTCTTGCCTTCGCCATTCCGCTGCGCAGCACTGAGATTTCCTGTGCTCATGGTTGGAGAGTAAACTGGGCCTATGGAAGGAATGTTCTTCGTGCACACTCGGCAAAAGTCTGCACCACAGCCTCAAGTCGCCAACGGAAGCCGAGATTAAATTTATAACATCACCTGTCGAAGACGCTTCCGTTGACGGATTGAAAGGCTACCGCAGCGGACAGCGATACAAGCACATGACAAGTATAGGTACGTTACGTGGGATCAGTTTTCCGCCATTGCTACGCGCAACAGTCACGGACGACAAAAGAGGCAAGACGCAACCCCGCTCAATGGGGAATATGGCGTTGAGTGGGGTTTGTCAACCAATACCTACTTGTACCGGGTAGTCCCTTGTAGCACTCGTAGAACTCGGTATAAGCAAAATAAAGAGTACGGAGTTACCCAGCGGCACGGGCGGAGCTGCCTTGGAATTTGAAGCCCGGCCTCGACCCCTCTCGAATATACCACCTAAAATTCACGTTAAAATGCTTTAGGTTCTACTTAAATGTCACGTGTGAAGTACCCGGCTTGTTGGCACAAAGATTGCTGGGGAAGCGGGGGTTAGAGACTTCCGATCGGATGGTGCGAGTGCGGACGCATATCTGCGAGTTCGGTGCTTGCTCGCAGGAATCGCTTTCCCCACATGGTCCGAGTCGGACGAGGATAGCCGATCGGAGGTTTACAGTATTGCAGAGGATAGAACAACTGGGTTTCGGTTTATGCTGGCTAATGGATTTGTTGAACAATCCAAACTCCTGGAAGTTGGGATTTCTATTACGATCAAGATAGAGGGTGCAGAGAAAGCTAATGATAATATACTGCTACTCTGAGGGACGGTTATCTTTGAGTGCTGCATCTCTCACGAAAGGAACATTCGGTGTTTCAACGTTTGGCATTTTCTCGCTACTTGAGGTTCTTTGTTAACCCCCGCAATCGGGATAAAACTCGGATCGAAAATGGCGTCTGGCCACAGAATAGGGCGGGCCAACCTGCAGAGACACATCCGTCGTGAAATCACCCATTAGAAAACTCTGCAGCACTTCCATTCCGTGTCGTCGACCCTGTTCCTGGAGAGACAATAGCACCAACACGGTTTCTTCGAATAACGATGCTCCATTATTGCTCTCTGCCACACTGAGCCAATTCCAGGCCAACAGGTGCCTTCTACTCGCAAGTTGATGCCGTCTGGCAACCTTTGGAAAAGGAGACCCTGAGTGGGACACTTGTTGGCGGTATTGCATCGAAAAACTCGCCTCAGGTGCTGAGGTTTGCTCGCAGTTGCGAATCAAACGGCGAGTCTTTGAGTCGGCTCCAGTTGCAAATCATTGTCCTTAGAGCCGCGAGCGCTCAACGGTCAATGTGACCCATCATGTTTGCTTTGTACCATTCTCGGGTGTCTGGATGGCAAGTTCAGAGATCAACCGTCCTACTTGGTCCTCCGTCATATTGTTCTGGAAGGCGACCTGTTTTAGACTTGCCCCGTTTGCAATACGTTCCGCCATCACATGGGCAAGCGTAGTACGGGCTGGAAAGTGTTTGTTGTCAGGCATGTCCATGGTATCGTTTATTTCGTTGTTATTTGTCGAGGTGGGAGTCTTTGTGACGCCTCAAGGGTCAGCATCCTGCCAGCACAATGGCAACAGAAACTATTTTGCAGGACTTACTTTTTCAGTGGCGCACAAAGTCCCGTTCGAACGCATTTGGTCTCGGTGAAAGAGGTTGTCAGCTAATTTGGTGCTGCAAAGATAGGCGCGTGCAGATCTGATCCCGCTATGTCGGTGTCGAGATCTCTAGCAATCGGTTTTCAAGTGCTGTTGGCTGCGCGAGGACCTGTGACTTTCTTCACTGGTACAGCATCACTCACCGATTTGTAGCAGTGCATATGCAGTTCCTTTGTTCTTCCTCAACAATAGCAACCCCCTTCTTAGGGCGTCGCTAAAAGTAAATTGTAATGCAAGATATGAGATGGGACTGGACGACTGGCTAACTTTATGAGAGCTTCTGCTACAGTTCTGTCCTCTAATTCCCTCCCGACAGGACCAGAGTGAGCCGGCATACCGCATCATGGCTGAGCCTGACAGGACCTTTACTAACCGACTCGGTGCCTACCGCGCCCACAATCGTGTGATCGAGAAGGCAATTCGTGTGCTCTCTCAGGGCAAACCCTTACAGATGATGGGGATGAGCTGAATATCAGGACATCCTAGCTTGTTTTTCTAATCTGCGGGTACCATGAGCGGACGGTGAGTATGCTAGAGGCTTATGGAATCCCTACAAGGTGCTCGACGATGCTTACGGTAGGACCAGTTACAAAGTTCCTTTCAAGCATGCGCTTAGGGAAGCAAAACGAGAGCTTGACTGGAAGACGTTAAAGGGCGATCTGGTGTAAATGATTGCCTTCCCCATGTGCAGCTGCTCATCTTGTGGCCTGTCGGTTGACTTCAAATAGAGGAGTAGTACTAATCAGCAAGGTGATAGTTTGGATAGAACAGCGAGAAGCAAGGAATCCAGCAGTGGGTAGATCTGATGTCTCACCTTGATATTCCGCGTGAATCCTGAGACCGAGCTTCTAATCTCCTAGATGATTGGACAAAGCCACATTGCTGTTCGCTACAATTTGGTTGGATCTGTGTCCGATTTTATTAGTCTCTACGGTAGGTTTTGGGGGAAGGATGGCCTCACCTAATCCCTTTGAATGGCGGAAGGCTAGCGCCCCGGGCAACAGCTCCTCCTTTGTATATCACTACCCTTATTAGATCCAGCTTAATCCACATTGGATATAGGACTTCCCTACCAATGGCTGTATCCATAACGTGTATCTCTGCATCGATGTACTGCTAGTGATATTAGTTGATACCTCCATCCGGATCGTCATTCTCAGAGGGCTGCAACTGCCATAGCATGACAAAGGATGTACTGCCTGCTTGATTAGAGGCAGTAGACTCGCACTGCCTCTTCCGATCCCTTTCTCCAGGTCTACTTTAAATCCAAAAAACTCAAGTTCCTTCTTGCTACACAAAAACTCCTCTCATTCCGAAACAAAACTTCTCTCCTCAGTTGCATTATCCACGTTCGAAATACATCAGTCTTGGTCTACGATCATTTCCAATTTGATTGGTACACACTACCGAGAAAAAGGTCCAGCCTTATTTCAAAGTTAGGAAGACGGGACTTTGTGTAGACGAAGTATGCCATCGCCAGCAGAACCATTCATTTCCCTCATTGTTCCACCTGTTGCGCAGGGACAAGGTCGAGAATCCAGTATGTCTCCCCTGACCGATGTCACTGCCACAGAACAGTTAGGTCCGAATGGGCCGACTGTATCTCCTTTGGTGCCATGTTCTCAACATGAGGCTTCCACATCTACCAGTGGGCAACCAAGGACTATCACGCGAAGATATGCAAAATCGCTGACAGCGCAAGATGTGTACAATCTCGCAATAGACCCAGTACTGGTACCGAGGCCACTCACCATTCAGAAACAGACTCGGATTATATCAGCTCCCCCAGCCCTTGAGAATCCTGCAGCTGGCAAAGACATGGGATCGAATGAATTGGCTCAACACATGGCGAGCGTTGATGTATCAGCAAGAGACACTCTCTTTGTTGTGGATGAAGAGATTCAGTCATTCTATTCTCCTGTTCCAGTGTCAGCTTTCAACGAAGGGGAGTATCGTGGTGCTATACTCAATCGCACCGACATAGATGGGGATGCTGCATCGGTTGACTGGGAAGAATGGGGAAAATGCCTATCGTTGATTGAAGCCAAACGAAACGTCTTGCAAGACAATCCACCTGAGGGAGAGGTTCGAGAATGTTCAGGCGCTGATATTGACCACAAAGAAGTGTATCACGACGCCCTTGAGAGACAAGAAGAGACCATGAGCGAGAAATCCAGCACCCAGCTATCCAACAGTCACAAAACCGCATCTCCACAGGTTCCAAGCATTCAAGAACGTCTCCTTCTCCCTGTTGTTAATATCATCGTCACCCCCCCGCCAGATGTCACTACGAGACCACAGACTTCCGGACTCAAGAAGGTTTTATGGAAGACTACAGGGATAATTGTATCTCTACTCGCTGGGAGACTTCTGGGCATACTCGTGTCGGAGCTGCAAGAAATTGTGTTTCGGCGTGGGTCTTCCGTAAAGCGATTCAGTCCACCTCCGTCGAAGGAATCTACCAAACCTGCTTGAGTAAGAGCCTTGGGTTTTCGAGCATTTGTATTTGTTAAGAGTCCCGACAATTACTCAAGTCTAGCCCAGTCTTTGCTAATTTTTTGAAAGCAAGCGAGGTAGATCTGATTGCAATTGGAGGATTGTCGGGCAATAAGGTCAGAGGACAATGGGATCACGTGGAAAGGCAAGGCTTGATGGGTCAGGGGCAAGGCTGAACTACCTCCGAAACAGCGTGTGAAATGGTTAACCTTTTGCTTCCACGTAGAAGTTTCGTTAAGCCTCTAGAGACAAAATTCCACTCCAGAACTACCCCATCATTGGTGAGAGCCTCCTTCTTCAATCACTTTTGCATCTCAGCTCCAGTAGCCTGAGGCTTTTAAATTGGAAGGTGGTTCAAGAACTCGTATGTACCAGTTTCGCATGATGCAGGCGTTCGCTTACCTTGCAAATATCAGGAGTGCAGTTTAGTGAGGGGAGCTTCTTTTTTCTACATTCATACAGCGCGATAGAAAGCAATCGTGTACCAAAGTCCAAAGTTAATTTAAGTTGCACAGTTACTTAGGAAGAGATCTCTAAAATGAGACCATATTCTATTCTTCAGTTATCCAAGTTTATTAAGTTCGGAATCAATTTTTCAATTTTTTTTTCTTACTTTCATTTCACTTTTCAACCTGTGGGAGACCTGATTCGAGTAGCGTAATGTCGTACCTAGCCAACATAGTACGAGGCAGTTCTTGTTTGTGAAGAGTCTCGGCCCGGAGTGCTGTTAGCTGCATGTGTCACGGACGGAAGAAAGCAGCCGAATATTAATCACTGTCAGGCGCAGCTTCACTGCGGCTGCCTCAGGAACAAATTTGACATACCGTTGCTCTGTCTAGCCTTTTCTTTCTCTCTTCTTCCTCTCAAATCATTCAACTCTAGGACTCAACCTTGTCATCTGAAACAATTTTCCCTTTGTGAACCTCAAACCAAGACCATCTTCAACACTAATCCTACGCGTCTAATCATGTCATCCGGCTCCCCGTCCGAAGGGGCTGGCTCCAAGTCTCCTCTCGAACTAGCACCTGCATCCGAAGCTGAAAACACCAAAGTCCGTCCTCCAAATGGCGAGATGTCTACCAAGATCAAGGAAACTTTGTTCGCTGAACCTTTCGTCACGCTGCCGCTTCAAAAGTCCCCGACGATTCCAACCGCTGCTACAGGTATCAAAGAGGCTGTTCATCCCGAAGATCTTCTGGCCGAGGATAGAAACCATGAGATCACATGTGGCTCTTTGGAGCGGGAGCGGGAGCGCGAGAACACAGTATGGGTTGTCACAAAGAGACGTGGTAAATTAGGAGACATAGCTTCTCCTTCCTCTCCTCCTACAGTATCACATCTTGCTAAACAAGAACGAATCGCAAGACAACGGAAAGAAATGTCGGACAAGGTAGCCCCTGAAGGCCATCATGTTCAAGACAAGTACGAGTCGAAGTTTTTCAAGTCCGCCGAGACTGGGATAACGCACGGGTGCTTGTTTCATCCCGACCGTGAATTCATCCATGCCATACGAAAAGTGGCTTCTGGAGCCACCGTGCAGTCAGTCATTGAGCAAAGAAACTTGGATGTCACGGAAAGCGACCTCGTGAAATATATGGCCATCTTTTGCTCCAGGGCCATCACAGCCGCTTCTGGTCAGTGTGGCGATGAGACCGACAATGCCACCGACGATGGAAAAGATAAAGATGTGAATGGACAGAACATGGAGGTCGGCGACTCTGTTGAGAAATATCCGGGATTCGATGAAATTGCCGGAGAGCTCCAATGTAAGGCAGGACTCATACAGCTTGAAGCTAAGGAAGCTGAAAAGTCTCATCGCCGCCTAGTTTGGTTGTACCTCATACTCTTCTTCGTGACAACACCACACTTGGGATGGAGCGTGAAGATCATGATACGAGTGGCTGCAAAGTTCATGTTTTGAACTTCTCCTGAAATGGGACGAGGCTGAGCTCGGTTGGGGTGCTAACAAAGCAAATTTCAAATGACAGAAATAAATTTTAAGCTTCAACTCGGAAGAGGTCATTCGAGTGTTTCCTACTTGATTTTTCACAGGCTGCATCTTTCATATTGCAAAGAGAGCTCTACTTGCCGGCGCTTAGTGTACTGCAACTAACGATCACCTTCATATTCTCATGCCTCCAGCGCGAATTATTGTATGGTCGGGCCTTTCGGACGCTGGTCGGGTCCGCCACGGACAATTCTATTGCCCGACGCACTTTTCAGCTCTGAATCATCAACATGTGTAATATCTCCAACGGCCGAAACCAGACATCAAGTATTATAAAAGCAGGCTGATGGTGCGTCTTGGTAGCTTGGTCAAATCTTCTCGCCCTTGTGAATTTAACAAGAAAGCTTAATATCACTACCAAGACAAGTTGGCATACCCGCATGACAGCTCACCATCGGCCAAGCACCGGATTTGCGTTCGCGGGTTTCTATCATGTCTTCATGTAATCCAAAAATTGCCATTGTTGGTGCAGGCCCTGCTGGACTGACACTCGGTGTCCTGCTCCACAACCGTGGCGTCCCGTTCAACATTTTTGAGCTGCGCCAACTTCCGATGATAGAAGAACTTGCAAAACCTTCTGGATCCCTCGATCTTCACGAGGACTCTGGTCTTGCTGCTATCAAGGAGTGTGGGCTATTCGACCAATTCCTTCCACTGACTGCGGAGTGCTCTGAGGACGACAGGATCGCCGACAAGGACGGGAACATCCTCTACGCGGACGAGGGCGAACACTCGAATCGCCCGGAAATCTCTCGGCATGCCCTGACCAAGCTTCTGTTGAGCTCCCTGCCAGTCGATGTTGTCAGGTGGGAGCATAAGCTGGTCTCAGTTACCAGCTCCACTACCTCCGGTCACACGGGGACAGAACTGAACTTCGGCCCCAGGGGCAAGCACATCTTCGACCTAGTGGTTGGTGCCGACGGCGCCTGGTCGAGGGTCCGTGAGCTCCTGACAGATGTCAAGCCGCACTACGCAGGGATCCAAAACATAACCGCCACCGTTCGTCACATCACAGAGAAGCATTCACACCTAGCCGAGCTTATCGGTCGGGGAACCTTCGCCGCCCTCGGCATCAGACATGGTGTATGTTCGCAGCGCGGAGCGGAGGACTCTGCCAGGATCTACGTCTTCGTCACAACCTCCGACGAAGACTTTGCGACCAGTGCTGGTTTGGCCGGTAAGACGGCAGCAAATGCCAAGGATGTACTGCTGGCCAACGACACCCTTTTGGGAAAATGGGGCACTAAGCTCAAGGAGCTTGTGCGTGTCGTGTTCGATGCGGAGACAGCGGACAATCCTGGTGCAAGCGTGGACGTCAAACCACTGTATACGCTGCCAGTTGGAATCAGCTGGGATCATAAGGCCGGAGTCACTGTGATCGGCGACGCGGCGCATCTAATGTGTCCATGGGCTGGTGAGGGCGTCAATGTCGCTATGTGTGACTCGCTCCTACTATCACGAGCAATCGTCAAGGCATACGAAGCAGCCGGGCGGGATGCGGCCTCATTTCAGCGGACTCTCGAACCGCTGCTGGGCGAGTTCGAGGTCAACATGATGGCGAGGGCGAAGGAGAAGGCAGAGGAAACCTTTAGGAATGGCCAGATCATGTTCGGAGAGTGTGGCGCGGCGGGCATGGTGGAACTCTTCAGGAGCCACGGACAGCTGGAGCAATAGGCTGGTATATAGCAGGCGCCCTAACCATAGAAAGCTTCAGAGGCAGTGGTATGGGGTGAAGCCAAAGAGAGATTAGCATGCCACGTAATGACTAGATATGAATATCAATCTATCACGTTTGCATTTTCACGAGGGAAACAGCTTCCGGCTCGAATGTCTCAGGAACCTCCCAAGGGACATTGGCGGGGTTGTGGATGTGGATTCAAGGTCAAGGGTGTACGTCGAGAAGAATGTACGGATTGTAGATGGGAGCGTTCTCATTTTACCGGTGGTAGAGAGCAATCAAAGCACTGCAGATGTTGTAGGAGCGAGAGCCGCTGATCTCATTAAGGGTGGACAGAGGGTGAGAAAACAAATCCATGCAAGGCTGCGAGGCTGCCAAAAAGGAGTATCGATAACGACGGTTTTAGCGTGCACTTGCCGTCGCCAGAGCTGCCTGAATTGGTCGAACTAAGCCCAAAATATTCTTAGTGCAGTTAAGTCCAAAACGCCCTTAGTCCAAGGCGCTCTCACCACCTCGTCCTCCGCGTCCTTGCGCAAGTATTTGTATCTGACTCCAGATCTTGTGACGCAGTTTGCGCAGTCCACCAAAAGCATCATATGATGTCTCTGTGCCAGCCGAATTATCTCTGGATCAATATTGGCGACACGCGGATCACCAGGCAAGGCAGACTTGCACCAACATTGTTCGTCGGCGTGGGGTGAAAAATGGACGAGACGCACCACTCCTGACCAGGCGTATTCGTATTCATTTCTTCCACGACCACAAACCCCCGCAAATGAGAGGGCAATTGACAAAACTCAATTCACACCACCTATCTGTGGTATGCTGATGACTTCTTCTGGCGCCCTTGGCGAATTGAGATGTAGGGTTTCGAGGGACCTCATCATCCTTAAGCGACAACCCTTTAGTGTCTTGCCATTTCGCCCTCCCGCCTGGCGTTCACGATGATCAGTGGGTCACACCATTTGTTCGATTGGCATGAGAGTAGCTGTATTCGCCTTCTACTCTGTATAGACCGCATATTAAGAGAACACAGGTCGGCAATATCATCATCCGCATCAGCTTTTGTCCTTGTTCTCCAGTATCCGCACCAGGTTCGCTCATCAATTCAAAATGTCTGAACAAAGTATGCCCTTTTTCATCATTTCTTTTGCTTTCCCCAATATGGCCGCGCTCAAGCTAACACTCGTCTCTCAAACGCAGTCACCGTCAACCCGTACCTTCATCATGTGGCCAAAGGCGCCTCATCCGCCTTTGCCATTCTCTTTTTCTTTTCCTTCCTTTTGCACGTCTACCAGAGCAGGCAAGTCCGATAGCCCAGACCCGTCTCTATACAGCGTGGATCATTTGCTTTTACAGCTAACAGTGCGCGGGACGTGAGTAGCAAGTACAAGTCATGGTATTACTCCATTTGTCTCCCATTGGCGGCCGCCGTGACGGTCGCGGGGTTCATCTGTCGTGAAATTTCGGCCTTCAACGGCTCGGATCAGGTCAGCGCTGTCGAGGCGCTTTTTTATACCGCAACGTGAGCTTGTCCCTCGAGGCTACTGCGCTATGTCGGACTTTGACTGACGGGTGGATCAAAACAGATACGTCTTCACTATTCCGCTTTATGCTGTACGGAGTCTACTATTTCCCAACCCTTCTCTCCCCTCTTTGTCCCTCATCCCCCTCTAACCACAATGTAGTTCATCCTTCATCTTGATTACCACCTTCCCACCGTCCCGCCCTCGCTGGTTCCCCCGATCCATCCCCCACTGTATATGCTCTTCATTTCCATCGTCACATCCGCCATCATCGCTTGCCTCGCCCAGGGCTGCGCGACATACTTCTCCCCTCAAGGCAGATTGTCGGGCGAAATCACGTCGGGACTCCGCCTGATCAAGGCCTCGCTCTTCCTCCAACTATTCCTCAACCTGCTCCTGATCGTCATCCTCAAAGTCTGGCTCCTGAGGCTGTGCATCCGCCGCCGCCGTTTCCCCGAGCAAATCGGTCGTCTGCCAGGCCACATTTTGGAGGTGATAGGACTGCTCTTTTTCCTGCTCGGGATGATCATTTTGACGAACGTCTTCCGCACGGTCCAGATCTATGCCCAGCCGACGTCGCATCTCTGGACGACCGAGGGGTGGTTCTGGGGCTTTGTAGTCGCAGAATTGGTTGTGTATAGTGCGGCGTGGCATTCGATGCATCCGGGCCGCTTGATTGGCAAGGAAGAACGGGGATGGAGATGTCATGGGCCCAAGAGAGGGGGAAGCGGGTGCGAGGAGCCTGCTACCCGTCAAGTCTAAAACAGGGCAAGGAGAACGACGAGAGAAAGGGAGGAAGACAAGCGGCGCCAAAACCAGGCGATACTCGCGACTAATAATATGATGGTTTAGATCCAGCCAGTTTAGGCTATGCCGTTGCTGTTGCCGTTGCTGTTGCCGTTGCTACTGGTCAAGGCTGAAGCAGATAGGCGCAAGGCTGGAGGAGCCGGTTACTTCCGGATAACGCAGAATGAGAATCACATATTAGTTCACACTGTGGACATGCAGCCGAAAGCCGTGCTATTGTATTGTCTATTGATTAGTTCTGTCGCCTCGCGCTTGTTTGCTTTCCTGTCTCAAATGCAGCTCGAAGTTGTTGCTTTTGTTTCGCTTGAGCCCTTTTTTGTGTGGCAGGTGATCAACCCCTTCAAATGACCTTCAATGTCATCAAACGTAAAATGCCTCATAACCATAATGTTAATACACTTTTCAAGTTAGAATGATCGATTGCAGGTATTTCACATCCTGCCTTTGTGTTGCAGCTTGAAAATAGTGAACCCCTTCCTCGAAATGACCTCTCGTTTGCCGGATTGATGTCGTTGGTGTAATCATAACGGCATCCCAAGTCCAATCGATGCCATTCAGTCTGAGGCAAGCCACTGTCAGTAAAATCCAATCGCCCTCATTCAAGCACTGAAAGGTAACGCGCTGCAGGCCAATCGGCCTCTCCGGGGAATACCTTCAACACTCTTCTATAGTTTGTTCAGTTTTCTTAATCACACCAGTAAACCGTCCCGTACCACCTTCAAACTCTCCATCCTCGACCGCAGCCCATCGCTCAATATTATTAGGCCAGCCGAATCTCATCCCCCACGCCTCCTCGAGGACCCGCTTTTCGATCGGATGAATGCACTGAGTCAATGTCCCTAACCACGGATAATGAGCATCTGACATCATGATGTTCGTGGCGTCGACCTTCTCAGAGGTATGGGTTGCGACATTCTGCGTGTCAACTGCGGCCGCCCCCTGTCCACTTTCAAGAGATGACGCTTTAGCAAATCGCTCCTTGCGAACATCAAGGGCAGTCTCAGTCACAGGTTCGAAATGAATGGCCGCCGAGTTTTGGTTAAAATCTGACGACGGACCCAATATCGAGATCTTGACGTAGCCACAGCTGTTGAGAATGATCTGCTGAACATGCCCGCGGAACGTTGATTTGGGCATCGGCTGCAATTCTCTGTCAATGAGTCCTGCGTCGTACTTGTGTCCAAGAAGTGTTTTCCCCGGCGTAATAGCATCCAGTACTCGAGCCCAAGCAGCTCCACTGGGCAAATTCTCCCGAATCCATTCTTCTCGGGAGTGAAGACAGCGAATATTGCTCAGTAAATTCGTTATGGGTCTCGTGATATCGGCATCGTGATATGTGGTCATGCTGACAGAGTCGAGCGTTAAGGAATGAAGGCTTGTGTCTCTACTACTTTTCATGAAATCTTGCAGCATCCAGGGCGTGAACCAACAGTTTACGAATCTGAGCTCTCGGACGTGGTCGAACTTTGTGACAAGTGGAGAACCAGGGACATCGGTCATGTCAAACAGCCAATCACCAGGAAACTCGACAATTGGCGCGGGCAAGACATGCTTGTTCCGTGCGAACATGCCAACAGCATGCTCTCCACCCCCAGTATAACCAAGGGTTAGGCTGTGCAGACTCTCTAGCTTGGTAATGTATCTCCTCAAGAACGTGGTGAACGTCTTGGCGGCATCTGAGGGACAGATGAGCATATTCTTGACAAATTCCCGATCGCCCATTACATGTTCCTCACGCCAATCGGGGCTTATGAAGATCTCCAACGTCTTCAGCCCGGACAAGGTCTTCCAGAACTCCCACTGTTCTAAGGATGGTAGAAGCCCGGAGGACAATTTGCTGATGCGAAGAGTATGGATTGATTTAAAGTTCTGCTTGTGTGTAATGATGGCTGTCGTGTAAGCGGACAGGAAGACACGCTGCGCCCATGCAGTTTCCATCAACCATTGAGCTTGCGCTTCTGTGAGCAAGCCGGGCAAGAGTGGCGATACGGCAGGATGGGCGGTTTTGTTTTGGATGACCGAAGAGTGACCTCCATGTTCAGCAGCAAGATTGTAGCCGCTGAAAATGATAGGCCACTGAGGTAATCTCCTTCCTCCGTTTCGGGAGTGAGCTAATAGTTGGCGGTGGATTGCAGGATCAAGTGCGTTGATCGCATTTGGGGGCGCGCCATTCTGATCCAAGCCAGCTTCCACCCCGAAAACCGGACCAACTCCAACATGACATTCTGGATCGTAATCAAATTGCTTGTCCTGATGTCTGAAGCTTTCGATATCGCGGATTTTGAGACCATCCAAGAAGCGAACCTCTTTAAGAGCAGGGCCTGATGGCGGCTGCTTCGCCATCAAGGTTTTGATGGTTTCGTTGATGGTATTCTGTTGGGCCCATCTGAAATATTCGTTGCGGGCAAAGGTGGTCCAAACATTTTCGTTCTTGAACGTCTTACCAAAGATTTTGCTCCCCTTGGTGGTTCGTCGGTTGAAAAGGGCCATGTCAGAAATGTCAGGCCCCTCAAGCCAGCCGTGACCGCTGTCGACGCACAATCCAAGCTCCGAGGCTCTAGTGATATATCCCAGTGCCTCTCTCAGTAACGGCCGATTATCGTCAACGAGATCTTCGATTGCCTGCAGTTCTGGAAAGCGGGGGTATTGTTCTGTAGGCCACGTAAATTTTCCAAACCACGCGACTTGCTCCTTCTCGATGGTTTTCGACTTGGCATGCAACAAACCTTGCAGGTCGTACTCGAAGGAAACGCCAAATTGGTTGATGTCAGCCCCGTACTTCTTGAACATCGAGTTGGGGGGAAGCCATCCGGACTTGCTATCCCAATCACCCCCGGTCATGTCGAAGAAGTTCCTGTTGAAGTTGACTACAACATTCCTCAATTGGATAGGAGCCACGATTTCTGCGAGATTCTTGCTGACCAGGCGGAGATTTTTCACGTCTTGGGTAGAAAGGAACCTGCAAATTTCCGTCCATAGATCGACATCAAACAGTTGTATAGCACTTGATACAGATCCAAGAGCTTTGACAGCTTTCGACGAACGGATCCTAGTTGATCTTGTGCTAGATAGACGCATGCCAGGAGCATTTAACGGTTTCCAGAGACGCGGGTGTTGTTTCCGCGGGGTTGGGGGAGAAACATTCTTCCATTTTGGATCGCTAACCTCAGCGCCTGGCACGTCATCAGGGAAGAATCTCGCCCTCGGAGTCTCGAGCCTGGGAGGAACCCCTTCTTCCGCGATCTCGAGCAACGAGTTTATATCCCTGGGTCTGTAGAGACCCAGGCGTCGTCTGTCGGGATCAGCTGAGTGGTTTCGTTTTGCACGCGTTGCCTGCTCGATAAACTCCTTCTTCTCGCTTTGAGGGATAAGTTCAGGGATGATGCTGGCATAGTCGAAAGGAATAGTTGATGGACACTGGTCTTTAGACCCAATACGTGTGACGTCCTCGCTGGTGGGAGATTCTTGTGTTGACAATTGATGGTTCTGGACGCCAGGAGCGAGGGTGTTAAGTGGCGTCTGAGGAATCGTGTTACCGGTTGCCAGCTGCCCAGGCATAGATGAAAGCCAAGGTACTGAGCCAGTAGGATTATTCTCAGATGAAGGAATAGGATGAGACCCTTGAGTTTGGTCATGCTGTGGATTACCCGCACAATGAATGTCTGATGGCACAGCAGATGACGGACCAGAAAGCGAGAGACCCTTCGAATGTCTCTTCTGACGCAACTTTGCGCGCAACGGGCTAGTTAAATCCTCTTGAGCAATGTTCCTAACGGCCATTCTCTTGTTCTTGGTGTGCTCCTCAAATGTGGTTGTCCTAGAGGGACTAGTCGTGCCTGGCAGCGAGATGCGACAGTTTCGTTGGACAGAAGGTTGTTCAGACGGGCCTGGCAGAGGTGGTGTTGGTAGTGATGGCTGAGGCAGTTGTGGCTTTTCAGAGCCACTTACACTCTGAGTCGCATCTTGACTGGAGGAGTCCCTGCGTGCTAGGCGCTCCGATCGTCGAGTTCCCACACTCACGGAAAGTTGGCGGTTATTGACTCGATCAGACAACGTTGGAGCAATAGGTGTTGAATGGAGTACATGTGTAGGTGATTGATTCTTGCCAGTATCGAGCAGCCCACATGCCGCTGGTACCGCTGTCTCCTTTTGTTTGCCCTTCCCTTTTCCCAACGTAGCCTCGCGTTCACGCTTCAACTTGTCGACCTCAGCTCGCAGGTATTCAGTCAGAGTCTTGGGACCGAAATCCGTAGCAAAAGCGGGAGGGACGAAGTAAGCATCGGCATCAGGAATGGGGCGATTGTTGCCTTCGACGAGGTTGTCGATGACGGAAGCAGCGGGGGAGTTGAAAGCAATAGTGCCGGGCCGTCGTTCGCGCCTAGCAGCGAGGCGAGCAACGGGTTCTTCGTAGTCTAGGTCTGTGGTGGGAAAGCGCAATCCAGATCCATCTTCTTCATAGTGGCTCGTAGTCATTCGTGGAGGGTGCCGGGTGGTCATGGTCACAATTGGCCAAGGTTGAAGACGAAGAGATGCACATTGATGCGGAGTATTGCGCAGTTTTGTTGCTTTGAAGAGAATACACGGAATTGATGAAATGACAGCGGCAGTAAAACCACTGAGAACGGAGGCTTCAAGACCCTTAACTGACGCGAATGAAGTGATACAATGTTGCAGATTTTGGGGGGACAAGTTTGGTTTCTCAAGTCCCAGGCAGAATCTCCAATGACATGTTCATGTGGATGGAGCAGCCTTCACGGCGAGCACGGTTATTGGCGGCACCAGCGGCACCGACTGTGCCTTGCGGATCGGATTATCACCATTCCGTCATAGCTATGCTTGGCGCTTCGCGGCCTCAGCCTTGCTCAGCCTCGTCTTGTGGTGATATCTCACACGAGGCTCCCAGCCTCTGATTGATTCAGCGTTCTCGTATCCTTTCCATCAAGCTAGTCTACGCCTACCACACAGGTTCCTGTTCAGCATGTCAGGAGAATTTTCCCATTCCTGGCTATGGCGGAGCTCTGGCATCTCCATCTATGTCAACTCTCTTCTCTTCTAGGCGTGGCACGATAATGCCAACTGAGGATTTAAGTATGTTCCGGCGATAACGGGCTTTTCCTGTCTCCAAAGCGCTCTCTCGACGCTATAAAAACGCATACATCCACTGATGCTCAAGTCCATGCTGACCGATAGAGAGGAAGAGTCACAGACAGCCATAAAACTGGCTAACATAACATTTAAATCTCGAATCTTCACGCCTACGCTCCCCGTCCACTTGTTATCGATACGTGGCCATGCGACCCTCGAATCTTGCAGCGATCCTTCCATCCCCCAAAGCATCCACTCTCACGATCTCTCCAGCCCCATACTCACCTGCTTCCTCCGGCGAAGTAGTGATCAGAACTCATGCCGTGGCAATCAACCCGGCCGACTGGGCCATTCAACGACTCGGCATCCTAATTTCAGAGGAAGACGGTTATCCATGTATCCTCGGGTGTGATGTTGCTGGGGAGGTCGTTGAGCTTCCTTCTGCAGGGCAGCCAGACGGACGGATTGCGGGACTCAAGGTCGGCGATCGTGTGATCGGCCAAACAGGGCCACTAAGGTTCAAAGATTCCAAAGACTTGGATCTTGCTGCGGATGACCTCGAACAATGGCGCGGCAAAAAGGTGTATGCCTACTCTTCTTTCCAAACATACGTGGTCCTACTTTCCCCGTTCGTGGCAAAGATTCCTGAGGCTATGACCTACGAAGACGCGGTTGTGTTGCCGCTTGGCATGACGACAGCCTCTAGTTGTCTATTCCCAGAGGTTATGTTGGGATTGGATATGCCCCCTGCCAAAGACAAGCCTGAGAAAAAAAACAAAACTATCATTGTCTGGGGTGCGTCTTCCAGCGTAGGCTCCTGCGGCGTTCAGCTTGCAGCACAGGCGGGTTATGCCGTTGTCGGCATCTGCTCACAGAGGAACCATGAACTCGGCAAATCGTTGGGGGCGGTAAAATGCTTTGATCAAGGTGATCCAAGCGTCGTCGAATCCATGGTCTCTTACCTGAAGAGTGAAGGCCAAGAGGTGATGGGAGCGTACGACGCCATCTCCAAGCCCGCGACGTTGCAACCTCTCTGCGAAATCCTTGACAGATGTGGTGGTCGGAAGTTCATCGCCGCCGTCTTCCCAGGCGCCGAACAGTACGCCACTCACGATGTGTCCATCGTGACAAACCTGTCAACAGTGAGCAAATTTGGCGCCGGTCTTGCGCCAAAGGTATGGGATTGGCTTGAGAGTGCGCTGGAGGACCACCGGATACAATGCATGCCTCCCCCCGAACACATGGGGGAGGGACTCGAGAGTATTCAAGACGCAATGGACAAACTGGCCGGGGGGACAGTGAGCGGGAGGAAACTGGTGGTCACTCTCTAGATGAGATCTATCTCGACACCTGGAGGGGCAAAAAAAGAATAGTACAGAGACGGCACAGCGAGAAGGGGCTGAAAAGGCTACGACATTGTGAAGATTCAGATAGCCCGATTGCAGAGAAGAGGGAAGGGCCAGCGAACATACCCTTCATCGACACCTGCTGATTGAAGATTCATTCTAATTGTCGTCTCCCTAGTGTGTTCAAGTGAGTTCTGTGTGCGAATCTGTAGCGATTCTGGATCCGACTTCTCATTTGATATGTACACGGAATATACTTTTGCGAAATACTATAGGCGAAACCGAGTACATAGCTACATAGCAGGCTAGTAGAGCTTTGCATTCCGGGAAACTTTCCCTGAGCGGGGCAGTATTCTTGACTCCTTTTTATATATCAGATTTACTTGTGAAGGGAAGCGTTGCTCCTGACATAGCCATCAATGACGACCAATAGGGCGATGGCCGTCAATACTCTCCTTATATAGGGGTATGATTTAATGTCCAGAGAATGTGCGACACAGCTATTCAAGGTACCGATGTACAAGTGAAATCTGCATTAGTAAAGGAGTGTATGTTCAAGTAAATGTAGTGGTCAATGCGGACTAGCACCACGATAGTCTTCTCTGATGCTCAAAATCCACGCCTTCATCGCGTCGTCCTAGAAAGCTCCAGCTCTTTTGCGTCGCTACATTCAATGCTCGGGTCGGGCAACTTCGACCAAAGAATATGCCGGCTCAAAGTACCATCACTCACATATACCGAATCCTAGTTTAACAACTTAGTATTCCAATTGACCGTGTAGTCATCCTCGAGGTCGCCTAGTTCGAACGGGCAGATCATGATAGAACCCAGATCAGCAGCCACACCGAAAGGCTTGACGTTAGACCCTGTGATGACTTTGTCAACGCCATTATTTCTGATGGTTTCGTCGGTCCACTCCGGGTATCGTCTCCTCAATGCGTCGGTGTTTTTGACCATGTACAGAAAGTGAGAGCGAAGGTGTTCATGCATGAATCCCAGGGCATGGCCGAACTCGTGGACAACGTGGAGGTTTAATGCCGTCTTTGGTCTTCTTGGTGGGTTCCACGACGTCAGGATTCATTGATGCTCGCTCTGTGTTTTCTGCTTCAGCCTGGGCATCTCGTTCATGCTAATGACCAGATGAATACACTCATCGTTCACCGGTAGGACCAGTTGCCGCCACGTTTGAAGCGGATGCGGATCTGGGCAATATTGACTTTATCTTCGTCTTCAGCTTGTTTGAACTGTACGTTCGCCCCGCGATTCTGCCCCTTGTTCTTTGCAGAGTACTTCGGCCATTCATCAGCATATTCTATGACCTTTTTCTCAGTCTCGGTTTTCCGCCGAGGAAACTGACATTTAAGACAATAGGGCCAACTAGGTTGGCTGGCTTGCTCCACATGAGTTTGACGTCCTCAATTACAAGATGCGCAATGTTGGCCGCCGAAATATTCCCATGTTTAGGTTATGGTTTAGTTGTTGAGCAAGTTTGGCATATTGGAGTAAGGCAGCTATACAAACCGAGCATTGAGGGGAGTTCACTGGAGTTGGCGCATCGTGTCTTCGGAGCACTGCGTCGGAAACAAGGCCAACAGCTCTTGTAGTAGCAGAAGCAGGGTCCTCGTCACGCATGATGGTGTCAGTAGTGTCTTTGGCAGTCAAGGTAGTTGTGATATCTCATAGTCACTCGTACTCTTTGTTTCCATCGGCGGCTTTTATCCCATCGGCCTATCAAAATCTTTATCATTGGACACATTGCAGTAATGTTCAGCCTTCCACCGGTAACCCTTCCCGGGAGCCTCCAATTCTCTGAGACGATAAACTCTGCCATCTCTAAAGGTGTCCGGTGGCACCACCGGAGGGCTGTTGAGCAGGTCCTGGCAAGTTATTTCCCCTGCCATGATGATGATTCCACCACAGTTTATGTCATCTTTTGCTTTGACGGAAGATGGTATACCAGTCCAGAGTATCCGAGATTGGCGTGTAGGATTGTCGGCTCAGAACATCGATCCTCTGCTCTAGCCAGTTCATGTCGAAGGCCTCAATGACTCTCTTCAAGGAAGGGTCACCAGTGAGGAGGGAGTCCTCGAGGTCCTGATAGTATCCCCTCATCCTCTCAGCAATCCCATCGAATACCGTGGTTCGGGTCGAGGAGGCGATCGTCAAATCGAAGGTGGAAGCGAAATGCTGATTGACTTGACCGTGGATTTAAAATTGCCAGTGCCATATGCACATATCTCATCCGCGGAGGGCAATATATAGTGATACAAGGCGACGTCACACGGGATGGAACAGTGATTGCTTTCATCAATCGGGAACACGTGAGACCGTTGGCCGCAGTAATATCGGGAATGTGAGCGACCGGGTCGAAAACCCTGTCTGATGGCGCCCGCCACGCCACTAGTGCTTTACTACTACAGAGAACGAGGATCTCCGTGAGGCTATGCTCGTAAGGCCTGTCTTCGCGAATAAGCATTTCTGCTTCATATTCCATTAGACTGTGCACTTACCAAGCAACTGCAACCGATGATCTTGCCCTATTCTAGCACCCTGAAGCGAAGGATACCGATTCGTATCGGATTGTAATCTCGAGGCAATTCCAATGTCGTCTATCGAATGTCGGCTTCAGAGATTTCTCCTTCTCTGGAACGTTTGTGGCGGATCTTTGCTGATCTCCACCCAGTTTTGAATATCTGCGCGTTTTTCGGTCGATAAACGGCCAAAATCTTGCAAGTATGTACTTGAAATGCTTGCATAGCTCTTCCAGTCGCTATCAGAGCATGTACTCTCAATGGCCCGCAACATATTCAGGTCAGGGATGGACTCAGTCTCTTGTCTGATGAGCTGATCTCTTCGTATGACCGTCCTAGTGGACGTCGTGATGTGTCCGAGACCATCAAGTAGGTCCTTGAGCTTCTGGACTAAGGCGGAAAACTTTTTAGAATCTCGAATAGCCCATTTAGCCTTGGCCCTTAGCCCTGCTTTTCTAGAGTATTCTGTAAACCGTGCTTGAAATTGCACCAATGGCGAGCTTTCGAACGAGTAAGAGCAGGCTGTACTTCCTTCGACGACCATATTCAAGGAGCCTTGCGTTCCTGGTGTCTTTTCAAGACCATAAATCGATTTTAGCGAGTCAGCCTCGTGGAATAGACTCTGGAGATTCTCAAGGATTCGTTTAACGAGTTCTCGTGTCTCCGGCTTGTCAAGAAGCGGCTCTCTATCTTCATCCGGTCTGAGGATGCCCACAGCTTCGCCCCAGATCATCAGCCGCCGCTTCTCAATGCTGAGTCGAGTAAGCAGCAGCTCACAGTCGGAGCCAAGATTTTTTCCCACCTCGATGAGATCAAAGCACTGTACGCAGAGGGAAAATAGACTGGCCAAGGCGACGGCGCCGACTGTGAGGCTGATAGGCTCGACTGGAACCATGACGCTGAGACGATTGACCGTGTCGACTCGTGACAAAGCGAACAGGAGCGTCAGCCTGACAGCCTACTGGCAAGTATCAGGCCACCAAAGGCACAATGGAGTGGACACTTTGATGGCCCTCAAGGGGGCGGACTGTCTATGATAAGAACATAGGACGCCAACAGTTGTAGAGCGGTCTTGTTGATGTTGTTATGCACGGTGAGAAGCTGAAAGCAGAAGTTAGGCGGCTAGAAAACACTGAACTCCCTCTGTTTTTAGGCTTGGGTACGCCGCACGTGGGCTGGGGCCTAGGGGGGGAGGCCCCATCACGTGCGGCGCCTTGCCAAGAGGCCAGAGTCCTCCCGTCTTGTCATTAGGCTCAAACCGAATCCCTCGTAGACGACCATGTCAAGCTACCATGGTCAAAGAGGGATGTTGGGTGATGAAAAGGGATGCGGAGTTGAGCAGACGGGCCCACCAGCCCAACTGAGCAGCCTGAGCATGAGCAGATCAAGTTCCGCCTGAGCCGAAGTTGACCCAGCTCGCCAGGTCACAAAATACCAGGCTTGACCAGGTAAAGCGACGAGACCGCCATCTAAAACGGATGCTAAGGCCAGGTGCAGAGTCAACGTCGAAAACCATTCCTTATTGTTAGTTCATTCGTATGCTGTCTCTCAAAGCTAAGCAGAGCAAGAGTGCGACTCCAAAGCGACATTCTTAGCCATGGGGTATCTCTATGCACAATGAAACTTCCAGCCAATACCTGTATCATGAAGTTGACGCCATCACAGTAAACTTATGTCTGGTTAAAACTCCATATGCTCGTAATCATACCAGCTCGCTTATGGTTGAGCCCAATTCCCCGTTGTCCAATAGATGCAGGAAAAGATCAACTCTCGTGTCTTTGTTCTTAGTTTCTGAACGGCTTCACATGCCTTTTTGCCTTCCACCTGACAATCCCCCAACTTTATCACGCCGGAATGGTTGAATCCTTCAAGTCTCGAACAGAAGTAACGTCTGGCCGAACAAGTTCTCATGGTCTAGTCCAACAGCCTCAGGCGTACCGTCAAGGTTCACCATGTTCACGGAAGCCTTCGTTGTAAGGCCATACAAGCTGACATTGGATGAACATTGAATGTCAACCATGTTCTCTTGACATGACTCCGTGTCCAAGCATGTTTGGAGGTAATTGTCAAAGAAGCTGTAAAGGCCAGCACCGTACATGTGAATATCACTTGAGTCAACGATTCGCAAACCCCAAGATTTCTTGCACGAGTCAGTGGTACATTCGGCAAATGTGGGATCCGAGAAAGCCGAGTTGGGTGGAAACCCTCCCTCCAAGGCGTTGGGAGTAGCCTGCATATACGGAGTCTCTGTCTGGATTGCGCCCATGAAGATATCCCGAGCATTGGAGAACTGATAGTTGTAGAGCTGATTGTGCTCTGACGATGTTCCGTACAGCCAGACAGGACCTTGACTCTCAACAAGCAGTCCACGGCCGTTGTAAATGTCGGTCTGATTGTGTGTAGTGATGTCCAGCTCATGGTCAGCAACCCAAAACCAGCAGTTTTCCAAATAGGCAGATGCTTCTTGAGTGACATGCATCAACAAGAAGGAACCCGCACATTGGGGCTTGAATTCGAAGGAGCCAGTGATGTTAGCTTGGCATGTATCTTGCTGGAGCTGCGTTCCTGCAGTTCCTCCAATCCGGAAGTGGACATCCCACATGCCACAAGAACCTTGGGAAGACTCCGCAACATTCCATTGCACCATGATAGCACCAGGGGCAGGGCCGAGGGTCTCGAACACAAGATCTGACATCTCCACAGCACCGACGCTCCCCTGAGTTCCGACTTGGAAAACAGGCTTGGGATTGTTAATATCTGAGAATGCCGTGCCTTGTGCCATGATGAGAGGCCAGATCTCTCCGGTGATCCGGATGTTTGAAGGGACCATGACAGTATCAGTGATGACATAGGCCCCGTGGTCGAAGTAAACAACTTGGTCTGGGGTGGCTTTGTTGAAGATGTTTTGGATTGCCGCAGTATCATCAGTAACGCCGTCGCCTTTGGCGCCCGCTGACTTGACGCTGACGAAGGACGAAACCGGGACGTCCTCGTACTGTGGCTTGGAGCGCTCAAAGACGTTATTACCATCCATAAGAGATGCGGCCATACTTGGAGCAGTTAACGGTTGTTGAACGCGTGCTGATTGCAGAGCTACTGGCGTTGGGGAGCATACACCAGGGGGTGCTGATGAAGGTATCGTAACCCGGGACGCAGTAGCATTAGTCGATACAGTCGAGGACGTGCTACCATTGGACGGAGGAATTGGTGAAGCTGAAGCCCCGCCAATAGATGTCGGAGACGCAGTGACATACACGGTTGTGGTTGTAAACCATACACCACTAGGAGGTGTTGGGGGTGGTATGGCTGATATGGTGAGCGTGGTTGTGGTCGTCGAGTAATATGAGATCGAAGGCAGTTGCGGGGGAAAAGCGCCACCTTGTGGTTCTCTCTTGACCTTCTGAGATCCACTTGTTGATCCTCCAGCAGGACGATAGGTGTCGCCTTGGCCCCAGGAGCCCACGATCATGCCGCCTGCCAGGATCGGAGTAGTACCATCTGCACCGACAACGGCGGTCCGGACGCCTGTAAAGTCGACGTTCTGCAAGGCTAAAGTCCCTCCAGTAGCAGGCTGGCTTGTCTGGTTGTACGAGGTTTTGATGCCAATCGGAGTATTAGTCATGGCGCTGTCAAGAAGGATAACCGAGCCCACGGTCTGGTTGACTCCGTTGTTCAGGTTGGACATGTCGATGCCGATGTCACATTCGTTGATTTTCACCGACTTCAGCGTCCACAGCCAGTTCCAGTTCATGAAAATGGCAGTGTTGCAGCCGTTGAATGTCATGTTGCGAGTGGTAAATTGTTGGTTGCCCAAGAAGGCACCGTAATTACCGCCGTTGAATATAAGGTCTGACATGAAGCCTCCAGAGCCATTATCCATGAAAATCCCCTGCTGTTTGTTCGTAGGACTCTTGGGGCGCATATTGAAAACAATGTTCTGGAGACTGGTGGCCTGCGCAACCTGCCAGTGGATACCAGCACCTTGGTCTTCTGGCATCTGGGAGATGTCGACGACGAAGTTGCGGATTTGTCGATAGAAATTATTTTGATTTGTATACCACTGAGCACCATTGCCGCCGGGAATGTATGGATCTGTATCGAGTACAGCCAAGCCTTGGAAGCTGGGCAAGGCAAGAATAGTAGGAACGTTGACGGCATCGCCGACGAATTGGGTGTAGTAAAGCTGAATGACAGGGGATGAGACAGCATATTTGCCCGGAGGGAAATAGACAATTGCAGGAACGGTCGTAGAGCTGTCGCAGCCTTGTCCGCATCGAGATCCATCGGTGATGGCATTGTTGATGGCAGCAGTATCATCAGTCACACCGTCACCGACAGCACCATAGTCTTTGACATTGCGGAAGATCTTGTAGCCAGAGTTCGAGCTGTAGGCCACAGTCCCTTGTCGCTGAATTTGAGAGAGCCAATACGAGGAGGATGCCTGTCGGGGTTCGACCGGGATCATGGGTCTGGGCACGGCGCTGGCGAGCCAGGGTAAGAGGAGGAGAAGGAAAGGGAACAACATTGGTGATGTCGATGTTGGTGTCGGCCTTTGTTGTGTGAAAAGATGAGAAAAGACGGTTGCAAGGAGCCGAAGGTAATTTTTATAGTCTTTGAGGCGACCAGCACCAAACAAACGAGACCGAGGCAGTGATCAAAGGCAGCGATCACCAGCGTCGGTGCCTTTTCGATCGCGTGTCGACAGTGGTGACACAGGTGTAGGAACCTGGAAGATGTGGAGGTGGTCTTGTGGACTGCGCACGCGGAAACTGATGGTGGAATTGAAGAGGCAGGCACGAGTCCAGCCGTGCAAGTGACCAAAGGATCTCGCACAGTTGTGAATAGAAGTGAGAGGACAATCGCAACCGCTTTCACAAAAGTAAACAGACAATTGGTGATCAGGAAGGTCCGGTCGCGATAACGAGCGAAGCCGTCAGTAGAGGCAATTGTTCCGAGTTCTGTCTTTCCCTCTTTCTCTGCTCCTTTCTCTTTTCCAAATGAATGACAAAGGTGTCTTCGGACACGAGAACCGGCCTGAAAGGAAGAAAGAAAAAGAATAAAGACACCCAAAGAGAATCGAGGGAGCGAAGGACCAAAGAAACGAATGCCAAGGGACAACGAGCGAGGTGCAGTGAGAAGGAGAGGCTGCGCGGGTGTGGTGTTGATGATATGCGCTGGCAGGCGTTTGTTCGCACACCCAGCGCAGACAACTCGCACGCTCACGCAAATTCACACACCGACGAAGCCGGAGCACAAGCAGACGGCAGTCTCACAGAGAAGACCAGTTTTCTTTTCAATCTCGTCCGAGCTTTGCAGTCAGTTCAGCAGCGTCGACCAGTTGTACGTACTCTTTACACAGCGTCAGCCAGCCAGCTGCGGTGGGTGCGTCGCTTGCCTTTGTCTCAATTTCGCACCACACTGTCCCTGACCCATCTCGGTGTGGACTCCTGCTGTCCTTTTTATCTCCCTTATGCATGCTTGAACAGAGAAGTGTTAAACAGGAAGCCAGTGTCTCCAATCTTTCACTGCCGACATTACCTGCTGGACCAGCTGTCCCGGTGAAGCTAGAGCCCTTCGCGCCGCTCCATTGAGAAGCAGCCGCGTGGGTGGGGAGTCAGGAACGAACAACCTCGAGCCATCCCTTACACCTGATTCGTTGGGTGTGCCAGTCCTGAAAGCTCCTTAATCCGTATACAGCTTCCTCTCCACTCGTCGAGTTATGAGCTGGGAAAGGTGGCGAATCGGAAGAAAGCTGTCAAGGAAGAAGGAGCAAGCAGGAGGAGGATGACACGAAGCGAAGGTTCCAAAGCAGCCAAGTTGGCAAATTGCATATCATCCGATTGGCGAAATGGGACGCCAGGGGTTTGAAACACTCCGAAACATGCTACGTTTGACAAGGAATCAATTCGGGTGACGGGGGTGGCGTTTTCGAGGCTTGACCTCGTGGCTGGCCACTTCGCCGAAGATGCTGCAGATCAGCCAGGTTGGACGTTCACCTAACTACTGGGTACCCGGTACCTCGTATCAGAGCACTGACAAGTCATATCCTCCATCAACATTCATATCCGCTGTCACTCCAGCTCATCCTCCACTTGACCTGTTTACTTCCATCTCGTGTTCAATCACCTGAGCCAATCGAATCACGCCTTCCTCGAGGACATCCAAGTCTTCCCACGCATAGCACAAACGGATATCCTGCTCAAAGCCTGTCGCCTTGTTTGGTTCGTCTCCATCCACCTTGAACATGGGTCCCGCAATTACAGTCAAATTTGCTTCTTCCGATGCCCGTTTGTAGATGCGTGTCGAGTTCAAAGATCCGGGCAAGGTCAACCAGATGAAGTACCCTCCCGCAACATCCTTGTTCGCTTGAGGCATGGTCAGGCCTAATGGCAAGAGGTGCTGCTCAACTGCTCGCATCATTAGATGATATCGGTTGGCATAAGCTGGCTGCAATTCCTGCAGGATGTGGTTTTGCAAAACCCCTGTGGCCAGCATCTGGTAAATGAAGGAAGCAACCAGGTGAGAAGGCGCACCTCCAGACCGACTTGACCCTGTTTGCGAAAGACCATACACGAGCGCTGGAGTACCTTCGGCCCATCCTGTTCGACAACCGGGTGCAACTATTTTGCTGAAACTTCCGTTACTCACTGCATGCCCAAATTCATCAATCACCCCGCCATCGAGTTGCAGATCAATGTCCACTATCCGTGGCAGGACAGCTGTGTTCATCCTGCGAGACCCGACCTTGGGATCGGAAGGCCACTGAAGCATGTCATAGACGTCGTCCGTCACGATGAGAGCATCGTATTGCCGAGCCAGGCGAACCAAATCCCGCCGATGACCCAAACTCATAATTCGACCTGAAGGATTGGCAAAGGTCGGGACCGCATAGATAATATGTTTATATATCTTTCTCCATGGTTTCGGTGATTTAATTCGAGGTGAGGTGTTGTTGTCGGCACGTGCCCGCTTCTCACTTTCTCGAAGACCTCGATCCAGGTAGTCGAGGTCGATACCTTCAGCATCCTCTGGCACAGCTCTTAACTTGTTGTCGAAACCAGAATCGTTAAAGATTCTGCAGGCCAGATAATATGTCGGGGCCACCATCCACACATTTCGAGTATAAATCGGGTCCGTGAACGTCTGCAAAATACACGCTAGGTTCTGGCTGGCACCGCCACTGACACATATCCTCTCGCTCGAGACTGTCTCGCTCGGTCTGTAAAAATTATTGAGCCATTTCGCAATTTCCTCTCTCAGAGGCTGATAGCCTTCGTCTGGACCATAAAACAACACATCCGAATTGGACGGATTGGATAGTATATGCGCGGAAGCCTGATCCAGCTGACGGGGGGGCAGGAGACTGGGATGTGGCCAGCCCTTGAGCAGATCAATATGCCTGTTCTTGGGCACCTTGCGAGAATCCATTCGGGAACTCGCCCTGAGGGTCATATTGGACACTATCGACACGGCATGTGCCCGAAAATCAGGGATTGGCGGTGACGGCCGCTCTGGGCGATTCCTCCAAATGGATTTCTGGCCTCAATCTGATAATATCCGCAGTTAATATATGTTCCGAGATGGGTATACATACATGGTCCCTGAACACGCCTTTGACGGTCAGCAGGAAGGGATCAGGGTTTTCCCTCGCTGCTTGAGGCCTGCGACCCAGTCATCATGGTTTTCCCCCCCCCCCCCTCTTCTTCTTGTCTTTATTGGCATGGAGGAGGGTCGCTACGCTGGAGTTTAGCGGCAGTTTAAGCATCGCGTGCAGTGGATGGTCCCTTGATCTAGGCGACAACGGGCAAGAGCTGCCACCTAAAAACTGGGGATGTCGACGTCAATGGCAGAGACTGAAAAATGCGGGTGACGCAGGCACAAAGTGTTTGATCAGCGAAGACAAGACGGGCGCAGTTGTTGAATTCCAACCTCAACACGGCGCGCAGGCATCTTCCAAGAGACAACCTCATCCTTGTCCCTCCTTGCGCCCAGTCTCCATCTATCAGCTCATTCTCACTGCCACTAGCATCACCACCCTCCTCATTACTTGTGATTATTATTTGCCTCACCCATCCACGGCCACTCCACCCTACAGTAGATACACGCGGCACACCCCAGCCGAATGTCATCCCCTGCAAAACCCTTTTCCGGGGCGGTTGAACATGCATGACCTGCTGCTTTTCCTTTTCAACTCTCTGGCCCTCCTAGATCCTCGAATATCCTTCCCACTCCCCCCCTTGAACATGGTGTCACGACAGCACACTGAGCCGTATTTAGCAACATCGAGAGCTAAGCCATCTTTCACGGGCGCAAGTGAACTGGGGCCATGACGACCACTCGCTAAAAGAGCTGAATTACGCTACAATCGTTCGCTAGATTGGAAGGGAAGAGAATATATTCAATCTCTTGAGGAATCTGCTTGTTGCTTAAGCGCCCAATACACCACAATGGCAAAACGACTATCATCCTTATTTTCTCTCTCGCGCGACGCCGCCGACAAGACCGGTGCTGCGCCGCCTGCGACTGCGACTTCTCCTCACATACCGCCTCAGTCGTCTAGCCACTCGATATCCCATAAACTGCACAAGCATCGCATTACCTCCTCCTCCGAGATCGATCTCAACGACGGCTTGTCTCCACTTGCTCCCCCTCCTCTTCTCTCCGAGTCTGGGGCAGTGCGCCCCCCAAGCAGTCATCTTAGCGGACCCGACAGCATGCCTGGAAGTAGAAATAGCAGTCCGCATAGTCTTGCGCGGAGCAGGGAGACCAGTAGGAGCCGGCCTCAGACCCCCAACTTGCTAATCCCACCTGGTGCGACCGGCTCCCCAGGCCACCCTGCGACGCCTCCTTCGGCAAAAATCGCAAAGAAGAAGAGCTGGCTCCATGGCAAATCAGACAGACATAAATTTGATGACGGGCAAGGGGCGTCCATGGCGTGGATTGCGGGATTGCGGGAACATGTGGCGTACGACCTGGCGCCGCTATTGAAGGGCGAGAGGGTGCTTGAGCTTTGGAATGATCGTGGTGATACAGTGATATATCTTTATCCCCCATCTTCAGGGAAAGGCCCCTGTTTTCGTGTTGACTCTGCTCTCTTAGCCGACTCGAGGTCACTCGTCAACCTTCGCATGCAGTCTCCGACCTCCCCAATCGATAGGAACAGCGACGTCCCTCAAATGCAGACCGCCTTCTCGATGACCATGAGTCCAAGACAGGTACGCCCTCCCTCTCAGGAGAGCTCAATCTACCGCCCAATGAACTTTTCAGTACCCAACATTATCACCTCACTCGACCAGGAGAAGCATGTCTATCTGCCTCTAGCATTCGAAGCAGATGTATCTCAGCCGGGATCAGAGCCGCACGGAGATGATCTCGAACTTGTGGTCCTGTATCGCAATTTCTTTGCCTTCCTCACTGGCGGCGCATTGATCGCAACTCCCAGACAAGTGACCTTGTTTTCCATCTTCATGGGAATAAGCAGTATTCTCAAGAGGTTTTCCTTCAGCAATGCCGACGGGTCTACATGGGGGGATGTTCCTTATAACAGCTTCTCGCGATACTGTGACGAGCTCCGACTGGCGGATGTGAGGTCCAGTCGTGAAAAGACCATCGAGGCTATAGTCCTCGGGGAACATCTCAAATCATGGCCGTTATACAATGAAGGATTCTGCCACGCGGTCGGCCGTCTGGCGGATATCAAGTCAATAAAAAGTCCCAAATACGAAAAAATGTCGCCGGTCACAATCAACCGCCTTGAGCGAGCCCAAATTGACATTGAGCAAAGACTCTTGACAGTCAAGAGTAAACTCGAAGACTTTGACTTTCCCTCCATGTTTGCTGGAATTGCCAACTCGCAGACATCAACAGAAGCCAAGCTGATCCGGTTTAAGGAGTGGAAGACCGCTTTTCTTGACTTCAGACGGTTCACCATGGCCTACCTACGCCGGAGATACGGTGCTTGGCCCCCCAAAGCATCCTCGAAGAAGAACAATTTCGAAGAAAGTGGGTTGAACCGGATATTACTTCAGGAGCTGTACAAAGACTTTACAGATTTGTACGACATCCTGGTAGACCGCTCAGCAATCACAACCCGAACTGCGGATATGGCACCAATGGCCGATGATGCCGAAACCAATGATCAAAATGAAACTATACAACACGCACTCCGAAGAGTTGAGAGTGAATATGACCGAGCGACTCCGCCCGTTATTCCCCCCATCCCATTCGATACACCGTTAATTCCCCAATTTTCGAACAGTTTCAACCGCCGCCATGTGGTCATATCCGACAAATCGGCAGCGCAGAGCAAGAGGCTCAAAGAGAACGAGATCAATGAAGTGCTTTTGGGAGCCTACAACCGTGAATCGATCGTTGCGAGCACCTTTATCCAAGACTTTTTCAGTTATGAACGCCAGCTTGGCCGAGCGAAAACCCTTGATCAGGTCGTAGATGCCCGATGTGGGCAATGGCTCTTCATGTATGCAGTCCTCCAGGCTCTTCCAATGACCGTGGTGGACGCCAGGGATCTCAGGCATACAGAAGGCGTTGAGTATTTCCTGTGCGTCGCGCCAAGAGGAGGGAGGCCGTGGATGAAGGAAGATCAATCCACATCTCGAGCGTGGTACAATGTAGCCAGTGGCGGTGGTTATATCAGTCTTCCAGCTGACCTGATCGACCACAGTGTTGAAGGGATCTATCGACGAAGTCATTGCTGGACAGCAGCCACAAGATGGTTGGAACAATCACCTCAAGAAGGGATGGTGGACACATTCCATCGAGTGGATGGCAATGGCCTTCAGCAGCGGCCGGTCAGCGCCGCTTCTCCATATGCGAGTCCTGCACAATCGCCTTATGTCAGTCCAATCCACTCACCACTGCTGCGGCCGACATCTCCTTCGGGCTCCGGGGAATTCCGCAACATCAGTCGAGACCGAAGTTCGGTCAATTTAGGCCTGGAAGTGATGGATACGCCGCCTTCTTATCGCAGCAATTCGCGCCCACCTTCTACACTTAATCCGAACATCACCTTTGATGCAATTCTGGGTCCTGCTGACGAACCGGCAAAGGGCAAAGGGAAGAAAGGGAAGAAGTGAGACATATTACGATGAACACGATTTTGCATAGGGGGACATGGTGCGAAACGTATCGCCGGTGGTGGGTTTAATACTACTTTGGCTACTGAGGAAGCAGCATGAAACCAGCAAGCGTTTTGTGCTTTGCTGGCTATTTTGATTTTACTCTCGGGGGGACACTTCTCTTGTTCTGTACTGCATCCTGCATGTAATGCTTCATATGACAACATCCGGACGTTTCGATGACGTCAATCACGACTTGGATGCGGAGATGGCTTTGTCTGGATGTCTGAATACTACATGCCCTCGTCGTTCACGCATTTCATATAAACCACACCTAAGTATCAACTGCATCAAAGGCCTGCCGAATTCCGCGCAGCAGTTATTGTGTTCGAGCACTTGTTAGGTACAGCCGCAAAAGCACGCTCAGCCTCTGGCGCAACCCCATTTCGTGTAGATCCAAATTCCAGTTGGACGATACTCCCAATGAATCCCGACGAAGATGGCTCGGTCGGGAAGCCAGTCAACCGAGAGACAGATCCAGGCAAACTTGTCCAAAGGTAAGAATACTGGCAAAAGGAATGAGCACGGTTCCCTTGAATGGATCTTCGACCCCCAGAAGAGATGCAAAGGTGGACGGAGCTGACCATTTCGACGAGCAGCTTCCTCACGCCCTCCCAATCCAATCCCAAGTCCGAAGATAAACCACAGCTGGTGGCTTATGACCGCAACCATGGGCCTATACAACACCTCGACGCATCAACTCATCGCCTCACAATAAAATCCGATTCTTCGCTGTCATCCGCCCCCAACTCCAAATATATCCTTCCCCAACCCCTCAGCACTGTCCTTACGCTCTCTGACCTGTCCACTAAATTTGACCGGGTCAGTATCACCTGTGCGCTGCAATGTGCGGGTAACAGACGGCATGAGATGCAGGAGCGGCTGGGCGAGGTGAGTGGATTGGATTGGGGAGATGGAGCGGCTATGAACGCCGAGTGGACGGGGGTGAGAGTGAGGGACGTGTTGGTCCACGCTGGTCTGAGACCTCTCACACCGCGCCAGACCGACGGCGACAATGAGGATATGGAGCATGATGAAGAATTCGAGTCTCAGTACGAGGGACTACATGTCCAGTTCGCGTGTACCACGCAACCCACCCAGGACGACGACTACTACGGCTCCTCGGTGCCGCTGTTTCTCGCGCTCGATCCGGAGCGGGAATGTCTCCTGGCGACACACATGAACGGTGAAGCCCTGCCCGCGCGGCACGGCTTCCCAGTGCGCGCCATCATCCCCGGCGTCATCGGTGCGCGGAGCGTCAAATGGCTCGACTCCATCGTGGTCGCCGGCGAGGAGAGCACCAACCACTACCAGCGACGCGACTACAAGATTCTCCCGACTGAGGCGGATAACAGCACAGAGAAAGCGAACGAGGGAGGAAGGGACGAGTTGTGGGATCATGTCCCAGCCATGATTGACAACCCGATCAATTCCGTCGTGGCTGTGCCGGGGCGAGACCGTGACGTGGTTTCAAGGGATGGAAACGGATGCGTGCATGTCAAGGGATACGCTATCCCCAAGGGAAAAGATGGGCCCGTGGTCAAAGTCGAGATCAGCCTCGACAAGGGCCACACGTGGTATGAGGCGAGCATCTCGGACGGTGGAGACGAATACTATAACACCCGCCACCCGGGCAATAGCAACGACACGGGAAAAGACAAGGCCGGGAGGGCGAAGTTCGCCTGGGCTCTATGGGATGTCCATATTCCTTGTGAGCCGGGCGACGATGTGAGCATTTGGAGCAAAGCGACAGATCGAGGCGGGAACACCATGTCGGTAGAGCAGGCGGAGGGAAGTTGGAATCTTAGAGGCGTGGGGTTTAATGCTGTCGAAGGACGTAGGGGGATTAAGATTGTATGAATATCAACTGGAGAGCAGATGATGAGATGGAGATGGCTGGTATATGACATTCTCTCATTCTTTCTCTCTATACAGGGGGGGTTGTGGTTTTGTGTGCATTGAGGTGTTCCCCCTCCCAAACAAGCCTTGCGCCTTCCACTTTCTTCCAGACTGCGCGGAGAACCTCAGTCCCATGTATTTATAGCTTCGCCCCTCCTCTATAAGTATTCCTCTTGGGATCCCAAAACTGCACATCGGTGTCCGTCCTCCAGCCTGGCTGGAACATCTGCGGTCCTAGGATTTTCTTCTGCACTTTCCCTGTGCCGCCCTTGGGCAGCTCGCCCTGCACGACGCGCAGCAGAGTCGGTAGTTTATACGGCGTCAGGTCAGCCCTGAGGTCTGCTCGAAGGCGATCGATCGTCAGCAACTGGCGCTCATTATTGATGTTGCTGTCACCGTTGTGGTCGCTGTTGTTGGAGTCTTTTCCAGAATCAGACGTCGACTTGACGGCGACCACGGCAGCGACGCGCTGTCCAAACTCCTCATCCTCGACGCCTAGCACCGCCACCTCGCTCACATACGGCAGCTTCAGACACGCTCTCTCCACGTCGATGGCAGAGATCTTGTACCCTCCCGACTTGATGATGTCGACCGAGGCGCGGCCAACGACGAAATAGTACTGTCCCTCGCGGCGAAGGATGTCGCCCGTCTTGAAGAAGCCGTCAGCGTCGTGCGCTTTCCGGGTGGCTTCGGTGTCGAAAAGGTATTTGGAGAACATGTACGGTGAGCGGACGAGAAGTTCACCCTCGTCGCCCTCGGACAGTTTCAGTTCCACGCCGGGCACGGGGAGCCCGACACAGCCCTTGGGGAGGTCTCCCGCGTTCGCTGGCACTTTCAGGCAGCCAGGGAATTCGGTAGCGCCGTACCGGGTGAGTATGGGCCGGTTTCTGCGCAACGCCGTCCAAAACTCTTGCACGGGGTCTTGTAACGCGCTCGAGCCGCACATGATGTCACGGAAAGCGTTTCCTGCGTCGTCGTACCGTTGCCGGTCTGCAGGTGGCAGGTGGGCGATGTGCTTCTCATAGTGCCATTTCAACCGCAAAAGGATGGTTGGCACAGCAGAAAATACAGTCAAGCCTCCGGCCAGCCATCGCTTCCATACCCAGTCGGGGTCAAATGAGCCGCGCTTAAACTCGATGCAGGCGCCGGCAACTAGGAAGACAAAGAAGGACGTTTGGAGCCCAGTGGTGTGGTGGACTGGGAGAACGTGCAGAAGCACATCGGTGTGACAGACGTCGTAGCCTTCACCGATAGCTAGAGCAGTTTCGTGCGTGTACGAGCGGCGCATAACGGCGCCCTTGGGCCGACCTGTGGTGCCAGATGTGAATATCACCACTCCTGGGGCGTTGTCGTCCAAGTGACGATTTGAAGAGAGGACCATGTCAAATGCAGAGAACGTCGAAGATTTTGGGAGGGTGGGCAAGATCGTGAGCATCGGGATGTCGATGCCAGTGGCGAGGCGGATGTTTTGCCGGATGTCTCGCCCATGCTGCATGACCTCTGCACTCACAAGAAGCAGTGCTTGTCTTGATTTTGTGACAAAGTAGGAAGCTTCAGCCACAGGGGCGGAGGTAGCTTATACAATCTTCGAGTTAGAGACTTACTCGCAACATTGCCGCCAGAGTCTGGCGACACAAAAAGAACGTTAATTGATCACCGCAACTTACCAATGGGAACCACGGCAGCACCAATACCAAGCACCGCCAGCACGGCAACGGTGAACTCATATCCCCCAGCAGCTAAAACGCCAATGTAAACTTCGTCCCCACGGTGAAGGGCCTTGAGCTGCTGGTCGGTCAGGGACCGCTCGATCACGGCTCTGAAGGACAGCGCATCGGAGAGGATTTCGGTATACGTCTTTTCGAGTCCGAGATCGACGTCTCGCACCGCGACACGACCACGCCGCGCGTGGCGCAGAAGCTTGCTGAAGAACGGACTGTTGGGAAAGACATGGGGCCCCGTGTGGGAAGGGAGGAATGACGTGCGATCCAGGTTGTCTTCCATGATCGAGAGGGAATCAATTACCGGAGGTGTCGATTCTTGCAATCCCAACGACCTCCCTCCAATCCAGCCAATTTTTCGATGTTCACCGGAGACGGTTCTTGGTGCTCAGGAGGCTCATGGTCCGTTCATTCGAGTATCTGGATCATCTCATTGAAAGGGCTCTGCCACGGCTATTGAGAGTGGAGGCGGAGTTTGGCCGGTTTCCCCCATACCAAACGCGTCAGAATTCGGCTAACGGCACTTACATTGGGGGATATTGTACGGGAATCATAATCAATGGGGCGGGCACATGTGTCTGTGGGACTGATAAAATCAAATATGTTTTCGGTTTTACCATGAAGGCCAAGGTGTATGTGCCCCGATTTGGTGCCTGATGTTAAGAAAGTTCTGGCGAAGAAACCAGAAATTGGAGGTTTTTTTGGCCTTGCCCTCCCACAAGGCTGGATTAGCCTCGTAGCCTCGTCCTCTCACGGTCGTGTAGCCTTGCAACCTTACGCATCATCAGCTCCAGAGACTACAGTGGTAGAGATGTACATGAGTCACCGGGCACGAAGGGCGCTACAACCTGCACGCCTGATTGGTGTTTGTCGACCATGATCTATTAGCCACAGAAGGGACCTCTCAAATCGCAGACTTCCTGTTGAGCAGCAGGTTCATCTGCATCGGCCTCTGTCTTGCAATGAAGTTGCGAGATATCTCGTCTACTCATAAGTATCTCAACTTGCCGCATCTCTGTATGCATCCAGTCAGCTCTTTTGAGGACAAATAACGCATTTCACAGGGGCAGGAGATATTTACCCAATGCTTGGTTGAGTTTGTCTGGAGAACTAGTCCACTTCGACTTTCGTCACCGTAGCCTCCTCAGGTTCAGGCGCAGGTTCAGGCGCAGGTTCAGGCGCAGGTTCAGGCGCAGGTTCAGGCGCAGGAGCAGGCGCAGGCTCAGTCTCGTCCTGCTCGGGTTTCGGTATCCCCCACTCGTCATAGATCCCCTGAATCCAGACATTGATCGGAACCTTTTCTCCACCGACTCGTCTCCCGTCAACCAGTTCTCCCCCCACAACCACCTTCCCTTTGCCTACCTCCATGTAATTGTCGTAAGACCAGCTCGGGACGTGCAGCCAGTCGTGGCTGGCGTCGCAAATATACCGATTCAGCGTACCCTTCTTGAGCTTCTCCAAACAGCCAGCGTCTAATTCGACGTCCGGGCAGATTTTGCACATATACATGTCATCAGCGTAGGACCACTTACGGCCGCAACTGCCGTCGCAACTGAAGAGACAGTCTCCTCCGCCAGTGATTTCTTCTCCAGCTGACTCCTCACCCAGATTCTGGGGGGTGAGCAGTGACCAAGCGCTCAATGAATTGAGGTCGTCGCCGGCATGCATCAATACCTCCGCCATGGCGATATACCCCTGCCAGTCGTTGTCCGGGTCATCATCAGATAAGAGAAGCAGAGCATCCCTCATGTCGTTCTTGAGAACCAGTCTCGCTTGCTGTTTCTGTCCCGACTGCGCATAGTAGCTGCCAAGGAACGTTCGCACTTTGTCCTCCATCCCATAGTGGTCGTAGAACCAGGCAGAACGGACCCGTTGGATGAGTTCTTCGATGTTGGAGATATGAAAGGTGGAGTCCTTTCCCTCGTGGTGCGCCGCTAAGGCCTGTGAAAAATGGTGGGCAGAGACGAATCGGGCGGCCAGGCTCACAGCGGTGTCGACCCAGGTGCCGTACTTCCCAAACCCCATGCGACAAAGTTCCTCCCAATAACGAAGAGCCTCGTCTGGACGTCTATCTTCGTAGTTGGGGTGGGCGATTGCCACTCCGTAGAAGAATAGAAGATACGCAAGTGAAGATTCGTCCTCCTTCTTCCGAGCAAGTTGAACTGCTTGGAGCATGGTCTCCAGGAGTGTCTTGAAAAGCTTTTCGCGTCGTGTCACGCTGAAGATTGTGTCGAATGAGTCCAAGTCCTCGGAGGAGAAACTCAGCAACAGTTCCCCTAAGCGAGTACCGCCACTCTCCCTGCCATTTTGATCAGCCATGCGGGTCAGCAGCTCCAGAGCCTCTTGGGCTCGTTGACACTGGACGAGTAAGCCTAAAAGCGTCCAACACGTCTCGTAGTCATAAAGATCAAGCTCCACCACCTCTCGGTATGCTGAAATCGCTTCTTCATTGTGGCCAAGTTGAACTTGCCAGCCTCCCAGACGCCGAAGATTGGTAACGATATTGGTTTCGTTTTCCTCCAGTGGCAAACTCTCCAGCTGGGTCATCACAGCCGTCACTTCATTCACAGCAGATTGCAGGCTCCCCTCGGATTCGTATACGAGGGCAAGGCCTTCGCCGCATTTCCAGTGAGCATTCGGCATGTTTTGCGCCTGCTGATATGATTCTTTTGCTGCGCCTGTCATGCTAAAAGCCAGAAACGATTGTCCGAGGCGCTCGTACCAAAGTGAGTTTTTGTGTCCAACCTTGAGCTCCCTTTCAACCCAATCAGCAGCCCGAGATATCTGTTTTGACACCTCTGACTGCTCTTCATCCGACGAGCCAGCGACAGAAGTGCCGTCTTCCTTCTGCGTGCCATTATCAGTGTTGGTATCTTCGTATGTTTCGGCTGAAGCTCTCGCAACACCCGCAACTTGGGTGTTCTCCTAATTTGTCATAAATTCTCGGCTGCAACTGGAAAGGTAGGGAAGAGGAATCATACCGAGTCGAGGTAAGACAGCATCCAATGTACCATTCCCTCAATGTTGTCCCATTTCCTGTCACAGAGCCAACGCCTACCAACCATGAGAGTAATGTCCTTCAGAGCTACAACCCCTGGGTTCGCCCTCAGTACAGCTTGCTCCACCCATTGTCTGTACCTGTATAACAAACCATCCGCTGTCGCGCTATCACGCAGCCACGCGGGCAAAGTGGTCCCTAAAAAGTCTGCACGCAGCCATTCTACTTCGAGGTTCTCACCAAGAATCCAGTGTTTTTCAATGAATTCGGTATCAAACAAGAGACTCACTAAAGCCTGGCCAATCTCTTTTCTCTCTGTCATGTCGATATCGTCTTCATCTACATGCCCGCGCAATTTCTGCAGATGCTGAGGAAGGTATTTAAGGACGTACGAGATGAGACATTCCGTTCTCGAGTCAGGATCAGCCATGAGTAATTTCATGCATCGCCTTACCATCGTGAGCTGACCGTCTGCGCGGTTCGCACTTATTCTTGGTTTCACCAGGGCCTCGGCCACCGGGACGAGAGCATCAAATGGCAAGCTCTTGCCAAAGTTGGCCTTCTCGCTCAAGTCCCACAAGAATCGTCGGACCGTGTCCACATCTACCCGGTTGATTGTGATGGTCATCGAGATCAAAGGTTTGGCATCATCCACAGCATCCTTGCTGGAACGGACACGCGGGACCGGAGTCAGGAGTTTCTCAATTTCAGAGTCGACGACGACGTCCCCATCCGAGTCGACTCTGAGAACTTTCCGGTATACACCGTCGAGTTTGTCTTCGATTGTTTTGGCTGGTGTTCGACCATAAAAAAGTACCAACACCCCCTTCAGATGATGTGGCTTGAACCATGCTACGCCGTAGATAACCCAGGCCAGCAGTTCGTTCAGCTGAGTGATTTCGTGCGGCTCCAATGCAGCGTTGAGACTGTCGAGGGTTCTCCGTGCGACAAGCGGTTCAGTTTGCTTCGCATCATGATCGAGGTATGCTCGGATTTCGTCATGAGATTTGTCTGCCGAGATCGCTCCTTTGACTTCATCAAGAAGGCGCCGAAGGGTATCATAGCTCCCATTTGAAAGCTCCGGGACTCTGTCCTTTACGTAGTTCAAAAGCTCGACGGTCTCCTCTTCTTTCCCCTGAAGTAGATTGTTGTGTTTCATGTTGTATTCAACATAGGCTACGATATCTGGCCAGTTGTTCCGCTCCATGTCAATGCGGGGAATCCTGCGTCCCATACTGTCGATCTTGCTTCGGTATTTGTCCACAAACTTGGAGTCGCAAGAAGCCATGATCCGCAACCTCGGGGAGTTGACATCGAGAAGAATGTGGAGCAATTCCTGTGCCTTGCTTTCTTCGACATGATCAAGCCCATCGAAGAAGAGGAAATATGTAGCATCCTTCTTAGGGGCGGCGAGTTGTAGAGTCTGCCAAAGGGCCTTGCATGACAGGTCCGTCCAAGTCTCGGCCGCTTGCTTGTCTCCAAGCGTCGCCATTTCTTTGGCATACTGGCTGTTGCGCTTTGCAATCTGGACTGCCATGGACTTGAGTGCTGTTGTTGGAAGTTGCGTATCTTTGACGGAGGTCTCTCTTGACGGCTTTTCGTCAGGTTCTGGGAAGTAGTAGTAAGCAATTGAGACCCTCATAGAGGATTGCATCGATTCTGAGCACTGAGACGCAGCTTGGTTTATCATCGTCGAGACCAAGAACGATTTACCAGACTTCTCGCCGCCGATAAGCAGAAGGAGCGAATCCGGTTTGGAGCCGATTTCAATCCAGGCTTCGTAATCGCGCTCCTTTTGAAGCCAACTGATGCCGGTTCCCCTCACAGTAGCAGCCCTGATATTCTGATACATCTGCTCAGAAGCCTGCACCGTCTCCATCTTTATGGACAGTTTCTTTAACAGGGTGTCGACCTGATCTTGATGAGCTTTCTCCAGTTTCCGCTCGTTCTCTGCCTTGACTAAAGCATCGACCCCGGAGGCAATAAGGACGAGCTTTCGTCCACTCTCCTCAGACGCTTCAATCAACTTGTCATGGACAACCTTCAACTTACTGTCTAGGTCGTGATGGGACTTCAGCACTACTTCCAGAGTGACAGCATCGGAAATCTGCGAGTTTGCTTCAACTAGCTTCTTGAACTTGGAGAGCTCGGCCCCGACGCCGGAGTCGTCCCCGAAGAGGATGAGTTTGGCAGCTATCTTTACCTTGCGTAACTTCGAGGGGCCAAGCACTTTGATCGAAAGAGCACAGATTGTCACGAAGCTGATCATGAGCTTGTGGGTAGTTTGCTTTAACTCCAGGTCCACATCGGCAAAATCCTCTATCCTCTGATAGATCCGAAACGTTTTGAGGAAGGTGAAGATTCTTTGAAAGAGGTCTGCGAGCCCTTCGTACAGCGAGCTTACTTGGGAGGGGATGTCGATGAGAAAGGATACGGCGCTATAACAAAGATTTGCAGGCCCGAATACCTTTGCGAAGGTCAGTGACAGTACCCAAGGAGTGGGCTAGCTACGTACGATGGAGGCGCCTTGTGCGGCGATACCACCCAGGAGTTTGATGCAGTTGAGGACATTCTCGACCAGTTCTTTGGCTCGCGGCTTGTTGCGTTCGTCGTCCGCGGAACCAGACTCATTGTATCGAGTCTCGAGTTCCTGAATCACATCGTTCAGGCTCTTTTTCGGCGACGATCTCAGCGACGTCTTGGTGATCTTGAGGAACCTTTGTTCTGCGTCATCCCACATCTGTTTGAAGGACTGCTCAGAGGGCGTAACGCTCGCCATGGTATACTCGACGGTACGGTCTCAAACGGAAGGTGCTCTCAAAAACGACGCTTCACAGTGACTGGGTGCAGAGCTTGACCAAGCTTTTCGTCTTTCGTCTTTCAAAAGGCTGCATTCAACTGTCACGCGAAGGGACATTCCACTGGGCGTAGCCTGGAACTGCAGTCGCTTAACGCCTCCCTCGGTATGACCTGGCCGAGAACAGTCCAACCAGTTTCATCCAGGGCCAAAGGAGAAGTACCCAGTACGTAAGGGTCCCAGCGCCCTCGCTTGTTCCCTTGTACAGTTTGTGGAATAGCTACATTAGTGTCTCGATGCCTCCGGCAGAAACATACTAGTTAGGAAAGCCAGCGGTTGTCGGCCACGTAATGCAGAGCTGCAGCATGTTTTTGGCTGTCGAGGCGCGGGCGCTCAGCCATCGGTGGCCGGCCTCGTCTGGCTGTGATGGAGGATCAATCAAGGCCGCGGTTGGCTGCAATAATAAAGTTGAGAGGCTAGAGAAGGATCCAGGAGGGAGAGCAAGGAGGGTTTCTTCTTGCAGATGCGGCTCTGTGGCCACCTTCCAATGCGTTACTCAAACTTGACCGAGGGATCCTGCTCCACCACCACATGCTCTGGCCCCATCAGCTACTGCAAGTCCCTGGTCTGGCACTTGAGCTAGGCCTCACCAGCCTGGTGGGCCTAATGAACCCCGGTGCACGAAGACGAAATTGTGCTAGGGATAGTGGGCTCGAGCTGGCTCGAGGTGCCCCGTCTACCTCGTACTCGCCCAACCTGGACCTCATGCATGACCCCAGTCCACACTCTCCGAAGTGCGTGGAGCAATGTTGCAGCGTTCTCGTTTCTAGGGTGCACCTACTGAGGTTCTTTTGCTGGGTACTGTACCTCCTGTACTTGTACTTGGAGAGATGAGGAAGAGGGGAAGGAGAACTAAGTAGGCGGGTCATGCCAAGCCGTGCCCCGGTGCACCTCCCGTGTGACCATACATGTGACAAAGTCTGAGCCGCTGTCCGGTCTGCGTACCCAGTAGACATCAGCCTGATGAGAACTGGCCCCCGAACAAAAGGGAGGCTCGGATTCGAAATCCTGCTTGATACAGTGGAATTAGCGGAAGACACAGTCTATCACGCATTCTCATACCGAGTACATCTGGGGCTGGCCAGAGAAACTGGTTCCTATTGCATGCAACCAGAGAATTCTTAAGATAACACAAATCTTGCCCCAGGAAATTATTTCGTCTTTCAGGAGGGACGCCCGTGTTCCGCTTTGGGTCGATGCGGTTCTGTTTCTATTCCGATCAATCCAAAATTGAATACTGGGTAGGAAATCCCCCTCCGATTCAGACGGCCTGGCCGCTCCGGGTAGAGCCGCAGGCCGGGCACGCACCCGCTTTTGATAGTGATGACAGCCTCTTGATTAATTCGGCGAGACCGTAACTGCGCGACGCGGGCGTCCAGACGTGGCGACAATGATAATAAAACGCGAACAATTGCTAGAAAGAGCAAGATTCTATGATATACACACAGCATTAGGAAGGTCGCCGGCGTGATCACCGAAACTCACTGGCCTTGTCGTGCGTGGTATATGTACATACTTTGATGGCTGCGCGCCTCCCCCAACCTCGGACAAAATGCGACGTTTGGGGCTGATCTCACGTGACCGTAGTATCTTGGTCTCTCGTGTCTTGCGTGTCTTGCGAACATTGTGCCAGGCTACAGCTTAATCGAACATTCGTCACCATGTTTTTTTCATATTCTCCTGGACTGTCTAGTCGTGGTCTAGCTTTGAGCGTCTTCCAAAGGGTCACTTCGCCTTTGTCAGATTTGCGGAATCCTGCTTCTCACCTCTCTCCCTAGTCGAGCCTTTGGTGTCGACCCTTCCCCGATAGCACGCGAACATAACATCAAGCTGCCAACCAGCAACCAAGGACCGTTCAGGGACGCCAGCTGTTATGTTCCTATCTACCTAATATATCTCCTCCGAGGGAGCCACGCGATGCGCCTTCTAAAACTTGACAGTCGTGGTGTGCCCAGCCTGACCAACGATTTGATCCAGGATATTCCATGCTACGCAATCCTTTCACATACGTGGGGCCCGGATGGCGATGAGGTTACTTTCAGAGATCTAGAAAAGGGATCGGCTAAGAGAAAGGCTAGTTATAATAAGATTCGATTCTGTGGTGAGCAAGCTCAAAAGGATGGCCTTCAATATTTCTGGGTGGACACTTGTTGCATTGATAAATCAAGTAGCGCAGAGCTCCAAGAAGCAATCACCTCTATGTTTCGCTGGTACCGTGATGCAGTGAAATGCTATGTGTACCTATCAGACGTTACGGTTTGTAAACGCAATAGTGACCAGACTGAGCGGCCGTGGGAACCAGCCTTTCGGAAGAGCAGATGGTTTACGCGAGGGTGGACACTTCAAGAACTCCTCGCTCCTAGATCAGTCGAGTTCTTTTCACGAGAGGAAGAGCTCTTAGGTGATAAGAAGATGCTAGAGCGACAGATTCACGAGATAACAGGAATCTCCATCGCAGCTCTGCGCAACGCACCTCTGTCTAAGTTCGGTGTAGATGAGCGACTACGATGGGCCGAGACTCGCAAAACTCAAAAAGAAGAGGATAAGGCTTATTGTCTTCTGGGGATTTTCAACGTCTTTATGCCTCTTATATATGGTGAGGGGGAAAATGCTTTTGTCCGGTTAAAAGCTGAAATCGAGAGGTCTTCAAGGGGTAAGTAGTCTACGCGCCCCCGGTGTTCTCCTGGTTATTAGATCTTTGCTCTCACATTAGTTGTTTTGCTGTACTAACGGAAATCCTGTAGGATCGCTCAATCTACCCGAGACTGGATTGGAGAATGTTGGACTCAAGGAGGCTGCCAAACGTTCAAACATGATTGCGGCGACAGACAAGAGTGCGTCGAATCTAGAAGGAAGGGAATGTGCGTCGTGCCAGTTCTCCTGACCCCCTGCTTCAAGGGCCTTGTTTGTGCGCGTGCGATCTGGTGGTTCACACCCTGCCACTAGAATGCACCATTCTATCGTTACATGTCGCTCATGCGACTGCACCATCTCTTACTAACTTCTCCAAAGGGTCAGCAGAGGTAGCCCAGTTGACCGCTTCAGCAGGCGAGCTTATCGCAGATCTTCTTGACACCAGCTCTCGGGCGAATGACGCTGCCTTGGATTTGCCAAATTCCTTGCAATGGTTTTTCGAGACCCAGGAGTACAAGACTTTCCTTGCTGGCCAGGGTCAAGCTTTCCTATGCTACCTCGCACGGCCAGGAAATGGCAAGACAGTCCTCGCACGACATCTGTTGGCAAGTTTTATGAGAACGGCGCCCTCCCGAAAACACCGAAAAGCAGTCTACATCCCTTGCGAAAGGCTCACAGCCAGGCCCCAGATTGCGAGATCCAATCAACCCGAGGCGCAGCGAGCACCTTCGAGTTCCGGACTTGAGCCCCGTGAACAGGGGAGGACTGTAGAGCGGCTAACTTCTCTGCACGAAGAAGAAGACGAAGAAGAACAAAGAGAAGAAGGAGGAGGAGAAGAAGAAGAAGAAGAAGAAGAAGAAGAAGCATCGGCTGAGTCATCGAAGGAGCCATCCCGTGGAGATAGTGACCAGAGCAAAATATCGCAAAGGCAGGCATATCAGCCCGGTGAGCGCTTTGCACTTGATGCAAAAAAATATCGACAAAAGCTCCAGCGCCTAGCACTTGATCCAGTTGTCTCAATATTGAACAGTCTAGTAGGGCAGCTGCTCCATCAGGATGATTTTGCACTCGATACCCTCGAAAAAGCTGCGCAATCTATGGACATGGACCTCCCGGCTCTTGGGAAGCTACTTAGTACTAGCAGTCCTACCCACACCAACCACAACGATCAACTTTGGGAATTATGCGGACGCATATTGGAGACGATGCACCAAGCAGATCGTGAGCAAGAGATTCTGGTGGCCTTCGATGAAGTCGAACAGATTCCGTATCGAGCGCGAGAAAGGTTTATTCCTGCTCTGAGACACTTTGTTGCTAAGATGCATTCTAAGTCGCTCAAAATGCGCATTTTCATAGCGTCCAGACCTGTGAAAGATCTGATGGAAAGCCTACAAGATCTACTCATGATCGATGAGAAGGCTGAATTGAAAGGTTCGTCGCACATGGACTGACAAGATGAAGCTGATTGCTGCAGAATGTCTCGCCTCATTATACTACAAGGAAATACACTCGCGGCGTGATCGCGTGGTGAAGTCCTCCTACGGCACAAATCAGTGGATTTGGGGAAACCCTGACTTTCGCGAATGGGACACAGCACGTTCAGACATCTTGTGGATTGAAGGCAAGCCAGGCTGTGGTAAATCGACTCTAGCCAAGGAGATCCAATCTCATTTAGACAAGAAGAACGACAGGCGAGCGAAGAACGAAGCGGCTTTCAATATTGCTGGGTTCCAGTCGCCACTGGTTACAGATCATTTCTACAGCGCCCGTCAGCATGCCATGGGAGTCAGCCACGAACTGATGCTGCGATCTCTGCTTTATCAGATCTTGCAAGCCGACCCAACCTTATTTGCGGAGATTCAAGGCCAATTTAGGGCGTTACGAGCGGCGTCCAACGGCACGGTCCAATGGACATGGGATGACCTAGAGGGCTCATTTCAGCGCATTAAACGCTCACGAGGCAGCAGTCGAAAGATATTCTGCATTCTGGACGCCATGGACGAGTCGAAGAGCGATGAACGCAACATCGAGCAACGGAGCCGCGTCCTGAAGCTGCTTCGAACCCTGTGCTCAGACGAAAAGAGTCAAAAGAGCTCGCCAATCGCGTTCAAATTTATTGTACTCAGCCGTCCAGCCCGGGATATTCAACGTGGACTGAAAGGCTGTCGCAAGATTGAAATGCACAAGGAAAATGCTCGTGACATCAGAGTTCTTGTGGATCGGGGCCTGAAATCTCTGCGTGAATTGATACGTCAGGATGACTCGGAGGAAGATACCGGCAGTGACGACGATTCGGTCGCCATCTCGTGGGCGACCACTCTTACGCCCTCGATAGCCAGCCACTGTAGATCAAGCTCCGAAGCCTACCTGAAGGGGAAAGCTGCAGCCGACCAGACTGAGGAGCAGCAGATCCAGGAAATGAGGAAATATCTCATCGAAAATGCCGATGGTGTGATACTATGGGTCTTACTCGTCATCCAAGAGCTCAGCGTGCAAGTTGCCAAAGGTTTCTTCACCTTCAGGAGTCTGAAAGAAAGGCTCACAAAGCTTCCGATGGATTTGACTGAGTTCTACGAACAAATGGTGAAGAATCTCTGTGACAACAACGACGCAGATAGCATCAAGACCGCACGGAAAATGCTCATTTGGGTAAGCTTTTCTCAAAGACCACTGAAAATCAATGAATTGTGGGAAGCCGCGACAATGCCACTGGACACCCCTGTAACAACATTTGACACACTTGTACAGGCAAGAGCTCACAAGCGATCACCGACGCAGCTCTGGCTCGGCATGCTGGAGCTTTGTGGTCCCTTCATTGAAGTTACTCATGAGGGTGTGGCCGTTATAAGCCGAGCCAGCAGCAAGACTAAGAAAGTGCTTGGAAGTGATACTGTTCAGCTTCTACATCAGACGGTGAAGGAGTTTCTTGTACGTCCAGAGGCAGGGCCGTTTCGGGTCAATCCGGAGGATCCAGGACGAGTGTTTGACGCCTGTCTCAACTATATCACGGTTGCATTACCTGTGCCTGGTCTACCTCAAACTGCAGATTCAGCTATGATTTCTGATGCCGATCCCTTCTTTAGGGATCTTGCTGAAGGACTTGCTGATCGGCCACTGCTGTCGTACTGTTTGCTGCTCTTGAAGAAGCGTAGTAGCGACTTGTCAGAAAAGGCGTCTGCCTCGTTACTTTCACACGACCCGCAGATATGGTTTCTTTTGGCCGATTGGCCAGGAATATTGGCAGTGTGGCTGCCAAAGAATCAGATTCCGGGCGCAGACGTACCCTCGAGGAGCAGTGCATCTGCAACATCAGTCAGCTACCAGCACGGATGGCAAAGGGTCGAACAACATCATCTGCCCGCAAGTACATATGGCTTTCCTCGACAATGCTACTCCGACTGCGCCCCTTTGGACGACCGAGAAAGGGAGCTGATGCAAGAATTCCGCGCCCTTGTCTACGTGGCAGCGTGCCGCCTTGGACATGAAGGTGTTGTGGACTTACTACTTCACCTTCCGAGGCATGCCGTGTCGGATTGCTGTCAAGACATAATGGTCAGCGCGCTCACCAGCGCAGCCACTGTCCAAGATGAAACTCAAGTTGACCTGCTTTGTCGAAGTCCGCTGTTCCGCGAAGTTGGCAACTACGGGCGTCTTCAAAACGCTGTTCTTGCTGCGACTCGAAACAATGACCTCCGTCTCGTAAAGATCTTGCTCGACAATTGGTCTGGCCGGATATTCAGCATCGGATACCCTTTGCACCTCGCTGCAGGAACTGGCAGTGTGGAACTGGCAGAATACTTGGCATGGAAGCTTGTCAACATCGACTGTCTCGACGGAGACGGTAAAACAGCTTTGGACGTAGCCAATGCCCGAGGCTGGGAACCCATGGTCAAAATGCTACGCTCACTTGGAGCAAAAACATCTTGCGGCTTGCGGGAGCACACCGAAAAGGCTGAAAAAATGCGGAGGCTGGCAGGAGAGCTTGCTAAGCCGACCTCTATGGTACGTTATCACAATGGTACGTCTTCAACAGCCGATGCCCACGATTACCAAGTACAACCTTTGTCGTATTACAGTCCTTATCCCCCAATTCTGGATCACCCCCATGCCCCAGAAGGGCACGCATACCGACTATGAACTCAACCTAGGAAGGCCGCTCCTAGAGCACCGCGGTCTGCAAATATTCTGATCGATCCCGCATCAAACATTGTAGAAACTTGAGGTTTGAACCTCTGTTTTCTGAGGAGTTCGATTGTGCGTATTTTAGTGGGTCCTGTTCACACATGAGTTGGCTCGGGGTCTTCTACAATCAGGAGCTCGTTTGCGATCCAGAGCGACTTCTGGCAGACCTTGATGAGTTTATACCATTTTCGCTGGTAGTGCGGCCGCTTTGATCAGACGCGTGAGAGAGCATCGGCGGCTCCCAGCAGAGTACGGGAGAGTGGTCGAGGGAGACATTCGAGCTACTGAAGAGTCTCTCTTCTGCTTTCTCGATTGAATCTCTCTCCCCTTGTAGTTCTTTGAAGTTGCTCTTCCTCATGGGGCGCTCTAATTACTTGCCGTCGTTTCAGACGCTCTTGATTTTCACGTTCATTTGTTGATAAGAGGTACCCGGTACGCTCCTATCAAGAGGATAACCACCTAAAACCCCTCATCACAAGACTGCTTCGGGTGTGTCCCGCAATATATGGCATCAACGATGCAACCTCATTTTACTTCTGGGACAGAGGGACCTCGTTAAAGCTGAAATACTATAACAGAGCACTTCAGGGTTCGGCGTGCACGTGCAATAACGCACAGAGGCCTGTCCAGCAGGTCGGGAATCGAGAACACGTTTCTGGTTGTCGCTGACAAGACAACACCACCACCAACACAACCCAGAGAGGCGGCGGCTGGGGCAACGAACGTCTAGCACGGCGGCGGCATCGAGGAGCAGGACGGGGTCTGCTTAAACTGTAATGAATGGCACTCTGCCAGCACTGTAAACTGTTCCGCACTCCCCCCTACCAGCCCATTTTGGTTTGACATGCGACTAGACAACTCTCCGCCCTCTGCTACCACTCTACCAGCCCAGCACAGCATAGCACAGCCACTTTGCCTTGTTACAATACCTTTTACCCTTCGAGAGACTCTTTAGTCTCGAGCGATGAATCGATGTCTTAAGCGTATGCGGAAGGGACTGTTCTGGCTGCCATTACGTATGTACGGTAACGATAGTTCTAATTACTCGCTAGGCCGGTCACTGTCCGTCTCCTCTTTAAAATATTCCTGAACATGAACGCTCTTTAGTTATGCTCCTTTTCAGAGGGGAGTAGCGGGCAACCAAAAGCAGGCGATTTAAAGTTCCTACCATCAGCACCACTTAGAAAACCTATCCGTCGAGTATGTCAGGTACGCAATAACTAGAACGACTTGGAGGAGCGCAGTCGACAGGTCGATTCGATGGGTGAGATTTTCGGTCGTGCATCACGAGTACATGTCCGGAATAGCGAGCTCGTAATATGGGACGTCGGTCAAGAGCCAGGATATCGCCTCAGCCATGTCATGGACAGAATTGGCCATCTCGTGCAGAACCATGTTCCAACATACGATGAGATACTTGAACCAGAGAGCACTAAAAAGCGCAGCAGAGGCACGATGAGATACTTACGCCGAAACACAAACTGACACCGAAGCAGAGGCAACAGCGTCAGCCACGATGTTTGAGACCAGAATCGAACATAAAGTCATGACCTTTGAGGCTGCAATACGCGCCCCAGTTGAAGGCAAGCTCATTCTCGCGCGACTAGCGAGTGGCCAGTTTGCATTCAGCTTGACAAACTATATCTCCGGAATCCGGTGATCAAACTCTCAAGCCGGAGCTCGAGATAACTCGCTGTGGTCGACGTCGGACTTTCCATCACTCCTCAAGCAGAGCGATATTCAGCAAACAGCGAAAAGAAGGCGCTTCTTGCATCCCTGAAGATGAGGCTTCTAGACGTTTTAGTGCCGGCTCGCACCAATAGTGCGACAAATGGTCGGGACAAGGTCTACTCATTCGTCTTGCTCAAGACAAGATTGCGAAGTCAATTATGCTAGACTCCTCAGAGGCGAACAACCTCGATATGATGTTAGTACAGATTGCAGAAGCATGTATTCGGGGCGGCGAGGCTGTTGAGCCACTCGGTCATGGCGGAACTTGGCAGGTAGTTCCCAATGCTTCTACAAGTACCCAGTAGGTAAAGGGAGAGAGGTGGGGGGCAGGGACAGAGTGTGGCTGTAAGCAGCGTTAACGATCTTGGCACTCGAGGACGGAGGTGCCCTTGGTCCCCCTTAAAAGCGGCGAGGAATTTCTCTACCTGTATAGCTCTGTAATGTCGAATCCAACCCCAACTTCCCCTTCTTTCGCCATCAAGACTTTCAAGGTTGCCAGACCAGTTCATTTTCCCGCTAGACAGCACCTACGGGCTGAGAGGGCATCCTATCTGAGTGACCATGCTCTGATAGGCGCCTTTTCTTACACGCCAAAGGGCGTCGATGTCATGTCCAATCTCTAGCCATGACTTTGTCGAAACCACCACCAAGACAAGGTCAGCTTGGGAGCCGAAAATCTCATGACGGATGTATCACTTGCAAAAAAAGGAAACTCAAATGCGACGAGCAGCGCCCTGCGTGTCAAAGGTGCCTGGCAACTGGGAGAAAGTGTGATGGCTATGTTCGCGCCGCGGACATGCTGAGAACGAACAGTGCAATGCTGCACGCCAAACATCCCCCAACATATGCAAAATTTAAGCCGGTCGAGGTACAATCATTTGAATTTTTTATACGACGAATTATGCCTGATTTTACTCAAATAGCGGATGAAAACTTCTGGCACCGGCTTGTCCCTCAGCTCAGCCACTCGGATCCGATAATTTGGGACGCCGTCATTGCCCTGTCATGTTTGATCCAGCACTTTCAGTCCTCCGGCGAGTTTGTGAAACCGGGAAGCAAAGCAGACCCTATAGTAAATGAAGAACATCGAAGGGCTTTGACCTGGTACGGCAAATCGATCGCCCGTCTACGGACACGTTTGAAGCAAGCAACAACTCGGTCAACCACTGCTGTTATATCTTGCATCCTATACATCTGTATAGAATGCCTGCAAGATAATTGCTCTGGAGCACTATCCCTCTACCAGCGAGCAGTTGCCATGATGGAAATGGCACCGGAACCTGATCGAGCCATTTGTCCAACAACATCAGCATCCGAGCGCTCTCTCCAGAGGTCAGTCCGAGCTTTGTTACAAAACATGTCCGTATCGCAAAGACTTCCTATCGAGAGGGAAAGATTTCTAGGTCAAATGACGTTCGAAACACTTTCAGATGCTAGAGCAGAGCTTTATGTCCTGCCCTTCGCGGCCCACGACTTTATCGTGGACACAATTGAGATTAGGATCAACCAGCCGAAAGACTGGACACCTTCCTCAGTCTTAATTTCGAGACAGCAGCACCTTCAAACACGATTTCGGAAGTGGCACTCGGCTCTTGAACATATGACCCAGAGCTCCGGGAGATTTTTCACTCGGAATGAAATGGAGGCCTATTCCTTCCTCCATGTTGCATACGGCCATTATTTCATCTTGCTCGTAACAGGTTTGAGTATGTACGAGACCGATTTCCACACATTCTTCCCCATGTTTCAAGCCATGGTCGATCACGCCAGTCGGATCGTAGCTTCCAGGAGGGCAGAGCTGCGTCCAGTGTTCATGTTTGAGACTCGAGTCATCCCCTCGCTGTTTGCTGTCGCAATCAAGTGTCGACACCCGATGATCCATCGACAGGCAATTTCGTTACTCCGAATGGGAACTCAGATTGAAAATACTTGGAGGGCCGACGCGATGGCCAATATCGCCGAATGGACGGTTGGGATCGAGGAATCCGGTAATATTCACGGGATCTTCTGCGCAGAGCCTTCCCAAGTCGAACTGCTGCCGGAAAACTATCGAGTGCATTGGGACCAGGTTGTCGAGCTCCGAGGTCCTGACGGACGACCCGCCAAGTTTCACCAATTTCAAATGTGGCAGCAAGATGAGAATCATGCATGGTCTTTGGTTGAGCACACCGTGCAGATATGAATCCAAGCTGTATATATCATCCACCCAATATCGCTCTTACTATCCTCCATGCTGCTAATGTACACCTAATGCTCCTCCAACGACCTGCGAGCCAGGAAAGGGTCCTCAAGGAAGGAAAAGACGTCCAGTATCCAAAATTTTGTCTCTGAAACACCAAGGTGCTTCTCATGCTGATTGCGGCGAAAACTGCCCCGCAACTGGGCTTCGTCCTGCTTGGAGGAAACGGGCTTTGGGAACATCTCCGTGGCTAGGAGAGCCGAAGCCGGACGAGGGTCCCAAACCATCTGCAAAACCATGGGCTACGTTCTTCTCACTTCCGAGCAAAAACGACAGAACAGTCTATCGCGTCCCATTCCGGTATGTCGCAGCGGCAAATCGTGCGGAATTCCGTCAAGCGCCCAAGTCTGCACCGCCCCAGTCGACTGAATTTGATGGCAAATGGACCTCGTCTTTCACTTCCGACCCTTAATGCCAGAAGTCTCCACAACCCGAGCTCACCAATCATTGCTCTGGCTGGAAGACTTCCCTGACGGAACGCTCTTTAAGTGACTCGTGCCAAGATATCACTTGGGGAAGATTGTTGTCTTGAATGGATCCAATAGCACGTCCCTTTTTTGAACCGGGACCCGCAAAAGGCTCAATTGTCTCCATAACCCGAGCCGACCACTCACAGCTCACAACGAGATCCACCATGGGCGGCCTTTCCATACCGCAGCTGCTGGAGCCCTGCGGAGTATATAACACGAGGTGCTCGACTTCGTCTACAATGTTTGCGAGGGTAAATTTACAGTAATAAGTGGGAGTTTGCTGTTCCGACTTTGTTTTGCGAGAAGACCCGCGGTTCTTGCTCAGGGAAATCGTTGGATCCAGCCTTGCCCATCAAACCGCCTCCTTTCTGGCTGCCTTTCAGTCCCTGTGCAACATTTCGAGCACTCCGATCCAAAGTACAATCACCACTAAGCGCCTGACGCAGAGAGACGCCCAAACTCCCATACCTACCGGCTTTTGCCGAACTCTCCTAACTGAGTGAAGATGATCTCCGACCAAGCAATCATCGTTATATGCATCTTCAGCGCCGCCGCCGTGGTCACTGTGGGGTACGCAGTTCATAGAATATTCAGCAAAGCGAGCTATGACGGCCATAACTTCACATTGCCCGACTCGCAGAGGCAATACATGCGTGAGTTGCGCGAAAGGAATATAATGGATGCATTCGGAGATCCCGGACAGCAACCGCGACATCATCATCACCCTACGGATATGTAAAGAACGTTTCGAATCCCGTTTGACGAATGTTACTCACCGCGAAGACCAGTTCAAAACTGGAGCCTCTCGACATGTTTTGGCAGAAGAAAGACAATACATCTGCATACATACTTTTTGCGGCGGCTGGCGGGCGGGAGGACGGCAGGCGCTTGAGGAGTTGAAGCAAAGCCACAGCCAAATCAATAAGATAGTCATCATCCTTCCTTTTCTTACAGCATTCTGCGCCTTGCATGAGTTGTTATTGTTGTCCCGAAGTGGTATATCAGTCTCTAAGTCTGGCTGCATACATTACACAACACTAAACAATACCGCCCTCGAACTATAAGCTCGGCGGGCAACGTTCCACTTTACCTACCTACCTTTCTATCCAACCTCAAAAACAAGCCACTGCTCATATTGTAACAAGGCAAAGGGGCTGTGCTAGCAGGCAGTCGTTGCAAGTGTGCTTCACAGTTTACAGTGCTGGCCGTGTGCCATTCTTTACTGGTTGAGCTGAGTATTCTATGGTTTTGATACTGCATACTCATTCCTGAGTATCCCTTCTGCCCTTTTCCACTCCTCAACGTCGCCGCCGTGCTAGGTGCTCGCTGCCCTTGCCGCTGCTTCTCTGGGGGTGGTGTTGGTGGTGGTGTTGTCTTGCCAGCGCCGACCAGAAACGCGTCCTCGATTTCCGACCTACCTGATAGGCCCCTGCGCAGTTGCACGTGCATGCTGGACCCTGAAGTGCTCCGTTACAATATCTCCCCAGTAGGTGAAGGAAGTTTTCGCTGTTAGCTTTGTGAAAATGCTCGTTCAGCCCGTCAATTATGAAGAGGAACCGAGCAGTAGCCTCCATGAACACAAGAATCCGGTTTAAAGAAGTTAAAGAGCTAGCAAAGTCCACACCAAGCGATCGGTATCCGGGAGCAGCATACTCAAGTCAGCGACAGCTGGGAGGCAAAGAGCTGGTAGAGCAATGATGCAAGGAGGAACACAAAACCCCCTCTAGTTAGTGCACACCGTCCTAAGCGGAGAAAAGGGCGTTAAAAAGAGGGGAAGGAATTCGTGAGCGAGAGTGGAATAATATCCCGTGCAGGACATCTAGTGATATACCGTTAAAGCTGAAAGGTGACTAGTCGCTATGTGATTTCGGAAGAGTCCCGAGCGTCCGTAGTATGTAGATCGGTCTGGTAACTCCGTTCATAGATCGACACAATATGCATTTATTCCCATCGAAGCACCATGAAACACCGCAGAGACTTGGAGGTTTACATCTCATTTTTCTGAAGGGTTTAATTTTGGCTCGGATCCCTGAGGGCGCTTAGAACAGTGTCGTCTGTCTTATAGGGCAGCAGCCTCCTATCCTCTCCCACATTCATTCCTTCCCATACACGGCTTTGGCCCCCACTACTATAATTACTTGCTATCTAGCAGGGCGCGACAAACCCCGCTCTCGTCTTGCTGTTGCCCTCTTATATCTGCACGTTTTCACCCATGCTATTGACTACTCTGGTAGCAATCAATCTCACCTCCGCCATCCTGCTCAATATCATCACTCAGCAGCTTTCGATACGAACGTTTTACTCACGCAGACATCATGTATAGATGGCCCAGCAGCGAACTAGATCGGGCGGCCAGGAGACTAGTCGAGTCAAGCCTGCCAGTCGTCTCTATGGTTGGTGATCAACCATTTGAGCCGGCCTGGGGACCCCAAGTCGGATATACTACCGAATGCGAGAGGCCGAATATCCTTCAGAGCCTCGCGTTGTTGTGAGTTGATGCAATGCTGCACATTAACGGTACGTGACTGACGGTGGGCCAGGTCGGTAGCCAGTCGTTTCGTTGAACCCACAAGGCCGAAACGCGTGAATGCAATATTGCGAAAGTGGGTCGAAATTCGGAAGCTGCCGGCACATGAACGTTCTCTATATTCCATTTGTTGCAAAGCCTGTGCTCCATACCTGTCAGCGGGTCACCGGACGAGGTATATTGGTGGGCACTTTGGCGTGGATATCTCCTCATTGAATACAGAATGTGTCTTCTGCGACATCATTCGCCAAACCTTCTTGCATTATGTTGGTACAACATCGCCTCAAAATAGGTGTAAAGTTGCGTATGGGAGGAAAGGAGATATACAACTTTGTTTCTACAATTCCGAAGACCGAAGAAACTACTACAACAGCATTCCTGGCGAGCATGTGCACATACAGCTGTATTCAAGTGGTAGGTGCCAAATCTTACAATCGAATCCCTCTCACCTAAGCTGAGGGTACGTACAGAGGCTAGAAATCGTCGAAATCCTTTTCGTTTCGCTCACAACATCGCCCTCGATCCGACGAATTCCTTAGCTCTGGTCAGGATTAAGAATTGGATCAACGATTGTGTAGATAACCATGAGCAATGTGCTGCTGCAGCTCCACAAAACATATTCATCCCAAGTCGACTGATCAAAGTGGAGGACAACGCCTTGAATATAGTTCACCTTGCTTCACCCACCCAGCCAGTGCGATTTGCTGCGCTGAGCTACTGCTGGGGTAAAGGGAAGCAGCACATCACGACTAAGAACAATGTTCGATCCAGGTATCATCACTTTGCTATCTCGGAGCTTCCCAAGACAATACAGGATGCGTTAATTATGACCAGAGCACTAGGGTTAGGGTACCTGTGGGTCGACTCTATCTGCATCGTACAGGATGACGAAGAGGACTGGGATACCGAAGCCTCGAGAATGGCGGATCTTTACTCCGGCGCGTGGATTGTTCTGGCGGCTACACAAGCACCAGATAGTGCTGCTGGGTTCTTGGATCGACGGACAAAATATCTCACCATACAGTCTAAAGGCAAGGATCCATGTCCCTTTAAAGTACGTGCAAGGCGCGTTGGTAATTATGACTGCTTCCTCGCGCCCAAGCTGGACCACTTTCCACTGTTTAAGCGTGCTTGGTGCATGCAAGAAAGACTACTCGCACGTCGGCTCGTGCACTTCCTACCCGATGAGCTCTACTACGAATGCCAGGTCACCCATGAAGGCGAATGCGGCGCTGTCCCGGGACGAGAGTTCTCTTCACATTGCTCAGCGTTTCGATCGCTATTGCTCACTGAGAGCTTAAAGGGCACAAAAACCTTTCACTTTGGCCAGATGTGGGCTCAAATCATAGAGGAGTACAGCACGCTGCGCCTCACCTACGACAAAGATATTTTGCCTGCGCTCTCCGGCTTGGCCCGCAGCATGGGCCATTTGAGCCCCGGTAAATACATATGTGGCATCTGGGAGAAGGACATTTCTTACCAGCTTGGTTGGTCCCGCAAGCTATCGACTCCTGAAGCCGCTGCAACGGAACGGGAGCACGCGTATCCCCAGCCCACCTTCTCCTGGACAAACTCGCTTGGCGCTGTCGAGTTTGATGCAGACAACCGAGGAGTATACTCGCCCTTGTGCGACATGCTTGAACCTCGCTGTGACCTAGCTTCAGCTGATCCATACGGCCGCATCGTTAACGCCTCTGTCTGTCTGCGAGGACCCATTGTCTACGGACCCGAGTTGATCTCCGAGCTTGATAAAACATTTTTCGATATCGATTTCGGCAACCCCGTTGTCCATCTTGACGTGGGAATCCGGTCGATATGCAGGTCGTGCTGTAACTCTAGGCACTACCAGGGTTGGGACTCAGTGTCAGACTGGGACTCCGTGATATGCTTCGGACTGTGTTACTGGACCTGGGACGCGGAGCACCAATACGTGAACGCACTGTTGCTGCAGCGCACACCCCGTGATCGCGAGTACATTCGACTGGGTTTTGTTAGCAATTTGCCGAAACCTTGGTTCGACCAACATGCATTTCCAAAGAAACTGACTCTTCACTAGATCATTTGGCCTGGACCATGGTGCGGCTTCCTTGGTGATCGATCAGCCCGAATGCTCTGTTTATGGCATGGCGGAAAGCGAAGCTGTACTCCAGGAGCGAAGAGAAACCCTCCTGAATATGGCGTTGTATTCTCTGATGTTTTCTATCGGTCAGTCTGTGCCTCCCTCCCAAAGGCCCCCGGAGAGATCCTGCCTCTCTATACCTTCCTGGGAGCCTCCGACACACTGCCAATCTAGCAGATAATAGGAGGTTTGGAGGAGGCTGGGAGGAGGCTGGAAAGAGATTGGAGAGGGAGTTCAATAGTGCTGTCGATTTTCCTGTTTTATGTCAACATATTGTAACAAGGCAAAGTGGCTGTGCTGTGCTGGGCTGGTAGAGCGGTGGCAGGGAGGAAAAGTTGTCTAGTCACATGTCAAACCAAAATGGGCTGGCAGAGAAGGGGTGCGGAACAGTTTACAGTGCTGGCAGTGTGCCATTCATTACAGTTTGAGCAGAGTATCATGAATTCTATGGCTTTTTGGCGCCGTCTACCTAATTCCTAAGTGTTTTATCATTTCTGTCCTGTTCCTCGATGCTGCCGCTGTGCTAGGTGTTTGTAGCCCTAGCCGCTGCCCCTCTGGGTGGTGTTGGTGTGTTGTCTTGTCAGTATCAACCAGAAACGCGTTCTCGATTCCCGATCTGCTGGACAGGCCTCTGTGCGTTGTTGCACGTGCACGCCGAACCCTGAAGTGCTCTGTTACAATACATGAGCTTGTTTAGTGTCCCCGGAGCTGGTTCGGGTTCCTCTACAATCAGGAGCCTGTTTGTGATCCCGGCCCATTTCCTAGCATATCTTCGCATGGAAAAACGGTCGCTGCCTTGATTCTAATCCACACAAGTCGATTCGGGCTTTTAGAGCCTTTTTTCGGCCTTTGGGCCTCGACTGTAGTACAAAAAAATGGCGCTCAGGACTTGACTATGTTGCAAACTTCTCCTAAGACCAGCTGCATATTACTGCTCATGCAAGTTCAGGTAAGAGGTACTGCAGACTTTGATATGGCAAAGGAGGGCACAGAATGCAGCACCAGAAAACTTTGCACACGAGAAAATTATGCCATGGGTATCCATGTCAATGGCATGCGCGGGCGGTGTCTGCCTTGTAGCATGTTATCCATCCTTTGAAGCGTACGCTGCAGTATCGGGGGGTTGGGCCGGATGCAGCGTAGGAGAGAAGAAGGAACGTGGCTGAAACTGAAGTCGTCATTTTGGGGCTGATCAGGATAACGCAATGTCCACCTCAGGGGAAGGTTCTCGGCACGGAGCGGCCCCTTATGCAGGGGAGCCTCCTCATGTCTCTGTCGCAGAACGGTTGCGCACTTCGACCATGTTGAACGTCCGGACTTTAAACCTCATGGAAGACGGAAAAGGGTAAGGTTGGCCTCTTTGTTCACGCAGAATAGTTATGCTTTGATAAACATAACGGATGCAGGTGACACAAGAACACGGTTAATTCCAACAATGCCTCCTGAACAAACCATCTGATCCTGGTCAACCTCGCCGACACAGTAGCCGCTATGCAAGCGCCGCAGGAGCTTTGAAGCACTCCAGTCTCTAGATGCTTTTCCCGTTGAAACCGGGGCTAGCCTGACTCATCCCTGCCAGATGTCGGGTTGATTTTGTTCACCAGTTCACATTCGGCATTGGCTGCCGGAGACAGCAGGCTCGATAAGCCCCTGCGGTCGCGGTTGGGGACTCCTCTACATGCCCCTTAGTGAGCTGCTTCTTAGATTTTATCCACATCAACGACACGGGGGCACCAGCGGACCTTGTGTCCTATTTCAGACCTCTAGCCTTCTTCCTGTTATAAATTTTCTCCTTGGGTGAGTTCATGCACCATATCTTCTCCGAATTTCGACGCCTCAGCGTCGAAGCACTCAGCGAACGTCGAAGCGACATTATACAAAACAGCGCGTCCTTGAAGCGATTTAGGTAAGTATTGATCTTTAAGCGTGAATCAACAAGTGCTGGGTTCTAATCACCAAGCAGATTATTTGCAATTCCTCTCTCGACAGAGTCAACATCATGGAGGGATCATTGAGCAACGTCACAGAAGCCGATGGACCAGCGCAGCCCGTCAAAGACGGACCGAGACTGCGCAGCAAAGAATTGGTCTCGGAGTTGCCTTTGAGAGGGAAGAACGGACAAACCAGCCGAGGCCGAAGTTTAGAATCCTGCGCCTTAACGCTTGGCTCGACGTCTTCTCAATCAATAAAGACGATTGAATGTCCATCCCCTGACGACCCAGAAGTCGATTCAGCTGTATCGGCGGACAGATTTGTCGAGCATTCAACCGATAATCCGCAAGAATTACCAATGCCTCCAAATCCCGAAGATGGTCTTTCCAGATCGAGTCTTTCCACCTCGGAGTTTTCGCAGCCCTACAACAAAGTGCCTCGAGACGATTTGCTCTCGAGCGATACGACAATCGTTCAAGCTATTCAAGAAGATTTCCTGGCTTTGCCTTTGCACAATGATGTCCATATTGGGCAGAATATCGATACATCGTCTACCTCGACAAGGGCATTTGGTCTCGCGAAACAGCCTGCCACCAGCGAGCCAGGCTACGAGTCCGTCTGTCCATACGCGATCAGATCGTGGCACTTTGGAACAGCAATCGCAAATACTGAGATAGAAGATCCTCACATATGCTGGTGCAACCAGTGTTTCCAGTGCGAACCCGATCTCGAAAACAGGATCTGCTTCGGCAACAGCGACGGCTACGTTGAAGTGTGGACTGACAAGCCCAAAGCGGCTATATTCTCGCCATCTGCATTTCTCTGCTCTTGCATGACGCGGCCCTTTCACTCGGAGACTGTAACTAAATTTGACTTCTATAAATCTTATGCGCAAAAGCTCAGAGATAACTCGTCGAAAAGAAACTACCTTCTCAGTTCCCGCGACCTCCATATATTGAGCAACAGAGATAGCGTATTCAGGCGCATTGATTCTGGAATCGCTCTGCGATGTCCATCCTTCGGAAAACACAATCTCCAACCCCCTTTATTTGGCCATCTGCGCCGGTCGTCCGCACCAGAGAATACTGTCCATCCATTCGAAGAAAGCTCCCAATCAGTCGACGGAACGAACTGTGTCATACCTGAAATTAATCGCCTACTTGTCAAAGGCAGTCTCGATATTACTTCTCCAACATTGGAGTCTAAGCTTGTTCAATCTAACATTCCAATCAGTCCTGAGCCACCAGTTCTGCCAAGAGAAATGTGTTGGTGCGGTGATTTCTGCTGGGTTACAAGGATGCCGAGAGCATGGATAGATCGGAGCGACAATAGACTCGAATGTCGATCCCGAATCGAGGTTAAACACCGCGTCTTCTTCTCTAGCGCTGGTGGTGAAATTGAGGCATGGACTGACATACCGAAGCCAAAAAATGCTTTTACTGGGGTTGAAAAGTCCACCTGCATAATGGCGCCGCGACATATATCCAGAGTCGTCAAGTTCAATTTGTTCACGGAGAGACTGACTCAATCTGCTCCAAAGAGAGTGCATCTCCTCAATTGCCGGGATCGCTCTAATTGTCCCACTTTGTCTTTGGACGGAAGTGGCGCATCGAATGGTAGTGCCACTGCTTTGGGAAAAGAGGATCCGGTGACCAAATATGGTGTTCTAGCTCCTAGAGATTGTAGTCTCTACGGGAGGGGAGGCTTACAGACAAGGAATGACACCAGGAAGGAGGAAGGTTCCAATCTTCCGAGTTTAAATCTCCTTCAGCTTCCGTACCTTGGTCATCAACGACGGTCCTCAGCACCGGAAGCACTGGAGAACAGGCCGGAACCACGCATCCAACCTTCAAGGGCGAAGTATTATCGCCTAGCAAATGGGAAATCCGTCAAAGTGAAGATGCCTTCCACAGACGTTTAACGTCCCTGCATCTGAGACAGTGAAAAAACAAATGCCTTTTGCAAACTTTCCATCGCAATCTGGAGAGTCCATCACGAGCTGTGGAAGCGTGGCCCTTGTACATTAGTAGCAGACTATATGAATGTGTGTCGTCCCTCTCTTTAAACCGATGAGTTTAATTAGTAGTGACTATACACTCAGCAGCTGAAATAGATTCACTCAGCTGGAAGACCTGTCCTAGTACCAGCTTTGCCACGGTCGCTCGCTGTAGGTGAAAAAGCAACTCTCAAAACAAAACGAGCGAGATCCTTAACGTTAACCGGTGCCCACGGCTGTATCACAATGAAAAACGAATTCTTTCAGGTTGCGGCTTCGAATGCGGTGACAAACCTCGTAAGGATAGGGTGGCTACACCGCTCCATGAGCGAGATCTCAGGCTGGATGGTTGTTACGAAGGAGGCTTCTACCCCAGCACGATCTCCACCAGTGCAGTTTACTATCTTGATTGCAACAATATCACTATTCCTGACATGGACAGCTCGATAAACGGTGGTTCCGCTTCCACTGCCTTGTTTGGTGTCGTGGTCCCGAATGTATTAAGGAATGTCTCGCATCCTGCCTTTTATTATTACGGATCCAGTAGGCAGCTTGATCAACGGATTAGAAGCCCATGATATCATTGCAGTGAAGGGAGGAGATTGGTAGCATGGCCTTCTTGATATTCGCATCTTCAGACCTCCTCAATATATCTTCTTCGTCGCTAAGAAGGTCGTATACAACAGCCTGGCTGCTTTTGTCTTACCTACGATGCATCTCTTGCTTTCTATTGAGCATGGGATGATTCTTCCCCTTGGAATCAAGGCACGGGCGCGCGAAAATTCTCATAAGACCTTCCTCCGATCCCTCGTTGATATTTAGTCTATAATTGAGCCACAGCTGGCGAAAGTTTGTATTTTACTCTGGTAGTATTGTGGCTCTTGAGGTGTCCTCTGATCGAATTGGCGACGACGATGGTGCCATTCTCGTCTATCTCGAATTGATAATTTGCGGATATAGAAATCCAACGTTGAAAACAAACTGCGAATTACTCCCGTGACCATTGGACAGCTTATCCAAGAATGAGAGAATCTGTGGGACCTCCTCCAAAAGCTTGCTGAGGGAGTCCCATGCTTATTCTGGATTTATGCGATTTCCATAGCACAGAAGAACAAAAAGGAAAAGACGAATCGGATTCAGCTGCTCGAAATATATGTAAAGGTACGAGCGGTATATAATATCCACACCATCTATCGTCGGGATTGATTGTGTAAGACGTGGAACTGTGGCCAGATGGTTGATTTCATTCTGCCAAGTTGCTTGCTGTCTGTCCTTCCGTCATTTCAGCAATTCCTTCCTGTTTATATAGGCATTTGGCCGTGTGCGATGAAACGGCCCCTGTTACTTGCTATCATTGGTCTAAGATCAATCTCCGCTCTCATACTCGCATGCACGCCGCATCCTAACTGCGCCTCTAGAATCAAGCCCCTTCGATTATAAACCCCTTCTCCCATCCCTTCCCCTCTGAAACTTACTCTTCCTAACTTTCCTTTCAAACCTTACAAACTTTGTCATTCCCCAAAATACCCTGGAATAACCACCATACTACTCAACTTGACCTCCACGCTAATGAGCTCGCAATGTCCATCCCGCCGGACTACTGGACAAATGGTTCGGCCGCCCAAACGCGCTGGGAAAACAAACAAACTGTTCACCCATCAACGTCGCGTCCGTGGCGGTCACCAGCCTGAGACTCCACAGATCGCAATCCCCAGGTTCGATCTCCGACTGCCCCGACTGGAGCAAATACCCTGATGATGTGTACCAGCATGTGACTGAAAACATCTCACAGATGCCTGAAAGCGTGCTCTGATTTGACGAAGTGCACCGGGCGTTATAGCAGAGCACGCTTGCCTCGACAGATATATGCACGCCCTCTTCTTTCCACAGGATCCACGATGTCGAACTTGGAACACGGCGCAAAAAGTCACGCAGCAGTGTGACCTTCCTGTAATTCAGGATTCAAATGTGGGGATACAATGCATCTGGGTTCGCCCTTTGTTCCCAACGAAAACCAATGACCAATGAGTAGTTCGTCGGACTGAGCATGTAGCTCATCGCATCTGAACTTTGAGGTCTAGATAGCAAGTTGCGCAGTGACTCGCCCTTTTCTCGACGCAGATTGATCGATTCAGGACGAGGTGCTTCTCTACGGCTTTCACCTAGAAAGCGTTGCGAAGCTCCAACGATGAAACCTTGCTGCCACTTTTGATCGAAGTTTGTCCTTCCGGAACCGCCAAAACTTTTGGTGCTGCGCTCGCTCGTGTGGCGGACTGACAGTCACTTCCAGATAACCCATTTCGTAACTTGTGTTTCTCGGAAATGTGCATCGCGGTGTTGCGCATGCTGCAGTAAGAAGGCCTCGGAAAGCCGCTCCTCGGGGTTGTAATTTGGAATCAATTCCTCAAAAAATTTCCTTTCGTTGTCGGTAATTGTCGACATGGAAAGGAAGGTGCTGAACATGTCACTGCTTGAAGCAGAATCTTGGAAGCTATCACGATCCATGGACTCTGGAGTATTTGGCAAAGAGGCATCAGCACGTCTAGCCATTGATTTTGTCTGGGTGCGTTCAGAAATTCTTTCACGAGAAGATGCGCGGTGCGGGTTATCCCTCAGAAGATTCGCCGGCATTTCTGCAACAGCATCGGAACCAAGGGGCCTCGGTTGGGTAGCCATGCGCGGAATTACCTGCTGAAAGCATTCGGCGGGAGGTATGAGAGGCATCACGATACCCTCGAGGCGCTGGTTCTGTGTTGACCGCCATTCGGTAAAGGTGAGATTCTTCTCTGTGTCCTCGGATGATGATTCAATTTCTTCTAGCGAGTGGCCTTCATTTAGGCCGAGCAGAGTGAGAGCCACATATTCCCTGGGTGCTGTCATCGTATAAGGGAAATACTTTGTGAGCCTGTTCCACGATGTCAATGTGGTAATTGGTGATTGATTCGAATATAGCCTTTAACGTATCCTCTGAAGAGCTTCTGCAAGTGGCACCATCACTTACAATCGGAAATCCCGATCCGCAGAATCTTCCAAAGGCTTTTATTGAAAAAGCTCAGTCTCAATACGCCTGAATTTGGTTCACTCAGAAGCACCCCCTTTTCAAAAATTGCGGCATTTTGGCATTGATTGGAACTGCCGGGAATCGGAAAAAGATGGCAGTCACCGGCCTCCGGCTATTCTCGAATTCCCGGGCCGGACACTGAGGATGATCGATTTGAATACCAGTGGCGTCAGAAGCTACGGACCCATACAGACCCCCAATGAGAAATGTGCTGACTTATGTGCACCCTGTTTATTGATGATTTCATATTCATCTTAATCTGTGGGAACGTCTCACGAACAATCCTGGCCACGAACGCCATTGCTGCTGTATAGCAAATTACGGGATCCGAGGATCACAAGCTTGACCGTCTCGAGCTGCAAACGCCTGAAGGAAGAGACACTCTTGTTTTTTTCTGCTTTAATCATGGGATGAGCACATTATGCTTGCAGCGTATCCGTTATAACGGCAAGCTTCCCCGTTGCTGTATTTCTTGATATCAGCCGCCTTGACCCCCCTGAACCTGGACTAAAGGCAATCCGTCGAATCCCATCACGAGTGCTCGACAATAGACCTCTGTGATCACTGACCTATCAAAACAGTCTAACAGACCTAATAATCTGCTTCAAAGACGACCTTTCCGAGCCTCTACCCATAATCCCTTAGCTTCAGTGGTAACGGATCCAGCTTGATCCAGTAGCTGAGCCTTTGCAATCCATTTCCTCCCTTCGTTACTTACTAACCATGACCTCACAACGTAATTTCCAGGCGTCTTGACAGCTCTCTGGAAGGAGATAGTCAACTTGGCGGTGAAGACAGGGTCTTTAGGACCAGTGTCGTCCGGCCCCGATTTGAAGGCACTATTGTAGTGAAACATGATCGTTAGACCCAGGCATTCGTCGAGAATTGCGCATTGTACTCCTCCATGTGCCGTGGATGGGTGACTATCGATGCCTTTCTCGCCCAGTGCTAAAAGAAAGATCAGATCTGGGTTCTGTGGACCATTGGGCCCCCATTCGATGCTGGATCGTACTTCATTGGTCGATTTTGATGTGGCTGGAGACTTCCTGGTGTTGAAATCACGCCGTCGAAGTGTCATCCAGTGAGGTATTGTAGATGGTGTGTTCAGGGTACGTGACATATAGTAGTCTTCCCCCGTCAATTTCTTCAGCCGCGAATACGTTTGTACCTGCTCGTAGGCAGAGTCATGTAAAAGCTGTTCCGTCCATCGAGAGCAGGAAAAGTGCTTGAGCGCTCCTTCCATGGATTCTCGCTTGTTTGGCTTCTGGGCATAGGAAGTTCCTAGAAACCGATCACAATGCTAAATGCGTACTGGATAGACGAAGCATATGACGAAGGCTCTAAAGTAAGTCAGCGGATATTGCACAAAGATTCTGCTCGAAAGGCATGGAATATATTAACTGAGGGATCGTCAGAGATTTTCACTGCCGGCATCGATATCATTAGCGCAGGGATCCTTATGAACGTGTTCGGGCACTGAACAGCATTCTAAGTACTGTTTCTTGTCGAGCTGCTAGCTTGGGGGCCCATAATCTCCATTAATTTTCTGCTCATATGTCTTTAGCGCCTCAGGAACAAAAGAACGTCGTAGAAATCAAACGTGCATGCTTTCTTCGAAGGTAGCAGCTAAGTCCCACATGTACCTCGGTGCGGATGAGAGACACAAACCTCTTTCGTCACAAGCCCATTAAGACCGTTCGGAAGGGGCGCACAAACCGACGTCGTGCCTCAACCATTTGCACTGCAAAAAGGGTCATTCAACTCGGCATTAGATACCTAACCTAATACTTCCGGCAACGGAAGTAACATCGAACAAGTATTGGGATTGGGGTTTGGTACGGAGAGTGTGGGAGACCCCTGAAAGAGTTGCTTCACGATAAGTGTTTGAGATAATGCCGGCATAATGCCGCCAAGTCCCGAGGCGCCTCAACGACATCCCTAACACCTAACGTCGGGCTTCGACTGGCTAGCATATTTCTTGCTGGGGTAGGCTGTTTCTTCTTCGGGTCTTGATCATAGTTACCCTGATACTGCCTCGTTCTACACTCACACAAATCCTGTATCTTTGAGAAAGATGGCTCTCACTCGTCTGGTCAACTTGGTAGATGAGCCACTGAAGGCAGCATTGTATGCGCTCTTACTATTGGTGAACTTGTTATGATGCTTCTCATGGTGCACGTCTTTTGATCATTCAAATAGATTCTGGGATATCCGGCACTGGTCATTACTTACAATCTCCTTTTCCACTCGCTTCGTAAGGTTCCTGGACCAAAATTGTGGGCAGCGACACTCTTACCTGCCTACTACAATCGTCTCCGTGGCACTGCAGTCTTTAGAATCAAAGAGCTACATGATCAGTACGGGCCCGTTGTCCGTGTGGCACCAGAAGAACTCAGTTTTATCGACGGTCAAGCATGGAAGGATATTTACGGTTACAACACAGCCAACACTGTGGCTTTTGAGAGAGATGCATTGCAAGCCGGCCCCGAGGAGGCTGGAACGCCAGGCCTGCTCAGATCAAAGGGTGAACAGCACAATCGGCTGAGGCGAACTCTGAACCATGCTTTCTCCGACAAAGCTCTAAAGCAACAGGAAGGACTCATTAAGAATTATGCAGATATGCTCATTGGTGTTTTGAACAGGCGAGCAGAGTTGCAAAAGAGTGATCCTGACCGTCCGGATGCCCAAATAAACATGGTTGAAATGTATCATTTCACAACTTTCGATGTATGCCTGCCCGCATGTTATGCTCTGTCTTCAACTGATGAATATTCAGGCCATGGCAGATTTGAGCTTTGGGCAGCCTTTGGGTCTTTTGAAGCAGGTATGACGGGCATTTCATTGGTCCTTTACTAATGATGATGGCTGTCAGGCAAGAGAGATACACTGCATGGGTGTCGTTTCTTCTTTCACACGTAAAGTCTGTGGCCTATATGCACGCAATCGCCAGATGGCCAATCCTGGCACGGAGTGTGAAGTACCTCCTTCCCAAGAGTGTGAAAGAGGGCCGTGAGGAATTTTTCGGTTACTGCGTTGCGAAAGTCGAAGAACGCATGGCTGTTCAAACAGAAAGACCGGATTTCTGGAGTCTTATCGTCAAAAATCAGGACGAGAAGGGCATTACTCGGCAAGAGATGTATGCTGTCGCCAGTGACTTTATGGTGGCCGGCACCGAAACCACCGCAACGCTATTGTCTGGCGCCACCTGGTATCTTTGCACCTACCCGGATAAGATGAAAAAGCTCTGCGATGAGATCCGATCTTTTGGGAGTGCTGATGAACTCACCCTCCAATCATTGCAGAATACAGTCTATCTCCAGGCTGTTCTTCAAGAGTCTCTCCGTGTATACCCGGCGGTGCCCGCTGGTGGCATGCGACTTGTGCCTAAGGAAGGTTACACAATTTGCGGAGAGTACTATCCCGGATATTCAGGCCCATTCGCCTCAGGAAGGGTAAGATAATCTGTTCCTTTTCCGTCATCTGGCTTGAGGAGGCTGACATATTTTCCCATGATCGCAGGTGACATGCTCGGTTATGCCTTATGTGGCAAATCATTCAGCTTACAACTTTCACAACCCAGACGCGTTTGTCCCAGAACGTTTCGTGCCTGATCCACCAGCTGAGTACCGAGATGACAAGAAGGGTGCCTTTAAACCTTTCGGCCACGGCCCACGGGTTTGCATTGGTGAAAAGTAGGTATTCCTTTCTTTCATATCTTGCCTACTTTTCCAGCTCGATCATCGAGCGCAGTGAGGGGATATCAATTTGCTGACTCCTGTAGTCTCGCATGGCACAATGCCCGCCTTATCCTAGCCTACGTTATCTACCATTTTGATATCAGTCTTGTTGATGAGAAGGACGTATGGGTTGACCAGCCCATTATGGAGCTTTGGATGAAGAAACCTCTTCTGGTGAAATTAAGCCCAGTACAACGGTAGATGGCATGGTGGAACAGTCTGAATAGTCTCAGACCTGCACGGTTTTGTGACTTAATCACGTATTAATATCGGAGCTCTAAGGTGCTTGGGAAACTATCTCGGAAAGCCCACATTGGAGTTTGATTTTAGCATCATGTGTCTCCTCTTTCCGGCTTTACAGTAGTCATGTTTGTATGTTCGGCATGGAGAAGAGGATGTTCCTGATTCCCAAACTACACTTATAGGATAGTCACTGTAGACGAGTGAATGCAGAGTCGTTTCCCGTCACCTGCTAGGTTACCTGTGGCTCCATTCCCAGCCTCGTAGCTCGAAATGATTCCCTCGTGTTACACGCTTAGCCGTCCGTTCGACAACGCGCCATTACGCTGGCGCCTGTCAATCTTAGGTGATCTTGGTTCTAATGCCCCAGACGGCGTTGGTTCACCGGACTCTCCAGTATATGAAAAGGTCCATTATGAAACGCCATCGGGACGTGCTCGGTTTCTGTGGAGTTGTAACCCCGGAGCTTCTCATTGATTCAATATATGTGGACAATTCCCCATGACAAGCAACAACATGGGATCTCCAACGTCTTAGAGTAGTCCTGGGTCTTTGTATGTCAATTTTTCGGTGCTCGCTGTCACAGAGATCAGCTGCCCGGAGACCCACGGTTCTCTAGTCATCGTAGTGGCACATATTCATTCATCTAGCCATTTAGATTAGATATAGTGGCATTAAGCTCAGTTGGAGGGATACCAAATTAATTCGTGTTGGCAGGATAGCCTCATTTTTATATGCTTATAAGCGCAATCAAGTTTACGTTGATCCGTTTCCTTTGCGATGCTTGATACTGATGGAGGAGATGCTTGGATGGACTATATCACTTGTAAATGATTGATGCTTGTGGGCTAAGAATACAATTTGTACTCTGGTCTTAATCAATCTCTTGGCCGCAACTTGATGCATCAACATCCAGGCCCTGAGAAATCAGAACTTGTTGAAAACATCGTGATTGTGCCACCATGCCCTGAGTTTCTTGCCATAGATGTATACGGGGATGGTAGTCAAGCAAAGGCCAAGTTCGATTGCTCCCATGGTATCCATGGACTTTGCAGGTCCCCAACTTGCCACCCAATCGTTCACGAAGTCTAAAGCACAAATCAGTATTTCGCTCATGATTGTTGTAGGGAAAATTGTCCACTCACAAGAAAACCCAAAGAAGAGAAAGTTCTTGACGGTCATGGCTAGGATGAAGGTCTCGATGCTGATGTTACGGAAACCATCCACGAGGTAGGTACTGATACTGTTGACCGAGAACTGAACGGAGCCGAAAGTAATCCCAAAGATGACGGATATAGCAACGGGGCTCTTGCCCTGTTCAGTCATGTTGCCGAATAAGAAGTAGCCAAGTGCAGATAACAATGGCGTTCCTATGCTGAGCCAGAGACGGAATTCTGGCTCATATACGCCCCCATTTATTTTGCTGGCCCATCTTACCGCTGGGTCGGATGCTAAGCCGCACACGAGGCAGCCAAGGAAGCCGCCAACCATTGGCCCTGCAAGCATGTAGCCCAGCTGGGCGGTATTCAAAGAATAGGGCGGGACGCCAAAGACCTGGGCGAGCGTAAAAGCGAGGCCGAGGATGAAAACCTGTGTCAAAGCAAGAAAAAGGACAGCCCAGAGGACGACTGGATTGATCAAAATGATCAGGGGTTTGATGGTCATCCAGAGAAGCGATTGTTTGTCGTACGTGCCGGAGTAAAGCCTCAGCCTCTTGAGGTAGGAGTCGCGAACCTTTGGTTGATCATCATTCATGGTCGTTCTTTCGAGATCGCCGGTGGTCTTCTCTTCGTGGGTAGCCTCGGTCTTCATAACTTCAATGACCTCGATGTTCTATTGTACAGGTTAAGATGAATTTATGGTACAGTCGGATGAGATACTCACATTTTCCGAGGACGTATCAGTGTCAAACAGCGCATCTCGGTTGTATGCCGTTTCCCATCCAAAAAGGATAATGAGTATCCACCCCAAACCCATGAAGGCACATAAGATCCAGAAGACATATCTCCAACCAAGGTCCATTGTGACCTTGCCGGCCACAATGGATGGCAGATGAGCAATGCCGACGTTTGCAACAACGAATATTGCCATGCGGGTGCCTCTTTGATGGACGTGGTACATGTCACCAATGACGGCGAAGGTGACGCTCTCGTACACAGCAATTCCTAGTCCTTGGAGCACACGAGCACCAACCAGTGAGCCGTACGAGTTTGCTGCTCCTGCCCATAAGCATCCGGCGAAGCAGAGGGTAGCAGAGATGACGAAACCTGGACGCTTGCCGAATTTTCGACATAGCGCAGATACGAAAATTGCCACAGCGCCGACAGCACAAAGCTGGTATCCGGTGAGGAGCGATACTTGGGTAAATGTGATTCCAAACTCCTCAACCAGGACGAGGGCCAGAGACGCAAGCACCGGGCCTATTCTGGGGCTCGTTAGCTAATATTGCGTTCAGTGAGCTGGACTACCTTACCCTCCAATAACAAGGAGACTGAGGTAACAATAGAGTATTAGAATCAGGTCGCGTTGCCACCAGGGCTAGTTCAAAGGATCGTTGGGATCATTGGACGGCTGAGGCACCAAGATTATATTGGCCTCCTTGCCTGTGCCCTTTTTGACGTGAGAATGTTGATAGGAGATGTTAGAATCCTCCAACAAGACCGTACCAGGGACATGGTGGCCAGCGGCGTCAGTTTTGACGTCAATAATACCCAAAGGTATGGTGAAGGAGGTAACTGAGGTTTCCAAAGCTGAACGGGCTTCCGGGTCATCAAATTAAGATATATAGAGATATAGGGCTGTGTCATGTCTGTGCCGGGGCACGACCTCCAAAATATGTTCTCACGCATGAATCCGGGGATTCGGGGTTCCCGGGATTAAAAGGGGCAAGTAGTTTAGTCCCTGCAGCATCTCTTCGGCTCTACCGTTTCCGCTTTTCCCAATGGCGAATCAAGAGAGGTGTTGTTCCTTGCGAATCGTACTTCTGACACATCAAGATGCCATATGCCTGCCCGTCGTAGTGACTACCGCCACCAGCTCAGCAATCTTTGGAGAGACGACGCGGGAAGAGCTGACCAAGCCCGACTGGTGGATTAGTTCAAGAAACCATATCATCCTCTGTAAGTGATCTCTCAGCGGGACAGAGGCTTAGATGTCAAACGCGAACCTATCGCTACTATATTATTATTGCCCCCGGTGTGGTCTTCAAACTTGCTTGTTCTTGGGGAGTGACGGAAAGTTTTCGAATTTACTGGTCTAATTGTTCGCGACTGACGAATTGTCCTGCTGGTCGGAGGGTTTGTTCCATGAAAAGTGGGGACTACAATGTTCGCCGGGGTTTCAAGCATATGTGGACTGCTTTTATCGCAATGGGAGAAATTGCCGGGCCGAGGCCAATGGGCTGCAGAGCCTCTTAAGCTCGGACACCGCCATTGGTTTTAGGACTCGTACCGTTTTTGGCGGTAGACCACGATTGAGAATCAACCATGGATCCAAGTGAGTTTGCCATTTCTGCAGTCCCTTTGCAACATACCCCTTATGGCCCCCTGGTCCCCGAAAAAATTGTAGGGAAGAATAAAGGAAAAGTCGCTGTAGTTACCGGGGCCGCACAAGGTACGGAAACGTATTGGGTTAAGGAACATAGATTCCATTGCTGACATGCTTCCCAGGTATCGGGAAGAGTATTGCTGAGGCCCTTGCCAATTCTGGAGCGAATGTTGCCATTTTGGATTTGAAAGATGCTTCCGAGACGAAGACAGCCTGCGAATCATTGAATGTCAAGTCAGTATACTATAACTGCGATGTCACGGATGTCGCACGTATGAGGACGGTGTTGGGAGATATCGAGAAAGAGTTAGGAGCTGTTGAGTAAGTAATTACGAAGAAGATCCCTCTCGACCAAACCCTTGTCACTGTCGAATTCTGAGTGTCAACTCAGCATTCTCGTGAACAATGCGGGTATGACCCGAGGTCGGCCTATTTGTATGGATACCTTCGAGGGATACTGGAGATGTTTTGAAGTCAACTGTAAGAGTGTGAGATACGCGTGCTTTCCTCTCTGGTAAAATTTTTTTGGGTCTCGAATTACACAGCTGACTGGCATGGTTAGGTAATGAGCACCATCTTTGCGGTCCTTCCAGGCATGCGCGAGCGTGGGTCTGGGACCATCATAAACATATCTTCCCGGGCTGGGACACTCGATTGTCCGCTCGCACTAGGCTATACGGATAGTAAAACTGCCATCATTCGTGCTACAGCATCCATCCAAGAAGAGTTGGAAGCGGATGGTCTTGGAGACAAAATTCAAATGTTCTCTCTGCACCCTGGAGGCGTACCAAGTGCGCTAGGAGCATGTAAGAAGTACACACCCCTTCATGCACAGACTGACCGCATGGTAAATCCGTGGGAATCAGTTCTTGGGAGTGAAAAAAGGCTTACGATATCAATCAGCATCATTTCCAGCAGATGTCGCCGGGCGATACCCAGCGGCCGCAGAGATGATGAAGGAGTTTCACAAGTTCCTGAAGACTGACCCAAGTCTTTGCGGGATGACCTGTGCTTATCTGGCCACCGGCCAAGCAAAAGAGTTGAGAGGTATGTACTTTGATGTGCGACAAGATATTGAGCGGGTTGCGTCGAGAGGAAGGAGCGCCCTGCGGAAAGCTGGCTTGTACACCTTGAAGATTGACTTCATAGAGGACTATGCCAATGAGATATAAAAGCGATCTGTTGTCCTTTGCTAGGAAGAGTTAATTGTTGGCATTGGCTCTGTCCTTTGGTTGAGGAAAACAGATAATCTGTCTGATATATGTCTATCTAGGCTGAACGCCTGAAACCCACAGAAAAGACAAGGAATTGGCAGAAAAAGTGACTACGTCGTCCTCTGCAGGAAACACTGTCTGAAGACACGCATTTTCCTAGCCTAAATAGGCAGGGCAGTGGCCTTTCTAGGGTGCAGAAAGCGCTAGGAAGATATCCTAGGCATCGATAGTGGCGATATATCGAGGGAAAGGAAACTGGTGCCTTTTGGCAGGCAACCAAGCCGCGTCAGGATATGCTTGTACAGTGGAAATTGTGTCTGTCCAAGTCAAATTTGGTAGGTACCGCTATATGTTTCCTGGGAAGTGCACACATAGCTGAGTTCAGCACGATCTCAGCCCTCGAGGGATGCAGAGAAGGCTCCTGGATGATGTCAATCAACAAGGGTGGTCTGCAACGCAAACAGTACTCACTGAATATGATATCTCCAATCTCCCAATATCGAGCGAACCGAGCTAGAACGAGCTCCAAAATGCGCCCTTGCGAATTAAGCGTTCCTCTTGAGCTCGCGGACCCGTTTGAGTAGCATGCCAGGCGTACGTGCATGAATGCCGGTCCGATAAGCATGGGAACCATTACCGGGGAAAAATACGGGATGTATTCAGAAGCTGATGACCATGATTGAAGCACCTGATGAACCCCATCTATATGTGTAATGTGATTCTCCAGTCGGGCAAGTTCCAAGACATCTGTTATTGCCTTGACATTTGTTACTCGCGCAACATCGCAGCTAGAATTTGTAAAAAGCTGTTCAGAAGAAGTTGGCTCCCTCAAAAGGGAGACAACGAGGCCAGTCCTAGAAAAAAAAAATACATTAGTGGGTGAAATGGAGGGCAAGGGCCTATAGCCATACGATTCTAGCATCAGTTGGCTCAACAGCAGCCAGTTCTTTCTGGCATAATTGGAGGCATCGAATGTTGGGTCCTTGATGCCATCGCGAAACTCCTTCTGAAACGTGACGCAAAAGGATGATCGGGCTCTTTCAAGGACTTCGATGTCTTTCCCACGGACCTTCGCTCGCTGCCCAAGTTCGTAGATGTGTGTGGCGATATGAGTGCTGACCAAGAACCATGCCCGTTCGCTCCTGTTTGGTGACTTCAGTAAGCTCTTCCAGCAAATTGAGATCTCCGGATGTATTGAAGCAGACGGGGCAGGCATTTCCATGAACCACGCTTCATCTGAGACCGGGAGCAACACGTGCATTCTTGAGCGGTCGATGGTAGAAGGATAGCAGAGAGTCGCGGAGAGAAATGTGTCCAGCTCCCAGACCAACCACCAGGCCCGGCGTTGTTCCTCTTTGGTAACCCAGATCTCTGCTAGAAGAGGTTCGGCTGACTGGCCTTGATTATGGTCCGACGGATTTTGATCATTTCCCATATCCATTTCATGTAGTTCTAATCTGTACGCATCAACCAAGAGCTCGGTGTCTTGCTTTGGATTGCTGGCAAGGTGATAGTATGCGCACAGGATACATCCTTGAAGCCATTCTAGTGTGAACATTTCAGACTCTGCATGTTCATGGGCTTCGTCAAGTAGACGTCGTGCCTTGTGGGACCGGGGATGCCCAAGGGATTCAGGTCTGGCGTCAAAGCAGATCCAGAAGCATCTTGACCAGAATTGTGACTGTCGTGCCAAAGCTCCGGGGCGGACATTGGTAGGAAGTCGAGTATATTCGAGTCAGTAGTGAGAAAATGTCCATTGTGGTCGCTGTTCAAAGGCTGAAAATCATGAATCGGGTCAAACATTGGGTGGTCAACTCGATCATATCGGAAGCTAGAGTGCAGTGGGACGCGGCTCTCGAGTAGCAAGTGTTCGGTCGAGCTTGCTTCTGGCATTTTCTAACAATAACAGCGCCTCGCCCGAACTTCTGCGGCATATGGGAGTATGCATAGACAAACGCTCGAAGTTAGGGAGGTTACGGGAAGGAGAGACGCTTTGGCTTTGTCAAATTGAGCTCAAGACAGAATGGATCCGTGCTCAGGGTATTATTATCCTCCCGACTTTGCCCAAATCGGTTCGAGAGCGGGGTCGATGGCCTTGTGACCAACAAAAGCTTGGGAAGAAAAGGCCAGACCTCAGCAACTGAACCATGAACCATGGGTAGGGAGGGGTCGGGGGGGGGGGGGGGGTCAGCAAAAACTGTAGAGGTTGCGAGCTCCTCCTGAGACCCGCCCCTAGGCACATCCTCAAATGTCCCCCCCATAAGAGTGGCCGGATTTGATAGAAAAATAACGCCACATCCCATCTTAGCGATGTAGCGTGGCCTAGGGAACGCGGAGCACCCCCTGGAGCCAGTCTCGAGGGCGGGGAACAAGAACAATTTACGCCCTGGCACTGAGAGTAGGGTGCTGACCCGGGATTTCGGACAACCATAAACCTTTGCTCGGCCATATACTCTCATTCTCCTTGCCTTTCCCCGGCAACACACAAAGATTGCGCTAATCGTGCTGCCTGCACTGCAATTCTCATGCCCAAACCGGCGCAATTCTGACAACCCGGGCTATACTGCCGAGCACGTTTTGCCCTCAGTTCGGGATATGGATCCTCCACTCAAAGTCAACCGGGCATGTGAGCTGTGCAAGAGGTAAAATAATAAATCTTCTTATGTGGTTGCTCGGAACTGACCGAGCCCGTAGGAAGAAGACCAAATGTAGACACCCATCAACCACACCTTATCTGGTGGTCTATTCTCCCACGCTTCACGTGCTTACCTTCAAGTTCATAGGTGATGGCGAAAGACCACGATGTCAAATCTGCATCCGCAACAACGAGGAATGTGTCTATCCTGTGCGGAAAGCCCGAGCTCAATACAATCGGCGAAAGAAAGATGTCGAGGCGCATCCATCGCAGAATCACGTGCAGGCAGACCTACCGACCACAGGTCGACCTGTCTTGACCTCTACGGAACAAGCAGCCTCGTCGCACGAGGAAGGCGAACCAGCTTTGCTCCACCAGCATCCCGTCATTTCGACAGTGGTAGGCAGCCTGACCAATAGGCACGATATAGACACCACGCTCCTCTCCTCTGGGGGCTCCGATGGACTGCAGTTCGATTGTGTTGACCAAGATATGTCCAATTTCTTGACTGAAGCTTTTCCGGATGTGTGGAACCCAGATGAAGGCCTTACGTTTGACCCTGGTCAACCATGTCCGATCAATAGTCCAATGGAGCAAGCTACGACTGATAGCAACCACCAAAGTCAGACGGCCACTAACATCCGTGGTATAAACATCGAGGTACCTACAGCGGTGGTTGATGAGCTGCAAGTCTGAACGCTCCAGTCACGTTGCTCGATCTAACAATGTTCAGAATCGACTTGTACTTCGAAAGAGTGCAAGGGTTTTTGCCCCTCTTTCATCGGCCGACGTTTTATGACACTTATGTCACTCTCCCTATACACGAAAAATACGTGAATCTAGACAGGGACTCTGCTCTTATACTATACACGATGATGTCCCTGTCTGCTCGGTATTCTTCCCTACCGTATCTCGAAACCGCACACGCCAGAGACCGCGGTGTCCCACTTGCACGTCAAGCGCGAGCACTGTTTGGCAGTGCGACCCTCGCCGATCCGGCGGCCCTCACGCTAAAACTACTGCAAGGTACAATCCTATTCGCATATTACAATCAGTCATCAAATCTGTCCTGGGGAACTGACATTCTGATTGGGGTTTGTGTACGATATGCTTATAAACTTGGCCTACACGCTCTCGATGAAGACTATCTGAACAACCCTGATCACTCACCGGTACAGCTGAGCAATGCGCAGTGGGTATTGAGAGAGGAAAAGAGGCGAGCGTGGTGGTCTGTCTGGGAGCTCGACACATTCGACGCCATCATCTGCCGACGGCCATTCGCGATCGCCAGGCATCGTGTTCACGTACTGTTACCCGTGTCTGATGCTGCATGGTTCTCAGGATCACAGGTTGCATCGCCCATGTTCGATCCAGACATCTCGCGATTCTGGAAATGCCTTGGAGAGTCTCCTAATCAAGACGAGAGAGCCTGGTTTCTTGTCAGCAACTATATCATGGCTTACATTCACGAACAAGGCCAAAAGGCGCCCTCGCCTAGACCGAATATCGAGGAAATGAGGACTATTCTGGCGTGCTTTGTGCTCCTTGCTAACGAAAAGCTCCACCTCCCAGCCAACCACAGCGTGGATGCAAGCAACTGGAAGTTTTTGATCAAGCTGATGACAATCTCGTATGACATCTACCCAAATCTAGTGCCGAGCAAGCATCTAATAACCTCTCACAGGAGCACCATCATCCTCGGCCTGTTGGAACGGAACACCCTGTCCACACCTCTCTTTACAGTGTCAAATCGTATGTCCTCTGCGCTGCTGCGAGGGTTCATTGCTCGAGGCCACTCCAGCACGAGCGGGAGCCTCGACAAATTTCGTGAACCGATAACAGACTTTTTTCGAATACTACAATCCTGGAATCCAGAACACATAGCGTTTGCCCCTCCAACTATGGCTTGCCTTCTCTTGGGACCTGGGAACGTGAACCTTGGAATGGCACTTCGGTTGCGGAAGCCCACCGATAGCCAACCAGCTGGAACGCAATCGTCCCTTGAAGAAGATCTTTTGACGCTTATTCTCGCCCACTTTGCACGGTATTGGAATATTGGACATCGCGTTTTGAGTAAGTGATGATCTACATCACTCTGCTGTGCACAGCAACTGACCCATGTTTGTTTTGCTTTACCAGATTTTGTACGAAACTATCATGGCAAACACTCTGCAATTGAACAAGAGAGGCAAGCTTGAACGACTTCTGAACTCATTGTCCACGGCTCCGTCCAGAGCTCTGGCTACGAGATCAACCCATAAGACAGTTTCGTAACTCGTCGTTTCAGCAATGACAGATGATCGTTGCTCTAGTATGCCTCCTAGGACAGTACGTATGACGTTGTCATTCCATCCCAGAACCTTTTTTGGGCTTTGTGGGGGTAATAGTGTAATGGGAGAAGTTTGAAGTGGTGGATAGCTTTATGATTGGCTGGGGCGTCGACGCTAGACTAAGGTTCTTCTTATATAGTCCTCGGGGACTATCATTCATAGAATAATCAATTAAGTTACGAACGGGAGAACTTCCTTTGGTTGAGTGTGCGTGCTGTGAAGAGGCTATCCCACCGCCGTACGAGTTGATGCCCATGGCTAGTAGCCTCGCCCCAGTTCAATAGCTATACGTCTTTTTACATCTTCAAAGATCACTGGTCGTTTTCCCTTTATTTCTTTTGTTGGACTGGTGGCAGTTTCCCAATGGCCCGAAGTAGCTTCTGTGCCTCCTCATTCTCGCCAAAACGATCCTGCAAGTTCGATGATTAGTCAAACACCATCAGGCCAACGGATGGGGGCAGCGTACCGGGATAACTTCCCAAGCATCGGCAGGGATATCCTCGGCTGCCAAAACACCCGAGTCTTTCATTGCCCAGTCAGTAAAGAGTAAGCTCCGGCAGCTCTCTAGCATAATGACGAGGCTGCCGAGGAAGATTTTCCGGGGTTCCAGCTTAGCATCCATTGCGGCGACAGTTTTCTCATCGATACTACCATGTGGTGTGAATCCTGACTCATAGCTTGCACCTCCGGGAACGAAGACCTCAGAACGGCCGCCTCCTGAGGGTCCGTAAATCTTTGCCAGAAATTCAGACGCGCAGTTTCGGTGGAAATAAGGCGGCCTGAAGGTGTTCTCTGCCACGTCCCAGCGAGGTCCGAAGATGAGGAAATCGGCGAGGGGCGCATTCTCATCCCGAGATTTGGCGGTGAGCACAGTGTTGATGGATGGATCAGTATGGTCCACGGACGCGGAATTCTGTGCGACGAATTTGGTCATGTCATACTTGTAGGGAATGTAATTTCCGTGCCACGCTACCACGTCGAAGGGTGTATGAGGCTGGACAGCGACGTAGTACTTGTGTAACTGCTTTGTCACAACTGTCCATTCGCCTGTCGAAGTGGTGTCGACGTCCGCTGTCGGGAATGAAAAGTCGCGCGAGTTTCCAAGGCCATATCCTCCTAGAGGACCGAGCTCCGGGAGTTCCCACCTCGAACCCCATGTTTCAATAACGTATCCCCGAGCGCCGTCGGGTGAGTATTTCTCGACAATATTGACTTGAAAGCGGAGGCCGCGTTGAATGACGCAAAGCTCAGACGGCTGAAGATATAGGTGTCCAAATTCGGTCATGATATCAAGATGTCCCTCCTGTGCAACAATCAAGAAGTCTCCATCTATATTCATAAAAGCTTTGTTGGGCATGCTGCTGTTCATGGCAAAGATATGATAAGCGATGCCCTCACGGAGATGCGGATGCCCACTTCCACCGAGAGTGTGCAAACCTTGAGTAAAGTCAACGGCCCCAGCGGACTTTACTGGGATTTTGAATGCCGTCCACGACACCTGTGATGGTATCGTATGCAACTCGTCCTTTTGTGGTAGGAACGAAGCTTTGATGGTTGGATTGTCTTCTCCTCTCAAGTACTCGTGGTGGACAGCGGCCGGGCGACGCCTGTAAAGAAAATTCCTTCCTGAATTCGCACGGTTTGCAGCGAAAGAATAGCCCGTGAGTTGCTCGGCGTACAAGCCGTAGGGGCATTTCTGAGGCGAATTCTGGCCAATTGGTAGAGCACCTGGGATAAGCTCTGACTGATGCTCATTACCAAAGCCACAGAGATACTTGTATGGGTCTTCTGGTCGTGTGGCTTTCTTTGAGCCTGCATCAGTCCAGTGGAACATTCTTGTGCTGAATTTAGGACTGGTGATACCATCAGTTGCTGCGTGACCGTTTGTTGACGCCATTTTGATGTTCTGTCTGTGCAATTCCAGACGTGCTTTGTTTTCAGATGACACAAAAGATATGGACCAGGTTCGAACAGATATTCTAATCCGGTTTAAGAGACGCTGTGTTTGCCTCATAGGGAAGGGAGGATTTGCCCGGGGTTCTAGGCAAGGCATTGCCAGTGTCATATTTCCGAAGGCGATGCACCACCATAAGAGGAAATTACCCGAAATTCCGCAAATAAACATACTTTCACTCAGACATTGGGTGACAAATCTTACCAGTCGTGACCACAGCGGTCACCAAAGTAATATTTACATGTGTCAAATACGAATTCGAAGCAGGGGAGGCAGGTCATTTCCTTATCCCCGAGGGGTGGGATGACCAGGGGAGACGTCTTGTATTGTTTCTCAATCGCCAAGTTCCGTCACGGACCGACTCCTTTTTCTTTAGGAATAGCCAGCCTACGCTACTGGTTTGTGTTTTCCCTAGGATGAAATTCAATCTCCGTGACTCGAATCGTTACGGTTCCGTCCTGTCGAGCCCATCCGCATTCTTTATGTGGCCGTGTCCAGATTTGTGATCCTAATAGCACTGGAGCACTTGCATAGTATCAGCGTCCCTTCTACGCCCTTGCGTTTAAGGCTACCGGCGGCGGCCCATTCGAAGGCTTACTACAATGCAGGAAGTCCCAATCTTGATCATCGGAGCCGGTCCCTCAGGGGCTACAACGGCATTGCTCTTGGCTCATATGGGTATCAAGTCACTTGCAATATCAAGGCATGCTTCTACTGCCAGCACACCAAGAGCGCATATTTTCAACCAGAGAGCCATGGAAGTGCTACGGGATGCAGATCTCGAGGCGAAGTTGATGCCGGCCAGCAGTGTTGCTCATTGCAAGTGTCCTTGAGTCCAGCACCTTGAGGAAGATGCTGACGTCTGCCCTAGATATGCAGCACACTTCGTGGCTGGATTCGCTCAACGGGGAGGAATATGGGCGACTGTGGGCATGGGGTAACAAACCGAGCCAGAAGGGAGATTACGAAGCTGCCAGCCCAAGTGTGATGTCCGATCTACCGCAAAGCGTTCTGGAACCTGTGTTGGTAGAGGAAGCAACCAAATTAGGTGCTGAATTCCGATTTTCGACTAGCTTTGTATCCCTCGAAGAGACGAACGAGGGAGTCATTACAACTCTACGCAATCGCAAAGACAACAGGGAGTACAAAGTATTTTCTCAGTGGATGGTGGGCGCTGATGGTGCGAGAAGCGCAGTACTGGACAGCTTGGGCATCAAAGTACTTGGCCGACAATTGAATACGGCATTTAACACTCACATCAAAGCGGATCTGACCAAATTCATATCCCACCGGCCGGGGAGTTTGAATTGGGTCTTGAATACAGAAGCTCCAGAATGGTCAGCTGTGGGCAATTTTCGCATGGTCAGGCCCTGGACTGAGTTTGTTGTGTCTATGCATCCATCGACAAAAGTTTCTCCAACGTTTCAACCAAGTGAAGAGGACATAATCAAGCGACTGCACCAGATGATTGGCGATGATACAGTCAAAATTGACGTTCTCTCGATATTCTCTTGGACAATCAACGATCAGGTAGCTGAGCGATGGCAGAAGGGTCGAGTTCTCTGTATTGGAGATGCTACGCATCGTCACCCACCGATCAACGGGCTCGGCAGCAATACATGTATATCTGACGCGTTCAACCTTGCCTGGAAACTGGCCTATGTTTTGAAAGGCTGGGCTTCAACCTCTCTACTAGAAACGTTGACAATAGAACGCAAACCAGTCGGCGATGGAATCGTCCGGCGAGCCAATAGTGGGATGGAGGCTCACAGGAGACTTTGGGATCTGCTCGGGCTAGACCCAGAAGCACGCAAGAAGGCGACTGATCTCATGCATTCGAGCACAGCAGCTGGGGCAGAGATGCGCGAGAAGGTGCGGAACGCACTGGAAGCAACTGAGGATGAAGTACAGGCGCTGGGCATTCAAATGAACCAACGATACCTATCTTCGCCGGCCACTGTGGTAGAGCCTGACGATACACCCCCGGATCTCAGCAGTTTGAACCCTATCAGGCAAGTCTGGATCAGCACTTTTCCTGGCTACCATCTCCCTCACGTATGGCTAGCACCAAACAGTCGGTCGGAGAGAATTTCCACACTGGATCTAAGTGGTCACGGAGGTTTCACACTTTTCACAGGAATTGGCGGGGAACCTTGGGTGCAGGCCGCACAAATCATATTTGCTTCGAAGAAAGTCCCTGTCAGAGATTACACTATAGGTTTCAGGTGTGACTATATAGACTGCTATCAAGACTAGGTCAAGGTCCGTAATGTAAGCGAGACAGGTGTAGTCCTCATCAGGCCTGACCATTTTGTTGGCTAGCGTTATCACGAGCTTGTGCTAGATCCAGTTTCTAAGCTATCCACCGTCCTGGAGCAGATACTAGGAAATTAAGGGTAATGGAGGGCTCTAATTATTGCTGCAAAAACTCAATCATGATTCTCTTTGACGGAAATGCATGGCCAGAGAACTCTAATTGGAGAAGGGGGGAAAAAAAGCACATAATTACACATCTTGTCGAGCACAAGGCGATCGAACCTCTACATTCTTTAATCGGATTATAAAGCTGAAACAAGGGCGGAACAACAGGCTCATCGTATCTTACTTATAATCTATCTGCTAAGATACTGGACGAACAACTAGTATATTGGAGGCCCGTCGTAATTTCCAATGTTCTGCCCTGCTCTAATGGTGTTGGTAACACTACGAATCTTTGACTGTTTGGATCGCCCCCATTCCATAGGATACGAAAAAGGTCTCCACGCTCCTCTTCTAGAGTTTCACTTTCGTGTCTCTCCTCCTTTCTCTTTCAAGATCGCGTAGTAGACGCCGCAGAATCTTGCCACTTGGACTTTTGGGAATAATGTCGACGAACTCCACGCCTCCAGCGAGCCATTTGTGACGTGACTTGGCCTTCTCAACGCGTTTCAAAATGCTTTGCTTGACAACATTTTCGTCGTCTGTGGCAACAGCAGCAGACTTGACAACAAAGGCTTTGGGTAGTTCGCCTGCACGCTCATCAGCGACAGGGATTACAGCACAGTCGGCTACAGCCAGATGCTCTAGAAGACATGCTTCGAGCTCTGCAGGTGCAACTTGAAGACCCTGATTCGAGTGATCGTCAGTGATTTGACATCGGAGCGTGAGGACTAATAGTAGAAAAACAGATAAATAAAGTGGCAGGTGATATGTCGAATGATAACGACGACGGAGCTGGGGTAAACGTACTTTGACCTTGATCAACTCTTTTATCCGGTCCACCACCCAGACGTGTTCGTTGCCTGCAGGACTTTTGCGAAACTCGACCTCATCGCCAGTCTTGACGAAGCGACCATCGGCCATGTCAACAAAAGTCTCTGCATTGGCCTTCGGGTTGTTTAGATACCCCAGGACAACGCTTGGAGCCTTCACCAATAGCTCGCCTGGCGTGTTATAGGCGCTAATCTCAGTACCTTCTGGGCTGAGTAACTTCGCCTCAACGCCAGACAGGAGACACCCAGAAGAGCCAAGCCACACATCGAAAGGACTGGTATTGGTTACAGCCGTCGCAGTTTCAGTCATGCCGTAGCCTTGTCGAGTCACCCAATTGCTATACTGTGAAGCAAACTCTTGAGCAGTTTCTTGGCCAAGTGGAGCCGCACCAGTCATGATTTGCCTGACACTGGTTAAGTTGAACTGATCGCAGAGTGCCTTGTTCTTAACCATAGTGATAATGATTGGAGGTACAACCGAAAGCGTGTTGATCTTGAACCTCTCAATTGACGCGAGAAAATCCTTGAAGACAAATTTTGGAAGAACGATAATGCTGTCCCCTCTGTAGACCGCAATGTGGCAAATAGCAACAAGACCATAGATGTGTGAGAAAGGCATTAACCCCAGGGTGACATCACGATAGCCTGGTTCGATCGCGTCGCGCATATGTTGCTCGAAGAGTTGGATTTGCAAAACATTAGCAATCACATTATAGTGAGAGATCATAACGGCTTTTGGAGTGCCTGATGTACCGCTGGAAAAACAAAGGAAGGCGGTTTGACGCCTGCCCTGTGCCTTGGTCCACCTGAGAACATCTAGTTCTGGTAGTGTGGCGCCTTGTTCTATCAGATTCGATACCGTCCGAAACCCCTTTGACGATTGAGGCTCGCCAGGCATCTCGCAGATAATGACGTGGTCTTGATTGAGGTTACATTTGGAAGCCGCTCTCAAAGCAATTGGTAGCAATGATGGGACGGTGAATAGAACTGTCGCTCGCGAAATGTCGAGCTGATACTGGAGCTCTTCGGCACTGTAGACTGCGTTTGCCGGTGATGATAGACCGTTAAGGCGATGAATAGCCCACGAAATCGTCAAGGTGTCAATCTATCGCCTGTGAGTACTGTGCAGAGCCAACTCGTCCACCATCGTCCAAGGTACGTACAGTGTTAGGAGCAAAGATGACTGCTACCTTATCAAATTCTGTACCATCGTTTGCCACCCACCCAACATGTTGCGCCAACCCTTTGGCAAGATGATCGACACGATCCTTCAGCTGCGGTACCAAAACGGTTCTACCACTGATTCCACACACGAACGGGTCCAAGGACTCAGCTATCGGTCGTCTGCCGTGTCTTTCATCTAGCCTGAAGTCGCAAAGTGGAACGGTGTCTGGAATCTCCAGGAGGCTCCCAGCCAGAGGCCCAGGACGGAATACCATGCTGCAAATTGTAAACTGTGCTTGAACCGACGATAGTTGATACACTCTCTGAAGCTCCTCGTGTGAGTGAGCACTCAGGGGCGTGGCTGTGAAGTGGTATTTCTGACACAGTACTCTGAGATTTCCGTTAGGCTTGTCAACAAAGCGAACGAGCGAAATGAGGCGATCGTATTGTTGAAGTACGAATGTTTCAAGCCACGGATTTGCAAATTAATTTTGACGGGGCTCAGTTCTAGTCGCGAGGTGAATGCGGAGCGAGAGTCGAGGACATCAGACGTTCTCAGCGAAGAGGACCTTGGACCTAGTTGGCCTGCAATTGCCGGGTGCGGAAATGTACCGACCAATGCCGATTCCGACGATTGTCTGTCAAGGAACTGAGGTAACCGCATTGCTTCAAGTAGCTATGTCTTTGGAGGTAGATACTAGATGTCTCACCGGGCTTTGGGTGAATTTCCGAGAATTCCCGCTCCGGGACGAATCGCTGTGCCATCATCTACAGATCCAACAACATGAAGGAAGGCACTTATCATTTACTGTCTTCAGTGATTTTGTTGGCTTCCCAGCCATGTCTACGCTCGCTAAAGGGCATTTTAGAACTATAACATAGTATAACCTTAAACTCGGAAGTTGTAATTTTTCATTGTCCTGCTTCCCTGGATAGTCTGGACTTATAAGCTGGAGTGGAGCATAAATTCAGATCACCGCTCTGTTGGAATTTGTTTGCTGCGACCGACCAATTGACCGATGAAAATTACACGGAAACGGCTTGTTGTATCACTAGGAAAGTAGCATAGACGACTCTCTAGCAGTCTACGAAAATGTTTCTGGAATTGGAGGACCCCAGACATAAAGCGCCTCAGGTCCGGCTGGAACGTGAGCGACCTCAGTCTCGGAATTGACCAGATCACCATCAGCGTAATGCTCCTGGACCTGGTGTCAGGAATTCGAATACAACATGGTCGGAGAGGAAGGGACACCTACCAGTACGAATTGACTTGTGTCGAACCAGTAGTCGAAAACTTGACTACCCAAAACGTGCTAATAAAGGAGACGAGGTCAGTAGGCACTAACTTGCACGGGAAGATGTAGTAGCATACCCTTCCCACGCCCCAGCACGGACGATATCCTTTCGCAGTCAGATGTTGATGACCTAACTGTTGGATATCAAAATCGTGGACTTCAAAAGCCGCATGAGCAACGCTTGGCTTTTGGCCTGGTTTGGTTCTTTTGAAGAAAAAGGCGTGGTGGTCCGTAAACTCTAGACCTCTGTCGATATGAAAGAAGGCGGTGATGGGCTTGCCGTCCCGTTCTACAACGTCTGATGGTGCCAATGCCAAAGTACTGGTATACCAATCTTACATTTCCTGGAACTTGCCCTCTGGATAGGTCACACCGTAGTGACCCCAGCGATATACTGGTGCTGGGCCATGCGCAAACCGCTGAAATCGGCCTGTTCTGGGTTTCTCGTCTTCATAATTCAGTGTGAGTTTTTCAAGATTTGGATTGTCTGGCTGCTTCGGTGTTTGACCGTAGACAAGGTGCACCTTGTGACCAGCAGGATCTGTTAGAGTGACAGCTTCACCACCTCCAGGACCGTCCAGTTCGAAAATTGGAGTCGCATTGGCACTTTTGGTTGCCCGTTCGAGCTCTTCATGACTCTCCACTTCATATGCGGCGCCTCCGAACTCGCTGTCACTTTTTGCTTGCCTTGCAATATAGACATATGGTTCGGAACCATAACCCGTGAAAAAGATTTCGCCGTGGGACTCCTCGACTATTGACAGCCCAAAATCCAATAGGAACTGCCGCGCTTTGGCAAGGTCGGCGTGATAGTAGATGACAAAGGCGGTTTTGAGGAGCCTCATGCGGGGGTCTCCCACAGGGATAGGCATTCTGAAGCTTAGACAAGGTCCGCAGCTCGTTCTCACGGCTGAGATATCTAACCGAATCCAAATGGAACAAGCAATAGTGATATGACAGGAGTTCCATCGCCGACATTTGGTTTAAGTACCAAGTAAGCCAAAACGAATCCTGTGGGCCGGCCCTTCATTGGCCAGGAGACAATAATCCTCCGGGAATTGGCATCTTGCGTTAATGACCGTCGGGCTTTAAACGTCGCCTGTCGAAAAGATGGAGGTCGGGACATTACTTTCCGAGCAAGTCTGGGATACGAAAGCACCTGCAGGTCCGAAACTACTCTGAGCACAGCATACAAAATCCGAAAGCATATTACAGATATTTGTGCCATAGCAATATTTGCTTGAAAGGCTTCCCTTCCCCTGGCAACGAGCAACAAGCTAGCATTGCAGCATCTCATTAATTTGTGCCTCCAATCTCAGTCTTATTTACCTAGCAGAGAAAAATCAGACTCAAGAATGTCATCAAAGCTTGTCGCTTGGGATCGCCTCGTGCGTTACATTCCAGAAAAGGGAGCAAATGAGGTTCGATATGGGGAGCCAATCCTTGAAGACCCAGATGCAGATGTGGCAAGCCTCGCCAGCACTGGAAACCTCCAAGTCCGAGTATTGGAAGGGTTTGATCCTCTGAAGGCAATACCCACAGGCCAATTGGACACAGTGAAGGAGCTTCTGGGTCCTTTGGAACCTAAGGACGTGCCTATAATTCGATGCGTTGGGCTCAACTATAAAACACACAGTATGAAAACTTTCCAGCTTGAACGAAAATAAAATGCTTACATGTATCAGTTCTTGAGACCGGACGACCACTTCCTGAAAGCCCAACGGTATTCACCAAGCCTGCACCTGCCGTGGCTGGGCATGGAGAAGACATTCCAATTCCACCGATAGCTCAGGATGAATGTGATTATGAAGGCGAGCTGGTGGTTCTCATTGGTAAATCCGGCAAGGACATAACGGAAGAGGATGCTCTGGAATACGTCGCGGCGTACACCGCTGGAAACGATGTCTCCGCTCGCGACTGGCAACGTCAGCCAGCGAAAGCAGGGCCAGTTCCGCAATGGACGTTTAGCAAATCTTTTGATAAGTATGCTCCGCTTGGACCCTGCTTAGTCGCCTCGCATGTGCTGGGAGCGGCCGATGATCTGTCATTGAAGACCCTCGTGAACGGTGAGGTGAGGCAGAATGGGAACACCGGCGATCTATGCTTTGGCGTTCGGAAACTTATCGCCTTCTGTAGCCAAGGTCAGACTCTACAAAAAGGGTCTCTGATCATGACGGGTACTCCAGGTGGAGTTGGGCTGTTCATGAAGCCTCCACTGTTTTTGAAGCATGGAGATGAGGTTACAGTCGATATCAGCCGGATTGGGCGTCTCACGAATCGAGTACTATTCTAGAAACAGACGGCTGCTGAACTTCGACTAGAGACGAGGCTGCCGTCTTTAGCCCGTTTAGACCCATAAAGGATTATCATGTTTGAGACAGAAGAGCATCCAGACTCAGTACAGTATGGTCTGATGAGAACAAGTAAATCGGAGAAAGTTTCCGACCTTATATTTGAGCCAACATGAATCACGCTCCCCGTGCTGGTTGGCTGATGAGTGGATGTCAGAAGCAAGATCGATCATTTGGAGCTTTCCTAAATTTGAGATCTCTCCAGGAGACTTCACAATTTTCTTAACTTTAATTCCGCACTTGCGTTCTTTCCTCCTGTATTCTTCCCAATTTGTCAGCTAGCCTTTGACCCGTAAGGCTATAGCATAATTTTTAGTGGGCTTGGACACATTTATTGCCCGGTACCCCTGGTCCGTCCGGGATTATACCGCAACCAGGTTCCCACCTCCTTTTACGAATGCTGTGACTGACATATCCAAAAAGCCAGCTCCTAAGTCATTCCTCTGGCGTCGTTTATCCCTTTATGTCGCCGCTCCTAAAGGAATACTATCAATCTCTGGGTCTGCCTATCCTGGCCGCCGCGAAGACGGTAGTAGAGAGCTTCAATGCTCCTCTTGAATTCCAGCCGGGGACTTCATGGAACTACGGTACGGGCATCGACTGGGCTGGTCTGCTGATTGCCCGGATTTCCAGGCTAGATCTAGAAATCTATTTCCAACAGCATATCTTCGAACCGCTTGGGATCTCTGACGCCACCTTTTGGCCGGATCGACATCCAGAGGTCAAGGCACGGCTTGCTGGCATGTCAATTCGAGACCCGTCCGTCGCTGATGGGTGTGGAAAAGCGATTGCATTCGAGGGACCGAACAGACACGCCGTTGCTCAGGAAGAGATGGGTGGCCAAGGACTCTATACTTCTGCGCCTTCGTATCTAAAGATCCTGCAGAGTTTGCTGGATGATGACGAGGTCCTCTTGAAGAATTCGACCAGTGCTTTGATGTTCGAGCCACAGCTGAGCGCAGAAAGCCAGGAAGCACTCCAAGCCGTTTACAGATCAGAGCCTAAAGGAGGACCATGCGCCATTGGAACGTTTCCTCCCAACGTCCGCTATGATTGGGGTCTGGGAGGCGTATTGACTATGCAAGACGTCAATGAGAAGGAGGTGTCTTGGAGGAAGAAGGGTTATCTCAATTGGAGTGGTGTGCCAAATTTCTTCTGGGTGAGTCCTTTTTCCTACTTTTGTATAGGCTTTTGTAGGCTATACCAAACTGAACCGACTCTCCATGTCTTTCTAGTTCATGGACAGGAAGGCCGGCGTATGCGGCGTCTTCGGTGCGCAGTTGATGCCTGGAGGAGATGTTCGGTGCAGGAAATTAGTTACAGCATTTGAGAAAGCAGTCTTTGAGGAAAGTACTTTTGAAAAGAGTGGTCATTTGTGAGATTTAGAACATCAAGAATCATATGGACGAACCCGTTGTCCAAAACACTCCCAAGACTACTTATTGACCGGCGGGCTTAAAAACGTCATACTGTTTGGAAAGGCCCAAGTCAATCATCGACATAGGCTCTTTGCTCTCTCGACTTGAGACCTTGATAGGAGCCAATGGGCTGTAGTTCTGAACCTGGAGTAGGGGCGTGCAATTCCGGCACACCCACTCTAGCAGTTGGAGTACTGTTGTTCATCTTCGTTCAAGAAACGCATGCCCTATAGTAAGGACCACCGTAAGGAAGGCGAGACTTGTCATTGACTGTACTGCCGACGTCTTCATTACTAACGGGTAATCACAGACCGAATGGTCACCTGCTCACATTTTCTTTTTCCTTCGGTACAAAAGGGGCGGGGTATTGGGTAATTCATGTCACGCCAATGGGGAATGTAAGACAGAATCTACAATGTCCTGATGAACTTCTTTACGACACTAATGACCAGACTCACCTGAGACTGTTTGCATCCGGCTATCGTTCCATGAGGACGGCACCATCGGAATGTCCTTATTCCAAGAGCCTCTCGGGTAAAGGTTCAAGTGGGCTAGGTTCCGTAACCCCAAAATGCCGAATCACCGGCGCTTCAGCCGCCCTGGTCAGGTCAGAAGTCCAACTAAAGGAACGACAAAAATCCCATGGGCTGGATCAAGGCCCGTCTTGGAGAATTCAATCGACACCCTGAAACCTGGAACTCGTCAACATGGCCACCAGCTCACATACGAATGGACATACGGTTCCGAAGTTCGACGTTCTTATCATCGGAGGCGGCATCGCAGGGCTAACAACCGCAATTGCATGCAACAGAAAAGGGTTCAATGTCACCGTTCTGGAAGCAACGCAATTTTACACCCATGTGAGTATTCTCTCGTCCGACCTGGACATACTCAGGTTCCATCACGAATAGTGGGGATTGGCCAAAACGGCGAGGGAGCAACATTTTAATTTTAGTTTTTAGGTCGGAGCAGGTATCTTGTTGTCTGGCAACGCTGCTCAGGTCCTCATAGACATGGGCCTGCAGGACGAAATGGAGGCCTGCTCAACGCACATGAGACGCGTGGTGTTCATGACGCACGAAGGCAAACCCATGTCGATACAGCATTTCCCCAGCCGTGCGAGCTCCGCCGAGGGAGGACCGTTATGGCAAGTCCACCGCGCTGACGTGCATGGTCTCCTTCTCAAAAAGGCCCAAGAAGTTGGGGTTACGATCAGGATGGGCGTTTTGGCCAAGAGTTACGACTGGGACGTCCCTGCCGCGGTGCTCGAGGATGGAAGTGTGATCACTGCGGATGTCATAATAGCGGCTGATGGTGAGTCCAAAACCCCCAAGCAACTGAGATTAGCCATGAGACTGGCTACTGCTCTGACAACAAGATCGTTGACTTCCTGGTTAGGCTACAGATCCCGTGCGCGAGAGAATCTTCTCGGCAGACAAGACGAGCCCCGTCACCATGGCTATTCGGCGTACCGCGCTTTAATTCCTGGCAAGATTCTTGCTGAGTATCCCGACCTCAAAGATCTAGTCGATCCCAAGCAACAGACGAGTCATTGTTGGTATGTATGCTATTTTCACCCCTTTCAGTCTATTTGCCATCAGCCTCTTCATATTTTACGAGCGTTACGGGCCGACGGCTGCCTTTCATTGCCTCCAACCTGGTATCTTTTTCTCTTCTTTCTTCTCACTTTGATCTTCTCAGGGTCGGACAAGGCCGTCACGTCCTGGGGTACCCCATCCGAGGAGGACAAGACTACAACATGGTGTACAACCAACCGACCATCCGCGCCATTGGGTCCAAATACGTTGCCGACGTCGACCCAGCCGACATTCAGGAGGAGTACAAAGATTGGGATCCACGCCTGGTGGCCTTGACAAAGCACTTGCCCAAAGACGGTGTTCTGGAATGGCGCCTCTGTGACCTCCATCCCCTGGAGAACTGGATCTTCCCCGGCAGCAAGATCGTTTTGATAGGCGATGCGTCGCATGCCATGCTTCCATCGGCCGCACAGGGTGCGGCCATGGGAATCGAAGATGGCGCGGCGATCGCCGAGTTGCTCGCCAGGGCAGACTCGAAAACCGATGTGCCTCGGATTTTGAGGACGTTCCAGAACCTCAGGAGGAACCGGTGCATCGATGTGGTTGAAAATGGTTCCAGGGACGCCCGCAGCTGGCACGACAAAGACGATCCCAAGTACAAGCCCACAAGTAATTGGGTATGGGTGTATGATATCAAAACAGCCGCCAGGGAGATCCCCTTGTCAAATGAGGCTTAAAAAATTGTACTTTAATGATCACCTTTCCGTCAAATTTACAATACCGCCCATTATAGTGTAACAGAGCACTTCAGGATTCGGCGTGCACGTGCAACAACGCACAGAGGCCTGTCCAGCAGGTCGGGAATCGAGAACGCGTTTCTTGGTGGCGCTGACAAGACCACACCACCACCGACACCACCCAGAGAGACAGCGGCTAGGCTTACGGACACCTAGCACGGCGGCAGCATCGAGGAGCAGACAGGACTGATAAAACACTCAGGAATTAGGTAGACGGCACTAAAAGGCCATGGAAATTCATGATGCTCTCCTCAAACTGTAAAGAATCGCACTCTGCCAGCACTGTAAACTGCCCGCACTCCCCCTGCCAGCCCATTTTGTTTTGACATGTGACTAGACAACTCTCTCCCCTGCTACCACTCTACCAGCAAAGCACAGCCACTTTGCCTTGTCACAGTATTAGCTTTGTTATGGTCGCTCGCTGTAGACCGTGTGCTTAAAAATCGTTTCAGTCTACACTACTAAATTCATACTTAGGATGAACTACACTCTTAGGCGCGAAACTAAAAAGGTAGCTCTTAAAACAAAACGAGCGAGATCCTTAAGGTTAACCGGTGCCCACGGCTGTATCACAATGAAACGAGAATTCTTTCGCACAAGCAAAGTAAATACGTTGGGCAGCGGGTCTTGGCGTGCCGATGGCGCAACCTTTACTTTCAACATCACTTCGAGTGATGTTCGTCATGATAGCTCAGACAAAGTAGGAAGCAATCCAATATCGGATCCCAGTCTATGTCAAATCGTTATTCAAATTTATAATGCAGGGCCAACGACAAAGGTCGTGCCGAAAGACTGGCAAAACAGCCTACACTGCGAGATTACCGAAGCGTGTGTGCGGGATCTCGACTTCTCTGTTACGAAACAGGATGGAACGAGAAGAATATCTCTGCGACTCGTCTGGTGCCCAAAATACACCGCGAGGGCCCTGGAGGATGACTTCTTCATAGTCCCCGAAGGCGAATACGGAGTTGTTTTGGGCCCGAATGCATTCGAGAAGTGGTTCCACGCTAGCAACTTAGGAGTTTATAAAAAGAGGATCCATCTATACAATTATACAATGGAGAGGAGACCTTAGATCCTAATACCGAGAATTTGGAGTCACTTGAATTGGTGATGTTTCTTTAACGCTGGAATGGGATCAGCAGTAATATGAAGTGAGGCGGTTCCAAGCATGCGCAATCAAGCTGACCTGGTGGCGACTCTCATGAGATCGATACAGTCTCAAGCAATACGATATCACGGGAGCGAAATCACCAACTCCGACTAATGAAGGACGTATACGAGTCGGCTGGATTTGCAATTGGCTGGCTCGAGAGCGGTACCATGATGTCGAGTTTGAGCTCACAAGCAGGGTAAACACTGCTTCGCCGAGTCCATCACAGCGAGGACTTCACTCCAGACTCGATCATATCGCCAGAAATTACTTTACCTTCAAAGACCTGTGCAACCTGCAGTAAAGTAAAGAGATGGACACAGTCTCTGGGATTCGGAAATCCGGTATATGAAGTGTGCATTGAGCACTCCAACGAGAGCGCGCGGGGGGGGGGGGGGGGGGGGGGGGGGGGCTTCGATCATCCGAGTGTGAGACCATATTATCCATCTGGGATGTAGAATTGAGTGCAGCTTTTCAGGCTTCGCCTTGCAATAGTTCCCACTATGATTCCCATGCGATAATCATTCCCCTCCTCTTGCATAAGCGAAAAACGGCCTTTTTCCCAACGTGGTTTTTTTTCTTTCCATGCTTGGCTCAAAACTTTCTAATCATCCATGCCCGATACAACCACCATACAGCGGGGTTCGGGCCTTCTATATGTCCGGATCAAACACTTTTGATGCAATCTTCAGAGGCTTGAAAACAGCGGGAGATCTCCAGCTATTAGATCATTAATGATCTTTCGCAAACCATCGCCGACACCGATTCCTCCGATGTTGGCCATCACCATATAAGTTCCCTCGTCCTCGCCGCCGACGATAGCGTATGCGACTACGTAGTTGTACCTGTTGCTCCCCGAATGTGAAATGCTGTAACTTTTGCCATCCTTATTCCGCTGTTGGCAGTGCCATCCGCCCGGTGTGTAGATGTCATCATCTGCGTAAGGTGTATGCAGGAATTTGAACATATCTTGAGACAGTCCGAGAGACGTGTCGAGGCCGTTAGCACCGTCTATATGGGCCTGCAGGAACTTGTTGTACTGGGCCATAGGGGAATGAACTCTGGCAGCGGGGTTGAAAGCTGGTGGTTTATCGCGATGGTCGAAGTCGACATCTGACACGGGTTCTGCTGGTCCATAGGGCTCAGATACCCATCGATGTGGCCAGGGATTACGGATAGAAGTGTCATTTGTCTCGTCGTTGGGCCCAAATCCAGTGTGTTGCATGCCGAGAGGTTCGAAGAGACGGGACCGGACAAAGTCTTCCCAGCTACTTCCTGTGATCAGCTCTATGATGGCGGCGGTGATCAAATAATTGGTGTTGTCGTAACAAAATTTGCCCTTGGTTCTTACCGGTGGCTCGCCCAACGCTTTCTCGACCATAAGCCATCGAGCCTGCTTTGGGGATATGTCCGGCTTGTACAAGGACTCGTAGAACTGAGCATCGGCTGCCCAGTCAATATCGATGCCTGACCGATGCGATGTCAACATCTTCACCGTGGTGCTCTTGTGCTCCTCGGCCATGGAATCTGCGAGAGAGGGAATGGCTTCCTCCAGGGTAGAATCCCAATGCAAATGCCCATCTTTCACCACCATGGCAAAAGTAGTGGCCGTCATTGCCTTGGTATTTGATGCCAGATGAAATTGGTCGTCCTTAGTGATTTTGGGGGGGGCATCTATCCGCCTGAGGCCCGTAACGGCAGACGCAAAGTCCCGATGTCTGCTGGAAGCTGCGGCGAGGCCTGGGTAGTTGTAGTCTTTGCGAAGCTTCTCGAGGAGTGTATTTTCTCCTGTGGTTGAAGCCGACGGGCTGAGCGGGCTGTTTGAGAAGGGCCATCTTGAGCCAAAGTCAGTGTCCATCAATAGATGCGCTGGCAGTCGCCGCGGTCGGTACGTACAGCCACCTCAACAACCCGGCCATGTTCAGAGCGAAAAGGCAGAAGACTACGAATATGATTTGCAGCCGACAATCTCGAGTGCGTGTGCCCTTCGACGATCGAGAATACATCACAGCGATGCAGATGAGGATTTTCTCATAATTTCTAGTAGCAACTTGGTTTGTTTGCGGGCGAAGGCAGGGGAACCGGAAGGATGCGTGGCTACATCCGAGCGTCTGCACCACCGCTTGGCTGGACAAATACACACCCAACGCGGAAAATTGATGCCATCATGTCGGTGATAAACCGCTGTCAGTGTCAATCTAAATCAGAGCGGTGAGGCTTGAGCAGTCCTGAAAACAAGCAGCGAGGATGTCATCAAGCCCATCGAGATTAAGCCTGGTCGGCTTGGTCAAAAAGGGGATGTCAAGGTAAATTACCGAGGCTAGTGGGGCCAAAGCTCGCGCCCGTTAAGTGTCTCCACTAGGTACGAGGTACCTACCTACCCAGTACAGTACTCTCCCTATCCTCCCCAGCCTCCCCACCCTCGCAGGCCCAGCTTCACTTTTAGGCACTTGGCAACTGGTCGCTCTGTCATCTGCCGTGGCTTTGGCGTTAACGCCGAGGACACCCTCGTCCGGTCCAACCATTCAAAGCACCATCAGTGAGCGCACAATCGTAACCCCGCCGCCACCTTTTTGTACTACGGTAGGTGTATGCAGAGAAACCGTATTGCCGTCCCGTTACAAGGCAACAAGGCAGCAACTATGAGGCTCTGCGGACCACGCCAAACCGCGTGATCGCGGCAGCGGTCCACCTCTACACGTGTATTGATTCTAGAGGGCGATTGCCTTAGCTAGAGTGACCTAATGCAGCCAGTGGTCTCGCGTTCGGCTGCCCGATGATCGTCCTTCGGTTTGCATGCTGGACTCAACGTCAAGGGTTACACGACCATCAGATACGTCAGCCTGACACTGGAGGGCGTCCACCTGAGGGCAGCAGGCGTTCCGTCAACTCCTATGAACCTCACAAGGGGGATGGTCGAATCTATTCCATCCGGCCATACAGCCAAAGCTTGCCCCATTTGCCCTTTCCTTTAGAACCTTTACCGTAGGGATGGGAGCATAGGGAACTTACAGATGGAACCCTCTTGTTATGCCACTTTGGAGCACGCGAAAGTCTCCTAGACGCTTTCAATGAAACGCTTACACAGCGAAGCGCCACGGCTGGGGAAATGGGAAGTCTCCGCGTTCTACTCTGCACAACGACTCCTTGGATTGAAACGCATCACGCCGTCAAATACCATGTTCTGCGATCCGAACCTCAATCGGCATTCAGCAGATGCAGTGGCACAAATTGCATCACAAAGGTGTTCGTGGAACTACATCTCAGAACAGGAAGATGCCTCCCCCGCTGTCAACGGCGGGACGAATGGGTTGGTGAACAATCATCCTGAGCCAGAGCCGGGTGTGCGAGCTCGCGCCATCGAATTTGAATGCCGCCAGTCTCTTCCTGGCCATATCCTTGGCCGGTTGAAGAGGAGACCGGTGCCTTCCATTTCAGACTATGCCTGCATACGAGGACGTGTCATCAGACAGATCCCCAGCAGCTCGGTTGCCGTCCTCGAGGTGATCACGGACGATGCAGACGCGCTCGCGGGCAGCGACGTGGTGTCGAGAGACCCATCAAGGCCACAGCACAATACCCGGCAGGGCCCCCAGCGACTGATCCTGAAGTACTATCCGGCGGCGGAGATCACTCGTGACCCACGACGAACCGGTCGGGACTTTGCCCCCCTTTTTTTCAATGAGGTCAATGCATATGCCCAGGCGAGGGTCGCACAGGGAACAGTCCTGCCATACGTGTGCGGAGTGTACGAGGACGCAAGTGCCGCTGTCGTGACGGGCTTATATCTTGTCATGGAATATCTTGCACACTCGACAACACTGAAAGACATGGACAGCCGTCTCAGATCAAGTTCGGCGTCCGTCCTCCGCGAGAAAACTGCGTTTGCGTTGAAGGCATTGCATTCCTGCGACATCTCACACGGCAGCATGAAGAGCAACCAATTGCTCATTTGTGCCGATTCTCATGGCCAGAATGAGTCTTCTGCAATTTCAGCTAGAGACGATTGGTTCGTTGTCATCGTTGACTTACAGTACGCTAGGTGGGCATCCTCCTATCGCCCTCCTGGGCCGATCTGACATCCTCCTAGGTTTCACCGCGATAAGCACGAGCTGGATTCTGCAGCTGAACTTGACCGGCTTGCCCTGCGAGAAGCGTTTTCCTACTGTGGGTGCAAATCTGAAGAAGACGACTCTGACGAAGCGTATCAACAATTTGTCAGGGAGCGCCAGTCGTTCATGGGTTATTGCTGAGAAGATAGTCGCTTCGAGCGATGATCATATTGCCGACGTCTCTTCGGCTTCAAAGAACTCATCGTCGCTGCTTGAATCCGAGGATCGTTCGGTTTCTTTCTCGTGGGGAGATTGTTTGTTTCCCTGCTTCAGCGCCGCAATCCAGTCTTCCATAGTTCTGATAAACTCTTCACCCAGAGCAACACTCCTTACCCCGTGTAAAATATCTTGTGCCGTATATCCAAACACATCCCTTGCCCCAGGATCCAGTTTCGACAAATCGAACCCCTCATCCAAAAACACCTTCAACGTCTTCATACTCCCCTTGGACGCAACACGATGTAAAATCGACTGCCCCACGTCATCACTTATGGTGTAATCCGCCCCCCTTCCCATCAACACCCCAATAACATCCACGCTCTCGTAATCAATCGCCTCAATTAGCGGGGTCGAGCCACCTATACTCTGTTGATCAATACGCGCGCCATGATCCAGTAGACAGGTCGCCATCTGCGCTCGATTACTCAAAGCGGCGCGGTGCAGCGCTGTTTTTCCTCGACCAGATGCGCCTGGAGGTAGAACAGCATTCACGTCCGCGCCGCCATCGATCAAGGCGATCATATAAGCGGGATCATCTTGATTCATTGCCGCGGTGTGCACGGGGGGCCAGCCGCCCCAGTCGCAGTAAGAAACGGATGCTTGAGCATTAACGAGCAAGCGCACACATTCAGGGGATTTGCTTCGTAACGCATAGTGCAATGGAGATGCTTTGAGTTTCGAGCAGATGTTCGGATCGGCATCATGACGCAGTAACTGGCCTACAATCTTCGCGTCACCCCGCTGAGCAGCCCATGATAGAGCAGTTCGATTCTCGTGGTCCACGGCGTCGACCTCCGCTCTGGAAGACTCGAGGAGTTCCTGAAGTTCGATGCGAAGGAGGCCGAGGAGGGATTTGTGGACAACGGAGAAACCCATTTCTTCGACTACATCGCCTGAGCCGAAGAGCCGTTTGAAGTTCTCTGCAAGGGGGGAGCTGTCGGGTTGTGTGAGAATGACGGTCCATGCTCTGTCCACGGCGGAGCTGCCTACGGCGTTTTCGATCGTCGGGTCGGCGCCGGCATGGAGGAGGAGGTCGCAGATTTCGGGGTGGCCGAAGTCGATGGCATACTGTGAGTCGTATTAGCTGCAAATTCTACAGATCCGGGGCACGGTCGCGTACGTGTAGAGCTGTGTTCCCGAAATTTGTGTGCACCTCATTAGGATGGGCGAGCTTCTTTGAGAGTATGTCCTGCGCGGCGAGCACATTACCTTGGGCGGCGAAGATGAAGAGTTCGGAGCGTTGGACTACGGGGCGTATTGAAATATGAATGGACATTTCGGAGAGGCTGTTGACGATGCCGAGGGAGACGGCGCGGGAGAAGTACCAGGAGGGGAAGTGGTAGGTGGCTTTGACACTAAAGGTGGTGTTGCGGATACAGGATGCCTTTGAGCATTTTTGTCGGCCTAGGGGTAGGCCAGAGTAACCCAAGAAGAGGCTTCCGAAGATGCCTTGGAATATCTTGGGCGTGTTGAGGGAGTATTTCTGGTGACACACGCAGCTACACCATGTTTTGCAGGAGCCTCGGCCGAAGCGAGAGACTGTCACGCCGATCTGAGAGATTGATGATTCCCGAGTGTTGATGGCGTTCATGTGGAACGCCATGTTCGGCGACAACTCAACCCAAGAGGTAACCCGTTTATTGACGGTTGCGTTGGCGGATCTGACCTCTTTCCATGTGTTATGGTGCGGGCCCTTGTCTCCAGATACGAATGATTGATTCATTTCTCGTGTCTTGCACAGTCCAGCTTGAGCGGTGTCGGCCTGCATCCTTTCGTTTGCAACCCTTGCGGCTCTCGTCGCTTGCGAAATGTCGAGAAGGGCCAGGTCGACTCTGACAAGTCCGGAAGCAGAGGCGATGGCTTTTCTCAGCTCCTCCCGTAGCGGGCGAATTTGTTGCAGGAGGAATGCGAGCTCACACAACTTTTGACGACGATGTGCTTTCGTCGCACGGCCTAGCAACGATGTCGGGTGCCCCAACGCGCTGAGATACCCTTGAGCCGCCTCATCGATGCGGGGAAGAATTTCTTCGAGATGGACGAGGATTCTTGAGATGGCAGGAAGCGGGCGATGCCGCTGACCATGTTCGACATCATCAGTATTACCTGTGCCGACAATGTCCGGGAGAAGGACTTTCAGATCGGTGACTTCGTTCTTTAGCGCAAGGATTTCATCCGGACAGTGGCCGGCTGATCTACGAATTTGCTCGAGTCTGGTGTAAACGGCGCTGAGACTGGCATTCAATGCGTCGACCGACCCCCTTTCCTGGTATTCTTCGAAGATCTTCGACATTGGTGCAAATTGATCGCCTGTGTCCTGCTGAACGCAAGTGGCCTGGACTCGCTGACGCACAGCTTGTTGAGCTTCAGCCTTATGCCAAATCTCGTCCGGCCCTTGCCCCGCCTGGTCTTGATGGAAGATGGCAGACTCCCCAAGCAGTGTTGGTCCAAGCTGCAAGCACAGTCTAATTTCTCATTGGATTGTAGATGTTGGAAAAATCCAGGGAAGTGGATTCAAATAATAGCCCAAGAAAGGAGGAGTACCTACTGGTAGGCAATGTACTGTTGTGTGAAATGTATCGCTCGCAATATCCAGTAACTTACAGTATGGGAAACCATTGATTGTACTGGGGAGGCGCTAGGACAAGGAAAGTAAAGGTCTTGAGAGATTCAGTTGGGCCGAGATTCGCAACCCAGACATCGCGACACTAGGGCCTCACCAGCCTGGTACCCAGCAATCAATGCGCGCGTGATGCGCCCGGCCAGCCAGTGCACGCAGCTGCAGGGCGCCGCTTTGCTCGATGGACCTTTCGGCACTGCAGCCATCTCAGATGCTGCTCAGCCGCCCTGCCAACGAAACAACTCACTCCCATGGGACCCGAAACTCCCATCAGGAGCCCAAAACGACCAACACAAATGGTGCCCGACGCATACACCTTCGCTTAGCTTGGGTCGTGTGTCAGTGCTCGGCTTTCTCATCCGCCTATATAGGAGAGCTTGTGACACTTTCCACGAGTTTTCAGCTTCGTGTTTCAAATCCAGGGCTACCTCTCACCATCACCGTCGCCAGGACGTTGACAATGACCGCAACACTATGTCGTGACGACCCAAAATGAGCTTCGGATTTAGCCTAGGTGACCTGGTCACCGTCCCACAGTTCGCATGGAACGTGTACCACACCTGCAAGAATTCGCCCTCTGAAGCTCGAGTCATGGCATCGGAGCTATTCGCCCTGTGTGGCATCCTACAGACCCTGGGCGACGGTAGGGTTCATTATATGCGAACGCTGGCAGAGTCCGAGAGGCTCCGACTACTATCGGCCTACAATGTGTGTCGCGATGTGCTCCAGGACGTCTCGACCACTCTGCGAAGGCATTCTGAGCTGATCAAGGACAACCCTCACCTCTTTGCGCGCCTAAAATGGGGCGCCGAAGACGTCCCAGCGTTGAGGCTGCGCATCATCTCTAGCACCTCGCTGCTAACTGCGCTTCAAAGCAGTAGACAGTCGTAAGAAACCGAGGGCCTCCGATTTTACTACGGACTAACATCTGCCTAGACTCTTGGAGTCCAGAATGGAGGGCAAAGTTGACGAAATCCTCGCGCGGCTGGGAGCGTCACCATGCGAGCGGATTCAATCACAATCAAGGCTTAACATGCTCGAGATTGAGGGCAAGGCGCAGCACCTCTTGTTGGCAAATGGGAATGAGACCAGCTTCGCGACATTACCACAACTACACCAATCCTCGTTCCCCCGGCTCGTCGCCTTCACCAAAGACACCCAGGCACCCGTGCTCTTACAGCCATCAGAGCTACGCCCCACATCATCTTCCCGACTACGTGTCTCACTCACATCGCCCTTCTCCCATTCCAAACCATCCACCGCCAAAGCGGACGCTCTCCCTCGTGCCGCCGCCGCCTCCAACCTCCGCAAACTCCAGCACCTTCTAGCTTCTGGCTATCCCGTCGACCATCTCGATAGTAACCATGGCTACACTGCTCTGCACAACGCTGGCATGTCCGGCTCCCTCACTACCCTCACCCTCCTCCTCTCGCACTGCGCCTCGGTCTCCACCCCGGACGTCAATGGCGCAACAGCCCTCCACCACGCCGCGCAGAACGGACACGTGGATGCGTCCCTTCTACTCATCCAGAACGGTGCCGAAATAGATGCGGTAGACAGCGCAGGACACGCACCACTGTTCTATGCACTGCAGAACGGACATCTCTCTGTCGCGAATGCCCTACTAGGGAGGGGTGCGAAGATGGGATTAGTGGAAGATAGGGAACGGACACATGATTATTGGGCGAGCAGACTTGCTCTGTACTTCGACAACGCCGGAGCCGATAAACGGAACTACCCACGACTCACGATTGGCGACAACAACCACGGGGATGAATGATGAGGGGTCGTTCCTCGGCAGGTTGACCTCGTCTCCTCCCGATGTCATCCACCACGACACCAGACAGAAGTCACACCATTATCACCTCCCCCCCTCCCCCCTTTGCCACTACGTCCCCCATCAGGATTTAAGGAGCGATGAGCCTCCGGGGTCATTCTCGCAACACCTTCCTTGGGTTCCCCGTGGATTGGGATTTGGGCGTTGAAAGAGAACTCTATGTGAGCAGAAGGGAGTGTAGGACTGGGGTAGTCAAGGTCAGAGTCTCTTTTGTTTCCCTTCTTTCTCTTTTCTTTCTTTCTTTCTTTCTTTCTGAGAAACCGAATTCGAGATATTTTTATCTACTTGGAGCCCATTGATTGCATGGACATTCCACTAAATCGCGTGGCTTAATGAGCTTCTTCCGCCACCTGACGCTGATGAGGGTCTGCGATGGTGCCCCGCGATACACCTGTAAAACCCCCTTGGTGCAAGAAACTGCTTCGTGGACTTTTAGTATAGCCCGCGTTCAGACTTATCCTTCGTTCCATCCTGTGGTCTTTCTTCCATCATGACAGATGAGCCCTTTCAACGCTTCGCCATGTCCTGCCGGCCCAAGTTATGCTGTTCTAGGTGCGAGGTTTAAAAGGCGTTCCAAAGCCCCCCTCTTTTCCAAGCATTCGTGATCGATTCATGTTCATTTGGTCGGCTAATGTAGTCAGTAAAGTCCCCAGCAGAATATATACATAGCTCGAGACCTAGCGTATAGACGGCGGATTTGAAACTTACCTAGGTAATATATTATTTTATATTGTGTTATATGATGCCGGGGATATCAGCTCGCCCATTCCATTTCATGTCTTTTAATGATATACCGGGCATTCGGCTTCACGTTTCTTCTTTCGGTTGATAACTCGACCTGCTACTACAAAACAAGAAGATGAGCTTTTGATGAAAAAAATATTAAATAGATCTAATTCTCTCCTTGTGCTTCGCACTTGTACCTGTTCTTTGTGCAATTCATCCATCTACCCGCGCAGTTACCCACACGTATATACTCCATAATTGACAATTTTCGTACGCCGTACCGGGTGAACTCGCGACGAGGACCTGAACGCCTTCCTTCCTTCTTCCCTGCCAGCCTAATCCACAGCCCCTTTTTGGCCCCGTATTTAGGACCTCGCACGCAAAATCATGCAGGGGTTTCCTGTCCCAACGGGCATCGGATATATCGAGGTCTGAGCTGTGGCGCATCCACACACACACCTTGCGCCGTCCGTACCTCCGTCGGTGCCTGGCTGTGCAAGCAATCCGAGTTTCCCCGGCCTAAGGACCTACTCTGCGGCTCGGCATGTCGCTGCTGTGTTATGACCTTGACGACCACACTCCAAAACCAACTTTGGACCGCGGGGGAACCATGAATTGCTCGCCTATGCAGAAAGCCAAAGCCAGAGTCATCTTCAAGCTAAATCAAGATCACATGTGCACTTCCGCACACCACACCAGTCCACTTCGTTATCACCATTCAAGCAAGCGAGCCGGTCTGACTGGTTGGTGAACTACCAGTGGAGTCGTCGCTTAATCTGCACGCGAAACAAGTATCGGATGAGAACGTGCGCAGGATCGTAGAGCGCATATTCGTTGAATCCAAGAACGCCACCGGAGTGGGTGTCGCTGTACGGGACGATCGTTTCCGGCTGTGAAAGCGTCAGGCGACAGAGATTAGCCACGCTCTTATTTCCGCGGGACGGATGTGACATGATCCGGGGCGAAGGGAAAATAAACAAAAGAAAATGGAAGAGGAGGGCTCGCTCCTAAACCACACACACATACCATCCAAGGCATCCCGTCACCCACACCAGGCTCTAATTTCCACCCAACTCGCTTCCACCTCGCTGGGCCGGTCCGCCCAAGTCCTTCGATGCACCTGTGTCGACCGCAAGACTGCTTGATGAGCTCGTGCCCGTTGTAGATGCTCGTCTGGGTCCGGATGCGCGACGCCCCGACATCGGCTTCGCAGAGAAGCAGAACCGCTTGTCCATCCCATGAGTCATACTTGCAGAAGCTGGCAGACTTGCTCGACGCGTCGGCGAGATAGATGCCGTTGCCGAACATGGTCCCGGTCCAGCTGGCACCATGTCGACGGATCTGCAGACCGAGGTCGAGGATGCCGAGGAGCGAGTCGAGTGGAGTGCCGTGCCACAGGAGGAATCTCATTTCGCCACACGGGTCGTCGAATTTCTTGGTCTCGATCCAGTCATGGTACGGGTTCGGTAGGTTGGCCTTCACGAAGACCCGGTAGATCTCCTGCAGCTCCAGGGTCAGGCAATGGATTCGGTGGCAGGAATTTTCAAGATAGCTTTGGAGCTGACGGAATTCAAGCGTGGAAGCATCGGTCAGGCGGCGGAAACCATGCCGCAAGGAGCTGTAAGCTTGGTAAAGCGGCTGAGCGAGGGCCTTGTACGTATTAAGCTGGAGCGATCCTCGGCAATGTATTGCAGTTGCCATGTTGGCAATCTCCCGCCGAGGCCAGAGGCAGTACAGGAATTGAAACTCAAGGAATAGGGCGTGGTAACTCGAGACCACTGGCGGACGGTCGTCCCCGGAGCAGAAAGGAATCTGGCTGCGGTATTGCGATGACAGCCTCAGGATAGTCTTCCAGTTGATAGTGGTACCGGATTCAAGATGTTTTCGGATACGATCTAAGGTCTTGAACGCCGAGAAGACGACCCACGAACTAATATGCTCAAATGGGGCGGTGAATGCTACCCATGATCCCGACGTGCTCGGGTTCTCGCTGCTGTTGCCACTCCTTAGAGGACCGCCAAAAAGTATGCGCTCCATCAAATCCTTAACCTCATCATTGATTTTCGCGTCAACCGCAGCATATTCTGGAAGCTTTTTAGGGCGTACAGTGGATTTCTGATAGTCTAGTTCGACAAACGTAAATCTTCCTTGTCGGCGCGACAGGGGTTCGTATCTTTTAGTCCACGTCGTAGAGGTTTTGTCCTGGAAGAGCCTGCGAAACTTAGATATGACAAGAGGGAGGTTTTTGGACTCCATTTCGATCTTTGCAAAGCCCTCCAGTCCGACACGGCCTTCTCGGGTCAAGAAGGAGTACATCTCAGTCTCAGGGTTGAACACGACCTATTGAACACGATGCAGTTAGCCACTCCACCTCGGTCAACAAATGCGACTGACGTACTTGATGCCTTCGGAAAAAGTTTATATTCTTCATAATGTCGGCTCGGAGGAGGTAAGCGTCGTATATCGACATCCTTGCGCGATCTGTCACGACAGTAGCATCGAGACCTGCTCTGGAATCCACGGGGACAAGGAGTTTCCCCCAATCCTTCACCTGGGTCCGAAAATAGCCATAGTGTGAAGTGCGTCTCGACCTTGGAGAGAACGGGCGTATGTATGCAGCGTAAAGGGCGTCAAATTCCATACGGGTTTGCTGGTACCTCTGACTTTCACCCAGGAAAATATCATAGGTCTCCCAGTCGGAGGTTATGCGGGGAAGGGGAACAGCTGGACGAGGTATCGGCTGCGTCGATGGAGCCGCGGCTGCGTCCTGGCTCGCTTCTGTAGTTGTTTCATCGTCAGATAGAGGGAGCGCGCACAATATGTCCAGGATCTCAGAGGCGGTTGTATGTCCTGCCTCAGCGTTCTTAGCGAGCTTCGCTGGGTTGACAGTCCCCGGCGGATCTGGAGCCCACAAGGGCTGCATGGGATGGCGTTCAGGCGATGATTCAAGTCAGAAAGGGAGATTCTGGTGAATATATGTTCTACCATGATCTCCGTCAAGAGGGGTCGTTACACAGCGAGCGATTCTTCAGCCTCATGCGGCATATGCTGATCTCGTCAGACTAGCGAGGGATATGTTGGTTAAGTTGAGGTGTTATGCAGATGTGAAATATAAAGTAGAAGAAGAACTCTACGACTTGAGTATTGAAGTAGTCACCATTCCATGAGGTTGGTAACTCGAATCCAGGGCGGAATTTGTACGTTGGACGTTCAGGATCTGGACCTGCCGTCACGAGACACGCCTGTCCTATTTCAGGCAGGCGCCAGCCGGGACAGCCTTCCTTCTGTTATTACCTTCCTTGGCGCCTTGTACGGGGACTTTGTTTCGCCTGGGCCAAAGTCAACCGGAGAAGGGAATACTCGGGACTGGTTGCTGCGGAGGATCTTGGGCTGGGAAAAGCTAAAGCCTGAGCGATGAATCATGGCGTGGGCAGCGAGCTGGCATAAATGATCAGCCTTGTCCCTGGTAGTCGACGAAGCAGAGCCCGTCTCTGCTCTCCCTGAGGAATGGCGGGGGTTAGTGGAGCCAGAGAGAGCGTTCCATGGCTGTCTGACAGTGTCAAATCTACAGGTCCTCGTTGCAAGGTGAAAGGGCCAGAAGGGCCAGAAGGGCGTACAAACTGACCTGAAGCAGGCTCAGACGCGACGTCGTCACTGGTGGAGCTAGTAGCCATTTAGGCAGCTGCGTAATGAGCTAAACCACTTTCGGACAATAGTGACGAGGAGTTGTTGGATGAGCCCCGCTTCCCCGCTCTCGGCTATTCTTGCCATGCTCCCCTTAGCTACGAGTATCTCGGTACCGAGTACCCAGTACTCCGTGAAAGAAGCCAGATCAGGCTTGTAGTCGGCTTAAAAGCTCAGTTTTAACCTTAACATTGGATAGGTAAACGCCCCCTCAAGTTGTTGTATAACATACCTAAACTTTTTAAGACTTTTGAGCTTATCATGCGCTGGAACCCAGCCATTCGAGAGGATTCTTCATGCACCGCCGAATATCTCCTGTTACTCTAAGCCAGCGAGTCTTCCTGTTGATTCTTCGACTCTAAGCCCTAAATTCATCTCACCGACCATCCAATCTAACGCCACCTTCTGCAATGACTGCCGGCTCCTCATATGACCAGTCTCGCATCATCGACCAAGAGATTCGAGGGTATCGTGGATTCATTCACCTACCCTATCAGATTGAAGACCACTTCCCCTTCCTTCCCAATCTAACAAAATCTGCGCAGAATGGATGTCACATGTGTGCTTTCATCAAACAGGTCGTTCAGAGTTACTGCGAGTCAGACCCTGCTCTCGCAGTGCATTTTCAAAAGGGGAAAAACAGATTCAAGAACCGGCCTCAGCAAAAATCCAAAAAGCTGCGCCTTGTATTATCTGAATACCTCTTGCGCGGCTCAAAATGGTTGCGAGACATATGTATAGCGGAACCCTCCTGGATCTGTGGCCAGGTTTACCTCGAGGGTACTGTCAGTGTGATCACGATAGAAGTGGACGCAGATTTGGTAAGTCATCATGAGATTGTTGATGGCCAAAGACTGGCTAATTTTGGAACCCCCGCAGAATTCTTGATAGCGTTTCCGAAAAGGGTTGCCCTGACGACCCAATCACTGGAATTGATGCATCAGTGGATAAGTACATGCGTGGACTCCAAATCAAGCGAACACGGAGGTTGTTCGAAATCGAAGGAAAATCTGGGCCCATTGCGGCTTCTCGAGGTGATGGATGACGACACAGTCCGGCTGCTCAAGACGGAAGGAAAGACGTTGACTTATGCAATCTTGAGCTATTGTTAACGACATGGAGAAAGTCCGGCTTCGATGATACGCAATGACGTCCCAATATATCCAGCGTCAGCTCTCAAAAGAGAGTGATGGACTGATCGCTCTATCGGGAGTGGCACAGAAGTTTGGAATTTACTTTGGTGCAAATGACCAGCACATGCTTGGACTCTGAAAGAACGATTTATGTCATGGCATATGCTGGAGTGCCTGGCGTGGCGAGGAGCAGCGTGTATGGCCGCCGACAAAGTCTCTATCATTCCCTTCTTGGTCGTGGTGTTCAATGCAGAGATCCCTGCTTTGGTCTGACGGATCCGGCTCCCTTCCTTGCGCCGACCTGCTTGAAACGGTCAAGTCTTCTGGTGTCAATAGTGAGTACACGAAGCTCCTGTTCGACGCTTGGCTGTTCCCAGCAACTCTACTAGAATTCAGGCTCCCGAATGGTCTGGAGATGCACATCTATCTTGACGCAGAAGAGGAGGAAAGTGGCAATTTCACGGCTCACGGTGGACAAATGGCAGTTGTGGTGACAGCAGATCTTGCCGATGGCAGCGATGAAAAGCAATGGAGGACATCACCTGCAAAGGTCCCCCATGAAGTATACGGTCTCGTGATGGAAAATGCTGGAGCTTTTCACCGCGGCTTTCCAGAGTACCGCCGGATGGGAACCTTTAATGTTATGCGTGACTGGCAGATGGAAGTGGACTCAATCAAGATTGATGAGGGCGCGGCAACGCCCTTCTTCGAGCAAGTGTACGCGTCTCGATGCACGATTGCCCTAGTTTGATGGGGGTGACTGCGCTCTCACTGAAAGGGGAATCTAGTGACTAGAAATGGACAATAAGGAAACTGCGCTGGGGCAAGGAGTCGCATCGTCTCGGTCTAGACTCTATAGCTCCTGGCGGCCTACCCTAGCGCTAAAGCCATTCGAAGTACATCCCTCAGCCACGACGCACCGCCGTGCTTGCCTTGGTCGAATTCCTTCGCTCGCCAGACAACAATCCCATCAGGACGAACCAGGACTGCGCCAGAGCTATCTACACCACGCTGAGAAGCCCATTTTCCTTTTACGTCCTTCCAGAGAGACTCGTCACTGTCTGTCTTTTCACTCGCATCCGAGATTGCGATCAAGGCCACCAGACCACCTCCTGCGTCCGCCACGGCTGTTTTCCACAAGCCCGGGCGCGAGGTGATCAGAATGAATCCGTCATACTTGACCATATCTCTGGTTGACAACCTCTCCTTCCCCTTCTCCAGCCACGCATGCGGTAAGTGATGTCCCGGAATGGTCGACGGATGGTAGTACAATAAATCCAACTGGCCACCGTCCTTGAGCTGTCCGTCGTGATTCGTCTCCTTGCCTTCTCCATTGACATCTAGGTCGGGATAGAACCAGCCAATCTCCGCCCCAAGGGCATGAAACTCGTCGTCAAGAATCTTCTGTGCACGGTGGACTGCCTTTCGGCGTGCAGCGCCGTCTGTGTTTGCGGATGCCATGTCGAAGAATGCATCCATATTCGCCACGTTTTCAACTTGGCTATTTTCAGTAGAGACGCCGATCGCTTTATCCATCACTAGTCCGAAAGCACGCAGATTATGCAATGCACAGTCTCGTACGCGTTGCCCGATAGGACGGCGCTCGGAGTCGTATATGTCGAGCAGCGCATTGCAATCCCCATCATGTCGAAGAGATGACGGGATCCCGTTGATGGCAAAATTCAACTTCCACACCAGGTTATCCACGTCTTGAATGCCTGTATTAAGACCCAGTGCTCCCCAGGGAGGAATCCGGTGTGCGGCATCTCCGACCAGGAATACCCGGCCTGTGGATTTCTTACTCCGGTATCGTGAAGCGCACAGTGCATTGACATACCAGTGATTTATGGATAACAGCTCAACTTTCAGGTCAGGAATTTGCAACGTATTGTGCATTCGTTTCAGCATCGCCGACTCATCGAAGCGTTTTGGGTCTGCCGGGTTGAGACCGCATGCAAAGAGCCATTCCTCCGTCTCGGTCGAAATGGGATAAGGACCCAAGTGGTAGAGGTATCCTGACCCGATAGTGCCACCCAGCTTCGGGTTGACGAACCAGGTAATGAAGTTGCGGATGTCCGGGTGTTGAAGGGATAAGGGAGCCCGAATGTGAGCGGATACCATGTCGACAATGTCCCGTTCGCCCTCCCATCCAATGCCTAGGTCATCTGTCAGTCTGCGACCCCCGTCGGCGACAATACAGTATTGTACTTTGACTGTCGCTGGCCCCTCGCCTTTCCCTAGAGAAGTGATGATGACGTGGCCATCAGCTTCTTCGACTTTTGTAACTTCGGTATTGTAAAAGATCCCCTTGAGATTCAATTCCAGCGCCCGCTTCTGCAATATCGGTTCGAGTCGGATTTGTGGCATGGTGGAATACTGACAAGGCGAGACAGAGGCATATTCTTCCTCATAGGCTCCGCCACCCCAGGAGTCGCGGCTGACGATTTCCCTCCCATTGGGTCCAAAGCTGGTATACCAGGCCGTCCTGCTGACCATGTCCAGTGGAGCGCGTTGCTTGGTCAGCTCCTCTTCGATGCCCATGTGGCGCCATATTTCCACTGTGCGATGATTGTATCCGCAAGCTTTCGGGTGGATGGATGTTGAAGGATACCGTTCAAACAGTACGTGAGGGATGTTACACAGCGAAAGTAGGATCGAGGCAGATAGGCCAGTAGGGCCCCCTCCAACGATAGCGACAGGGTAAGTTATGGAAGAATCAACATCTAGAGAACCCATGGCTGGCGTAAGATCAAATCATTTTTGGGAGCATCAAAGTCGGTGCTGAGGGTTGTAGAGCACCGAAGGTGATGATATAGGCTTCCCCAGGGGTTGCTTCACCGTCAAATTCTTCCGTCAGACAACGTAATCAAGCTCGAAATCCCGGAGTTGAGGAGGTTGTGAGATATGTGATTACGGCGCCGCGCATCAATCAGGCCGTGTGAGAGCGTCAGGGCGTAAGGTCGTAAAGATGACTCTCAGGCCCTCGAAGCCGAGCGTGCATCCGAGGGCTTATGTACGTCCTCAGCCTGCTGCCTGTAGTTGTTGGCTACTCGGGATTTGAATTCAGTCGATCTTGTTGTGCAGCACGACGACGACAAGTGGCCTGAGCGGAAAGGAGTCGAGAGCCGTGATTCGGGGCGACTTCGGCAGGAACTAAATTTCACCCCCAAGAAAAACTTCCCGAATTTCTTCTCGACATGGCCAACAATGTTAAACGGTGCCTTAAGGCCCTAGAAGGTGGAGCTTTGGGCGGAGAAGAGTAGGTTTTGGGCCAACGCGGTTGAGGGCAAGACGAGTTTGAAGGCCAGGTTCATGGCTTTGCGGTGTCATGGCGGCATCAAAGAATGATATCACCATGAGGGACTTCGCTCTTACGACCCTCTTAGCTCTAATCGAAAACTACCACTCGTTCAACCCAGACATCACTGTCCCGACCTACGCATACCCGACACATCTCGAATTCAGCCAACAGGTCGCTCGTGGCCGACCGTGCGTGTACCGTCTTGACCGCACCGTCATCCAAGACAGCCATGCCACCGACAAGGGAGGAGCCAGAGAAGAAACCGATGACCGAGACATGGATGAGTTCCTCCAGAGTGACGAGGAGAAACAAAACCCTTCGTTCCTGAACGACATCAAACGTCGACGTCTCCTCCGGGAAGAACAGCGGTCCATCCTGTCGGCGCCGTGCTGGAGCTGGACGAAGAAGAGCCTCTGTGAACTCGTGCAGGAAGAGGTCGAGGTCGCTGTGACGCCGGACGGGAGGGCAGATGCGCTTTACTCGCTTCCTCGGCGGAGACTTCGACCTCAAGTACAGGGACATGCTTTGGACGACGAAAGTGGGAAGCAAAGAGACGGTCATGTTGATGGTCATGGTGGCGGAAGCGGACAAGCAGGAGTCGATCAGCAAGATGGGAGTGAATGCGAACTCGGGGACGAAAGTGAAACGGAACCAGAACCAGAACCAGAACAAGTCTTTCTTCAACCCGCCACGACATCCATGACGCTTTCCGCACTCATCGACAGGCTCTGTGCTTCTAATACATCGCCATCGCCAGTTTACTACCTCCAATCGCAAAACTCCAATCTGCACTCCTCCCCCCTCTCATGCCTACTTCCTTCGTTACCACCGACGCCTCCACCCTTCTCCGGCGCCGTGCTCGGCGCCCCAGAAGCCGTGAACCTGTGGATCGGCAACGCTTCGTCCGTGACCAGCACGCACCGCGACCCGTACGAGAACATCTACCTGGTAGTCAAAGGGCGCAAGCGGTTCGTGCTGTTCAGCCCCGTCGAGGAGGTGTGTTTGCACGCGCAGATGGTCCGGACTGGGCGGTGGCAGTGGATGTTTGTTGATGATGACAACGGGGAGAAGGGAGAGTTTGAAGTCGTGATGGACGACGACGATGACGATGGCAATGACCACAATGACAACGACAACCGCATTCCCTGGATCCCCGTCGACCCGCTCCGTCCCCCACCCGCCATATCTCAAAAGTACCCGTACTACAGACACGCGCGGCCTCTCAGTGTGACTGTCTCCGAGGGAGAAATCCTGTATCTCCCCGCAGGCTGGTTCCACCATGTTTCTCAGGAATGCGGAATCTGGGGGGGCCATGAGGAGGGCGACCACGACGATGGAACCGCGACGGTGGCGCCGTGCATAGCGGTCAACTATTGGTTCGATATGGACTACTCGGGAGAAAAGCATGTTATGAGGGAGATGGTGGGCCGGTTAGTTGAGAAAACCCGGATTGCTACTGAAAACGGATGAACCTGACTTGGTCATAATGTCTTCAATCCAAAGTTCATTTTCTATTCCAAGGCCAACGAGGGCAGCTCAGCCAGAGGTCCTGGGAGCCGGCCTCGACTAGGAGGAACTGCCAAAGAACGTTTAGTGCGAAACTCCCTTTGCTCTCGTTTATCCCATCTCCGTTCCGACTGGGCTCATTTTCTTCTTTTTTGTTCACTCGGTACCGCATCAGAGGGCTCTTTTTCTCATCTCATTACCGGGTCATGATCTTGCCAGGCCGTCCTGAATGGAAGAGCACGTACCCAATTTAGTTCACTCCCTCAAGCTTCTCCAAGATGGATGGGAAGTGCTCCCATTCGTACATGATCTCGACGCAGTTGCACTGTTCCCGGAGAACTTGGGCCATCTGGTTCATCTTCTCCTCACCATCCTCCAACTTGTACACTCCGACGTACCCGATGCAAGGGATGCCAGCACGCATGGCGGCGGTGGCACCACTCTTGCTGTCTTCAACAGTGATACACTCATGTGGCTGGACGCCGAGCTGCTCACACGCAAAGTGGTAGATCTTGGGGTCAGGCTTGCTGGAAGGCGGGTTGAGAGAGGTGGCGGCGCTGTAGACGTGCTGGTTGGGGAAATAGTGGTCGATCTTGACCTTCTCGAGAGAGGCAACAACGCGGGGTTTGGCAGAGGTGCTGACAACAGCCATGGGGTATCCGGCCTTGTGCAAGCGCTCCAATTGCTCAGGGGCACCAGGGCATGGTTGACACTTTGCCGAGAGTTTGGCGGTGACGGCTCCGAGCTCCTTGTTGACATATTCCTCGAGCTGCTCCGCGGGCATCGAGAAACCGTGCTTGTTCTGGAGACCGACCATCATACCACGGAAGTTCTGGCCGACAAAGGTCTCGAGGAGGCCATCGACCGTGTAGCGATGGGGAACGTTGTACATCTCGAGGAGTTCATTCGTGAGATCGGTGCAGGCCTCGAAGGCGAGACGCTCAGACAAGCAGAGGGTGTTGTCGCAGTCAAGGAGGACGTACTTGACCTGTAGGAAGACATATTGTCAGTCGCTATCGCAGACTCTGTTTGTGTGACAGTGGCGAGCAAAGGAGCGGTCAACTGCATCTGTTTGGCCATGGTGGGGTAGAGAGGAACAGAAAACTTACTTTGCCCATGTTGACGGTGATAATCAGCGAATCTGAGTCTAGAATAACAAAAGGAGAGAGATGAAGAGTAAGTCTATAAGTTGAGGATGAAAGAAGAAAGCTACCGCAAAGGCAGTTGGTGTTTGGAGAGTGAAGGGAGGATCGTCAGAGCGCCAGAGTGGGATGTGACAGTCTGATAAGTTTTTGTTTATGGGAGAAACGGTGACGGCGATCGGGCAGCGGCGGGCAACGATTGGCGGTGGGCAGTGACTGGCGATTGGTGACTAGTGGGGGGAGGCACCCTTGGGGCGCCAGGGGCACCTAAGGCGGGAGGGTGAAGCTGGGGAAGCCGCCACAGCCACTCAAGAGCTGAGGATATTTAGTAAGGGAGAGCACAAGGGGCGGCAAGGGGCGCCCTGGTGGCTCTTTGGCTTTAGGCTCTGGGCTGGTGGGCTGGGTGGGCTTTGGCGGTGCGGCGTGGGTGTCAGCATTTCCACTGGTTCAACAGCTTGACCATTGGCCTGGCGCTACGTCATATGCCTCCCAATCTTTTCCTTCTCGTCAACAGCGTATCAACACGACCACGTGAGACCTCTGCCCAAGATGGCGGTGAAAGATATACCAAGCAAAACATTATGAGAGCTCCATTCTCGGTGCTCTTGCGACACTATTTCATCTAGCTTATCTTCCCGCTCACCTTCCGGGTGGCAGGTCCTCCAGCCTGCACTGTTCTAGACCTTCTCAGAGCCCAGTCGAGCTCTTTCACCGTAGTCCCGGAAGGCTGATACCTGCAGCCCGGAGCATCACTTGCTTTTATCGTGACCTGGACCATATGGCTGTATCTCCCCAAGAGGAAACATTTCCACCTTGGGGTCCGTGAGGCGCACCGAGTGACCTGAGAAAAGTACCTTGCCTGTGTCGGAGCGCCTGGAGATGGGGGGTCTCTTCACATGACCCGAGAATGGTCCATCCTGCTAGCAGTCCGTCGTTTGCTGGAGCATGAATGCTTCATTTCGGTCGCGAGGCGGGCATTTTCTCGTTGGGAGACCAGCTCAAGAGCCCCTTCCGGGCGTGTTCTGTTCATCCGCAACCAACCAGTTTGCTGCGGGAGATTGTGCATCTTTGAGACTCGATCGACCTCTTTGCTTCTTGAGGTCTTGAGCCCGGTTTCGGCTTCAGTAGCCTCTTCTGGCACCTCTTCCACCTCGGTAGCCACCAGAGTCTGGAAGTCTTTCTCCTCGCCTCCACTCACCGCTTGGTATATTGCCTGAGCCGCCAAAGTCGCCTCTTGAGCCATAGCCATTGAAGCTTCCCCTGCTGCTCAGACCGTACCCGCCTCCTCGTACTCTCCCGTAGCCATTCTCTCTGGAACCTCCCCTGCCACTGACGCTTCCTCGAGAAACTACGGAGCCATCGCTCAAGGGAGGAAACACAGCGCAATCGATAAAGTCTCCTATGACAAACCGCGCATCTTCGAGTGTCTTGCTCGCGTCATCTCCTTCCAGCTGAACGCGGCCACCGCCGCCGCCTCCACCGCCATCACCACCACCATTGGAGTACTCTGGCGCCGACACAACGACGCTCCCTATCTCTCTGCTCAGGTACCTCCCTCGCCCCTCGCTTTCTAGTCTTCCACCACCACCGCGGCTGGCATGGACATCGGGGTAGACTAGTCGGAAGCTCAGTCGCGTTCCAACAGCAGGGTCCGGCAGGATCTGCGGCAGCGCCTGCGTCAACAGAAGCGCAAGCTCTCTTAAGGTACAGCTCATCCAAGTGTAGATTTGCAAGTGGGCAGGTAGATGAGGGTGCGGATTTGAGGGAGCCGGCACGGGGAAGTCGGTCAGGCTGTGGAAAGCGGAGGCTCGGTAGCAGAAATTCAACAAGAACGGCGTGGTGGTTTGTCGATCAACGGTGGTCTTTGGAGGTTGAGGGGTCGGCGAGCGCGACATCGTGGGAGGTCGATTGGTGACTCGGAGGAATCTATCGCAGGGAGGACCGGAGAAGAGAGGATAGAGCAAAGAAATCTTTTGTGGGAGCGTGCTTCCTCAAATTTGTCTCCAGGCCAAAGTGCGCCCGAGGGGTGAAGAGGATATGTGGTGACAGAGGCAGAAGCAGTTCATGAACTGTAACTAATCAATGCAGCTGGTTGAGGTGGGACAGAGTATATGAATGAGGTCATGTGATATCCTCTCTTATATTTCTTCACGACAATATCCAATAGGTGCAGAGGAGGAGTTATGACAATAATACGATGATAGACGCGACTTTTCTGCACTCTCTCTGGTGGCGGGCGCAGCCGCGGCAATACGAGGTACGTGTACCACGTACCAAGAGGAGGTAATTACCTAGTACGCAACTAGGACTTGTAAGGAGTGGGGAGGGACAAGAGGAGTGACTACGCTCAACTTCGGCTCAGCATCTGCTCGGACAGTGTGCCACCCTTTCAACATTTACGGAGGTGTCTGGATCTCATCGAGCTGAACCATGCTTGACTTGATCGGCCCTTGATCCGTGTCTTTGGCGACCGGGTACATGGTCCCTTCCTGCCTCTCATTAAGCCTCTTCTTTATCCTCTACCTGAACGTCCACCACAGCCCGGACATCACACCCTTTGTGCTCCCACAACCCCCGGTCAATGGGACTTGGGAACAAAGTCCCAGCCCCTCTCTTCGGCCTTGCAAGAATCAACCCTGACCTGCAATGCATGCACAGTCCCTGGGCCACGTCTTTGGTGTTGGGGCAGCGTACGGCGTACGGCGTACGGCGAGATGAAGCTGGTCGGCGCCAGTACACACGATCAAAAAAACTCTCTCTTTGTTCTGGACAAGTCTGATGATCAAGATTTTCATGCCGGTGAAATCCGCGTGTCTTCAGCCGTCACAGGGCGCTGCCGTAGAAGAATGAAAAGGTCGCTTCGAGCGGCTCAAGCGAATAAGGATAGTATAGCTCGCCATTCGTCCACCCAGTACGAGGCAGTTGAAACCAGCCAAAGGTTCCATACGGCGACCCAGGGCCATCGGATCGTGAAAACACTCATCACCGACAAACAGCACGCATCTCAGGACGTGACAGCAAGCTCGTCCAGTTCAGTTTTCTTCCTCGCCGTGCTCAACAGCATCCTACTGAACCACTCCTCTCCATCGGGATGCATGAGGTCCGTGTACAGAAAGCCCCTCAACACCGTCCTCACCTCATCCCACGCCGCCATTCCGAGCTTCACGGCCTTGGTCGCAAAATGGGTCATGAACCAACAACCGCTCTCTTCCGGCTTCATGTCCATGGACCATTCCGCGCTGGCGCCCACGTACAGCGCCCACAAGCGCGCGTTCTCGTATCTTTTGTACTCGGGGGACTCGGGGTTCATGCACTCGCTCAGCTCGAGCAATTCTCGCATGTTGAACAGGATGGTGGATGTGGCGTCGAAGAGTCGCACGCCGCACACGGTCGCGTTGAAGGAGATGGATCGGATGTATAGCAGCATGGCCAGCGCGATGTAGCCCTGGCATAAGGTGGGGTGGATGAGATGTGCAGGAGAAGGAGGAGGATGATGATTAGGATGAGGCGGATTGGCAACAACGTGATGCCTTGCTTTTGCCTCGAGGAAGAAATTCACAAGCCGCCCCTGGTGCAGGTACACCCGGACGAGCAACCAGCCCATCAGCGAGGTCGAGTGACGGGCGGACTCATCGTCGGAGGAGCCGGTTTGGAACAGCCAGACCACGAGGCTCTCTCGTCGCTCGATGAACAGTGTCCGAAGTCCTGGATTGTCGACGATCGACGGATCCAAAAAGCGGTCATTTACTCCAGACAGGTCTGGGAGGTAAGGTTGCGCCGCGTCAACCACCGGCTGCAGCCTTCTGGGGAGCCATTCGTTCACGTCGAATATGGGTCTGCAAAGGAACATCGAGGATCGGTGTATGTCGTGATAGATGACGTACAGCAGCAAGCTGACATCCAGCTTATCTCCATCGTGCTCAAAGTAATGCCGCAACATGGTGAGATGGGCCCCCGTGCTGGCGCGGTTGCCGCTCAGTGCGTCCGCGCCCAGGAGGAGGTTGATATGCCAGTAGAGCTGTCCGCGACGGACAACCTTGCCACCGGCGGCAGTGGTGAGACGTTTCCGCAGCACGGCGATGCTTTTGGTCCGGTAATAGACAGCTTGCTTCTGGATGGCGGGATTGAGTGACACCACAGCGGCCTCTGTGGCGCAGCTTGCGATAAATCCCGGACCAGCACCTTCGTCTCCCAGACCATCGATCCCGTCGCCCAGCCCGTCGATGCAGTCTCGCCAATCCCGCCACGCGCTGGCACTTGTCATCCATTTGTGCCTGGTGGTGTGGTAGAGCGTCGGGATGACGAAGTCGCGGTGAAAGCTTAGCATATCGTTGGCGGTGGGCGTGATTTCGACCGCGTAGGCACCAAAGGGGTCTGAGTTGCCTTTGCCTAGAATCGTCATGAGGGATTGTGGTTGGAATGGTGCTATTTTCATCTCGTGCGTTAACGTTGCTAGATCAGGTAGTTCGGACTCCTCCTCCTCATGCTCCTCGTTGATGAGCGACCGAATCGCGATCTTCGCACACGCTCGTTGACGGCTCTCACCTTCAGAGCCTGCCGCTTCTGGACCTTGCGCAGGTCTGGCAGGTCTGGCCTTTGTTGTTGGCCGGGTACTATCGAGTACGGGCACCTCTATCGAAGCAGGCTCCTTGGCTTTCACCGACGGCTGGGCGTCAGACAAGGGGGCTTTTATCGAAGCCCGCAGAGCTCGCATCTCTTCTTGCCGTTTCCAATTGCGATATTTGTTCTGGACGTGGGAGAAGACTTTTCGCCGATTGGGCGAGGCCTTCATCTGCCTGGCACTGTGGTTGACGAACAGGAAATCGCCCTCGAAGGGCCTTTCGGCTGGCATCTTTCTCTTTCTTCGGAGGGACCAGGTCTCGGGCAGAACCAATGGTGCATGTAGCACACACACAGTGTTAAGAACATTTACACCAAATCGAAGCTCTCTCTATACCTTCGGGGTTTGGTAGTGGAATTCATAAACGAGGGAGTCCGGGCCAGTGGGTGATGGACGTCGACTCAGCGTTTCTCTCTGTACAGAAACACGAAGCTGCCAACCCACATCCAAGTCTCGGCCCCCATGGCAACAAGCTTTTCCCCCGCAGCCTGGGGGACTGGCAATATGACAGATGGGAGGATTGGCCCTTTAACCAAGGTAGGCTGGTATAGGGAGCACGCGTGGGAGGCGGAAGAAACGCAGCCCCAGAATCCTTCCTCCAGGAAATCCGTGACGGACTGACAGGAAGACGCTGCTGTGGTTGGCCGCTGAGTAATCTGCCAAAGTGCGACTGCTGACGACCTGTTCCCTTCGTGGGGTGAGCGTGCAATCACTCCGAATGAAAATAAGGCGGTGACAATGTGGCAATTGATGAAGTTATTGTGGCGTTAGAGTAAGACAGTTTCAACCTCCGTCAGTTGAGTGAAGGGTAGCATGATTTGCTTTTACTTGTACTCAGTAGAACCCAGCCCATCGCCCATCCTCCCCAATGGTATCGAGATCCCGAGAGAGTAAAAGGATCCTGCGCGCGGGTGTTGGCGTTTTAGCTACGTATTGCCCTTCTTCACTGTCGCCAAATGGTTTGACGGACCCGAGTGTGTGCATAGCGAGATATATCTATCATAGGTGCCCCGTACGTACATACCCAGGTAGGCACTATAAAAACAGCCCCACGTGCTGTGTTCCGCGCAGCCTCGTCCCCCTATGTATCTATCTCTGTGCCTCTATTATGTCGACGCGAGCATCGGAAGATGCGCAAGCATCCTCATATCCAAAGCAAACAACCCCGCATTCACAGTCGTCGACTCTGGATTCTGGAGAACCAAAAGTCGTATAGCCTAAGCCTGTGCATTGCATATCCATGTCCCAGCAGGCGTCGTCATGTTCTTTCCGTCCCATCCTGTTCCTTTTCGTTTCCCAGCTTCGATCCTCTACTCTGATCCTTGCTCTGTATCTAGTAAACGTTGCTGCGGTACTCCCAACCGTCTTCTTCACAGCCACACCGCCGTCGCCGCACCCACACCGTCGCCCAGCTTCGTCCTCGCAGCCTCTTTAATCTTGTCCCCGTCCCAGGCCAAGACAAAGACAAATCCTTGCTCACTATCCGTCAGCGCCAGATACTCCACTCCGTCCACGGTCGGACCAGGTTGGATTGCATTCGCCCAGCCGCCGCTTGTAGGCGTCTTCCACAACTTCAGCAAACCCCTGTACTCGGGGGATTCCGGCTTTAGAGTTGTGTAGCTTCTCATAGGAGGCCGGTAGGTGTAATCGGGCTCGAGCGAAGTGTCAATCTTGCCTTCGTCGGTCAATTTGTACACTGCGACATATCCTTGCTTCCCCTCTTTCAGTCCCCGTACGCTTGCGTACAAATACTTCGGTTTACGTCCCGAGGACAAACTCGTGCGCACCTCGTCAGCCCAGAAATCACTCGGCTCGTCATATTCACGGACAATTCTCACCCCCTGTTCGTGCAGCAGATTCACGCCCCTGTTGGTGGTGGCGAACACGTCCACCATGCTGCTGTGTTCTTGTACGCAATAAACGAAATTCCCACTCGGATGGGGCCAGACGTGTCTGGGTCCGTCCCCGCTACGAGGTGATTTGTGCATCTCAGCTCGCGTTAGTGCTCCCGTTCCAGGATCGACGGAAAATGTCCAGATACAGTCCCGACCAATATCTGCAACATACAATGCTCGGCCGTCGGGTGACAGGTCTGCGGAATGGGCGCCGTGACGGAGTCCTCCGAAGTCCATCACGCTGCCATCATCCCGTTGTGGTTTTGAAAGGGTGAAGGAGAGAAGTTGCAGTGGCTGGATTTTGGGTGACTTTGCCGCTCCGTTTTCTCGAGCACCATCAATTTCAGGTGGGGGAATAATGTTGCCGGTCTTCGGATCCAGGCTAAAGACCTCTCCTGTAGCCCCGCCTGCTGAATAAAGAGCTATTTCGCTGGCCGTGACATAGCCACTGCGAGATCGAGTTGGCGCACTGCCTAGCAACTGAATATCTGTCGGCGATTTGACCACGTAGGCGACTACGGCGGGAGGCTCCGTCCATGCGGTTGCGTAGAGGTTCCGGGTTCCGTCCTCCTTAGGAGGAGAGAGATGGAGCCAGGAGTGAGACCCGATGGCAGAGGTGCAATGAAGCACCTGGAGATCGCCCGATGAGTCCTTTGAGGACGCTGAGCCAGGGGTGAATCTAAGTGTATAGAGCTCAGGGGTGTTGAATGTGCCGACGAGGAAGTCGAAACTTTGGGCCATGGTGGAGGAATGAGGCCGATTATGGGCAAGTCGTGGAATAAGGCGTTCGAATATATCAGGTTATGGGATGCCTTATTCAAGTGATGTAGTCAACCCTCCCCCCACTTTGATGGCCCTAAAATGAACCAGCCTGCATATATATTTGGCAATCGGATCAACGCCTGTCGGCGAGTGGGAGCCGCAACCGAGACATGGGCAGTTTTGACCTTCCGCTTTTCGGATGGGTTCAGCGGTTTTGAACACTAAGTTGAGCGTCTGTTTTTCGGATTTATAAATTCGGGTTTTCAAGCTTTGTGGGCAGCAAGCGTTCGGGGCTAGAAGTTTGGTGTCCTGCTGGGGAGCGGCGGTGGCATGCAGGTGTAATTATGTTTAGTAATAGATCTCACAGCTCTACAGGCCAATTTATGTGCGCAGCCTCAATGGGCATGAAATAGGTGAAAATGCAGTACGGAGGACTAGCTAAGAAGGCCGGGGGTCACGTTAGTTCCGTGACGTACAAGTCAATGAGCTGGTTCGCTGGCAACGGAGGATGGCCGCTTGTCAATATATTGCTGGTTGCTTGTTCGGACCGGGACCGGGTGCCGGATTTTAGTTGTTCCTGGGCTCTTATCCGATGGGCTCCCCGCCGAGTATTCTAGATACTGTAGCATCGCGCCTCAGCCTCGTCTGGGGGAATTGACCTCATTTCCACCACTTCTCACCACATCTCTTCGCTTTGGGCTGGAATCTGCAGTCATCTCAGCTTTCGTCGTTTCTCTCTCTCACTCAATGGCGATGGTCCTGCATTGCGGCACTGCTGGACAAACTACTGCGAAATACGGCGCTATACGCTCGCCATACTACACCGAGTGAAATCCTAGGATGAGAGCCTCAAACGCCACCGATGCCATTAGCATCAATGGTCACGAGCGAACAGGAAATGCGGCTTTGGGTCTTTGTCCTGGGATTGTAAGAGAAGGCATATTTCAGAAGACGGACCACCAGAGGTAGCAAGCGTTGAAATGCCTTCCCGTATTCGCATCGTGTACAGAGAGACTCAAAGGCTTGAAGAGACCGAGGAGCTGGCGGGAATAGTGCAACTTTTCATCTGTTTATCCTTCGCTTGCTCCCTAGCGCCTTCACTGTATTTGCACATCGCAATCGCCTCGTTGCGGATGTCCTGACAGGTAGGCATTCTCCAGACTTTAGGAGTTCCATCGTATCATTTCTTATTCGCTATTGGGTAGGAATAAATATCTGTTACGGGCAACTTACGCCAAACACATTCATGCCTCCTGTTGCGCCATGCCTATTTCCTTAGGCAGTTCCTTACCCGTGGTTGGCTACACAAGATTAGCCTTGTTCAGCCCTAGAGACCAATCCACATCAGCTCCTGTTCATGGCACCAAATTGCTGGCTGAGCAAGGGATAAAATAAAAAAAGGCAATAGTGACGTCCTCGGTGTCGCATAGCCATCTATTACTCTTCTTTGTAGTCGAGATAGAGCCACACTGGCATTGCTGCTGGCTAGGGCTATCAATATATTCGTTCAGGCCTCACTTCCACCATGCTTCACAAAAAGCCTGCCTCCGAGAGCATCTTTTCAATGGCCTCTACTTCACTAAACGTGGATGGTAAGTCGATGTAAGGCATCATTTCAGAGGCTTTGGCATTCAATTGAACCTGGTCAAAAGAACATGGGCGAATACCTGTTGAAAGACGTTCACTAGGAAATCGATCCATCGGCACATCAGTATTGTTCTGACCAATCACTATTCCTTGATTCGGACCAGGGGCCATGTCTGAGGGCACGGAGCCGAGCTCCACCCGATCTGTCGGATTGTGCCGATAGGAAGCAAATGGCATTCCGGTGGTGCGTATACGTGGCTTCCATCCAGTGTAGATAGCACCCGAGATCACATCACGGCGTTGATCAATACCGACCATTGATCGGCATTTCTGAAGGACTCTCCCTGTGGAAAGTTGGGTATTCGAAGCTTTTGCTCTAATATCAATATCGATAGCATTGATGCGAAAGCCAACGGCGTCGATGTAAGCGTAAGCTCCCATCTATGCTTGACCTTAAAACGGAGGGCGAGGCGAGTCACCACTAAGCTGGTTGATAAAGATGTGTACAGCGCTCTAGACATCCATTTCAGCTCATCCACGAAGCTGCCTCCGGCGATCTCGTCATCGGAAAGAGATGACAGGTTAAAAGATTGGATAGCACCAACTTCCAGCGCGGCCCGAATGTTGCTTGCGAGGCTTGATTCAAAGCATGGATAGACACAGGTAAAGTTGGCAATGTCGAGATCTCTTGGCTGTGTTAGAATTGCGACAGAGTTCATTGTAGCACACGGCTCGAAAATGGGCAGCGGTCGGCTAATGGCGATGACCGCAGACACCATTCCGATAAAGAGGCAGACGCTCCAGCTGAAAGTGAGAATTCGAATCCATCTGAAGACGGCGACACCTGGTAAGCAAGAGTTGTAGAGGGCCGGTCCGATGCTGAGGGTGTTGATTATGGCGGCATATAACGCGTCCACGTCAAAAGGTGCCGAGCGGCTTCTTGGTTGACTGGCCATGATGATGGAGTGAAGAGCGGCTGTGCTAGAGCAGAAGGATGCCTGCGTAAAAGATACCTCTTGCTGTTGCGCTGTACAGGCCACTCAAGGGGTATGCACAGGTTACGAAGTCAGCCATGGCTTGCGTTCGCTCGAGTGAATCCATTGTCGCCCAGACAATGGAGGACATATGAGGAGATCTCCGAATTTGAGTTGATGCTGTCCCCCGCAACTTGAAAAAGCTAAAGCTGGGTGAGAAGTCGATACTTATGTAGATCATCAAGCCTCGATGAGGCTGAGACAAAGCCGTCTCGAAACCAGGCGCAGCCATAATGAGCGATGAACATCCCGACACGCTATTTTGTGAATCAACGATCGACCTCTAACCTTGCCCCAACACACATGGAGCTCCTTCAGCCTGTGTTAGCCTATAGTCCCCGGCCAATGCAGCCCATTCCAGACAGTCGAATAGGAGTTGAGTGAACATCCTGGAATCTGTTAGTAGTTCTTGCTTGTAGCTTTGTAATTTGAGAAAGGCGAGTCCTGGAAAGGGGAGAAAGGGTATGGGGCGTCGAAAAAGAAGCGGAGGTGGCAGTGCGTCGCTCAGCCATCTGTCGTCTTGCAAAATCAATGGATTGGTCACAACTTCTCTAGATTTATATCGCTCCTTCCTCCAGACTTCAGACACCCCATCATGTCGACTTCTGACACTCCCCAAATCTCCAACTATCACCATTTTTACTACTTGGCGCCGTGGACAAACACCCGTTCCTCGAGCGGCTTGAATGTCTTCGGGTACGTGTCGCCGGCAGGTTTGCCAAAGACCAGCTGTGCTTTCAAGCTCCAGTTGGCGGGGACCTTCCAGGTTGCCGCAATCTTTTCGTCAATCAGGGGGTTATAGTGCTGCAGATTTGCGCCAAAGCCTTCCTTCTCCAAAGCGGTCCATACTGGTTCCCCACTGACTCAGCTCAACTCGAAAGGAAGTGGGTGGGAGAGGTTTTAAGGAGCTACTTACAAACAAATTGATGCATAGCATTGGTATGCTCGCTCCATTGGGGAAATTTATCCGCATAGAGGGGGTAGGCTTCCTGCAGTTTTGCGACATCCTTGGGCTCCTCGTAGAATAAGATCGTGCCGTAGGCGGCCTTGAAGCCCTCGAGCTTCTTCTCTGAAGTAGGCCATGCCTCGGGCGGGGCGACCGCCTTGACGGCTGGGGTAACAATATCGCCCCACAATTTCTTGTGCTCCTCGTTCAGCAGGACGACCACGCGGGTGGACTGTGAGTTGAAAGAGCTGGGCACGTGTGTGATGGCCGTATTGACCAGTTCGTGGATCCTTGAGTCGGGAACGGGCGACTCGCTCGACAGAGCGTAGTAGGTGCGGCGAGACTTGACCGCGTCAAAGAAAGCGTCTGATGACATTTTGCTGGTTGATGACGTGAATTGGCGCGACAGCGATAGTGGTCGTGGTAGACTGGTAGCGGCTGAAGGAGCGTTGTCGAGGGACAGTCTGTGAAGTGGAAAAAGGACGGACCCCGCGCGCAGTGGCCTGATACTTAAATATCTGCAAGTCTGAGACGGCGCTGTGAGACGCATCCTGCTTCTTCTACTCTTCCTCTTCCGATTTCTACGGATTGTACCGATCCTGACACAAAACTGCTGTAGGTCCAAGAGATGGAGCCACTGCAAGGTGGACGACAGGTGCTTAAAAGTGGAGGGTTCGCCGAAGGGACGGATTGGATCGGATAGAATGTGGTGACTGGAGGATCGAATGTTCCATGGCCAACGTGGTTAGAGTGGTGGACAGGTGGTGCTTCGGGGGCTCTGTGGCTCCGCGGCTCCATCACCAGCTTGGGCAGTGGACAGCTGTGCAAGGCTGGAAGACATTCCGCGCTTTGTCAGTTCTGGTTGGTGATGATGCCGTAAGCACTGGGAATTGCGTCAAGACGATGATACTGTACTGAGGAGGACGGTGAGGATGGAGATGGAGAGGAAGAAAAGGATTGGTTCGCCGCCTCGGTTGCAATGGGAGAAAATTTGATTGATTGACTCGAGAGCCACAATGTGGAGCTGCGCGTCGCCCATCGGCAGTTCGACCTGCGGTTGCTTGACAGCCATAGTAAGATGTGCCTGGTACGAGGTCGTGCCAAGGGGTCTGGTCGTCAAGAGGTTCCTCTTTTTCAGATCGCTGTCCTGAAAATATGTTGGCCCTTTAGCTCGGAGATGAGGCGTAGGTTAGATAAGAGAGTAGGTACATAGGTACCATATTGATAGTGTGCGTGTGCGAGCGTTGATGGTTGGATGAAAACGGGAGGAAGTCCCTCGTCGGGGGGGGGGATTGGCATCTATATAGCTGCATCTCAGCCTGGTACGAGCATCCGGACCATCGGGCTTGGAATCTGGGCGAAATTCGCCCGACTTTCCCACACGTGCGAATATCAACGACCTGTCACGGTGACCCAGATCCAGAATGTAGGCGGCATTCCAGAGAATGATTTGCTATTTTAGAACCATTACATGGTGTGGACAATACCTGCCACGATCCAAAATAGGGGGCAATCGGCATTCTCCACCTCTATGCGTCCATCCTCGACCGTTGACCGAAGACTTCACGCAATTTAGGCGCCTTTAAAAGAACGGCATCCTATGCACTCTTCTCTGGATCATGCCCGGCATTGGTGGTTGGGGTCACCGAACTGCCGTTCGTTCGCGTCCTTCTCGACCGCAACTCCAAATCATGGTGTGCGCGGCTGCGAGTAGCATGCAACGCGGCCATGTTGGCTTCTTGTTCCTCGTCATCACTACTGTTCTCCTCGTCCACCGGTTTTCGAATTGCCATGGTAGGAGCAAATTTCGACTTTTGACGGAGCTTCTTGCCAAAGAAGTAGAAGCACACGGGAATCGGGACGCAGAGGGCAGCAATACAGCCCAGAAGCGTGCCGGCCCACTCAATACCCAGGTTATCAAACATCTGGCGCGAGAAAAGAGGGAAGCCCGCCGCGAGACACGACCGCAGGAAGGTGTTCGCCGCAATGGCAGAAGCAGCGCTAAACATGGTCAGTTCGATCCGTCCCAAGAAATGGACAGGGGCACCTCAACTTACAACATGAGATACGAGTCGATGATATAGTTGAAACAACAGATGAAAATGGCCAACAGGCCAAACCCGGTGAAGAGACCAGATAAGGTCGGGACGATCCAGTGGATCGATGCCTTGAAGCCCGTCCAGCCAAACCAGAAGAGACCGGCGGAAAACAACACTCCTCCGATCATGACGGGCGGGAGACGCCACTCCGGGACTGGAATTCCGCCATTTGCCGCCAGCTTCTTGTTGTAGGCCTTGGAATCCCATATGATGAAACCTGCCACTATGAAGATTCCACAGACCATACCGAAAAAGGGCAAGCCCGCTACCCCGGGTGTGATGTGGTGGACTCCTTGGAAGACCAGCGGGTATGCTGTCAGGAAACAGTACAGGAGGCCATATATAAACGACATGTAGCAGGTGATGGCAAGAATGATAGGCTCTGAGATTAGCAGTCGGATCGGACGAGAAAAATTCTTAGTGATGAGTTCATTGAAGTCCACCTCAACTTCCTCTTGCTTTGCATGGATGCCCCAATTCTTAGTTCGGCGGCGCAGTTCGGCGGCTTTACCCACCAGGACGACGGGAGCGTAAGATTCGTGGATGAATAACGAGACCAGGATCAAGGCCACCGAGCCCATTATGCCCGGAATATAAAGATTCCACCGCCATCCGAGGTCGGATTTGTTAATAAACCCTCCAATGAATGGTCCTAGCATCGGCCCCATGAAAACCATGGAGGAGAAGATGACAATCGCCGTGCCTCTTTGGGTGTTGTCAAACATGTCGGCGAAGACGGCGGCGACGACGGCCAACGGGCATGAACCGAAAAACCCGGTGAAGAATCTGGTAATCATAACCGTCTGCAGATCCTTTGCTGTCGCACAACCGAAACAAAAGACGGAAAAGCCAAACATTGCGATCATGATGGGAAGTTTTCGACCTGTTCGGAGATTATCAGCATGTCGACCCCTCCCGCTCTGGACACTCGTTACCTTGCAATTCTGAGAAAGGACCCCATATCAGCGGCCCAAATGCATATCCCAGGACGTAAAGGGATGTGCTAAGGGTGGTTACTTCGGCACTGACTCCGAAATGCGCGGCCACACTGAATGTGGACGCGGAGAAAATAGAGGAAGTAAAGGTACTGCACAAGCAGACATAAGCTAAAATAGCGCCCATGTATAACCTGCAGCTGATCAGCATCGTCATCACCCGTGATATCGCCCAGTGTGCACTCACTTTCTTCGGAACGGCCAATTTTGGGGATGGAGAGGATCGTCTTTACCATCGAATTCCACCACATACTCTTCCTGCGCTGGCAGATCGGGAGGATATGGTTTTCCACCGCCAAATTCTGGCAAAGGTCGGGTGTCAGCCTTTGACTTTACGCTTGCTCCCACTGTCTGTATCTGTTGCAACCGATGTGTTTCCGTTCTAAGGTCTTCGATGGGGTGGGTTCTTGTTCTGACTGCCCTGGCCGAAGGAACGCTTGAGGCTCCAGCAGTGGCTATTCTGCCCATATCCGGAGTGGTTGATGTGCTGGAGCCTGAGGAGCTGGATATGGAAGATTGCCGAGATCTCTGGCTGCGCAATGACCGGCGCTCTTTACTCTCATGGGACCATTGTCGCGTGGCCTGGACCTCAGCCCGCTCCATGTCCCGATCCACAATATCCATGTTGGTAGATGCGCAAACTGTTTTTCCAGCGTGTATTCGTATGTTCGATCTGTATGAGGGAGCTTATGCTATGGGGACGTCCCCAGAGTCTTGGGAGATCTCGGTTATAAAGTGATGTACACCCTTTCTTTGGCCAGTTGTGTGAGGTCAGTGGTGGCGATGCTATTGCGGGGAGGAATCAGACGGGCACGTCAATCGGCCTCGGGCCGCGATAATGGGAGGACCGAGAAGTCGGGTACGAAAGGGTACGGACGGCTGTTGGGGGTCCGGTATCCGGTTGGATGTAGAGAGTGGTCAGAGAGGAGAAACGAGGGTAGGGCAGTGAGAGCGACGGGTAAATATAACGGAGGGTTGGGGGGGCGGGAGAGAAGCGAGAACGAGAGTAACAGAATTTATCTCGAATCCAGGTCGATCGAACAATGGTTAGTCTATGCTGGCCATGCGAACAATCGCCAATGGATACAAGTAGAAAGGATCGTGTGTGCTAACATTACGAGGTAGTGAGAGGAGATTCAATTCAATGGCAATGGTGGTGGAGGGTGCAGATGGAGGTGATAGATGGGTGATGGTGGAGAGCATGATGACACAACGCAGGCTGCTAATCACCACTAACGGACTACGCCTGCGAAATATGACATGGATCCTCCAAGCTTCTCTTTCCCCCGCGACAATCCTTTTCCCTTGTTCGATTTGAATTCTCAAACAACACCCAGAGGGGCAACAGGGGCTCCTGCAACAACCACCATGATCCAGTGAGCGAGGTAAGATCTATGCTCTCCCAGGAATAGCTGGGGCTCTGTTGACCATGATTTGCGGCCGTACGAGGTAGTGCACATGGCCAAAGGAACGAAGCACGCCGATGGGAGGCCCTAAAAAAAAAAAAAAAACCACACACACCAGCTCGCCAGGTCATCCCCTGCGCTCCTAGCGATCCCCTGCCACTGCCCGCACTTTCAGCCGAATCATCGTCTCCAGCGAACCCAGCAACTGCCATGTCGGTGTCATGCATCGGCTGGCTGCTGATTAAGCCTCGTTAGCCACGATTAGCCTGTGCGACGGTGCCGACTTTATCTCTCAATCCTCCCACTCCCAACCGCTGACAAAGGTGCATGTCTACTGCCTCGGTGCCTCGTCTGCTATTGACACGAATTAATCAGCGTGCAGTTCCTGCCTTTGCCGCAAATAGTCTATCAAACATGGACGTTGGAAGGGGGGTGCTCCAGCTAGGATTCAAAGTGTGTTGCCCATCAAAATTGTGGCGAACGACTGGTTTCCTTCGAGCAGAGTCGATTACAATCCAAGAGACAACGACTCAAAACAGTCGATGATGGAGGGCTTATAATATCCCAGAACAAGCTTCAGACAAAGCTTCGAGCTATCCCTCACGCGCCCCGAGACCGAGTGGTCAACCGGTTCCGCCGTCGGATCTCTGACCACCGAGTGTACTCGCCGGCCTCGAGGATGTTTATCTTCCGTGTCAACCCAGTGGGGTTCCCCAGGATCACAGGCTCCCATTCTTCCTCTCCCTCTCCGACAACTCGATCCTGCCGACCGGGGATCATCTGAACACTTTTCCATCTGAACAGGACCACTGTGAGAAGAAGAGTTAGTGCCATAAGGACACCTGCGACGATGCCAGCTGCCTGCATACCACCGTACCTCCGTTCGACTCGCCCCCCAATGCCCGTTGCCACTGCGCCGAACACGAACTTCAGAGATTGGGTAACTGCCATGCCTGCACTGACTCGAGGATAGCAGGAGAAATTCGTTCGTTGTTCCTTTATTCGTCCTCTGACTGATCTCCGAGGCGGGCGACCCGTCATTCCTGGTTGCAAGTCCGATGTATCAAAGGTTAGCATCATGAGAGCGTAACACTCGGCAATGGCCAGGTTCGAACCAAATCCAACGAAAGCAGCAAACAAGCATGGCACAGCGATGGGAAAAGGAGGTTGTCTTGATGACAGGGCGTATCCAATCGCTGCCAGAGGGAGAAAAATCGTGAAGAAAGTCCGCCGAACCGTATGTGACTGCCACACCATGGCTTTTTGGAATGTCATGCTGTCCGTCCGAGGAGGGTGATATCGGGAACGACTGAGCCAAGAAGCTGTCTGAAAAGGCATTGCCAAAGCTGATCCAATCGCTAGTGAAAGAACGCAAAGTCCAACTTCATCTGGACGGTAATGGTATTCAGTCGAAGCCAACGCTCCAAGCAACTGTTGGTATTAGCCAACCTCTACCCATCACAGTCAGTGACTCACCATCAACACCAAGGTGAATTGTGCGTACACCCAAGCTGCGTAAATCGACAATACCAGCAAGCCAGGCTGCTTGACCATTCGCCAACTCATCCGCAGAGCTGCGATGATCTCTTCGCCCCACCAATATGGCCCATTCCCGGTGAGATGAAGTTTGACCTCCCCACGAGCAACCCTGCTGAAGCTCCCGCCCTCGCCAGTGATCTCCGCAATTGTTCGTCGGAATGCTGATCGACGCACTTCTGGCGAGAGAAGGTTGAGCAGGATAACAGCCATCAGGAGGAGAGACGAAATCCAAAAGCCCCAATCGACCGAAGTACGGCTTATGATCAGTGCTCCAATAAGGAATCCAATGCTGATCGAGCCTACCGTGCACCAGGACCAGATTGCCAGCCACACTCCCATTCCACCTCCATGCCGGCGGACATCATACGGGTCACCAAGCTCATACGAATCACTGCTCTGAAGCGATGCTCCGAAGATGTCCAGCATTGTCGCAAGGTTATTAATGTCCGCAAATCCAAGAACAAAGCCTGACATACCGCGAGACAGGAGTAAAGTAATGCGGTATCTGCTCACATCTGGCGATCTGAATGCGATAACCATCAGCCCCTGCGGTATTTGCAGACACAATGCCAATGCAAGCGCTGCAAGGGTGTAGGGTTTCCGTCCATGCAGCAACGGCAGAGGCCAGAATACCATAGTTGGTATGGCAAGTCCCAGGTAGAGGAAGAGGTTCCCCAGAATGACTTGGTTGTCCAGGTCAACAATGACATACTGAATTGCTGGGACCTCTCCAGCGTATATCCCAAGAAGTAAACCTAGGCAAGTAACATTGATGCAGCTCACCACCGCAGCGAGTCGCTTCCGAGAGTTTGGCCAGTTGCGAACCATGGGTGCATGGTGACAAGTCGTGTGAACGGCCAGATTGTCCGCTCGTTCTGGGAGGTCAATGTGCTGTACGCCATTGAGGTCTACCTTGTAGGAGGGATAGGGCGATGGATGTGCCATGTTGATGCTCACATGTCGGGACGGAATCCCAAACATTTGACTGAAGTGTCTTTCGTGGCCCAGCCCAGGCTTAACTAATAACGGTTCCCTGTCTTCATCCAAATGGACATCCAAGCGGTCACCATTCAGCTGGAGAGTAGGTATTGGCCTTGAAGCGGAAGAACTACTTTCTTCGATGGCGTTGGCAGATGTGACGCGAGGGCCAATTTGGGGAGGCTGGAGGAATCGGGCCGCCGGGTTTTTGAGATCTGAAGGCAGTTCTGTTGATCTCCTATCTCTCGATAATTTTGTCTTTCTCTCTTCTAAAGGCTCAGCAATTGGTTCTGGGAGGAGGAGTCGTAAGTTATCAGCACTGCATGCCCCTCGGCAGCGAAGGCTTCCTTCCCCTATCTTTATCTCATCTCCCTGGAAAGATGGCTCTGTCGCAGATGGCCGTGACTTGGGGGATTGGCCGTTTTCTGAAGGGGGTACAAAATCGCTCGTCTTTGTGGAGACATCTTCTAGGTATTTGCTGATCTTCTTTGCGAGACCCAACTGTGGTCGACGTGGCAGACTGAGCATATTGCGATCTGGTTGTTCTGCAATATGGCCGTCATCGTGAGGAGACCCAGCGCTCTCGGCAAGCTTGACGGCCTCGTCGACCAGCCGTTCTAGTTCTCGAATGGTTCGAGCCATGGACGCCGACAATTTCTCTTCTGATTCGCCATCCTCTCCGTCTTCCATTTCGCCAATGCTGTCCTTGCGGGATATCTCCGGGGGACCATCATGTTGTGCAGGGTGATTTTCAAATTGCCTGGCAGCCTGATCTTTGTCTGTTCCCATTCGCCGAGATATGCGAGGGTGCGGACTGTTATGGGAGGACTCTGAGAGCGAGCTTCAGCCTTTTGCACTGTTTTAGATGCGGGATGATTAGGATGTCATGAGCATGACTGTCGGGAAAAATAACTGAAGGGATACAAGATGACAAGGAGAGTCGAGGCGCGAAGAATAATAGCGTAGTTGACAGGAGAGGCAGTGTCTGCAACGTGGAGGACCATCGGGTATGTTGTATGCCTCATCCACTCCGAGCATGTCTGCAGCTTCCTGAATCCGATTCCCATCATTGAGATGGCAGTGTCGATCGAGGGCATGGCGTGGTGTCCATGGCGTTTTGGCGACATGGTTGATCGCTAAGGCCATTCTGCCAAGCATTTTCTGGGCGAAGCTTGTCCATGAGCTTAGCGGTGGGAGGATCAACAGGAGAGGCGGGCAAAGGCGGGGCAGCTGTGCTTCGGGGCGAGCCGGTCGATTGTCCCTGGGATTATAGCTATGTCCTGTTCTGGCTATAATACAAGAGGAGGAAGTCTGCGAGGGTTGATGAGTAACCAGGAACAAAGGGAAGAAGCGCTTGAGGGCCGTGCAGTTGTCACCGATTGATCGCATAGTGGCAGCGGCAGTGCCTCGTCCATTCGATTCGCGATTTTACCCCTCCAACACCTCCCCCTCCATCCATCTGCATGTTCGCCAGTCACTCCGTCGTTTCAGGAAGTTTGGACCTGTCAGCGCTCGTTTCGTGCCACGCCACGCCACGCGACCGTGTCATGCTCTGCTCCGTTAGCACTGGCGGCACCGTCATCTTTGGTTTATTTCAACCTTGACTTTCATTCCCTCTCTTCCTTTCTTCCTCGCCCATCAACACTTTCATTCGCTTCCTTGACATTGCGTACCTGACTTGAATCCCACTACGTTCATTCTAAGCTTTACAACCTTCACGACTTGATACACCCCTCCCTCGCCATGTCTTACTACAACGATCGACCCCAAGACTCCTACGGCCGGGACCCGTACGACGAGCCCCAATCTTACGGAGGTCGCCCTCAGGTACCCTATCCGTGGGAAGCCGAATGGGATGAGCGTGACGGCCGCTGGTTTTTCGTCAATCGTGAAACCGGAGAGCGTACCTTCCAGCACCCGCAACCGTCCTATGGCGGACGTAGCTACGATGAGAGGGGCTCTAGACAAGGTTATAGGGAAGAAGATGATAGGGGACGCTACGAGCAAGAGCCAGAGAAGAGGTCTCACACCGGTCGGAATATTGCACTTGGTGCAGCTGCGGGTCTTCTCGGCGGCGCGCTCTTGATGCATGAAGGAGAGAAAGTCGGTGAGTAGAGCTGCACTCGTTCCTCCTGTTACAGTTGTGTCTGACGGATACTACAGAGGACAAATGGGACGATGCCAAGGATGATATCGAGGACGACTTCCGTGACGGAGCCCAAGACGTTGAGAACTTCCCAGACAATGCCGCACGCTGGACCGGAGAAAAGGTTCAAGAGGTCGAGGACATTCCGCAAGATATTGACCGCAAATGGGACAACGCAGTTCAGGACGTTGAAGATGTGCCGGAAGACGTTGCCGGTTGGGCTGGCCGAAAAGTCGGGGATGTCGAGGGTAAGTCCCCTCATGCCTGGAGAAATGTTACTAGAAGCAGTTTACGGAACTCTTCGCTTTCCCAGTACAGCTGTATGGTGCTAACGATAGATCAGGATTTGGTGACAACGTTGACAACGCCTACGACCAAGGCCGTGATGATGCCCGATACGATGACAACAACTACTAAACTGGCTCGAGTTTCTCGGAGTCCTATTTCTACTAAGCTTTCGGCGGTTTAGGTAGAGATAAGGATATGAATCTCTGCGTTCCATGGTTGATATTGAGCTTCCACCCCTTCATGGCCAATGAGTCGGTTGTCGACACTCGTCAATAAGGCGCCATTAGCCTTCTGATAGTCTTTAATTATCATTTTGCCACGCAACCTTCCCGAACGCGGTTCAGATCAAAAAGTGTCCTCAACGCCTTTGTCTTATCCACACCTGATATCTGCCGGGACATGTCTTAGGAATTTTCAGGGGGTGGGACATTCTCGATGGATTGCCAGTGTAACAGGATCGATCAGAAAAGTGTGCACGGACACGACTGACAGGAGATCATTTCAGGCATCTGGCGGTAGATGTGCTAGCATTGCTATGAGGCCAGCGTTTCTTCAAGCGTCCCCCAGTCCACGGCTGGGCTATCTCGAGAGTGAAGAGGTCTAGGTGCCTGCATCCCCGTTTGCGTAAGTATATTCTGTATTCTATGCGTTGATGGAATGGCTCTGATGCAGCAGCTCCTCGATAAGACGAAAACGCCAGCCAAATCCAGGTTTTGATACCACCGGGCGTTCTTCTCATGGCTGAGAATCTGAGACACAGCTTGCCCCCAGAAAGAGATATTTCGGCATGTTGCTGCGCGTCTGCAACAGCAGCCGGACAGAACTGAACAGCATCTCCGAGACACCAGCTCAGCTAGGAAATAAAGAACTGAGCCCATTAGGATGGTATAATTCATAACCCCAAGATGGGACGCGAAAATGTTCAAAAGAGTGATCTCGCACCAGCTTGGTTCGTGTCTAAATCAATTGAGAACTCATCATCTATCTTCTATTTCCCATCTCTCACGCACATTATCACCAGCATGGCTAGACTTACCAAAGAAGACGCAACCAAGGACTGGGCTCTCGTTTGGTCGTGGACAAACAAAGGGCTGGAGGTGATATTGAATCCAGCCAGTATTGTCCAACTGACAGGGGATCTCGATCGCGACCTTGATAGCCTTCTTGAACATGCCACTTCACTACTCAGCATTAGTGAATCACTTCTAACTGCTCACGAGCAGCTAGTGACGAAAGAATATCCGCAGCTGGCTCCAATAATCAACAAGGCTGGGTCAAATTCTTCTTCCAGGGCTCTGGTGCAACCTACCGACTCCAGTGTTGACTATGTGGATGGGTCAATCTCGAGCAACGGCTGCCAAAAACCACTTTGCGAGCCACAATCAGTCTGTCAAATGACTCTCCAGAACTTGGACAATTCAGATCCCGATTCCCACTCCCAAGGCACCTCTGTTCCCGGTGGAACGAGATCGTGTACACCAAAGAGACCGTTGGAACTGAACAAGGTACTCTCCATTGACGAGATTGTCGATGACCTTTTGGCCGCAGCTGGCGCGACCATGAGATTCATCAGAGCTCGGATTTTGTGGGAATCATTTCGCACCTTTCATCGCCATTCCTCTCATCGTCATTCCTCTCATCGTCATTCCTCTCATCGTCAAGATGACAGAGAGACTCAGGTGGCTATCGCGGACCGTTTCCATAGGTTTGCACAAATCTACAGAGAAAATCGGGGGGTATTCCTTCGCGCTCGAGTGGACCACCTCCAGAATTTCCGGGAGGAGATGAGTCTCCTCTCGAATATTTTCGAGGTCACGCATCAGCTGCGGATCACTCAACAGCAGCTATTAGAGCAGCAACACTGGGAGGACTGATAGTATGGCGATGGCGACGAAGCAGTGCGGCAAAGAGTACTCTGCGTTCGAGAGATTTCAAGATCTGCACAAGCATTCTCATCAAATACAGGGAGGGATTCACATAGACGTATTAGACTTGATCGGTAAAATTTATTGGGCTCTGTATATTGAGTAGAGTTTCCAAACGGAAAAGGAATATCGTCGAACTATCTCGACTCATTTTCAGCGTAACTTCAGACAATAGCTACTGGGCGAAACCAAGACTATTCGGAGGCACAATCTTCTCTTTTTCTTCATCCAAGTCATCGCAGACTTCTCTTTCTTCTCCTTCCCGCAGGTATACTGGTAGAAAACGCTCACAGAGTCTTGAGGCAGATTCGGCTCTGCCGCAATCAAAGCCTGGACTCAGTGCTGAGCCAACCTCAGCTCATGTCGAAGTGTCTATCCTTTTAACGAAAACGCGATTCAACTTGCTGTTTCAATCCGATCCGAGCCCTTTGTAGACGTGACCCAATGAGGATTCCCTGCACCATCTATTCAGCACGGCCTCCAAATGTGTGTTTAGTTAAAGGGCGTACTTGATAACCACTTCGAAGACGGTGGTGAGCACTAAACCAAGGGAGATCATGTCCAAATCATTTGCTCTTCGATGAACAATTTTTTGGTCTAGTTTTCATCTTTCTCGAGCTCTATTAGGATGGCCATTGAAATCGTATGTTGTCCTTCTCGAGCCCGTGTCTCACAACATCAATACCACCAGACTTGATCATCCACTCCAGCCGATGATCCCGGTACTCCCTCTTGAGCAGACCCTTCTGTAAGAACTCGTAAGCTGCAGTCACAACCTTTACCCCTGCCGAGAACTCTTCAAATACCGACTTCACCGACTTCCGTTCTTTTGCCCGTTCGTACCAATTCCTGAGCGGCGTCCCAGGTTCAGGCTCCAGGCCGTACGATGTCGATCGGTTCACGAAGGGCCATACACAGATGTCCGCATAGCCAAACATGTCGCCCCCAAACCACTCGGCATCACCAAGCTGTTCCGTAAGCCAGGCCTGGATCTGCGTTGCCTGCTGCTTAGCCTTCTCCTTCATCCTCGCTGCCAAGTCGCCGTCAGCTCGCTTGAACGTTTCGATCTCGCCCATACCCCAGTTTATCGCTTCGTACTGCGAGTCGCACACGTCTTCGATCATCCGTGCTTTCGCGCGCCCTGGAGCATCCGCTGGCCGGAGCGGTACATCGGGATATTTATCTTCGATGTACTCAAGGATGATCGTCGAATCGAAGATCTTGATGTCGCGGTCGACCAATGCGGGAACTTCAAGGCGGTGGTTGTGCTTTACGAACTCCGGGTCTAGAAGTGCAAGATTGCCACTGCCGCCGCCTTTCGGAGTCTTGGCTTCGAAGGGAATGTTCTTCTCGCGAAGGGCGATGCGGACTTTTTGAGCAAAGGGACTCACAGGGTGATCCCAAAGGAGAAGATCTGTCATTGTTCTGTCAAGAGTTGATATCGCTTTTTGCGATATTCAGACTGCTTTTTCTTCCTTTTGAAATCCTTAGATATAAGGCCTTAGCCGTCTTGCCCCCGCGACAAGGATCTCGAACAGAACCCACTCAAGAAATATTCAGACTCTGGTCATATAGCTCCTGATTGTTGAGTGGGAGGACATGGACGAGGTCTGCATTGTTGGGAGATTTTGTCCGACGCTCGCGGTGTAGGACGGCGACGCGGAAAAAGGATCTACGATGCGAGTTTTCCGCCTCCTCGTTATGATTCAAATTTCCGCGACACGGGAGAATCTGCTGGCATCTGGCCGCCCGCGACAATTGCTCGAGATCCCGCATCAGCAGATTTCTAGCTTATAAACATGAAGGCAAGGCGTGTGCCGTGTTCGGAGCCGTTACTTTTGGGGGACTTGGTTGTAACTTTCCCGCACGCTGGCTCATATGAAGGTTTGCACACCATCGGATTTATTCGTCTCTGCTGAACGCCTTTATCTTGTCTGGGGTGTTGATCCTCAGCACCTCTGTTCATCGAGCTGCACGAATCGAGAAGATGGGCAGTACTGGAACTGAAGAAAACCCAAAGTCACCTTTCCCCGACCCAACGGTCTTTGTGACCGGACACAATTCTGCATGCAAGGCCATTGTTCAAAGCTCGACCGTCGAAGAAGCCAAAGCATATCAGGGGATGAGAGTTAGCCACAGCCTCATCTATACAACTTCCGAGTTCCCACCCGACCTCAATGAGGACAAGGACATCGAGCTGCACGAAAAGATCAAGGCGTCGGGAAACCTCAATATTGTCAATCCGGGCGGCACCGTCATCCGCATTGTTAATTTCGCACCTTACAACAAGTCCATGATGCACCGCACGCAGAGTCTGGACTACGGCATTGTACTTGAAGGAGAGATGATCATGGAGTTGGATGACGGAAGTAGGACGCTCATGCACAAAGGGGATGTTGCTGTTCAACGCGCGACGATGCATACGTGGAAGAACGCCAGTGAAACGGAGTGGGCAAGGATGTTGTTTGTGCTACAAGACTGCCAGCCGGTTCTTGTTGGTGGGCAAAGATTTAAAGAAGACCTGGGCCATGTTGGATATAGTGTGTTTCCCAGCAGCGGCAACGACGCATAGATGATGCACGTCCACGTAAGGATAGAGGCAAGGCATGGCGTGCATAGTTATCCGATCCACCATAAATTCCAGCTGCCTTTTGTTAGAGGAATGAAAGCAGTTCGTTCACAGAGACTGCGACAAACGCGAAAGCGCAAGGTAGCAAGTCTGATGGCTTGGCGACGATGAGAGCCATGCTGGTGGTTCTGTCGGCCTGGCGCTTTTTTCACAGAACCGTGCAAGACTCCTCGACTTGCATCTCCGAGATTAAGGGTTTGGTAGTTCGGAAAACGTCCAAACTGAGAGGTGGTTTAACTTTGAACACACCATGTGGTTTTCCGTGTCGGGCCCCGTTGGGAATCCCCGCGTTTGGGTTTGGGTTCGGGTTTGGGTTTGAGACATATCTTTAGCATTCTTCCTGGTAACGGGCAAAACACGAGTTATCACTGACTCCACGTCCATCCAAACACGCGAGAAGATACAGGCATCTACGGCAAAGGCCCAGCTACAAACAATGGGTTCTGACTATATCATCAAAAATGCCACCGTCGTTTCTGTCGACAAAGATATTGGCACCGTCTCAAACTGTGACGTTCTGATAGAAAAAGGCGTCATTGCAGCCGTCGGTCCAGATCTACAGTATTCCTCGAAACCCATCGTTATCGACGGCACGAATGCTATTGTCTCCCCGGGCTTTATTGACACTCATCGACATACTTGGCAGACGCAACTGAGGACGATCGGCTCCGACTATGTGCTGTCGGATTATATATTGAACTTGAGACAGATTTACGGAGCGTCTTACACGGTTCACGATGCATACCTCGGAAACTACTGCGGTGCACTGGACTCCATTGACAACGGAATCACATACCTGATCGATCATTCGCACATTATCAACTCCCCGGAGCATGCTGATGCCGCCATCAAAGGGCTCCAAGATGCGAAGATTCGAGCAACATTCTGCTATGCAATGTATCCCAACCCACACTGGGAAGGCTCATGTATGGACAAAGAACGAGAAGAGAAAACGCCAGATTGGAGACTCCATGATACCAAAAGGGTCGCAGAGAAGTTCTTCAAGTCCAGCCAGCCTGGTGATCTGTTGCGGATGGGCTTCGCTTTGTCTGAACCTGACTTGACTCCATTTGACCGACTCGTCCAAGAAATCGATTATGCAAGATCTATTGGCTGTAAGGTCATTACTGGGCACTTCAACTTCGGCAAATGGGATCCGGGTAATTGCATAATAAGGCAGTTCGGGCAAAGAGGCCTGCTCGGATCGGATCTCTTACTCAGCCATGGTAATACCTTGCGTGACGATGAGCTTGAGTTTATTGCGAAGCATGGTTGTGGAATATCCAGTACGCCTGACACTGAGCTGCAGATGGGCATGAGTCACCCCGTAGCTTTTAAGGCTAAGGATCGCGGCTGCAGCGCTTCTCTGGGTGTCGATGTCTGCTGCAGTGCGCCAGCAGACATGTTTGCGCAAATGCGACTACTATTACAGGCCCAAAGACATCTTGAGCATGAAGCGGCAGACAGTGCGCCTTTGAAGATGTCACGCAGTTGCGAAGAAGTACTAGAGATCGCTACAATGGGCGGCGCTAAGGCTGTTGGACTCGAGAAAGTCATTGGGAGTATCACTCCAGGTAAAAGAGCAGATCTACTTGTCACCAGATGTGACGCTCCCAGACTGGTTCCGGCACACGACCCCATTGGCACTCTTGTCTTGTATGCCAATGGCTCGGACATCGATACGGTCATGATCAACGGCGAGATTGTCAAGTCTGGGGGGAAGCTGACCAATGTGGATTGGCCGAACCTCAGGGAGGAATTACGCGCGTCGGTCGCCGCAATCGTAAGTTAGCTGCCCCTGCAACGTCCCTATCAACGTTTGGAGGCGTTGGTCTTTCACGCAGCGATGTCCGTGTTGGACTGAATCTCAGCGACGATGCTAACTTGCTGCCAATCGTAGATGGAAAGATCAAAGAAAGTTCCTATGGAAGAGGTGGAAGCCACGCGGGATTACATGGTGAGGACAATAGACGTTATCAACCAACGCCGTAAAGCCAACTCCGCTTGAAGGGCCTGGTGACCTCTCTGCTCCTGACATCAGCGAGGACTTCATGAGCAGAGATGTCACTGAAGACCGAGGAGAAGGATTACATAGCCTGGCTCGTGGGCGGTGGCCGGTGTGAGGTTTTCGAATATCAGGTTGATTGCCTGAATGGCTTTAGGTTGCCACTGATCAAATGTGTCTGCCATGGTTTGTTCTGACCGAGCCTCTATCTGTCTATGTACAAAGTACAATGCTGTGACAACAAAACCTCTCCTGAATAGATCTGAACAGATCCACAACTGTCCAGCCTCGTTCTGTCTACTCGCCACGTCGCAAATTGTAACAAGGCTCGACAATGGCTTAGCCAATGGCGAGGTCGGCAACGAAGGCCTAGTGGCTTGTTCCCACTTAGCCACTCGAGTCACTTCCACAGCAGGCTTGCAGCGGGGCAACAGGTAGTCATCGCTATCGCTGCTTTGTATTTTCCGTGTCTTGGCTCAACTACCCCGTTGTTCTGACCCCATTTTCCGTCTGCAAGCTCTTTGCCCCGCATCGAGGTCCGTGAATTGCTCCCGTGCTGTAAATTCACGCAGCTTTCCCTATGGCGGGAATATTGCTGTTTGACAGATATCGGGATGCATCATGTTGACCGGCTCAGGTCGGCCGCGGAAAGCCTGTGGGACATGCAAAAGCCAGAAGGTAAACCAGAAAAGCCGGCCGTCGCTTGTTCTTGCGCTCTGACCGTGATAGATCCGCTGTACAGGGGAGAGGCCAAAGTGCAAACGTTGTTTGAGATTGAAGCATACATGCATCTACAGTGTCTCTTCCAATGTGCGACACTTGAAGTCGCAGCAGGCTCTGGGCTCTGGGTTCGATGAGAGGCGTGCTTCGCCAACGCCTAAATCAGCTCGAGAGGACAAACTTGTCACCACAACCAATTTGACAAGAACTTCGAACTGTCAAATTACTTTACCTGTCCTTTCGCCGCCACCTTCTTTCGAAGAACGATACGTAGGGATACCGAAAGCATTGGTCTCTACGCTGGTTGACCTCTACTTCGAAAATGTATACAACGCCCATCTTCTGCTTCACAGAAGATCTTTTCTCGAGGCGGTTGTCTCTGGTACCGCACGTCCGCACGTCCTTCTCGGCGTTTGCGCCTGGGGAGCAAAGTATGCAGACGAGCTGCTTCTTTCCCGTTGATGTAGCTGACTAGGCTCGGGTAGTTTTTACCGGGATAACAATGGTCAAGCTACCCTAAAGGACCATGGCTTTATGGTCGAATGGGCTCAACGCGCAGGCAAGCTGGTATTCCAAGAGCTCCATGAGCTTCACGAAGACAGCCTTGTCACATTCGTCAACCTGAGTGTCTTCTGGCACAGCCAAGGTTCATGGAGGATGGCTATTCTGCACAAAGGTCTTGATCGTTGATAAGGATGGACTACAGTGCTGATACTTTTACAGGAAGCGCATGCAATCTACTGTCTATCATAGGTGTCGGGTCTGGAGCACTTCAACAGGACACCTCATGGGAGTCTGAGGTTCGTCGACGTCGCTGCTGGGCCACATACCTGATGCACTGCCACAACTCCGAGTCATTGTCAAATTTCCCAATTGCGGGTATGGAGAAGCTCGCACTCCCGTGGCCAGAAGGGGATTTCGAAGCACGATATTCAAGAAGTGCTCGAGTCACTCTAGACTCCGGCGAGGGCAATGGAGGAGTCTATACCGAAGTGATCAAGGTGTTAACGCTCTGGTGAGCTGAGCATATGGACTGAGCCTTGCATATTCACACAGGCTTATCCCGATAATAGGTCTTTGGCACTTTCTTGCATAAAGATGGCCGAACCCAGGTTTACCACGAAGCTCCCGGCGATGTATGCTCTCCAAGAGAAATTGTCGGACTGGTGGCGCAAGTTGCCCTCCGATATGCGCCTTACACCGACCAACATATCTGCTACACCCAAACATTTGTTCCCCAACATCCTCCTGATGAATGTGGTATATCATCAATCTCTTTGCGCCCTCCATGCCTCTATTGTCCCTCTGTTCTGTTGGGGCGAAGGTGATGAAAGCTGGTCGACGGCACGACAACTCTCTGCACAGCTCGCGTACGAGCACGCCTGCACGACCTCAGAGCTGCTCCACGTCGTGGTGTCAACTTTTGACAGACTCAGCGCAATGCCTAGCTTTATCTGCTATGGCGCATATTGCGGCTGTGCGATACAAATCCCATTCCTCTGGAGCTCGAACCCATCTGTTCGCGAAAGGGCGTACACTAACGTCAAGGCCAACATGAAGATGATTGATCTCATGTCGAAATACTGGAAGTTTGCCGCGCTATTGGTATGGCCAACAAGACCTCTAATGAGATGGAAAACTTCTCCTAGGGTAGCTGACGTCTCTTGCATAACAGAAAATCTACGTTCGGTGCTTGTACAAGGGGCACAAGCAGCACCCCACGGTTCTCGAAGACGAGCCGAAATACCTGGATCCCCAGAAACTGACAAGCTTCAAGATGAATGCTCCCCATGTGCAGGCTTCAATCCTCGAATTCATCGGCATCCTCTACTCAAGGGAAGATGGATATGCACAGCCAGGAGAGACGCCAGGCCTCGAGATCGAGCACCTTGGTACCAGAGATGGACCGCCATCTCGCACGTCCATTTCAGAAGACCGCGAAGGTGAGAATCTTCGAAAATTACCTGCATATTGCGTACTAACGATACGCCTCAACAGCGGACCCCGCAGAGCAAAAGGAACTTCATCTTACGGGCGATACGAACTGGCCGCAACCGTTCCCGACAGTCCCGTTCGCCCCAGAAGCCTTAGTACAGTATCAACAAGATCAAGCACAGCGGCAGCAGCAACAGCTCCCGACTTTCTCATCCGCATTTTCAAACCAGCATCAACCCGATGCAGTCCCTCTTGAGAGCCAGACCCTGGATATATTTCAGCCTCTGTTAGACCCAGAGACGATGCTGGACCTCTTCCCGAACGGCGAGCTGCCTGACCTCTCGGCATTTGACACGAGCCCGCTGGACTTGCATCACTTCGAACTGGAGGGCTGGGATGACGATGGCACGGGCGCGAGTGCCTCCTCAGTTTCTTGGACCGCAACTACCAACGCGGGGCTAGCGCAGAGATAGCCGAGACTGATGGCATGGCAGAGCGTTGCTGGATGGGATGCGTGTCATTGTCATTTGACAATATACAGTATCCAGCGTAGTTCCAGGTCTCTCATTGCTACATAATACAATCGGGATTAGCGGCCGCATGCGGAGCCTCGCTTGGGACTGGGGATTATCGGCGTGTCACCCAGCATCTTTGTCAGGTGATATGCGAATTGAAAGCACGATGAGATAGATATGCAGCGGATAGGATGGCAGTCCAAAAACTTCACCCACAATTTGAGGCGCAAGGAGACACAGCAATCCTCACTCCGAAGGCAGGCGTATTCTTCGCCGCCGTGACGACTGTCATGGTCCCTTTGGATACCCGCCTGTAGCAATCAACCACATAAATCATGCCGATGCCGAGCACGGCGCAGAGCCCGTAAGTAGTCGCCGCGCCGACGATGGGGAGGATCGAGAGCAATTGGTTCTGTATCCCAGCCCACATAGCATGTGACCCGCGGGGGCAATGATTGTTGGAGGGGCCATGCACCACAGTCGCGATTCAGGGGCGAAGTAGCCGTCATGCCGCTTGGTGACGAATTGGACGGTCCAGTCGGTGAAGGGACCGTCGGCGAGACAGCCAATGCGCGAGGCGATGAGGTTCTAGATACACGAAAACAGACGTTAACGCAAACGCAACCGGCGAGACGAGGAGGCCATGCCGAACAGCTGATGTTTCCCACAGCAAGGGGAGAGAAGGTGTACACGGCCAGGAAGAGGGCGCCTTGGGCGGTGATCTGGAACGAACGGCATCCGAGATTGACACAACATGTGGCGATGAAGAACCACACGACTGAGTAGCGGAGCGTGAGGAAAGGTCGCCACCAGAGCCACCAGGCTGAGAATTCTCTGCGTGCGTTCGAGACCACGACAGCGATCGAGACCGTGCAAAGTGTCGCAAAGGAACGTGACCTATGGCCTCACATTCCTGTTATACCACGAAGTAAAGCGCAGCGAGCCCGATCCAGCGGCTTGTATGCTGAGGATTTTTGAAATGGAAAACAGTCTGACTTGGAATTCGATGAAGCAGCAGCAGCAGCAGCAGCAGCATCAGTTAACCATGATTGTAAGTATCTATCAAATTATCCGGGTTATCTTGAATGATGCATAAAGAATCTATCCATAGATACTCGATCTCGAGTCGAGAAGAAATGTTGACTGCATCTCGGAACGTCCTTGGTAATTCTGAGACTAAAATACCATTCTTCAGACACTGAAAGTTGCCTTTTACAGTCTGTAGGAGATTAGATGACGTACCCTGGCGATGACTGAGACAGATGTATCGTCGATACTTCTCATGCCTTCGGCCTTACCAAGAGAGACCCTTCCTTTCCATGGACTGTTTTGAGATCGAGAACTGGAGTAGCGAGATCAGACTCTTAGGTTGCGCATCAGCGACCTCCGTCACAAGCGCGGAGAAACGCACCAGCTTCGTGAACGAGACATTGCTGCACGAATCCATGTCAACTCTCTGTGCAGATATTGTGTTCCATAATGGACCAGCTAGTCTCCAAGTTAATATCTGTGAGAAAGATGCCGGGCTAGATTTCCTTGTGCTAGAATTAGGGAAACCTATTCACACCACTTGGACAGCGCTGAGAGTGTCAAAAGACGTGAATTTGTGTCCAAAAAGGTGAGAAATCCGAAGGTAGCATTGAAAGTGAGGATCAAGAAAAGAGTTGCTCGCGCGAGTCCATAATAAACATATGCTCCCAGCCTCGCTACTCCTTCGGGCGACTGGAAATTGCGACGCTAGCGGGATTACGCCACGTGATTTTTGTGGGTTTACCGACGTTTAACCGGAGGAGAGCGGGCTTGAGCGGGTTTGAGCGGGGAAGCTGGGACCCGACTCAGCAACGGCTCTGCCACCATATGTGTTTTGTCATTTCATAACAAACACTATGGACTCATGTCAATGTACTAGCAAGCCTTCTCATCCGTTGTACCGCAGACTCTTGCAAGACAATGAGATCCGTGTGCTCACCATCCATTCACAGTTTGAGTTCACCCTCAAGAATGTATCCTTGAAAAATAACCCGCAATACGTCGCAGTTTCCTACTGTTGGGGAGATGATGCCAACGAAATTTGCAACGTGCGGATCAATGGCTATGACTTCCAGCTTCGAAAGCATGTATTTGCGATGCTGGAGGTCCTATATTGTCACCACAAAGAGCCCCGTGTCTGGTTAGACATGGTTTGCATCGACCAAAATAACCCAGACGACAGATCTAAGGAAGTGTCGTTGATGGGGCAAGATATACACTGAGGCCACGAAAGTCTATGCTTGGCTAGGAGAAGCCGATCCCGAAATTGACTGCATCTTCGACGTTTTGACGACGTTTCGCGACTGTAAAAGAGAGTTAGAACTACCTGCCCACTTAGATGCCGCCGAACAACTCTCTTGCCACAGGGGGCTGTTCCGCAAGATCTATAGTGAAAGAGCTGGTGGCTTACCCAGGCGGAACCCAACAGATGATCCCACGTTGCATGAAGAGTTCAACTGGCTCCGCCCGTTCTATCTGCGGCCTTACTGGCGCCGGATCTGGATAGTTCAGGAGCTGGTGCTTGCCAAGGAGGTAGTTGTTTGTTGTGGGGACAAACACATTGACTTTGACGACATCTACGGACTTAGCCTTGATTGGGGCTCATTCGAACAAGGCTTCGATAGGATTGAATTGGACGAGGCCATAGTCGACGAGTTGATTGGCATCACCAAGGCGAAGAGCTCATTAAGCATGGTTCGCGTCCCGAAGAAGTTCAATATTAATATGCGGTATCCAGCGAGGATTTCCAAACGCTTACTTCAACGTCTATTCCGCAGGCAGGGGTCGGAGAAGCAGGAGTCCAACTCAAGTAGATGGAAGACCATCCAGACTATCCGCGGGCACCGACAACGTAGGCAACTGTTGTTAGGGGAGACGGAAGGAGAGGATACATCTCCAACGATCTTCGACGGAGGGGAGGAGGGCCGAGGTCAAGTAATCGTCACGATGTCTAGGCGAGGCGACGTCGGAAAATTCGACGAAGTGCTCAAGGTGTATGCTCAGCACAGATGCAAATGTCCCAAAGATAAAGTTTACGGCTTCCGTAAGCTAATTTCAGCATGGAAAGACAATCTGGTGGTGGACTATAAAAAGTCGGATCTACAGGTCTTCCTGGATGCTGCGAGATTCGGTTTACTGAACCCGGAAGAGCACGGCGGACGGCACGTTGCATATTGGCTGTGGTCGGCAATGGGGCTGGGTGATCGCAAGGAGTTCAACAGCTGCCTATGCGAGAATTCCCTCGAGGTCTAGCGAAGAAATGGATCGCGGCTTTGGCGTTAGGATTGTTAGCGATTTTGAATGTCTGGATCGGCTCGTCTCAGGATGTCGCTTTTGCAATGCCGTGTGGTATTAGATGGATCTGGTATGCTCAACCATTAGAATAGTTTATCCTGCTTGCCCTCCGCCCAGTAACTTAGCTCAGCCATCTAATATCTACGATTGCAGGGCTTACGATCCGCAAGGGTCTGCGGGCGCTCCATACGCCTGTGAAGTTGTTCGTTCTCCCCTCTTACATTCTCCAAGTCATCGTGAATTGCTTTTGACAAGGTCCTTCGACTGTCAGTGGTCCATTTCTTCGTTGAACTAGTTGCACGCACATCAAGTCAGTTGTCAAAGGACAACTGATGAGCGACTTCAACCGTTCCATCCGAGCAAACGCAATTTCCAATTCCTTTTTGGTGAAATTCCACAATAGTGCTGGCGGACTATCAGCACGACAACGTCTTTGACTGGACAATTCGGGAGTCCCAGAGACTGGGTCGTGATGCCCAAGTACCTCTTGCATCGAATGACGTGGACGAGGGATGATGGCGGACACTACGAAACCGTCAGGTTGAGGAACCCAGGATGTGACTTAGCCAGCTTGTCGAAAGAGGAGATGATATTCTCAACATGGGAGTTGGATGGGCCGTACGAGGTAGACATGCTAACGATGCACATCTCAAGATTCTCACCCCCACGTCCTGAGCCGGAAATAGCGGGAGCCTTGCTGTATCTGGACCAAGCCCAAGTCTCTCCTCTAATCCAGTGATCAATCGGCCATTCGTTCAGGACAGCCTAGGCATTGCGTCGCATATGCTCCATAGTATAGGAAGGGCGGCAAAGAGGATCAAGGCTATAAAGCAGGCAAGACCACCAGCCTATATTCAGCGATGCGGCGGAAAAGCAAGCAAACATTATTGGTCGCGCTTTTAATTGGACAACAGCGAACAGTCTCGTCTTTGTGCGACTCAATTGATGTCACGTGCTTGGCACAGTGCGCAAAACGAACGTTGTGCAAAGCCTGCAAGCAGAAGGTCTTCGCCCTTCCAAACTTCCATACGCAACATTTTCTCTTCCATCCCACAGTCCAATTCAATTCGCAGCAAAGCCCGAAGGAATTCTGGGGGCAGAAGATGATCTCGCCCCACTGCAGGTATCAAGTTGGCACGCGAGACTGGCTGCCTGCTGTTATACACAGATTGAGAGTGGATCTATCTGCTTGATTGTGTTCTCGCCTCTGGCTTTTCAGAGAGACTCTGCCTATCTATATACTGGCTGCACTGTGGCAACAAGCGATCGGTTGAATAGATCTGGACCTGGCCAGGTCTGTCCAGACCTCGTTGTCGATCAACGGTGGCACCGAGGCTATTATAGAGAGGCCTCGGTTAATGCTGTAATGGGAGAAGTTTAAAGTGGGGGATAGCTTTATAATTGGCTGGGGCGTCGACGCTAGACTAAGATTCTTCTTATATAGTCCTCGGGGACTATCATTCATAAAAAAGTCAATTAAGTTATGAACGGGAGAACTTCCTTTAGTTGAGTGTGCGTGCTGTGAAGAGACTATCCCACCGCCGTACGAGTTGACGCCCATGGCTAGTAGCCTCGCCCTAGTTCAGTGGTACCACCAATAAGATCTTCGACGAATACTTACGGATGGGTATCTCTCTACGAGCGATGAGAGAAGATTACGATGAACGACTAAAATAAACTACTTATTAGATTAATAGAACTAAAGAATTATCTATCTATCTATTTAACTAAATCTAAAGAAACTAACTATATATATAGAACCGCTACGTAGAGTATACTATTTAAATTACTAGCTAAGTAAGTCTATCTCGCTGTACGGAGCGGTTTGCGCTAACTATTCATAGAGACCGCTACTCGGGGTATCTTTTAAAATTACTAGCTATATATATTTACTATCACTATATAGAGTGAAGACCAACGACTTAACGACTATTTAGACTATCTAGAAGAACTAAGAGAGAAGTATCTCCTAGAAACGTAGGAATGCGTTTAACTCTAAAAACTTCGAACTTAAGAAGCTTAGAAGAAGTCGAAGAACGCGGATCTACTCGAGAAATAGTAAAAATGAGCGGTTAAACTAAACTCACTAAAATAAACGAAGTTAGAGCGCTACTAATCGAGAAGTAAATCTAAAATTTTAATAAAAATTACTAGTAAAGACGAGAAAGAAGCTTAATGAGAAAGTCGATGAAGAGATAAAGAGAGAAAAAAGAGAAATAACTAAAAATATTAATAAAAATAATAAAAATAATAAAATATCTAAATCTTTTAGTTTCGCTATTAAGATTTATATTATTTCGATTATAAGAGAAGAAGTAAAAACGATTTAATATTAAAAAAATATCGTCTACGAAAGAATCGAATAATAAAGAAAAGCTAAAGTCTTCTACGATATTAAGTATTAACTTATAAGATCTATCGACGCTAAATTTAACGATATAATCGTTATATACTTCTTTTACTATAATATTAATAAGAGAAATATTTTAGAGTTTAAACGAAAATAATAATCTTTTATACTTTAATAGAAAGAACGCTATCTCTTTCTTCGAGAAGTTTAAAAAGCTATATAAATATTGTAATAAGGTAAGGTGGCTGTGCTGTGATGGGCTGTGCTGGGCTGGTAGAGCGGTGGCAAGGTGAAAAAGTTGTCTAGTCACATGTCAAACCTAAATGGGCTGGCAGAGAGGAGGTGCGGAACAGTTTACAGTGCTGGCAGTGTGCCATTCATTTTTTATAGATTGAGCAGAGTATTATGAATTCCATGGCTTTTGGTGCCGTCTACCTAAATTCTGAGAGTGTTTTATCAGTTCTGTCCTATTTCTCGATGCTGCCGCTGTGCTAGGTGTTCGTAGTCCTAGTCGCTGTCTCTCTGGGTGGTGTTAGTGGTATTATTGTCAGTATCAACTAGAAACGCGTTCCCGATTCCCGATCTGCTGGATAGGCCTCTGTGCGTTGTTGTACGTGCACGCCAAACCCTAAAGTGCTCTATTATAGTTGGCGACCGCGGGAAGATGATCTATTCATCGAAGATTCGAGCTCTTTACGATAATGTCTTAATAAGATGCTGCATTGAGAATTACTGGAGTTAATATTGAAGAGTGAAGGACACGACTGAATAGGAGTTCGAGGTTAACGACTGAAATTCACGTAGGCATCGGTTTAACCCTGAAAGACGGTGAGGCTGCTTATAGAGGTAGAGTTCGCTAATTATTTAGAAAATCTTTTCTACGAAAGAGTTTAGAATCGAAATATTGAGGAGGATTTAAGATAAATGGCTCTTTTAAAAAGTAGATTAATTAGTCGCGGATAAAATACTATAGTGGAGATATTTCCGAAGGGAAGATACTCGATTAGTAGAACGAGACGCTATAATATTATGACGTATAAAGCTTAATGCGGAACTCGGAGAGAAAAAAGATTATCTCTCTAAGATCTAGAAGTTCTTCTAGGCGAGCCGTCGAAAAAGTATACTCACCGAAGAACTAAGATATAAGAAGTAAGAAGATAGATACGCGGAATAACGAAGAAAAGAAGTAGAGAGACACGGAATACGAATAAGTTTTAAGATAGAGAAATATTTTAATAGAGAATTCGGTATGGAGCTGTGATAGTGATTCTAGACTATTACGGTTGGATAGGTAAAGGAGATATTATCGACGACTAGCTATTGCTACGTTGAATATAGTTCTTCTAGCTAATTAGTGTTCGAGGTACGAACTTAGTCGACGCTATAGAGGTTGCTCGCGTAATATTAGAGCTAATTAGGAAGGTCGGTTCTCTCGTATACGGAGATCACTCATAGGTCGGAAAGGTTACGAACTAAGCATTAAAGGGCGAGATCTATCCGACTATTGGATTAAGTTCCGAGAAGAAGGCGTCTTGCTAGGAGCGTAGCTAGTTTACTTATTGATTTGGCTACTACTTAAAGGAATCGGGGGTATACGCGAGCTTCTAGACTAGTTCTTTCGAAGTATAGAAGCGATGGTATCGGAGTAATCTAGGATACCGAGGTTTCGAGAATTAGCTATGAGTACTTCTTTAGCGTCTTTCGCTATATTCTTATCTTCTTCTAAAGATTCTTTATAGCCGTCTTCGTTAGAACTAATATAAATAATAACGACACCGGATCTAACGATAATAGCGCAGAATGAAAATAAGCTGATTACATTAAAGATGCCGTGAGAAAGTAAGAAGGATTTCGAATACTTATTCTTTGAAGGCGTAAATACTACGGTATTCTTAGAGGATTTCGAGCATTTGTCCCTGTATAATCGATAGTTAGAAGAAGATCGTACTAAAGCGGTTATTCGTTTTTATAACCGTTTCTATATAGTAATTATTCGTAATCTATCTAAATATAAACTACGAGATTAGAAAGATATTAAGCGGGAGATACTAAAGGAGTGGGAGGACGAAGATGAAGATTAGCTGGTGTTGATTCTTTTCTATTTATAATCGCTTAAGGATAAAAAGCGAGAGAGTAAGAAAGATGTATATATTTATCTACGCGAATTTAAAAGAACTAGCGATGTCTTACTTAAAGAAGAGAAAGTGATCTCTATTTAATTAGGTAGATAGTTACTAAAAGGGTTATCGGAGCGAGATCGTAATAAAATTATCTTAGACCTAGATATCGATTATAGAGATACTAAAATAATTAAGTACGATAAGATTTATAAAAAGGCTATGGATCGCTCGTAAGCTCACTACAATACTAATCGTTTTGTAGACTCTTTAGAAGGTTAGGCTTTAAATGATCTGGTGGAAGAACGTAAAGAAAAGTTCTCGATATTGAGGTAGGAAAAGAGAAGTATAAAAGGTAAGAAAAAGAATAAGAAAACTAAGAAAACGGCTAATGAAGTATCTTCTCGGACTTCTTAGGTTGAATAAGGAATAGTGCTTTTCTTTACTAAGCTATTACTAGCGGAATATATTAATGAACTGTCTAATCGTTT